ACGACCGAAATCTACTAGATCCAAAAAGGCTTTTTCAAAGGGAAACCCTTTTTTCATTGGTTTCGGCGGTACTGGATGCTTGTAACTGAATCGAGGCTTCGTTGTAACACATGATAAACATGAATTGCAGATTTGAGTGCAAATTCTTCGAAGTTGTTTGATTCGGAATTTCCGTGAAAGAGAGGTTTGAAGCTTGGAGATTCCGGGGTGGACTAATTTAACGTGACAAAACGAGACCAATTCATAGGCGAGAGAAGCAGGAATGGCCAGCCGATTTTCAGAGTCACGATAAAGCATGTCACTTTGTCGCTTCAGTAATTTGTTTTTTATATCTTCTTTGATATCAGAATCTTCTAGCTGGAGTTCGGCGATCGCCTGCTTGGAATACGGGACCTCATCGATTAGCAAGAAGGGATCGGCAGATTCAGAATCGGAAGATAAGCACTTGTCTGTGCTCTGAGTTGAGTTTTGAGTTTGTTGTTGATTTGAGATTTGAGTAGATTTCTGCGATTTGCTTTCCGCGGAGCTTTTCTTTGACGAGTTCTGATCGGAAGAAGATGGACAGGATGGTTCAACTGTAGCTTTCTGAGCCTTTGATTGAGCTCGAGTCATCACCAGCAGCTGCAGAGAGTTCGAAACACCTCGATCAACAATATCTTCATCTTCGTCAATATCTGTATCTTCGCTGATTTGAATTGCTCTTGAGAGACAATCGACCGTGATTATAACTGGATCTGTATTTCGACGATGTTCGATGCTCAGAATATTGAATCGCTGTAGTCTGCAAATCAAGTTGATTACCCTTATGGGCATCGCGTCCTTCATTTTCTTCTGTTCAAGAATTCGGGAAATGCTGAGATGGTCGGTTATTGCGTAGAAACTTGTGTTGTAGAGCTCGTATTCGAAATACTCGCAAGTGTACACAAGTGCGGCGAGTTCCAAATATCGACTTGCCAATTTTTGTTCTCCAGGTGCGAGTTTTCTGCTGCAAAATCCCAATGGAGCGAGCGTGCCATCGTTTCTCCGTTGATACAGTGTTCCAGCAAGACCAACGTGAGATGCATCTGAAGCGACGACCAACGGCAATTTCGGATCTCGGTGTTCCTGGCTGACAAATTTCGCTAATTTGGACTTAAATTCATCAAAAGCCTTCTGATGCGTAGTTGTCCATGCAAAAGGTTCGTTTGCTGAGCAGAGGCGATGCAGCGGTTCCAAAGTGAGCATTCCTTCGGGCACAAAAGTCGAATAATAATTCTGCATGCCAACCCATCGGCGCACTTCTCTTTTTGTTCGCGGCACCGGGAAGTTCAGAATTGCATCAACTTTACTGCGCAGCGGTTCCATTCCTTTTCTCGTGCATTTGAATCCTAAATACGAAAACTCCTCGGCACAAATAGCCGTTTTTGAGACTTTGAGCGTCACTCCGAAATCAATCATTCTTCTGAGAAATTTCTTCAATTGGCTTAAATGCGCTTCAAATGAGTCTGCTAGCAAGAGACAATCGTCCATCAGAACATAGACATTTGGGATGTCTCTTGTTATTCTCCACATCAGCTCCGAAAAAATTGCCGGACTTTGCTTCAATCCAAACATCAGTCGGGTGCTGGTATACTGCACATTTTCAAACGCAAATGCGACCTTATCTTGATCTTCTTTTGCGAGCCGCAACTGGTTGAACGCGGACTTGACATCCGTAAGGCTCATGTAGATTTTCTTGGATGAAGCAATTTTGCGGCTAACGTCAGACAGAATGTCTCGCAGCGAGGGAACGGGCCAGTGATAATCTTCTGTATGCAAATTGAGTAGTCTCGCATCGATCACTGGCCGCGCTGCTCCGCAGGCTTTCTTCACAAAAAACATGGGAATCGAATGACGTGACCCTCGTGGTTCGATCACGCCCATATCCAGCCAAGACTTAAGAACTTGTTTCCCTGGCTCACGTAGAGAGCTTCTGCATGGTCTGGGTTTTTCGTAGATCCGCTCGGCTTCATTTTTCAGCTTGATTCGGCAGACAAACTTATCAACCATTCCCAGATCTAGCGCCGACACTTCAAAGGCTTCACGTTCTTCAGCGAGTGTCGCTAGAATTTGCTCTCGCTGTGGCTTCGTCAGATCCGGACCGATTGGAATCTTCTTGTAGTGCTCCGATTCGTGCGGCTTGAACTTGGCTCGCCGTTCAGCTTGATGCTTCAGGAAATCGTTGTGCAGTTGTTCATCAGAAGTTTCAATCAACGAATTGATTTCAAGTCCATTCGATGCCAAATTTTGACCATTCGCACATGGAATTCCAGCTGGTACAGTAACCGGCACCGCAGTTGGATTTTCAACCAAAAGGTTCAATTCACTTTCTGAGTCGTACACTGCTTCTAGAACTCGACACTCATTTTCGTGGAGAAAACCCCTTTTTCGGTGTGAGATCAGCAGGATGTCGTTAGATACAGTAGTGACCGGAAGTTGCACTTTCAGTCGAGACGTCGAAAACGGCGATAGAGTATGGATTTCCGAAGTTGTCGCGACAACCGCTTGTGATTCAGCGACGAGATTGACTTGGTGGCCATCCAGTGTTGCATGCCCGTCGGTTTTGTTGATGGTTAGTTTATCGAAGTTGTGACCGCCGAGGATGATGCTGAAGTTGACACTGTCACTAATGACGAAAGTGAGACGTTTCTGAAGAGTTCCAATTTCAACATCAGCTGTTACAGTCTGGTTTGCAGTCATTGTTTCGGAATTCGCAACGCGGATCTGGATCGCAGCAGAAGAAGTTTCGAGCGTCGGGAAAGATGACTTAAGGGTGGCGAGACTCAGCACATTCAGGTTCGCACCCGAATCAACGAGCGCTAGAATCGGGGTCTTCTGTACATTGATGATTATTTTCGGGAGATAGAGAGAGTCGAAAAGAGTTGTTGACAGGGCGAAACTTGGAGTAGTTGTTGAATTAGGGATCGTGCATAGGTCTTCTAGTCAATCCTGATTTGGACAGACTTTTTGAAATGGCGGTAGTGCTCGCCATTTTCATCCTTCGGGCATTTCAAGCATGGTGGATATTTCTTGTCGCTTCTTGACTTTTTGAAATCACCTGATTGCCTAGTTTGAGGAGCGCTAGAAGCGGCCACTGCAACAGTTGGTTGAACACGTTGCTCTGATCTTGCCATGAAGTCGACTAGTTTCTCCATCATCTTTGTCATCTGTTCCTTCCAAAGGTCATCTTTTGTCGGAATTGGACAGTTGCGCTGCAAATGCCCCGTCTGCTTGCAGTTGTGACACCGCATGTCAGCAAGAGCATGAAGTTCTAGTGGATCATCAGCAGGCCTCTGTCCACCGTAAACGTTATGCATGTCGATCAAAATCTGCTCAACGCGCTCGGGATCAGTTGTGCAATTAGCTGCATACCATCTAGTGTCGAAAATGTAGAACTGATTCATTGGCATCAATTTCTGGAGATTTTCACGGAGCATGCGGCGCTTGGAATCTTCATCTTGTCGGTCGTAATCAATGGCACGGCATATTTTCATTAATCGCTGGAATCCTTGAAGGAACGTTTCGCCTGCTTGTTTTTGAAAGTTTCGAAGAAGCGAAGCAACGTAGTCAGAGCTGAGACCGTATTTCCTCCGGAGAGAAGCGGCGCATTCTGCCCACGATTTGAATCGATACATTCCAAGGTGTCTTTTTAAATCATGATTGATCTTCATATGAGCAGCACCGAGGGCTTCTTCGTCGCTCCATCCGTACATAGCGGCCTTGTCGGACAATTGCTGGACCAGCGTATCAACTTCATTAGGATCGAGGGCGTCCATGAACTTAACATCGGCAGTTTGTTTGCGGAGTTTGTCCTGGGAAGCAGTTGGAATCTTGAAGGTTGAAGTTGTAGCTCTACCAGTCGAAGCAGTTGATCCTGACTTTGGTGGTGGTGGTGGCGGAGTGAAGTTTGGCGGAGTGTTGTTCATCGGTGGAAATTGGGGTTGGCCTTCAGGTTGATCAGAAATCAAGTTTCTCGGATCGATGAGGTAGTCGTTGCCATCGTCGGTCTTGCGCCCGTTGTTTTCGGTGTAGAACTCGGTGAGTCGGTCGAGAATTTCAGATTTGTTTCCAACAGTGAGAAGTCCTTTGTTGCGGCAGACGGTTCGAAGCTGTTCTACCGTGAGGCTTTTCAGGGGAATACCTCCCTCTGACATAATAAATTTAGTCTTGAAAAATAGTCGACAAAAACTTTCACAAAGACTTGTTTTGCGAAAATCCGCTTATTTTCCAATACTAACTCTTAAACTAAATCTACCGCTGATTTTTCCGTTTAAAAGAGGTTTAAAATTCAAAAACTCGAAAAATGAAAATTTTACTCTTTTTTTTGAAAAAACAACGATAATTCTGGTCCTAAAGCACTCTTGGTCCTTAGATTTTTTGTAGAAAAAGCAACTCCAGGGCTGATACGTAGACACAACTGGAATCGAGAAAAACGTTTTTCTTACTGTTTCCAAGCAGATGCACGAGTTGTTTCTCTTCGCGGCGCTTGAAAAAAACAAAAAATTTTTCGGCTTTGGGCTGGCTTCAGAGGTCTCTTGGGTGAATTCAGTCACCAAAAATGATGTATCCTAAACCGGTCTGCTCCGTCAATGAACGAGACTTAGTTTGGTCAAATGGTTGCTTTATTCGGGAAAGAGGCAGATTATATGTCGTTGGTACTATAGTGCGGGAGACAACTTTGGTAATGAATCAAGGCAGGGCGCCAAGTCCAAGTGGGCACTGGTACCGTGCGAAAGGAAGTGAGAAACGCAATTAAGGGAGTAAAAATAGTAAAAATGGAGATGAAGTGGCAAGGGCGCGCGAAAAGGGCGCACGGGTGTGATTGATCATGTGGACGGTGAGGAACACATCAATAAATATATTTTATTGGTAACGATCTGCATATGTTTTGAAAAGGTCTGTATGAAGAACTGATTGCAACTTGGGCTGCTTCGAATTTACAGATGAGATTAAAAATGGTCGTAAATTTAATAAATGAAGTTTTACAACTTCTTTGTGTTTATCCAGCCGTACTGCAGGAAACTTGTCGATTGAGGATTGTGAAACTCGTAGGTGCCTTCTTTGATAAACGTGTAGCGAGGCGTTATCGCCCGTTTAATTTTTGTCATTGTTCCATGCGCGTTGATTGCATCTTCTGGCGATGGGAGGGTCTTTGGAGCTTTTCCACTGTGGTAATAGCTATTTGGGACGTCGGGTAGCTTCAGCGCTTTGAAAAATGACTTGACGATGCTCAAATATATTTCGATTTTGTAAAAATACAAGCAGTGATTTGAGCCGATCCTGTAAGTAAGCAACTTCTGTGTCCAGCGCTTTGATATCTCCCTCTGAGAAGATATCGGTCTTGTGAACAGAATGATCTCTGCTTTCGAGCATTTCTTGTCCCTTGAATAAATGATTAGATTGATTTTGAGTTCAACCATCAAGAGTAAGAACTTGTACAAACCTTTGTTACACAGTCCCAATTGAGATTTTTCGGCTTGAAATCAAAGTTTTTCTTGTAGAATCCAAGAATATTGTGTGTTTCTTGAACTGGGTTCTCCACAAAATCTTCGTAGAAAACTGTCTTCAACGGGACCTCCGTAACATTTGCAAACTGTGCAAAGAAGAGCGCAGTTGCCGACCATCGCATGATGTAGCTTTCTTTGCAGGTTTGCCACTCTTCACTTTGAGCGTATTCTTCCGGAGTCGCGTAGCCTAAAAATGAATTTCTGAGGAATTCGAGCAGGTGTGTTTACCTAAATGAGCTTGACGAGCCTGGCGATGGAAGTCGGCGGTGATCGCGTCGTAAGGGTTGCGCACTTGTTTAGGTCAACCAAAGTTTTAATGGCATTTTAATCGTATTTTCCGTTCACTCGAAAGACTTTTAGACCTGTTCCTAAAACAATCATGCCTTCTGTGTATTCAACGAATGCAATTCCTTGATTTTTCGAAGCAATAACACGACCAGATGCATATTGTTCGAGTTCTCCTTCGAATCCGAGCTTGTGGAAGTACTCTTCGTTCATTGAACTGCCAGTGTAAACACCTGTGGCGTCTTCAATTGCTCGTCGGACGCGACTAAAAATGAATTACCGACAGAAATCTTTTCATATGAATCATGTGACATGACCCGCAAGACCTGATTCAACACCTTGACCCGACGATAAGAAGAAAAAATTCGCTAGATTCGCACTATCCAGAAAAAAAAATCTTGCTGGCTTTATTTCCTTTTTGAGAAACCCCACATAAATTTTTCAACGAGAAAAATATCACCCAAAAAATATACAAATTGCTCAGAAATTATGTCAGTTGTAGACAGTACTGGAAGTAGAGATTTCTACAGAACGCTCAATGTAACACGAATTGCTACCACCGCCGAAATAAAACAGAGATATTCTATGCTCGTTGCAAAAAGGGTTCAATGTATTTTTTCTTTCGAGAAGAAAAATTTACCGACTTATTATAGCCTTGACAAATCACCAGCATTACGACCAAACATGCCAGATCGAGCATGCGATGATTGTTCTGACAAATCCTTACACAAGAAAGCTCTACGATGACTTTGGCGAGTATGGCCTGGTTCTTTTCGATCCTCAAGTTTGGAATGTCATTCACCCTTTTGGTCCGGCTGCTCCCGCATTTCCCAAAATCCTGGATTTCCCAAATCCTGGATTTCTCAAAATCCTGAATTTCTCAAATCGCCAAATCAGGATTCTGCCGATTCTGGATTTTGGGAAATGCAGGATTTTTATTTCTTTTGAATTAGCAAAGCAAGAAACTTGCTTGGTTTAAAAATCCAACCCAGATTCTTCTTAGTCAGAATCTTCCGCGCTGAAAAATCCCTTCCGAATAATTTGTCACCTCCAAAAAAAGTCGCGCCTCCTAATCCCTGCGAAAACAATCGGTTGAAAGTCGGTTTTTGAACTTGGAAGTTCCAAAATAGATTTAGTTGTTGTTACAGGCACGACCCAAAAGAATGTACATTTTGGTGGAACTTGAAAACAAAATTTATCAAAAGATTTTTTAATTCCCTGGAGACATCAGTTATTTGCCAATTTCATATATTGCTAGATGTAATGGTAGAAAAATAAACCCTTTGATTGCCCTTTTAAAACTGCAAATATGAAACAGATATAGAATCGCCAGATCGGCGATCATTTTGGTACCGAAGTCGTCTGAATCGGACAAGATTTTCGATCAATAATGAGAATCTGAAGTCCCAAAATATGCGCTAGAAATTTTCGAGCGCCCGGAAAGGGATGAACACTCCATCCAGTCATTTAACCCATAGTCTCAGTTTGTAGAACAGCTTCTATTCTACCAGAATCAATTCACAGAAGTTGTGAACAGAGACTCTAGTAAGAACCAGAGCCGAAAGAAGCCCAAACATTCTATTTTAGTTTTGACAGATAGAGAAAAACAACTGTTTTCGACGAAATTTCAGCTGAATCCTGCATTTCTAAAAATCCTGTTTTTCCCAATCCTGCATTTCCCAAAATCCAGAATCGGCAGAATCCTGATTTGGCGATTTGAGAAATTCAGGATTTTGAGAAATCCAGGATTTGGGAAATCCAGGATTTTGGGAAATGCGGGAGTAGCCTTTTGGTCCCTACGCTCACCAAATGACGCGCATTGCGGAAAAACATGTCCACGATAAAAATCCTTATGCTAATCTCATGCAACTCACCACGACAAATTATATTCAATAAACAGTCATCAACATGGGCCTCACCTCGATCCACTTGCAGGAAAGCATCCAAGCACAACAACAGGATATTCTTTGTAACTTCCTAATTTTTTCATACATTGATTGGACGATCTTACTGCTTGTCCCGTCATCCAGCTGTTGATCATTCCAGTTCTTATTTCACAAAGGATGATCATCACCAGCAGCACGGGAATCGCAAGACATTTTCCATTCGGCGGCATTCTCTATTTTTCCTCTTGTTGAAATTGGACGAAGTTATGATTATGATTGCCGTAGAATGTGCCCTTAGCGTTTTCCTTGTGTTCGTAATCCCGGTTGGTAAAGGGCACCAGGAGCCCCGGGCACTATCAAAGGTACGCTTGTAAATCGTATGCGCTTTTTTATTCTTAGCCTTTGAGCGAGTAGAGTCACATCTTGCTCTATAATCTCTTTCTTCAAATGGGTGTTCCCCGTTTTAGCAAGTACTTCTTATTGTCGAAAATCAGCTTTCTTAATTTTCAAACCCTTGTCTTTGATGAACTTGATAAACATAAATAAACGCCAATTTATCTTTATTAATTTGACCCTCAAAATTTGAGAAAATGGCCAAATCCTTTGATAAAAAGAAAGTCGTATGCCCTTCGGTCATTTCAATAACCTGCGATAACGTGCAATGTATAACGGCTGAATGAAAGGTGACATTTTGTTTGGACCCCGGTTCCATCTAATTTCTCTCTTGGCTAACCTTTAATTTAAAGCTGACAGAAACGTGGATGTTGTCTAACTTTATTTAGCGGAAACAACTAGCTAACTTCGAATCAATAAAATGTAAATAATTACTAATTATTAATAAGTCTTGATTCTTAGTTGGAAAAAGTTTTTCTAGTATCAAACAGAAAACTAATTTCAAAGTATTGATCAAATAATCATTCAACAATTTAGACCGCAATTGCATATTTACGTTAAAATCAAAAGTTTCGAAACTTTCGATATGTGTCTCAATATGATAAAATTTCATTGATGGATTTGCCAGATCAAAACGCCTGACTGTCTCGATTACGATCACGGGCGTTGTCTAAGTGATTCTAGCTGCACCAAGCTCCAATCGTGGTGGAGCTCACGCGCACCCACGTTCTGTTTAGAAGGTGCCCTGGTTATAGTAAAAAGGAACACTCTTACTTTTGGCGGAATTTAACTGAGGATTTATTTTGAGAAAATATCGGGAAGGAACGTTGAAGTTTCTATATTCCCGAACTGTTGAGCAAAAAAAAAGCGGAAGAGAAGGCACATCAGAGATACCGCTGATAAAAAGAAATAAAAAAGAGACAAAGGCTAAATATCAACAATGAAGATCTCCGAAATTCTGCTTCTGGGAAAACTAGCAAATGCTTGTCCTGATGGAGAATTCCAACTGACAGGGATGAAAGAATGTAGGCCATATTTGACTTGTGAAGACTTCAACGATATCAAGTGAGTAAAAAAAAGAGCCAAAAATAGAATTTGTTCCGGTCGCAGAACTGAATTAACCGTTGGGTCTTCAGAGTCCGGCGAAAAATAAACTCCGGCATGTCAAAAATCATCTTACATGCTAAATGGAAAGGTCATAGCCTGGCCTACTCGATCCCGAACATAGATTTTCCAGACAGAATCGACGACTTTCACCACAACGTCGAGATGCTGAAGAAGTTACAATCGAGACATGTGGTCAAATACGTAGGGCAGTGCGAAGATGCTATCCTCACCGAGTTCCACGAACAAGGAACCCTTGGTGATTTTGTTGAATCCTCGGCGGTTTACAAAGACCTCAATCTTCGCGAGCGATTCGAGCTTGCTCACAGGTACTTGGAAATTTTAGCTTTTCTTCACGACAGTCCTGCTGGAACTCGCGTTATGTGCGACACGAACATGGTCAAAGGGACGGTAAAACAGTACTTGGTCACTTCCGACAACGATTTTGTCGTCAACGATCTAGACGACCTCCGATTAGTTGAGAACGGAAAGATGGAAGGCCGTATTTGTGGTCACGCCGATTTCTTGTTCAATAGACCGGACATTTTGGGCGAAAATTTTCTCGCTCCCGAGCAACGCCCCTCCAAATCGCACCGTAACATCCGCGACATGCCAGTTCTTAACGAGAAAATCGATATTTACAAAGTGCCTGCGATAACAGCGTACATCCTGGGGGATGTAGAAGGACACAATGATATCATGGATTTACTAACGGTAAGGGATATCTGAACACGAGCCTGTAATGACAAAATACGTTAAGCCTATCCATCAAGCTTGCTTGAAAAAGGATCCTTCGAAAAGACCTTCAGGAAAGTTTTAGAAATTCTCTCGATTTATACTCAGAAAAAGATTTCCAAAACTAATCAAAGCACCACTGATACAGAAAGCCTATAAAAAGGTTCTAGCTCGTCTCTAAATACAAACAACCATTTCTGTCCCTCTCTCTGCTTCAAACAGTTCTCAAGTGTTCCTCATTATATTCATGGGAAACTGGAAAGAACGAAAAATTTCTACATTCCAGGGACGCAAACGTTCCACCGTTCCTATAAATAAAATAGGTGGTGGTCTAAACTTTGAAGTTCTTATGTGCGATAAGAATTTCTGGTGGCCTAAACTTTGATCGTTCTCACGTGTGATTCCTTGAGAAAGTGGCCTAAACTTTGATTCTTCCTATGTGTGAAAGTGGTCTAAACTTTGAATTTCCCCTGAGGCACTCTGACTAGTTCCATGTGTGTCATCACCTTGAATGCAGCGTAATCCTAATTGGTCTGCATAAAGCGTAGGGCAGTGCTCTAGTCACCGATGGCAGAAGCGCCTCCGGGGAAATTCAAAGTTTAGGCCACTTTCTCAAAGAATCACACATGAGAACGATCAAAGTTTAGGCCACCCGAAGTTGTTATCGCACATATGAACTTCAAAGTTTAGACCACCACCTATTTTATGCAAACTCTCAATTCATGTTGATTCAAATAAAATCATGTATTATATCAAACGCTTAGTTATTTAGTAGCAGGGTTGAGATGGGCAGGTCTCGTAATCAATCGGAAAAAGGATTGGGGCGAAGAGAGCAGCTGTATTGTTATAGACATTTTCGTTCTTGATAACTTTGCCATCGTCCCAGAGAATTCTTTCCACAGAAAATGGGCTAAAAACTGAGAAAATTTGTAATAAGCTCTTTTCTTACGATGACCAGCCGCTGACGGAAAAAATAACGCCACCTTCCATTAAGATCGCCGATGGTTGGCCAGTTGTCTAAGTTCACTTATTTCTATGAAATTTCTGAAATACTTACAGTCAAAAGTTTATCATTCCTTTGCTTCGACCAAGCATAGTCCTTGAAAGAGTAGATATTTGTTCCATATTGCATGTCTTGAAGGCCGCCGATTGTCAGAATCCTGTCTTCGAGAGTGACACAGACGTGATCGTTCATATTTCTGGATTTTTTTGTCAAAGATAATGTTTTATAAACTGCATTTACTGAGGGTGACTAGTGGAAGAGTACCATCCAATTGATCCTAAGATCTCAACACTTCTCTGAGCACCGGGTGCACCACCATAACCGCCAATCGTCACAGCAAGACCATCATATTCACCGAGACAGGCATATCGATGGTCTTCGACGGTTTTGTAGTCCAAAGAAGTGCTCGTGCTTCCGTCAAACTCTTCACAGCTATCAAGATTCTCAAAGTCACCGAAACAAAGCAAGACTAAGAATTATTACATCAGCATACATAACTTTCGCAAACCTTTGTTATTGATCGTAAGCAAGGAGCCATAACTTATGGCCCATAAGTACTCTCAAATTTACTGAGAAGGCGATAAGGAGTTGGGTTGAAAGTGCAGCCATCAAGAGTTGCAATTTTCTGGTAGTCGGTGTTGCCTCCGAAAAGATATCCTTGGCCGTTGAGAACCGCAAATCCTGCGCCTTCTATGAAACGGGGTGGACCGTATTGACCAGAGAGCAATATGGGCACGAGTAAGGTGCTAAATCCGGCGGATCAAAACTGGCGGATCAAAAGGGAGTTGCGCCAGAGTGCTGTTCGTTCATTCGGAATAAAAATGCAAGTTGAGACTTTCAGACTGGGTTCGGCACTAAACAGAGTTGAGACACCACCAAATTTTCAACACTCTGAATTAAGGTCGTTTAAATTGAGATAAATAGCAAGGATAAATTAAGAGGAGCCAGAAAGGAGTTATCTGATCAAAATATCTCGAAAATTTGTAATGTAAATTTCCTAGAAATCATGCAATCCAATTATAGAAAATGATGATATTGAAAAGGCGAACCCAAACTTTATTGCTCTAAAGACGGCGATATTATGATTTTTATATCGGCTCGTGCCGATCCAGCACTACCGAAGCTAATTTGCGTAATTCTTTCAGAAGCCTGCTGATATAACGTACCCCCTAGCTCGCTCACATTTTGTGAGCATTTTTCCCTTGCTCGCTTAGTTAAATTTTATCAAAGTCCCCTTGCTCGCTCTCATTCTTGTTTCAGCGCGCTCCATTAGTCGCCATCCTTCTTTTACCTCGCGCGCCCTTGTTCGCTCCTCCTCACCCATTTATCCCTTGTTCGCCGCGAGACCGCCAAAGCCTAGCTCGGCTTGGGTCGCTCTTACAGCTCTTACTGAACTTTCGACTCAAGCTTTTCATAGGGAACTAAATTTTCATTTTCATGAATATTTTGACAGTAACTAAACTTCATTTCCTCTTTTTTAAGCGTCCAGTTAAATTTTTGTATCTTGTAGCAACGCGGTATTATGCCGTAAACTTGATAGTTTGACTTTATATGTACATTTATACTCAAAATAGTCGAATCTTCATGTTGACACTGGTTCCAGAGTTGCAAATTTGCTGAGCTGAGTGAGCTGAGCAGTCGCTCAGCTCAGTGATTTTGGAAAATGATCTGATCTGCTCAGCTCAGCTCAGACAATTTTCACTCAGCTCAGCTCAGCTCAGCTCCATTATTTTCGAACATGATCTGTTCTGCTCAGCTCAGCTCAGCTCAGCTCAGACGATTATCACTTAGCTAAGCTCAGCTCAGCTCAATGATTTGAATACAATTTTACTACCGAAAAACAGTAAAAAACAGCTCAGCTCAGCTCTAATTAGGGTCCGCTCAGCTCAGCTCAGCTCAACTCTCTTAAACAAAAGGTCTGCTCAGCTCAGCTCAGAAACCTCCGAAGTAGGCCAGCTCAGCTCAGCTCAGCTCAGAGAAATTTTTTCGCAGGTCAGCTCAGCTCAGCTCAGCTCGGAAAAATTAATCAAAATTTGCAACTCTCGAGGAAAATGGCATTTGATTTTTTTATAAAAACAGTCTCAAAGTTTCAATCCATGTATTTCGAGTACTTATGTTTACTTAAAATGGAGTGTCCAAATTTCTTCTTATTAAGAAGATATGAAAATTTGACAAAATGGACGTGAAAGAGCATAAAAAAATAAGTTTGCTTGGAAAAAATCATGAAAATCGAATTTTGAGACCATTCTACGAGTTAAAAAGCCTTTTAAAAGTGAAAAAGAAAGTGAGCAACGCGTTATAAAGCGTTCTCGCGGGGCTTCAGGAGCGAACAAGGGATAAATGACGGAGAAAGGCGGGCGAGCAAAGGTGCGCCGTCGAAACCAAGGAGGGCGAACAAGGGGTCGTAGAATGCAAAAGAAGGAAAGCGACCAACGGATCTTGGTAACAAAAAGCGAGCGACCAAGGGGGGTCTTGTTGGAGTTTAACTAAGCGAAAAAGGGAAAAATGTTCACAAAATGTGAGCGAGCTAGGGGGGGGGGTACGTTATTTTATCCCCTCAATGTGAATTTTTTTGGCCGCTTGTGCCGAAATATTTATCCATACTACGATATGAAGACTTCCTTGAAAGTATCAACTTGCATTTTGATTTCAAATGAACAAACAGCACCCTGGCGCAACTCCTGTTCGATCCGGCTTAGCCTGATTTAGCACCTAACCCTTGCCCATCTTGCTCTCTTGTCAATACGGTCAGCTCCTATGAAACCGCGTGCTCCATTGCCAGGAGGTGAGCTTACACACTTTTCATCTCGCTCGCCTGTTCTCGTGGTATTTTCTAGTTTCTCGTACTTGATAGAACATGCTGTTTTCAACAGAGTGGCTACCACTTTCCTTTGATATTCATGATGTAAGCAGTACGGACGTTCCAGCGATCGCCGACCACCATGAAGTGAGGACCAATATCGGGTCGGGGACATTTCTGGTAATAATCGCACCCCTTGCAACCGTTGGGGCAATATTCATTGCAAGGACAGAATTTTAGATTTTCTTTAAATGATTTTTTACTTATCTTTTAAAATATTTGTTCTCAAACCTTCATAGTCAACAGCACACTGCTGGTTGCACTCTTCAGTCTCGCACAAGAATCGGCATCGGTTGTAGATCGTTCGATATTCGGAAATGCACTGGTCCAAGTAATCTGGATCCGGGCATACTCTTGAAGAAAGCTCAGCCGGGACAGCAGATTCCAAGCTGCCAAGAAGCAACGATGCGATAGTTCCTCTCATTTTTATCTTGCCGCAAGATTCTTGCGTATACGCGTGTGTTCTTGCAAAGAATATTCGATCGGAAAAATTATTGGTAAGCAAAGTTTAGAGCAGTCGCTTTCGACCTTTGATTCGGGAGTTCATGCTGTTACATGCTGAAATTTTGATCTGCTAACAAGCTTTTTAGAATTGAAGGAAATTGAAATCAAGTGCATTATGTTGATTCTTCCATCTTTCAATCATTCAGCGATACATCAGTTTGGACCCAATTGACTTTTTCGAAACAGCGTTTGCACGTGTTTTCCCTAGCTGAAGCTGCAAAATACATGCTCGATGAAAAATTTACCATCAATAGGGACATAAAAGAACAGAAAATCTGAAAAAAGTAGAAATATACTCGAGAATGCAGATCTTCAAATATGTCGCTTTTTTTCTTCAAATTTCCGACGCGTAAGATAAGAAATTCGGGAGACACTGAATTGTGCCGCCCTGCGCCGCCCTGCGCCGCCCAGCGTCGCCCAGTCTCGCCGGATCCGAAGATATTTTGTCTTTCAAAAGCGGGTAATTTAGATTTTCATATAAAATTAGTTATTCTGACATATTTGAATTGTCTGAAAATTAAAAAAAAAGCCATCCTATAATTTTGGGTGCCAGTAGAGTCCATGGTAATTCGCAATCAAACTCAGAATTTGGCATAAAATCACAAATAAATTGAGCACGCGACGGGCCAGAGGCCCTTACGCGCGCATTTTCTGGTAGAGAACTCATTGGGTTGGCGGGGCCCAACTCTCGCTCTTGTTCAGAACAGTTTCCTAGGTCATAGTTGGGTCGAATGAGAGCCGGATGGTTTCGGACCGGGCGACGCTGGGCGGCGCTGGGCGGCGCAGGGCGGCGCAGGGCGGCGCAAGGCGGCGCAGGGCGGCACAATTCAGTACCCCCCAGAAATTCCAAAGGTACCTAAACTTGCTATTTTAGGAACAGGCTTTACAATAATATGCTTGATGACGATATTTGGCAACATTTTCTTGCTCACAAGCGATCCGATTTGACCCCCTCCATATTTTTGCCCTACGCCAACGAAATCCTCAAAGACCCCTCAAAACGCATTGGTCCTCCCTCGGAAACCAATTTCTACGACAGCCCTGTGAAACGTCGATTTTATGGAGATCTTCCTATGTTCAATTGAAATGTGAGAAAGTTGTTAGTCTAATAAAGAAAAGGCATGTGAATATTTACGGTTTATTTATCGATTTTAAAAATTTCATAAATAACGACAGAGATGATAGGACTTGAACAGTGTTGCAAAATCAAAGCCTAAGGAGTAAGCTAACGGGAACAGTTGCTGTTTACCAAACTCGGCACTGGTTCTCGGGATTCATCGGTGTTCCCTTCTTGCATCCAAAAGCATTAGCGAAGAAGCGGCCACCGTTTTGGATAGCGCCGTTGGTTCGGAATCGACCGGGGGAGTGAGGATCATTGTCAACCATCCATTTGGCATAGTCTTCCTACAAGATTTTATTGAAAATGAGCTTGAAGTATTTCAAGTTTACCTTGTACTTGGCGCACCAGATCTGAGCGTATCCGATATAAAAAAGCTGATCAGGGGTGAATTTATCTGAGAGACCAGGGACGTAGATGTCAGAGGTTTCTTTCAAATACCAGTCGTATCCATATCGCGCTTCCCAAAGACCACCATTATCAGCTGTATTTTCGCCAGCAGTGAGATCGCCGTTGAGGTTCTTGTCGGCTTCCTCGAAGTAGAATCCAGAGTATTCATCTTTAACGCACTGCACTCGCTCATCAAAGTTATCCCTGTCAATTGGCGTCCACCAGTTCTTGTAGTTTCCGTCGCCGTCGTATTTTGATCCTGAATAGTGAAGGTATTTACTGATGAAACTTTTCTCATGTGAGAGGCATTGCGAAATACTACGAAATTTAGACACGAATTATTTTATATTTAGTCTGTCTCGTGATGACTTCTGAACGTTCGAAGAGCAATTAGTTTAAAATTACCTTGGTCATCAAAGCCGTGAGTGATTTCGTGTCCGATAACGACGCCAATACCGCCGAAGTTCATGGCCGTAGTCATATCTTTGCTGAAGAAGGGTGGTTGAAGGATGCCAGCTGGGAAGGTTATCGAGTTGAAGGATGATGAGTAGAAAGCGTTGACGATAGCGGGACCAGTGAGCCACATGCCTTTGGTCTCTTGTTAGAATTATCAGCATAACTTCATCTTACCTTTGTCAACGGGGCCATTGAGAAGAGTCCACCATTCACGCTGCTGCCACTCTTTACCAGAACGCCGGGTTCCAATGTATGAGTCGCTGACCTCAAGAGTAGCGTACTTTTCGTTGACAGCGTCTTCCTCGTTAATCCAGTCCGGGAAAGCGATGTTAGTAGTGATTTTTTCAAGTTTGTCGAGTGCCTGGACTTTTGTCTCAGAGCTCATCCAGTCGGCGTCAGATAGGATATCTTCACGGAAGGAGCTGAACAGGTTGTCGACGAGACCAGTCATGATTTCTTTAGATTCTCCCTAATATTCGAATAGATATAAATATTGTGTTTTTCAATCAACCTGGAAGTCTTCTTCGATGTACAGTTTTCCAACAGCCCATTCCATAACGCTGTTAGCAGCGTCCGAGCAAGTCTGCCATCGTGGCTTAGGAGTTGAGCCAGAAATAGTAGCAGTGAACTCATCGTAGATTGCACGCCACTCTGATCCCAAATAGCCGATGTAGTTGCTGTGAACTCGCCAGGCGACGTAATCCTGAATTGAAGATAAATTTTAGATGATTAATGTTTTATACAAATTATTATGTTAGTATGGTTTCATATAGGGGTCAATCATACGAGGAGATCATCGTTGCCCATTTCAGCTTCATCGATAGCAATGTTCGTGTTGTTGAACCACTTCTCATCAGAAAGGTTGACAATTGTCTCAGCATCGATGGAGTAGTCAACGTTCACTTTGCTGATGATTTCATTGACAAACTGATCCCAATTGCCAACAATCTCGTTTCCGGGAATCTCGCCAACGACTTTCTTTCGCTGATAATTTGCTAATATTTAGTCAGTAATGAATTTCAATGTTACCGGCGAAGGAAAATTATTGTAACTCAAACTCACCTGGGTCACGCCCCTCGGTCGGGCTCCACATGTATTTGGCGATGTTGGATTCGAAGTTGTAAATTTTCTCCGCCATCGAGCGGATGGACTCTTCAGTTGCTGAAGTGGAAAGCAATTCGCGGTACTTGAGTGAGTAGTCCGTGATGTATTCTTAAAAAATTGCGTTATGATGACTTCAACGGGCCTGATGGGTTAGTTTAACGTTGATTGAATCCAATCAATTTATAAAAACACACTTTGAATTTTCAAAACTTACTGATGTAAGCTTCTCGGTATCGTTCACGGTCAGCGTCAACGGTTGTTGTGTAGTAAGTCTGGCTCATTCCGAGTCCAGGATGGCCGAGAGTAACGATCCACTCGTTCGAGTCATCAGCATCCAAGTCTTGGTCAGCGATGAAAATTGCGGAAACACCATATTTTGCGGAGGCAGTAGTAATAGAATGCTGGACATTTTTCTCCTCATCGAGAATTCCTTGTGTTGGCCAGGAAATGGTGATTGTATCAGCGAGATCAGAAGTGGATTGAGCATCGAGAGTTTCCTCATCCATGCAGATGCTGAAAAGGTTCTTGGCCTTGACGACTGATTCCCATCCATGATGTCCTTCGACTGAAGGGTCAGAGAGGGTTCTGTTCAAAGTAGCAGAGAGAGCTTTTCTGACGACAGAGAACTGGGAGAAGCTGCCAGCATCATCTGGAATTTCGGCGGTAGCTTCCCAGCCTCCGCAGGCGTACTGGTTGAAATCCTCACATGGATCCGCATCAAGATCCATCTTTCCGAGGACAATGTCAACGAAGGAAAGACACTCTTCCGTTTCACAAAGGGAACAGTAAGTATTTGCGATTGGGTTGTTAACACATGGGCAGCCTTCCTCGCATCCTTCTCTGCAAGGGCAGTTTGATTCACATTCGGAGAATGTTAGGATGCAGTCGCGAACGCACTGGCTGTCATCGACATTGCACTGTGAGACGCAACCATCGTACTAGAAAATTTAATAAATGCATCTCTTGTAATTCGTCTTGGTCTTACTCTTGTGTTACAATCGGTGTAGCAAGCATACTCTTCATCGATAGAAGAACAAGCTTTGTTCGCCTTAGGGTGTCGAGTTCGCTGAAGGGCAAGGGCCCCAGAACCTGCAGCGAGTACGAAGAGCTTCATCGCGCGTCGTTTCGTGAAAATTGTGCTCGCGATCAGGTATATATAGTCTCTCACCGCATGGTCGTTACCGAAATTCAATATTTGAATTTATTCCGGCGCCGCTCTCTCGATGTTTCTCTCCACTCACTAGCTTACGAAATGAGCAGCAAGGGGCTGTATTCTCTCGGCAAAAAGATTTTCTGACACTTTGTATCTTCTCTTTTTTGCCGTTTGAACAGGACTAATCTTTTGATTCAGAAGGGCGTTAAATTAAGTACTAGTACTACAAGACGATAGCCATTTAGGTAGACGGAAAGGCGATTGGGCTACATGAGTTGACAAAACAAAAATGTCTGAGAGAGTGATTTATTTCTGAAGCTCGAACCTACTCCCGCTAGTAAATCAAGACTAACTGAGATCTAACCCATATTTTCTCTTTTATTTGCCACCAGTTTAGGTCAAAATAGAATCGTCAAAATAGAATCGACACAAATCAGAGAAAGATCGTTAGAATTCAGATCACATGACAAACTATTGAAGAAACTACAGTGAGTTTACTACGGTCACTAACGATTGTTGATATAGGGTCGATCTTCAGGTGAAATATTCCCGCTTTTCATATGACAGCAATTATTGTGCGTCAGTATACGTGTCTGGCACGTTTAGCCACGATAGATCGGAAAATTCTTTCGTGTCATAAAAATATACGCAATTATTATAATTCCATTGCGTAAGAAAATGCCGTATTTTATGCTTTATTGTACTGACAAGTTTAAGCTTCTTGTATTCCGAGTCGGTAGACTGTTCTGATCAAGCAAATATCGGTTGAGCTCGCTAAACTTACAGCATTTGTTTCGCGCAAACATGAGCTTCCGCAGGTTTGAGGAAACTAGAATAACCTCATCCAGGTGGCGCCATCACTTCTACTCCGGTTTATCGGACAGTGAGTGTTTGCTTTAAAACTGAGCAGCAAGGCTTTAGCTAGGGAAATGGTGAAACTGTCGCTTATTTTATATTTTTCTTTGGAAATAATTGCACAGAAGCTTACTCCTGGTTTGAAAATGATATTAACAATCTTATTTATTTTTATTAAGAACAAAGGGAGGAACAAAGAGCTATAAATGCTGCTGAGAGAAGGAAAAATCGACAGAAGAATAAGAAAGCCTCGAAGAATAAAAACACCACAAAGACAAGGAGTACTACCACAACCACAACAACAACTACAACTTCTACTACGACTACTACTGAGGAACCGACATCAACGACTGGTTTTACGACAACATTATCGACTTCAACTTCATGGACTCCAAGAAGTTGGCTAACAACAACAACTCTGCAAAAGACCTCTATCCCAACAAGACCGAGAATAACTGGAAATGCCGAAAGAGTTATTGATCGAACGAAGACAATGGTGCGGAAATCTTGCTAAAATTAATTCAAAATTATTACAGTGTTTGTCATGCAACGGTCGAAAGCTGCTTGAGTGTCTCCAGAACGGAAAAACTCAAGAATGTCCGAAGGACTCATTCTGCTCGTTGACGATGCGCACACAGAATGGCGAGCCAATTCAGGTATTTTGGAAATAATATTGTATTTCGGAAATTAAATCACACCACGAGACTTTCAAATTATCAGATGAAGATGTACTCATCTTTATTATTATATTCATCAGTATGAAATGAGTTGCAAGCAATCAACGGCTTGTCTTACAAATAAGAAATCGAATGGATGGGGAATCAAAGGCTCTTGCAATTTTTCGAAAGGTAAAAGTCAAGTTTGAATGAGAACGTATCCACGCTTCAGGATCTGCTGCTACTTGTCGCCAGTGCTGCATTGGACCTGAATGCATAAATTACTATCGAGAGTTCCAGGATCAAGGTTATATCATACACTTATCACTTGAAAGACTCGAGTTTAGACTTTTATCGCGTCAAATGGAACTGGAACACTCCATGGCTGGACAAGCCTTACGATACTTTCGACTTTTTCTAATCCAAAACGACAAAAAAATCAATCCTTTACATGTAAAATAAACCTACTTATCCGTTGTTTACGAAAATTATTTCATAGACCTGCGTGACAACTCAAATCAAAAAAAGTTGCTGCATGATGCATTTGACTCTGGGTTGACATTTAAATTTGCCAAACTTATATGAAACAATTTTTGATCAGCTAAGCAGAGAGACAGCTTTGCTGAAATAAGAGATTTTCTATTATGAAGCTCGCATTAACGCTGTTTGCGTCAATAAAAGGAGACAGGAATTTGACGGAGATCTGTAAGCAAGAAAAATCCGAAGACGTTCAGTAATTGATTAAATTAAGTTCCTACAGCTGATCCTGCAGCTCCAAAAATTGAGCTAAAGAGCTCAGATATTTCTGATATCGGTCGAGGTGGACATCCTGAGCGATACTCTTTTGCAAGTCAAAATGAGCTCCTCACAACCATGCTTCAATACATGCTAAATGCACATTATCTGGATAGATACGACCCGAACGAAATTTTAAACTACGGTTGTTGGTGCCAAACCAATCCAGATCACATAAATCATCGTCGAGGCACACCAGTTGATTCTGTCGATCGAAAATGTCAAAACTGGTATCGCTGTCAGAGATGTGTGTCGATGGATACATTCGGCCAATGCTCGGCTAGTGAGGTCATCTGATTCAAGAGAAAATAAGATGATAACCTCTTTCAGCAAATCTATTCGGTTTACTTTGACCCAACTTCAAAAAGTTTCGTCTGCTCTAGCACGAACACCGACTGTCAAAATATGGCTTGTGAATGTGATGCTGCTTTCGTGAATTCGATTATTTTCAGTTTGAATGAATTCAACAGGAGAGGACTTTTGATCTTTCTAAAAATACTCAAAGTTCATCAATTGCCCATCAAAGAACAGCTACTATGCAAACTCACATGGTTGGGAACCTTCGACTCAGTGCACGCCGAATCCGTTCTCTAGGGGACCACCAGATCAGTGTTGCGGTACTTACCCAACCCGTTATCCCTACAATACCGAAGATGGAAGCCGTGGATGCTGCAATGGACATACTTTCAATTCTCTGACCCACGAATGCTGCAACACGGTTCTTCTTGCAGCTGGTAGCTGCCCACAAACCACAACACCAGCTCCTAATCCATGTTCACCTGATCCTTGTCAGAATGGAACTTGCATGGATACTTCAGCGGATACTGGAATATCAGGATAGTAACTCGACAAAAAGAATTAGAAATGACACTTCTTGTTGATTTCTAAATATAGGTTCGTTCACGTGCTTGTGCGATATGAATTGGTCTGGTCAATTCTGTCATATTCCTTTGGTAATATTTCTAAACTTATAAAAAGTTAATGACAACATCAAAGACGACAACAACTGAAGGGCCAACTGCTCCACCAACTGCTCCACCAACCGATCCTCCAACAACATCCGCAACTACAACTGAAACAACGCCAACAACTGAGCCAACTACAACTACGACTACGACAACTACGACTACGACAACCACGACGACAACAACAACTACGAATCCATGCCCTGTCAGCCCTGATCCTTGTCAAAATGGAAGTCAATGTGTCGTTGATGGAGGAACTTACAATTGCATCTGCCCACCCGGATTCCAAGGTCGAAATTGTGATCGAGTCTGTGTTCTGCAGAATGAACGCTTGGACATTTCAATCGTTGTTGACACATCTGGATCTCAAGCTAATCAAAAGGCGCCTGTTATTGAAGCTTTTATGACAGCTCTCTTGGCTGAGTTCGATACACAAACTGCAGTAAAAGTGAGTATTACTGCGGTCGCTGATGGACGAGAAGGACGAGTAGAGACTGTTTACGGTCCCGTTGATTTTGCTGATACAAGGTTATTTTTATTAAAAGAAATATTTAACAACATTTTGAAGTGATATTTCTTCTGCACTTGATGCAATGACTTGGTGGGGATCAACAACGGCGATCGGCCCAGGTATAACTGAAGGGGCCTCACAAATGGATACTAATGATAATGTGAGCGACGTAATGCTTGTTATTACTGATGGTTGGGATGGAGATCTTGGAAATCTGCAGGAACGGATAAAAGAAAACACTTTGAAAATTGTCTTGAAACGCTTTTCATTATAATTTATAAATAATCAAAGCAAACAATCCTTGAAAGACATCGGTCGCAGCAGTAAGCTCAGCTGGTATAACTGCGTTTGCTCTCGGATATTCAGAAGGTGGCGGATATCAACTGGGAACCTTGGAAGATATTGCAAATGGAGACACAAGCAATGTTTATACCGCAACGACTGAGTAAAGATCTAATTATACGTTTCAGAATCTGAACTGAATTTTAGAGAGGCCATGTCCACGATTCATGAGGACGTGATTCAGGGAATATGCGACAGTCAGACAACAAGGAGCCAGAAATTTATTGAACCACAACCACCATTCAAAATTGTCAACCAGTTCATCTATGAAGTCGCAGCAAAGTACATCGACAATTTTGAACAAGTTCCTACCTGGCACCCGCAGTACAGTCAATTCATCGCAGGAAACATCGAAGGCTTCACTTACGAGAGAGTTCCCCTTTGAAATCTTCTTTCACTGCGAACACCAACCTAAATAAAAAGTTTAATCGTGTCTCGACTAATTTGTCACGGAAAAATGTCAGCCGGATAAATAGCTGAGAATTATTTGATGCGATGTATGGATTTCTAATTAGTGGATTTTTATCCGATGACATTTGAAGAATTCATTGTCACAGCCGATCCGACTTGTTAAATCAGTTTGCACTCGCTCAATTTTGGAACATCAAGATTTGAAAAGGGCCTAGACAAAGTCGAACTTGGACGATGAAATTATGGTCGTCGGCCGTCTCACTGTTTTTAGCCAAAAGCCAAGAGATTATTGACGAGCAAGAAGAAATTAGACATGTTTGTAAGTAGACATCCGTAAATAAGAAATCTATAATTGGTAGTCCCTTTCGTTGACCCAGGGCGTCCACCGATGCTGATGGACTCTCTTGGCGCTCGATCTGGACTAGGTGCATCAAGAGGCGCCGGTCCAGGTGCTGAGCAACGATATACATTTTCATCGCAAGAAGAACTCGTCAATACGATGCTTCAGTATATGTTGAACGCTTACAATCTGGATAAATACATCCCCTCAGAGATATTGAACTATGGTTGTTGGTGTCAAACCTCACCTGAGCACTTGAAACACCGGCGAGGAACTCCGGTAGATACCGTCGATCGAAAGTGCCAGAATTGGACTCGCTGCCAAAAATGCATTCAAATGGACACTTTTGGACAATGCAATCCAACAGAACAAGTTTATCAAGTTTGGTTTGATCCATCTAAGCGGCAATTTTCGTGCTCTAGTTCGAACTCTGATTGTCAGATGATGGCTTGTCAGTGTGATTCCGCATTCGTTAACAGTAAAGAGTTAAAACTTTAAAAATATTCGGAAGAAGACTCAATCATAACTCCTCAAAAGTGTCGTCTTCAGCATAAACGAGTTTAATAGTTATTACGCGAATTCACATGGCTGGGATCCATCAACTCAATGTGAGCCAAATCCATTCTCTCGAGGTCCACCAGACCAGTGTTGCGGTGAATTTCCGACAAGGTAATATTTAAGGAAAATGCAGAAAGATAATACATCAATTTTTCAAGATTCCCATTTAATACTGAAGGAGGAACGCGTGGATGCTGCAACGGCCACACGTTCAACGCCGCAACCCTTGAGTGTTGCGGTACGACTCTCGTCGCAAGCGGTAGCTGCCCTGCAACAACAACTCAACCACCGCCTGATCCTTGCAATCCTGATCCGTGCCAAAACGGAGTGTGCGCGAATACAGAAGCAGATACGGGCATATCAGGCTCATTTGTATGTCTTTGCGATCCGAACTGGAGTGGTCAATTTTGTCATATTCCTATCGTAAGTGAAAACTTTTATCTTTCAAATAATAAATGACAAAAGACAACAGAGCCACCACCAACAGTTCCTCCTGCTACTGATCCTCCAGTAACTGAACCACCGGTCACAGATCCACCAACGACCCCGACGACAACTGAAACAACGCCAACTACAGAACCAACAACTACAACGAGTACTACGACTACAACAACCACAACAACAACAGAGCCGCCAAGCAATTGTCCTACCAGTCCTGATCCTTGTCAGAACGGTGCTGAATGCGTTCCTGACGGAAATACGTATAATTGCATCTGTCCACCTGGCTTTCAAGGTCGAAATTGCGACCGAGTATGTACACTCAACAACGAACGACTCGACATCTCGGTGGTTATTGATACTTCTGGATCGCAAGTTGGCGATAAACAGAGCGCTGTCCAAGATTTCTTCAGAGATTTATTGGCCGAGTTTGACACTCAAACTGTCGTCAAAATCAGTATCACTGATATCGGAGATGGTCGAGAAGGCCAGGTTAACGTAAGTTAGCTTTTTATCTTGAAAAATATTGATAAATCCAAAGACTGTACTGGGTCCAGCGCAGTTTGTTGATACATCCGATATTAACTCCGCTCTCAATTCGTTGACTTGGTATGGCGAGACCACAGCGATTGCAGACGGTATCACAGAAGGAGCGTCACAGATGGATACTTCGGATAACGTGAACGATGTGATGATTGTCATTACTGACGGTTTTGACGGGGATCTTTCCTCGTTGCAAACCGCATCTGCTGCAGTAGCTACAGCGGGTATAACCGCGATTGCAATCGGATACGACGAAAACGGTGGTATCATAGGATCGACTCTTGAAGACATTGCGAATGGAGTTTCTGGCAATGTTCTTGAGGCAACCTCCACGTAAGTAAGAATCTACGGCCTTTAGAAAATTCTTTTTTTTAGCTCTGAGCTACAGGGACTGTCAACTTCTGTATTCAACACAATCTGCTCTGCTTCTCGTCGTAGATCTCGGCCAAGAGCGCAAATGCTCGGAAAGATAGGTTATTCATAAACTCATTCCGGCATAGTTCATATCTTTCAGTAGTCAACCAATTCATCTACGAGGCGGCTTCAAAATACAAAAATCAATTCAACAGCGTTCCAAACTGGCTACCGCAGTACAACGACTGGAGCACTGGGAAGATCCGTGTCTTCACTTACGAACGAAAAGACTTATGAGAATAACTGCTTTTGCTCCTTCAAAAATAGTTATTTTGTGTAAATCAGACTTTATTCACGAGCTTAGTCGAGCTTATGCAGGGTACAGTTGAGATCAATTCTTCTTTTGAAGATCTACAGTTTGATATCAAGCGCACAGAGTTCCTGGGCAAAGATACAAACCAGCTTGTCAAAAAGACTGATTTTGGCAAATGGTGAACAGCAGCTTGGCAAGTGGAGATGAGAAACCAAATTAAATCAGTGCGCAGTAAAATTTTTCAAAAACGAGCGTGGGTAGTCATTTTATCTTCAAAGGGTCTTCGAGTTTTTGTGTAGGGGCAAATATCAATATTATGGGTGTAGAAAATAGGCATGAAATCGGCACATAAATGGCACTTTTCATCCGCAAGGAAAATGGTCACATGGGCGATATGAAAGATAGTTTGTAGGATACGTTGGTTATGCAAAGATCGCAATTAGCTAGATTACCAATTTCGAGGAGCCTTGGCACCATTGTTTTGGGCACCAACTGGCTTTCCGCCAGCACCGTACAATTGCCAGTCGTTGTTAGCTCGCGCTTTTGGCTTGACGGAGGCAGAATCTCGGAACTTGCAGAAATAGACAATGCCAGAAATAAGAGCAGCAATGATGATGACTCCGACGGCAACAATCCATTTCAAAGCTTGCGTCTCAGTGCCTGAAATTTACCTTTAGAAAAGCTAAACTGCTCATCAGTTGCCATGAAAGAACCTGCAACTGACGAGACAAGGTTGATTCTTGAACGTTTATTAAATATAAATTAGTGATAATAGGATCGATAACTATTGTCTTTGGGTAAGTAGGAAAGAAAACTGCTCTGAGAGCCACTTGAAGAGCCGAATAGTGATTTCCATTTGTTCAAGAAGCTCGATTTGAAGCTATCCAGTTTAGACTTGCTATACTTACCAATGGTAGAATCAGCCCATCGCTCCTGGGATCGAAGAGGTCCGACGGTGAGAATGTTAGGGTTGTACATTCCAGTTCCACTGGCATTGGGGGTTGAGACGGCTCGTGGATGACGAGATCCAGAGAAGATTTCTTGGATTTCTCGTCGCTCTCGATCCTCGCAGGTGTTTTCGCAAGAGAATCGTCGAGAGTCACAAGCTTGGATATCGCAGTGAAGCCAGACCTGAGCCTCGTCGACGAACTGGAACATTTGAGATTCCCATCGAGCAGAGTTGGCATCGGGAGCATCGTCTCGGAGAACAACTGTAGGATCAGTTGGGCAACCCTCGTAGATCAATGTGTGTCGAACAGGAGCGTCGGCCTCAGTCGTAGGTGTAGCCCAGCAACGTTGGACGTTAAGAACGACTTCAGGATCCTTAGCTTCGAGTGTCACATCGACGTAAAGTCGCTGCTCGACTGAAAGCATGACAGATGATCCCATGAATGACTCTTCGTAGGAGCTATCCTTGAAGAGCTCCATGGTGGCTCGGAACTTTCCTTCGGCAGTTTGACCCTCGAACCAGATTGTATCGACTGGAGCAGCAACAACCTTGTGCTTGAGTGAAAGCTCAAAGGTATCATCGTTGACGCTCATATCGTACACGCAGGTAAAGTTGTAAAGTCCATCTGCGTCTCTGGTGATGGGAGAGCCATCATTAGGTGGTGTGAACTGAACCACGTTCCAGAAAGTGATCTTCCCAGAGCCGTCGTCCCAGTACTGAGTTCCACACTCAAGAGGAAGCTTCTGAAGAGAACCAGCGCTGAACAGAATGTTTCCGTATTCGTCTGGTACGCCCTGGCATCCCTCGTTGAGTGTGATCTTTGAGAAGTCATCGCCCCATGTACCCAATTTCTTGAGATCTCGTTCACGGATTGTAGCGGTCATAGAAGTCTCATCGCAGACATGATCGAAGACGTCAGCGAAGTCGATATCTTGGCCGAGTACGCCTCCAAAGGCGAATAGTGATAAAAGCTTTTTCATGCGCTTGGTAAACTTTTTCAAGGCTATTTTTTCATTCAAAGTTTAACTAAGACTTCTCTATGTTTTCTCTAAGAAACGCTTTGCGTTCGAAACGTAAAAGTAAAAAATAGACCTTTTCCTTTAGCGCCCCACTCCAAATGCAAAGACTTCAGCGTCGGAGAGGTGAAATGGTGCTCGGCGGTGGTGCCTCGGGCAAGGTGCACCAATTCAGAATCCCACGAATTTAACTAATATTAGCCGAGTCAACTGGAGGTCACATGACCCGAACAAATGTACTGTAATAAGCATGGCGACGAGATGACATTCAGACATTTTTAAGAATTAGTGGTTTTAGCTTTTATCTCTGATGATTTCTGACAGGTAATCATTTTTCTTATGCGATTGTCTTATTCTTATTAAAATATGAAATTATAAATTGATACTATCCTGCTTCTGCGCGTGTTCTAACCGAACAGCATTAATTTTTCAACGTAGCTCATAAAAACACCTCGCTCTGACCTGAAATCGTCTAAAGTCTCGATTCTCAAAAATGAAAGTTGCAACATATTGGGCTAGATATATGATGATTTATAATCATTGCGAAGAGGCAAGTTTAGCTGATTATGGAGGACTCGATAGTATTGCCCCATTCGAATTTGATGATATTACCCATGAATGTGACGAGATTGCTGGGTAAGTACAGACTCTCTCTTTTTTTAATAAAATTTATTTACAGTAAAGCAGCTCGCGCACAGGGATTTATTGCTTCAAAGTTGTTCAAAAATATTGATGAAAAGGGATAATTCGATTTATAATTATTCTTCCATTTTTATATTTTAATAAAAAAGTCAAAATCAGTCAATCTCCATTATTTGCTTTGTGTTGGTGCTGTCGGATTAAAAGTAGAGACGCAATTGTTGCAATTATCAGAATCGTGATTCCCAAAAGTAGAAATGACAGCTATAAAGTTTTAATAAGACAAAAAAAAATTCATTTTTCTGATACCTTTGTAAGCATTTTTCTCTGAAAAAAGGTTATCCGCGTTCTTAGAGTGCTATTCTTGCTTTTGTCAAGGATCAACGATTGAGTTTGGTATGAAATAAATTTATTTATTCTAAGAGGGCAGTTTGAGCTTTTGTTTCTTCCAATGCTTTTCTTCTTTTGAAGGAACACTTGTATCGCGCTGCATAGATTATGAGAAGAAACAGACAGAATCCATCCAATGCCAGCATAAACGTCATCAGATCTTGACCTTTCGAAAATTATAATCAAGTGAAAAAAGTCAGTCTACCTTGATCTTCAAAGCAAGTAGACCCCTCTGGTGTAAAGCCTGTCGGAACAAGCCCGCTCAGAAAGATGAAAATCGGCCCAATTATCTCCCCTAGACTTGTTACCAATCCTCCAGCGGTGCCTCCACCAACAGGATGAGCAGTTTCCGCAGCCATCTCGCAAGCCAGCGGAAGAAGAACAAGCGTCGACATTCCATAAACAACGCAAAGGGATGCAATGAGTATCTCTTGCTCGGGAACTTTCATCGCAAACGTGAAAGCGACATTCGAAGCGATTGAAATGGCGGCGCAAATTTTGGCAGTCAAGGCATGATGCTCGGTTCCGCCGATCATTCTCGTCAGGAACATGCTGAAAGCAACCCCAGGGCCAATAATAAGGGTGGCGCAAATCGTCGAGCTGAAGATGTTAGAATAGCCAGCCGGGCAGAGAAGCTGAACGATGAGACTTTGAACCATTGAGTTGTGGCCAATTCGGATTGCACCAAGCAAAACAGCGGCGGAGAACTCCCAGCCACCTTCGAATGCCAAAAGTCTTAAAAAAATCAATGCGTGCGGCGAAAAATCATTTGCAAACCTGAGCCTGTCAAAAAATGGCATGGTTTTCGGCGCTGGTAAAATTCCATCAGAAGGAATGCAGAGGGCAATTGGAGCCGCAGCAATAACTGGCAATGAAAACAAGATTCCTTCAAAGAAAAGATCATCCGGTCCTTTTGTTATTAGTGGAGCTGCAATAGATGCGACCATCAAACCAATGCAAATGGACAGCGAAGCAATCGAATTTGCAAGAAGACGCTCTTTATCTTCAAACCACCTGGCAGCCATAAGAGTTGGAAGAACACCGACAAACGCCTGGCTTATTCCCATTAGAGCTGTTCCGATAAGCGCGACGGGGAAGCATTTTTCGCAAGGAATGAAGTCGCCGTTTTCATCGTAGCTCTTGAATCCGAGAGATCCAACACGCAAGACTGCGCCGACAAAATAAAAGGCGATAGTTATCCAAGTAGATTTGCGAAGACCAATGCCATCACAAATCCATATAGCGACGAAGCCAGCCGGAAGACCGACACCCATGTAGATCATCGAAAACCAATCAACCTGATTCGTTGTGATGCCGAAATAGAGGACTGTGGCTGTAGGTACTGGGGCAAACGTCAACCATCCCATTGCATTTCCAGTTCCAAGTAAAATAACTGATCACAGGTTTTATAATAATTATTCTTCAACAAATATCGAAGTAGCAAACCCTTCCTATTATCAAAACTGCCCATCGCCAAGCTTTGTTTACTTCCTCTTTGTCCTCCCCCATCTTTCACAAATGAAATGAACTTCTTCTTTATTTCTGTGTCTCTTAGTAATAATGAGAAGGGCCAAAATCAATATTGAACAGTTCCAGTGATCCCAGGAAGCATCAGAAGGCCAATAAAAGAACAAGAACCTCGGTTACTATTTTTAGATTCTCGGTAGACTCGGTAGAAGCCGCCTCCGAGGCGATACAAAAAAATGAAAGAAGTGAGCTGACTGAATGCCAAATTCTCTCACTTCAACTTCGCGTTCAAACTCCCCGCTCTGTGGATGACACATTTTGTATCTAAAGTACTGATGAACTTGCAAGTTGCAACTCTTGATGTATTGACACCTATTTCCTATGAAATTGATGTTCTTCTTTGAATAGATTTTCAAGACAATCGACAAATTTCTGATTTCCTAAAATTTTACGAAGAAATTCATCAAAAACTGGAATTTTACGCATTGAACCCAACCAATAAATAAATTTTTAAGAAGATAGTTGTAGATAAATCCAGTTTACAAAGTGATGTTATCGTAGAAAATGATCTTTTGAATGAAAGAAGTTCCCTATTCTTCTTTCGTGACGTCACAAAAAGCGGCGCGCTCGGATTGGCTGATTCAGTTTTGAGCGAGATTTTCTAGATTCAGTGATCGATTGTTTTGTTTTGCGAATTTTGATCAGTTCTGAGCGACGGTGATTTGAGAAAAGCAAAGTTCTCCAAAAATGGCCGCCAATCCCGAAATCAGCTTGATCGACTATCTTCCGCCTGTCAAAGTCACACCCAACGAGGAGAAATCATCCGCCGACTCGCCAAAGTTGAAGCCAGCCCTTACTCCCATTGAAAAGAAACTTGCAGGTAAAGAGCATTTTCAAGCACAATAATTCTGTTTTATTAAGATATTTTATGAACTTATTATAACTTTAAAATTTGACCATGTTAATCTAAACTCCTTTTCCGCTCCATCTGATTCTATGACATCTGTAAAAGTGTTATCATTTTTGATAAACTATAGTCAAATCCAATTTCAGAGATCCTTCCTCCTCGCGAATATGAGCAAAATGGTCAGAAATTCTTACAACTTGTATCTCCCCGTCAGGCCACTCGAAACGCTATCTTGACAAAAGAAAAACTGCTGGATTCTCGACTTGAAGAAGCTGAGGTACCTCTTCTTCATCCCCTTTCTTTCCCTAGTAAATCTTTAGGCACGAGAACGAGGAATTTGTCTTGCGCGACGCGAAATCTATTCAGAATTGATGGATGAATTAATCAGACAAATTGCAATTAGCTCTACCGAAACTGGTGCTCTTCTTGTTCAGGTAAAACTTGAACTTTACCGCAAGAATGTTCTATCCTCTGACTTTCAGATAAGAGATGAAATCAACATGACCCTGGCCGGCTATGAGACAATTGTCGAGTCCGCGAACGGGTTCGGCTCTCGTAAAGCTTTACAGTCAGAACTTGGAAAAGAAGAGAAACATGCAGAGGTCCAGGAATTACAAGACGAAGTTGATTCATTTAAAAAACAAATTCAAGTTCTCAAGGTAAGCTTTTTTTGTTCTAGAGATCGATTTGTAACTGCCATTTTTAATAGGTTAATCTTGAAACAGTGAGCCGCCGGGAGCAGGAAGAAAAGGATGCTCTCATACGCCGACAGCAAGAAGAATTACAGGTAATTCAGAGACTTGGAGACTGAAGCTATCCGTTATTTTAGTTCCTCAAGCGAAACAACCAACAGCTAAAAGCTCAAGTCGACTCAATCCAAAGCAGCCGCAAGTGAATCGCGAGTTGGGAGAAAAGAATCCAGCAGAATATTCCCTGTTTTCCTGCAAATATTATTTTTATATCATAATTACCCAAAATATAATTTCTTATTAAACCAAAACGAAGGCTCCCGTCTCATTATTTTATTTCAGCAGTTAACAATAACTTCTACCGGTTCGGTCTCGTTAACACGGTACCCTCTCGTTAGTGGTTTAACACGTGAACGTTTTCACATATTGTTTTATTAATTATTCTGAGTAGACAATCAGTTATACGACTTTTTCCATAAATTATAACTGATCTACAATGAAATCACTTTTACAGCCGGAGCCAAACTATTTTTGTGTCAGCGGATTCAAAATCGACGACTGAGTCGGAAACTACCCCGCGCTCACGAACAAAACACAGAGAACATCACATGCATTATCCCTTCTCATGTGAAATTTATAACAAAAGGAGGCAAACTGGTTTGATCCATCTTATTTTCTGGAAATGCCATCCCAATCTTTTGAAAGACTTGAAGAGATTTGTTTATCTAACGAGACTCTCGTTAAGAGAGAATATCGAGAATCTTCCGGTACTGAAGGGTAATTTTTTAGGTAGAAAAATAAGACTTTTTCTGTTTTAGAAATGATGCATTGAAGTCGTAAAAATGTACAAATGCGTGAGATCGAGCTCCTCCCTCGTTGGGAAAACTCAAAATGTGGAAAAAGCACTTACCGGTTTCGAGCATGGAATGACTCGGGAGCTCTACCGCTCGGATCCGAAGCTCTATAAATACAGAATTCTACAGAAATCCGCTCCCGATTTAATAAAGCTTCAACTCGCTCCAGAAACAAGACTGGTAAGTTTGAAACGCTTCTTTCCTCTTATAATTCATTCTTCCTAGCTCTCCCGTCCTGATCAGCTAAAGAAAGGAATTTACAAACCAAGTCAACCAGCTTTCTATAACTTCGACTCCTTCGAAAATTACGATATCACAGATTTAGTCAAGCCTAATGTGGAGACTGATTATGGAAGATCCGGAAGAATCGACGCTCCCAGATCGAAACATGCGACCAAAAGATGGGTTAAAGAAAATGCGGACTTTCAAGTTTGGTTGAAAGAGCAAGAGGGCGCGGAATTTATAAGGAAGACGCCGATGTCGATGCTCAATAATTATGAAGGTAGGGGTCGCGTCTTACAGAGATCAGACTTCATACCAAATTTTTGAAATGTCGAAATGAACGGGTCGCCAAATTTAAAAAATGGGTTGATATCATCCACCCCTGTTTCATGCAATCAACGATTTCAATCATAAACATGAAAGGATCAGTTGATATCTCATCCGTGTTATTGGTGGCAACATTTCTCCGATGTTTTTCGGAGGTTTTTCTTATTGAAACTGAATTTGTGGGCTCGGATTGACTGAGGTTGTGTTACATCACCAGAAGTCAGAAGCAGAACTGGCGGGTTCTATAAAACTTTTTGTCGTCATTGCCTGGAATTTGAACCAAAAAAATATCCCAGATCGTCTAATGATTCTCTTGCTTATGGTCTCTAAAAATAATCTTAGGATTCGGCGTTGGCTCAAATGGAATCCTCGCCCCCGATAAATGCACAGAGCACGAGCTTGTTTTCCTGCAACGAAGTGGTCACCACAGTCGCATATATACCGGCGTTCGTCATGAAAGTTGGTACAATCGCTGGAAGGTCGCGCCCCTCGCTGGAGGAAGCAAGCGCTGGAATCAAAAATTGAAGCTCTTCAATAATATCGGCCTAGCAAGCGTTGCTACAGCTGCATCTCTCAATCTAATGCCTCTTTTTGGCTTGACAAAACTGGCGATGGGAACTCCTGCTTCATTATCCGCAGTTTTATCGATGGATCCAGTGGTCTTTTGCTCCTTATGGCTAGCTTCGCACTTAATTACTGGAGCCCTTTATTATTTTCAATATATAACGCCCCTGGTGAAAAATATTTATTGGGAGCCAGATACAAGATGCGTTATTGGTAAAATTTGCTCATAAGTGTATAAAAAGCCTATTTTGATGTTTAGTTGAATTGATGAACTTCATGTCGAAATGGAACCTAGAAAAGCGCTTCGTAAACAAAGGCCATTTTCCAACAGTAATCAAAATACCTCAGAAATATCTGAGCAGGGAAATGTACGATGTCAAAGAATCTGGCAATTCGATTCTATTTGACTTTGCAAAACAAGAAGCCTCTGGATCGCCAGACGGATCTCTACCTCATAACACGGAGCAATTCATTCAAGACGTCGATGGTATCTATTTCGAATCAAGCAGACACGGAAGATGCTTGGTTTTGAAGTCGATGCCGCTAGTCAGTGGAACTGAAGAATATTTAGAGAAATTGCCTCCCTTTAATTTATTACTTGATCATTTAAATCGGCGAGTTACAAATGCCAATCCCGAACTCACGCCTGAAGGTAAGACGTTTTTGCTTCAATTCAAATTTGATTGATATTCAGTTGATTTATCTGATGAAACGACAGCAGAGTTCTACGACAACGAAAATTTCAAATTCGGCCCGGAGCGATGGGAGTTTGAAAGAAGAACGCTGGAATATCAAAACAGTTGATATCGTTCAAATATTGAAGTATTTTTTGTTTAGAATGGAGTCGTATTAGTCGTGTAGATGTTAAAATTACTCTTTCTTGCCTTCATTTCTTTTGGAGGAAGTCTTCCAGCGAAGGGTCTTTATGAAGAAGACACAGATTTCGTCCAAATTCTTACTCAGGTAAACAGAACTATTCGAAGATAGAGAGAAACAAGAATTATTCAGGAGACATTCAAAGAAACGCTAGAAGCTCAAGAGGAGAAGAATCAGTTCTGGATCGTCGAATTTTACGCCTCCTGGTGTGGCCATTGTGTCCATTTCGCACCGACAATTAAAGAATTCGCAAAGGAAATCAAAGATTGGGGAAAACTCGTCAAACTTGGTGTAATCGATTGCGGAAATCCAGATAATGGCGATATCTGCCGAGAGAATCAAGTTCATGGTAATCGCTGCCTTCATTTGATTTTTTATCATCCCTTTTCGAAGGCTTTCCAACGATGAAATACTTCCTGCCAAACGACAGACTCTACGATCAAAAAGAAAATACGCTCGAAGCTCGATCCACAGCCGCTCTTAAAGAAGAAGCACTGAAAATCGCGCTAGAAAAAAATGTTGCCCATGAAAATGGTCTTGGGAGATTCTTATCTCTTGAAAAAATTGAAGGGGCTGCTGTTAATGATGTCGTCGAACAAAATTCAGAGGATGGCATTTTCACCGCATTAGTTGCTGCTCCTTCTGGTAGAATTATCGAAGCATTGATTATTTTTAACTATACTCGTAATCTTAGATATGGCACTTGCTGATGGTTCAACGATGGATCTACTTGCTGATTTGACCTCTCTCTCTGAAATCTCTATAAGATTGACAGATGAAGCTTCGGTGAAAAAATGGCCAGAAACTAAAGGAGCCATCTTATTAATCCTTGAGAAGGACGCAGTGAAAATGGTGAGTCACATTCTTACTAATCATTTTCTTTATAAAATTCCTAGAAAATCGAACTATCAGACGCAACATCACGCGCCGAAGTCCTCGAGCTTCTTTCTTCAACTCTCAAAACCGAAAAATATTCCTGGAAAAATGTCGTCGTTGCATCATCTCTGAAAAGCGCTGCCGCTGCAAACGACGATGCCTGGGCGAAATATGATCAAAGCAAAGTTTACCTACAAGATATTGAATCCGCTCTTCTTCAGTTGCTTTTTTACGATGTCAGTAGCTTCCCACTGGAAGGAGAAGCGCTTAGTGCAATAAAAAAATATGTCAAAATTGTTTCCCAACTTTATCCGCCGACAAGGTACGTTTTTGAAGCTGATTTTGTTTTGCCAACACAAACTTTTAGTCGAAGCATAGATGTGGACCTTCGAAACTTATCATCAGAGCTGGAGACAGTCTCGAAGATAAGAAAACGAAAGGAATGGATAGGATACCTTGATAAAGCTGGATTGACAAAGCTTCAAGGATCTCAGCCAACTTTATCATACGCTGCTTGTACACCTAGGTAAGTTCCTTCTTTCCCAATTCATCTCTGTTATACCATTCTAGTGTCGAAAATCTAAGAGGCTACACATGCGGCTTGTGGACCTCCTTTCATCTTTTCGCGAGTCTGGCTTCAGACGAACAAGCTTCCACCTTCGCAGAAGCGATGTCAGAAATGATTCTCAATCACTTCTCGTGCCTTGAGTGCCGAGAAAATTTCAAAAAGGAAATCGAGCAATTCCCACTTGCTGGAGTAACCGATCACAACTCGGGTGTGAAATGGCTTTGGGAGCTGCATAATTCTGGTACGGATTATGATGTGATTCAAAATTTTCTAAAATTTTAGTTGTCCTTTGATTACCCATTCTCAGGTTGATTGTTTTCGGTGGTTGATATTTTTTAACATTTCTTTTTTCTTGTTTTCGGTTCTTACATCGCTTATAGTGAACGCAAGGCTCGCTGGTGAGCCTTCCGAGGATCCGAAATTCCCAAAGATGCAGTATCCATCTGGCGAAGAATGCGTATTCTGCAAGACAGCGGATGACTTTCAAATGGAAGAAACGCTCAAATATCTTGACTTTCATTATTCTAAAGAAAACCTTGTCCTCGCTGATGGTGAGAAAATGGTGGATAATGATAGAATGGAAGATGATGCTGATGAAGTTGTTGAAGCTATCAAAGATAAGCCAAAGTAAGTTTATTGAGTATTTTTATTGGTGAATCCTTTTTGGTTAATTTTTTCTGAAAAACGGAATAAAGAGAATACCTTTATTATTATTGGGTGAAGGGTATCGAGCTGACCACGCTTATTCAGAAGCCACAAGGGCTTAGCCTGGTTCTTCTTTGTCGTTTGCGTCATTGGGTCGATGTTTCTTTGGCGATCGTATCGTATTCGGACCAGATTAAAGCGCCATTACCGAAAGTTTTCTCATCAACTCTAGTTCAATTCAAATTTTATAAATACCTTTTTCATGAAACCCGATTTCCTTCAGTCTTTCTTCGAGCCTAATGATATTTTCTGTATTGATCATATAACCCACTGCATAAATAAACTCCTTACCATTATGGGCAGTTATCCTTATGTCGAGAATAACTTTTAACTTTCAGATGGATGGTGGAGCACGAAAAGGAGCTGGCGCGAACAACAGAACCGCCAAAAGTAGACCTGAAAAGCTTCGCTCACGAACGACACGAAGAATCTCGCCAGACAACCCTCGAAGATTTGTTCAAAGAGCTACATAAAATTGGCTACGACGCGAACGAAATCGATCACATTTTGAACAATAATCCGCATGCGACGCTGGAAGACAAAATTCGAATGCTAAAGAAAAAGGTTGAAGCCTTTTTGATTTATCGGAAGAGCAAGATGGCGAGAGAGAACCAGGATATGAAAATAATTGACGAGTTATCGAAAGATCCTGAAATTCCTCTTTCTCATCGGACAGTGGTAAGATTTTCTTTTCATTTTCTTTTATTTATGTTCCAATTAAGCTCTTTGCGGAGCTTGCAAAAATGAACCAAATTCGCAAAGAAGTTGAAGAGGAGTTCCAGTTCATCGGCTTTTCAGTCCTAGACACTTATTTCTGTATTTTCCTCTGGACGGCATCTACTTCTATTCTCCTATGGTTCTACTGTGGTTTTAACTGCCGCTGTTGCTACGCTAGACGTAAACCTATTTACAGATTTCAACGAATGTAGTTTTTTTTCTGAATACTTCCTCTTTTCAAATAGTTCCAATGTGCAATTTTATTTTCTGTAAAAAATCCACTTTACCTTTTTTCTGTTTCTCAAAAATTCAATTCGCAATTTAAAAATATTCAACAAATTCACAGTGCTGAATAAATAATAATCAGAATGAATGAAAGCATTGACATGTTTGATCTTCTTGGAGGAGGCAGCATGATCCTCAAGCAGTACACGCAGGGAAAGTTGCCTGATATTGGCCACGATGCGATTTGGTCGGTGAGCTCTTGTAAACGCGAGTTTCCGATAAGTAATCTCCGCGACAACAATGTTGATACTTACTGGCAGTCTGATGGGAATCAGCCGCATACGATCACTTGTCAGTTTCGGTAGATGTTCATTGAGTCCTGCATCTTTACTTATTTTAGCTCCCGCCAACAAGTCGTCGGAATCCTTCTCTACGCAGATAGCAAGAGCGACGAGTCCTACACACCGTCGCACATCACCATCAAAGCCGGCAGCGACTTCAACGACCTGGTCAACGTAGTGACTGACTTCAAAACAAACGAGCCAAAGGGGTGGATACCCATAAACATCAAGAACAGCTTTGGCAATCCGCTGCGCACATGGATGTTGCAAATCGTTATAACCCAAAACCATCAATCAGGACGGGACTCGCACCTCAGAATGATCGCTGTCTTGGGCCCAAGTGAGACTGAAGACTCCAAGTTTAAGCGGCTCTCTCAAAATTTTAATATGCTCAGATAGATAACTGCCCTTTTCATAATTTATTAAACTTCACGACATACCAACTCATCTTTTTCTCTCTTTTCCAGAATGAATGAAAAAGAATGGAGGATCCCTCTTGTCTCTGGTGAGACGAAAATCAGGCTGGAACACAGCTTTACTTCTGGAAGACGAACAGTTTTTCTCGAAGACAAGATTGTCTTCGAAGACAAATGGCGGATGGCATTCACTGGAGTGGACCAATTCAAGCTTGGGAAAAATCATTCAGCAAAGATGATTATCAGTACAAATAAATTAAAAGCTGGCTTCTTCGAATCGCTGTTTGGCGGCTCCAATTCTTCAGACTTAGAATACAAGCTTCTGATCGATGGAATGTCCGAAAAAGATTTTATACGAAAGCAAGAAAAGATCTTGCGAGCGTGGGAGCCGTTTCACAAGAAGCAGAAAGTCTTCTTGGACACGACGAAGCTTGAAGTTTGGTTCAAAGGGCATGAAGTTGAATCAACACAGAACTTTATCGAGGATGGAACAGAAATGACCTTCTGTATTGATGGCAAAGCATTCTCAGTTAGAAGTGAGTCGATTTAACTCTTATCTTCCAATAATTCAACTTAAGATCTTTCATCTGGATCAAAGCACGAGGGTCTTGTTTACGAAATGTACATGGATGGTGAGCCAATTCCGCAAGTCGCTATTCTGTAGATAGTTGAGCACCTGAATCATCTTTTGCAACTCTAATTCTTCAACATTGATTTCTCCACTGACCTCAAGCACTTACTTTTCTACCCCTGGATAAATTTATTTTTCTATTTGCACTCACTTACCTAATTCATCCTTTCTTAGAATGTCTGAAATAAAATGGGAGGTGCCGATGTCGTCGGGTAATCATATAATTGAGTTTACGCATGGTACGACTACCGGTTCCAGACTCATTAGAGGTAGAAACAATCAGTAAACCGATTATTCCTGAAACCTTAGTGGATGGTAAGGAGGTAGTTCGACACGACTGGATGTTTCGTCTTGTTGGGGAAGAGACATTCACGGTTGGTCCAAAGAAAGTTCCCGCGCGGTTGAAAATAGAAGCAGTTGGCGGCGTCACTTACACTTACAAACTCTACCTGAAAGAAAAACTTCTCGAAAAATACGTCCGTGAAGCCGTCAAAAACATGATCGTATGGAAGGTAATCCTCCCGAGCGGCCTCAAGCAACGGATTGCGATTGAAAAAGACACACTCGATATTTGGGTTGGAAATTCAAAGATTGAAGCTGAGTCCGGATTTACTGATAACGGATCTGAGCAACTTTTTGTTCTGGAAGGAAAGCAATTTCAAATTCTTGGTAATTTGAATTTCGTGAAATGGTTTAATTTATTTGCATTTTTAGTTTTTACTTCCGGCAAGAAACATGAAGGAATTGTTCATCAGCTAATATATGACGGAGAACTTTGCGCTCCTCAAGATCCTTGAGATGATTGTCGATGATAAACAGCATGTTTTCAATAAGCTGCTGGTGTCCACACCTTGTCACTCTCTTCTTGGACTCGTGTAAAATGTTTCTCCGATGTTGGAGAATTTTAACAGCAATATCTGCCATTTTCGTATCCCTGTCAGTAATTGCCATCTTTTCTATTACGCTCACCAATTCTTAAATAAGGTTCACTGTTTCTGTGAGTTTTTACTGTTTTCTAGCACATCTTATTTTATTTAGTAATAAAGATATTTTTATATGAACAATTACCTGGTGAAAAAGAGTCGATTGTCAAATAGAACTTGACCAAATTATCTGCTCCAGGCTTGACGAATTGAGAAACAGGGGACATGGAGGCTTTTTGAAGGTCCAGAGGCGTCAGCTGATCATGATTTTTGATAGTTATTCTGAGTTAATTTTTAGTTGCTAATTTTGAATCATTCCTGCACTTTTGTTTTCGAATTGACACCCCGTGGCTAGGATCGACAAATGCCCCCGAAATCCGGAATCGGATTTTCTTGAGCTCTGATTTTTCCGATCGGGTTTTGTCGGGTTTTCGTCTTTGTCGGGTTTTTATCGTAGGATTTTTCGGGTTTTTGTCGGGTACATCGGGTCTTTGTCGGGTTCCCGTGGAAGAACGAAGCTCAAGTGTGATTAGAGAATGACAAAAATACCCTACAAAAACCCGGTGATTTTCTAGCAAAATTTCAACGTCGGGTGTAGGGTAGGCAGAATCAAACAAAAACCCGACAAAAACGTCGGTTTTCGATCGGGTGTCGGGTGGGACTTGTCGATCCTAGCCCCGTGGAAGAACGAAGCTCAAGTGTGATTAGAGAATGACTTCGGTGAAGCAATTAATCGCTGTATTTCTACTGAATTGTCACTTCATTAACTTTCATTTTCTAACCCTGCCCATATGTCGACAGTAATTCTTGATCGCCCTTGTTGTTGCCGTAAGAGATGAATATTTCGCTATTTGGGTCAATCTGAAAGGGCACTTACTCGCGCACTTGCTGCAAGACAATTTAGTTTGTACCTTGTCTTTAGCTGTCAGAAGGAATCTATCATCTTTGAGTCCTAATGAAAGGTGTTAACAGTGTCTCAATCTAGAGTTCGCGACAATACAAGGCGATAATGGTTCCTAACCACGGAATTGCGCCTAAGTTTCCTTTCACTTACTGTACTGACAATTAGCTGGATTCCAGTGGTTGCACATGTCTAGACCGGGGATGAGCGTGGCATTCTGGTTTCGGGAGTTTATTTCAAGCCATGCCGGCGTTGTTGATGCCAAAACACCTCCATTAAAATTCCGCGTGATGACGTTTAGGTAGCACCATTTGAATAATTTGAACTCGATCAGCTCTGGCAGTTGCTCATTCAGCGCAGAGAAAACTTTCTTGACGTGACTGAGGGTCGACATGACGAAAAATTTTATTTCGAGTGGCAGCTCTAAAACGTCCGACGCTGGCCAGGTTAACGGGGAGTCAAAGGTTACTTGAAGGGAGGAAATATACGCGGCGTTTTCCCCTGTTATTTTTGACAGAGTAAGATAGATTGCCAAAAGATCATAAGGATTTAGATCCATTTTCAAACCACCCATGAAGTTTCGCAGAGCATCTATAATTCTTGATTGCAGGGAATTTTAGAGTTTCAAAACCTGATTTTAAAATCGAATCGACGGAGATGACCGATTTTGTGTTGATTTCCATGATCGTTTCATCTTCTTGTATCTCCATTTTTGAAAATATAGAAGAGCCATGAGGACCATTTCGTATCTCAATGTTCTCGCTCACAAAACCGTCTTCTTTCTGAATAGCTTCAAGAATATTCATCAGGAACTCAGAATATGAGACTCATGTGAGAAAATATAGCGCTTTTATAGACGCCCCTGAGCCTGTGCGGGACTCTCTGATGCCTCTTTCTGGCGTACCTAAGCTTATCTGTCTACTGCATGTCTCACGAAAACAGAATTTTTTTAGAAATATGTAAAGACGATTCGATGGCGCACGAATTGCTACAATCAGAAGCTGTTATTCCAAATCTTCCGCTGACAATCGAATGCATAACTGGCTATCGCATAGAAGAACGGATCTATAGGCTTTTTATTTCGACGAAAGAAGGTCACCTACTCGTTTATAAGGTTACGACAAAGAAAGGGGAGGCAAACTCAAAGCTTGAGCGAACAATTAAATCGAAGCAAAAGAGTAAGTAAAACGAAGTTACGATACTTACTAAGTATCGTTTTCAAGGAAAAAATTATCGTTTGATTTAAGTTGATCAGCTCGATGTCTTTTACGAAAACGGGCTACTTCTTGTTCTGCAAGATAAGAAATTCTGCATCAAAGACCTCAACCAGCCCGACGAAGACATCACGGACGCAATAGAACGCGCTGGTGCTGGAGGAGTCGTTCGAAATGTTTCTAGGTTCTCTCTTGTTACTGAAACGATCAAGTCTTCTTCTGGAGCTTGTGCTTCTATCGCCCAACTTTGCCTTGCGCAAAAGAAAAAGATCCTTTTGTATTATTGGAACAGAAACTGCTTTAATGAAATGAAAGAACTGATCATCGACGAAATTCCAAAGTCAATTTCGTGGATGAATTTTAACAACGTTATGGTCAGTTCAAAGAATGGCTACACAAAGATCGACATTCGCACGGCGAAAAACGAGGAGATAATTGTCAACGACCGGTTGATGAACTCACAGATTTGCTCTTACGGCAAGAATGGTGTCATTTGTGCGACTCAATCTGGCGTCGTTTTCTACAAAGACGACCAAAACCTGTCAACCGTCGCTGTGTCGACTGATGAGCCGACAATCTCACTGGCTACTCATTATCCGTGGACACTTGCTGGTTCGTCAGTTGGCTTATTTGTGATCGCCCCTGATTACAGCTACAATGTACTGCAAAAGATCTCTAGCTCGCCTATCTTGGGAATATGCTCTGTCGAAGATGTTATTTTCGCAGTCTCATCACATTCACTTTCTCTGTTACGTCAGACTGATCTGCATTCAATAATTTCATCTCTCCATCAATCAAAGCAGCTTAACCTCGCTCTAGCTCTTCTCGAAAACGCTTCTAGCTTGCCACCTGAGGATCTAGCCAACTACAGACTGCGGATTACAAGCATGCAAGCATACGAGATGTTCTGCAACTCGGAATTTCTCCAAGCAATAGAAAAATTCCAACAAAGCAAAATTGATCCACTAAAAGTAATCGGTCTCTATCCTGACCTCCTTCCGTCCTCAGTTCGTCGACCCTCTACGAAGATCTTTGTGCCACCAGATCTGTCCGGTCCTTTGTTAATCGATGCATACCGTGCGCTCGTCCCGTATCTAACATCAGAGAGAAGTCAAGCGCTCTCTAACGAGCCTCGCGATTTGAAATTATTGAGTATATTGGATACAGTACTTCTCAAAACATACTTGCACACTTCTCCATCGATGGTTTCATCCCTTCTCCGACTGAAAGAAAACTTCTGCATCGAGTCAGAATGCGAGCAAATCCTCCAGGTAATCATTCAAATACGTCAATCAGATCATTTAACAGTTCATTTATTTTTAGGAGCATGGTAAAATCGACGAGCTAGTGATCTTATTCAAGCGTAAAGGAAAACACGCTGAAGCCCTGAGTCTTCTTTCAAAACGAGGAGATGAGCAGATTGAAGATATCATCAAATATCTCGGCCAACTCGACGAAGAGAACTTTCACATCGTCCTTAGCTTCGGCGGACAGTTAGTGCGGTCGAAGCCAAATCTCGCGCTAATTCTTTTTACTTCCGAAGGCGATGCTGAAGCCTGGCCAAAATATGACGTGTATGAAATGTTCAAAGAAAACTGTGCTCCAGCCACGATGCGGATGAGTTTGCTCGAGTTCTATGTAAATGAGTGGAACTGCGACGATCAGAGAATCTTCTCGTACCTAATCGAAGAGTACCGAAACTCAATACTAGAAGTACGCGACCTTATGCTCGTTGATACGATTAAGGATCGCCCCGAGTCATCCGCCATGGTCCCTAATCCAGACACATTAGTGGCCGTTGACGAGTTGAATATACTGCGAAAGAAGTTGATCGCTCTTTTGGAGTCAAAGTCGATCAAGGTCGATGAGCGGCTTTTGGACTTATTTGCTGACGAGGATTGGATTGAAGAACGAGCGCTGCTACTCTCGAGATTGGGGCGACACAAACAGGTGAGCTGAGCTGGAGATAAGACTGATTTCCTTATACCGGCTCATTCTCAGGCAAGAATAAAAGTTAGTAGAGAATATTAAGGCGTTGCACGTTTATGCCGACAAATTGCCGCAACGAGCGGAGTCTTACTGTAGTAAAATCCACAACAGCTGCCCAGAAATATACGGCTATCTTTTAGGAGCGTTATTGAACCAAGAATGAGTTAAGACAGAGTTCCGTTATTTGGCCAGAAATCGATAAAAACGCCGCGCAATCAATGCGTTTTCTAAATTCTGTGTTCAATAACATGCACTAAAGAATATTTAATCGAGAATGATTTTCTTGACGAGATCTTTGGCGTCCTGGAACGTCATGCGCTCTTTCTGCCGCCGAAAAAAGTTATCGACGTATTACCAGATAACGTTCCCATATCGGAGGTGTCCAATTTCGTCAGTCGTGCGATAACCAAATCCGCCAACGTAAAACGAAGGTGATTATTTATTTATGCTTTTTGTCAAGCTTCTATTTTCAAAAAAGTGAGCGGCTATTTTTAGTTGCTAAGTCAGCCTTTGATTGTAAAATGGAGCTGCAGTTCGAATTGAACGAGATTATTTTTGGTTCCTAAATAGAAGCGCATTAATCAGATTTGCTTTTTTGTATTCCAGAGATTCATTTCAATTTTACAGAGTGAAGATACAGTCGGCGCTGATGGAGGTGGAATCAACAAGGACAAACGTAGAATGCATCGAAGCCGAGCGGACGCGGATCGAGCTACCACAGGTCTGTAATCCTCGTTGTCTTCAAGTCAAGTAACAATTGAGCGATTAGGGCACACGCTGCGCGCACTGCGGCCGATCGGTCAACCCACAATCGGCGATCGCCATCACTCCCTCCAGAGACGTCTATCACTACGGATGTCTCAATGATCTAACAGAGTAAAAGAAAAACTGAAAAAACTCCTTCCACTGCACTTTCTTCAACGAATTTCTGTACTTTCTTCTGAAATCATTCATTTCTTGCTAAAATTGCTCGACAGTTCACCATTCAGCGTTATCAGACCTTCATCCTTTCAGAGAAACAATGCAGGAATACAAGCTTGTCGTTCTCGGAACTGGTGGTGTCGGCAAATCCGCCCTGACAGTTCAATTCGTCCAGAACATTTTCGTCGAAAGATATGACCCGACGATCGAAGACTCATACAGAAAACAGGTCATATTTTTTTCCAATAACATGATCTAAATCTTGTTGAAGATGGAAGTGGGAGGAAAATCCTGCGTTCTTGAAATCTTGGACACAGCAGGAACAGAGCAATTCGCGGCGATGAGAGATCTCTACATGAAAAATGGACAGGGCTTCCTTTTGGTCTATTCAATCACTTCTCAAGCTACTTTCGCCGACTTGCAAGAAATTCGAGAGCAGATCTTGCGCGTCAAAGACACAGATGATGTTCCAATGGTTCTCGTTGGAAACAAATGCGATCTCGAGTCCGAACGAGTTGTTGGAAGAGAACAGGTAACTGGTTAATTATTAGTAATTGAAATATTAATTTATTTAATAATTTAAAAAATATTCATAACGAATCAAACTAAAATCAATTTTTTGCAAGTGAGAAAAATTATTTTTATGCCGAGAGAATCTCTAGAATCCCGAAAAATAATTGTTTCATTTTTTCATTTACTGGCTCGATCCTGAGTTGTGATTGGATCGTTCCCGCGCTCGGCAAAATTCGAGCCGGGCTCTCGTCAAAGAATGGGTTCTCAGAGATTTTTAACGAAAAGTTTTACGGAAAATGACCCGCCAAGTTGATTTTCTAGGTATGAACAATAATTCTGATAAGTCTTCAAATTTTAAAAATTATTAAGGACTTAATTCCGATTAACATTATTTGATTATACACCTTATTCGTGAAAGAATAAATTTCAGTTTATAAAATTTAATAATTCCTCTAGGGCGTGAGTCTGGCCCGTTCGTGGGGCAACTGCACATTCATGGAGACATCAGCAAAAGCGAAGATCAACGTCTCAGAAGCCTTCACCGATCTGGTGCATCAAATCAACCAGATCATTCCGCCGCACCAAGCTCACAAGAGCAACCATAGAGGCGAGAAGACAGGCTGCTGTGGCAAAGGCTCCTGTACAATTCTGTAAGCGAATTTTTAAATAAAACATCGACACTTAACCCGTGCGTGTATATTGACAAATTTTTATGAAAATATGACAGTTTTAGTGCAGAAAATTAGTAAATTGAAGCTCGTATTTATCATTTTTTACATATTCGTTCAATATTTGCGCACGGTTTAAAAAGTTGACTCGTTAGAACATCCGTTATCCTTCTATTTCTAGCTGATCGTGAAGGACAACCCCTCCAGCTGCTGAACTAACCGACGCGGGTACTTACTACAACCAGTAACTAGTACAATTTTTATAAAAAAATTCCCCTCACTGCCTTAATTTGGCTCCATTGTCCCTTTTCCTCAAAAAATTGAAACGAATGTTACCATGTTCACGTTTTCTATTTTTATTTTATTTCCTCCTTTTTTCTATTCATTCTATTGAGCTTTACCAACATTATCCTAAAATACGTACTATTCATTTTTATTTCCTCTATCGCAACATCGAAATTACTAAACAACAAAACTTGCACTTGTTTCGAAAACCCCATCTTATCAGCTCTTGAGCTCAGTTGAAACTCAAATGATTTCCATTAAAATTTTGTGATCTTTACCTATTTTTAAAAACGGTTTCTTTCCATACCAGTTGCTTGACTACTTTCCGTGCCTTTTTTGCAAAATTGACAAAACTTTCTAACTGTGACTGTAAATTAGCAGAAAACAGAAGCGTTACGAGTGCTGATTCTCTTTCCTTTTCAGAAAAATGCGAGTCCTTGCTGCCCGAACTGCTGCTATCGCCACCCGACAGATCTCTGTCCGACGCGCTGTAAGTAACAGTACCTCTTTCCCTTTTCGAATTCTCTGTCTAGGGATTCCTTCCCGCCGAAGGCCGAGTCTGGATGGAGCGACTTGCCCCAGTCCTCCTCTTCGCCGCTCTCTTCGACATCGCCTGCTTCGATGTCTCCGGCAAGAAGCCCGACGGAAAGGCCTACTGCGCTTACTAGGCAACTCTGGAATCGAAGTTCGCCCTATTTATTGCTAGAAAAATAACAGCAACACATCTAATTCTGGATTCCCTCTGGTTCAATAAATCTTAAAAAAAAAACTTCTCATTCTTCATCCGCATACTCTGTGTTTGGATGAATAATTGTTTAACAGATTGATACAGCAGGAGACTAAAACTAACGCATTTCATGAGCAATAAATCTGCGAAAATTTATTATTTATTCTTGCAGAATGTCGACACGGCCAGATGAGATCCCCGTAAAAGTGGAGCGAGTCACCATTGAACAAGACAAGGGAGTTTCCAAACCATCTTTTCTCCGCCATTTCGTTAAAAATGTCCAACAAGCGAGCGACCTCCAAAGTCTTCTCGTTGAGGCCCAGCTTGCGAAGCAAAAAATGGAACAATCTGGTTGTTTTAAATCCGTAGATGTAGCCATCGACACGACTGAAGCTTACAACACGGACGGGAACGCCACTGGCTATCAGGTTGTTTATGACGTGAAGGAGAAGAAATTGAGCATTTCTGCGGGAGGAGATCTTTCGCCTGATTCGATGACGCCAGAAGGAGGTGTGAAAGTTGCAATTCCTAATGTTTTCGGATACGGTGAAAAGGTAAGACCTGGTATGGATAACGAAAGAAAGACCTAACCGATGTGACAGATTCAAATGAGCTTTGGGAAGGACATGGACTCAACTGAAGGAGCCGATAAGCCGAAAAACTTCTTTCCCAACGTCTCCCTCAACATCAACTACCCTCTAAGGTGGTGCTTCATTGGACATCTCGGTCTCTAACACATTTTTAAAGATACGAAACAACAAGCATCGATGGAGAATTCACGTCAACAAATCGCGAGAAACCATGGTGTAATATCAAGGAAGAAAGTATGCTAGGAAAATTCGGGATTACGAATAAATTCGCGGAAAATTTAACCGGATCAGTATCTCTCAACGCCAGGTAAAAGAAAAAGAGAAGTTCCGCTGATATATAAGATTTAAAGGCAGATGAATATAAGCGCCCTCACAGACAAAGATTGCCCTGAGTCCATCATAGACCAGTTTGGTTATTCTCAGAAGAATTTCTTGACTTTATCCGTCAACTACGACTCCTCTGCCAACTTCATCAGGAAGGGTTAGTTTAATGATTAAAGTTTAATCCCTTCGCCAAGATCCTCAACAATTTTTAGTCGTTCCCGCGAAAGGGTTCCGAATGAAATGCGATGCAGACTTCTTCAAGAATGGATACAAAGGCTTCGCAGATCTTGCTCTTTATCAGCCTCTGTCTACTGGTATTACCGGTGTTTTAACTGCAAGTGGTGGTTATCTTAATACGAATGGCAACAAAAGTCACATTTCCGATCGATTCTTCGTCGGTGGTAACAACAACATTCGTGGATTTGAAATGAACAGCCACGGTCCTCGTGAATCTGGCTGTGCTCTTGGTGGCGATGCTTCTTTCAAAGGTAGACCGCAAATGATCAATGCAAAAGCAAAAACCGACTTTTAGCGGGTGTTCATGTTTACTACTCAATGGAACTTCTTGGACAAATTTTCAAGGGAATTAGCCAAAATCTATTGAGTCCCAACGCTGCAATCCATGCTTTTGCCGTGGCTGGAAATGTGGGAAATGTCTCATCCGTTTTACAACGTACGTACAGTTCATACAATCATATCTTACCCAATATTCAGATAAACACTACGCGTACTGCTATGGCATCGGTGTAGCCATGTCCCTCTTCCAAGGCATTCCCCTCAATTTGGAAGCTAACGTTGTTGGAACAAGTCAGAAAAAGTTCCCAACCTTTCAAGCTGGATTCAGCATGTCCATCTGATTTTAGGAAAAATTCTGCTTCAACCTATTTATTTGTATATTGATCATTAGTGAATAAATTTACTGATGAGCTTCTGTTCCACTTACGTTCATGCCGATTTCATGTCAAAGTTTGCAAATAAACTTGAAACAAGTTCAATGATAAGGCTATTCTGAGTTTATCTTTCTAACTCAGTTATCCTGCGATAATCTGTTTTCCTGCAGTAAGAATGACAAAACAAAGAGTGAAAGGCTGCCTTCGAATAAGATGAAGTGAGTCTTCCATGATTTCATAGCATTTAAAGGAACGAATGTATTATAAGAATCAGATGATTAAATGCATTATAACCGAGGACTCTGATCCTGCAGAACCCCCGGCCTTCATGCGCACACAGTTATAATTAAGAAAACAAAATATATAATGGAGAGAACAGTTCAGCTTTCCCGCTATTGCAGATCTGCGTTCATTGTGAACTTAGGTTAAATTGTTGAGCAGAGCGTTGAAAGACTTTTATTTAATCACGATGTCATTTCAAGCCCGTGGCGTAAAGGAAAAATAGGAACTTGAGAGTCCATGTTTTAAAATTATGAAGTAAGATACATCGTCGAGATTCAAAAAGTGTCCTTGAAATGGCATCGTTAAAATGTGGCGAGGAAAACTTCTTATGAAATTGAGAAAAAAACAGAAGGGGTGATAGAGCGTTAAGATCTTGAAGGTCAATTGTTATTTAGTTTGAATTTGAAATAAACGATTCTTTGGGATATAAATAGCAGCAGCACATAAGGAGCCGATCGAAAACGTTTCATCTTGATGTTGATCGCATATTTTCGAAGATAGACTCGACTATAGCTGCGTTGTCGTCTAAATTACCGTCGTCGAAGGTGTCTGTGCCCGTATCAAGGCTGGGTATTCTATTGTGGCCGTTTGATCTCTTAATTCTGAATTAAAACATGCATAATAAGCTAGATACTCACCATCGGATCAGGCCGATTGAGGGAGTTGTTCGACGAGGAGTATCCAGACGCCCCTTAATTTATTCATTAACATCGCACTCCCTTATTTTAATATTGTTTCTTACCTGAAGACGTACGGGAATGAGTAGGCTTTGAGGCAGATTTTCCTAGGGGAACTTCGACCTCCTTTGAAATACTGTCAGCTTCAATAATTGCAACGGGCTCTATGCTTTTGCCGTTTGCGATAATAGGCTCGATTAAACCAGATACGAGGAGAATGGAGTTGTCGCAGCGAACAGATGACTTTTCGTATCCGTGCAAAAAGCTTCGAAGAACCTGCTCTGTTTTGAAGAATTTTGACAGGTTGAACTGAAAATATTCAAAATAAACGGAAAAGAAACAGGTACTCACATCTACGTAACCAAGTTTAACTTCATCCTTCGAGCCTGGCAGGTCCTGCCTCACAGAAATCCTGACCATTATCTTCTGGAGACTGGCCGGTGAAGGCACTTCTTTCATATTGATTTCAAACTCAAAGGGTTCATTCCATATTACGCAGCTGTTTTTGATCTCCCGCTTGTTTGTCCGACTCTCGAACTTCCCATTAGAGACGAGTCGTAATTTGCAATAAAGAAAACTATTGCTAGAAAGAGCGTTACAGTACTTGCATGACATTTTTTGTGATTGTTTACCTGTATGGGACAGCAGTAAGTTGCTGAATTTGGATAGAGCACTTCACTCGATGCTTTGTTTTCCGATTAAATAGACTCATGTTATCATTCTGAAGGGTTTGATTGACGCTCGATTTGAATAAGAAAATATTGTGAATTATAAAAATAAAAAAGAAATGGCACAAGGAAGTCATGGTGACAGTGTACAAAAATGGAATGGTTTTAGCGATTTGACCGTGCGCTGACTACTCGACGTGATCTGGCCATTGAGGAAGGCGGCGGCACTCTCGGGCTATAAAATTCCTCGATTATTGCTTGATCTCTTGTTTGTTGCGTCTGGCATACTGTGCAGCTCTGACTGTCTCCTGGCAACTGTAGATACTCGAAAGTAGTTACCTATTCATTCTGGCGATTTCGTCATTCCTCGATTGAATAGTTTCTTTGAGTAGTTTTACTTGTGTTTCATAATCCTTTTCAAGTGCTTCAGCGCTCCCCTGCGCGTCACGGGCCTGAGCAATAGCTTTCTCAAGCTTTTTCTCTATAATTTTCTTTATTTCCAGCTGTTTCTTCACAGTATCCGTTAGCCTCTCGATCTTTTTCGACTTCTTGTCAAGCTGTTGACGCATTTTTGCAAGCTCCTCCTCTGCGGCTGCATTAGCAGCGTTTGCCGTCAGGGATTGTTGGGTCCTCGTTAAATGCAGTGCGCGTTCACTCACATCTGCTGTCAAACGCTGTCGCAATTCGGACAGCTGCTCATCGTGCTGGAGTTCAAGATTGCGAAGTTCACGTCGGGCATCCTAAATACATTAGTAAAAATGCTCTCTTGAAATTAAAATTGCTGCTTCACGATCTCCAAAATTCTGAATTCTGGGTATCTATCAACCAACCTGTCAGAAAAATGGAGCTATAAGTGTTTGCTGTTGTCAGCGTGTTTGCAGACGACTGCAACAGTTAACAAAAAACTGATCAAACAATATATTTAGGTGTGGTAAAGGTCAACTCATTTGACAGCGCTTGACTGCAAATACGAATCTCAAAAATAACGAGTGAAATTTATCGTTTATGATACGAGCGTTACGTCAGTTCGGTGGAACGTAAGTAAATTTACCTTCAGTCGTAGCTCCAGTCGCTTGATTGTCTCGTTCTTGGCATTTAGCTCTTGTTCCTACGTAATTTTGGTTAATCACTCTTTGACGCAGATTTTGAAAAAAGATAGATTTATATACAGAATGGGACAAAAATACCTTCGTTTCAATAACAGCATTCGCTTGCGACGCTTTCTTTTCTAGCATCATAAGCTTCACCATAACAGAAGAATCTTCTATAGCGCCTGACTTGGGTTACGCCTGAGTAATGGATCATAAACGTCGCTGAAAACACATCCCCAGGATCATTAGGCTCATCAGCAGAATTCGAAATTGAGTAACCCGACCTGAGACATTCTGCTGATCTCTCTCGAGACCCTGAATAATCACATTGCCACTATTTCTGTCTTTTTCTTCGAGTAAGTGTCTGGCTTTTGATAAGGACTGTTCCAGGTGCAAAATTTTTGATTCTTTGTCGACAACTTTTGCCCAGGCAGCTGAAGCTTCTTCACGTAATCGTTTGCTGTCTGCTGTGAGTTCGGATACGTGGGATTTGAGAGCTTCATTTACGATCAAAATAACGCTAAGTGCTCAATACTCATAAATTATTCTCTATATAGATTGCAAATATATAAATCCATTAAATTTTACAGCGTGAGAATGGAATCAAGTTAAGATCGTTTCCTAAAACGTTTCGCTCAAGAATCGACGACCTCTCCGCCAAATTATCCGGCAATTCGGCCTCAGTCGTGGAATTAAGCGCCTCAACTTTTCGCTTGTGATGGTCATCCATCAATTCTCGGATCTCAATCATAACCGATTCGTGACGACTTGCCATCGCGGCATAGTTAGTATGCACATTCTGTCGCGTTAATAAGTCATTTTCTAGTTCATCGATCGTGCACAAGTGACTGTCTATTTGTGTTCTCAGAGCTGAATTCAGAGTCTTTGCCTCAGTTGCCGAGCGCTTAGCCTTCTGCTCGGACATCTTTGCAAATTCGATTTTTTGATGCCACTCCTGGACATTCAGAATCTCCTAAAGTTCAAAATAACTAATCAAACTTGAATAAAGAGTAAATTAAAGAAATGCCAATTAAAATGGAAAATTACCTTTTCGCGTGACGAAGTCGTTTTCAGCTTCGCCATAAGCTCATTCAATCCGGCCAATTTGACTTCATACTCTACTCTAGCAGATTCGAGATCTCCTTTCTCTGTCAGAAGTGCTTCACGATGGCGCTCCAGCTCACTTTTCTGGTTTTTGATTTTCGCCACTTGCATCTGATATCTCTCCAGGGACTCGACAGGGATCGCCCCAGCAAAACTGCTCTTGAACTCATTCACTGACGCTTCCAAGACGGACGTTCGCTGAAATGACTCTCTAATTAATATCGACAAAAGTATGTCACGCTGGTTCACATCTTTCTCGAGAGTAAGGACACGCTCTTCCAGTTTGTCAGCTTTTTTCGCCTCTTGATTTTTCAAATTATTGCTTTCAATCACTTCCGCTTGTAAGTTGTTTATCTCTTTGTTGAGTAAGAGGAATGTAGCTTCTGAATCAGAGTCTAAGAGTTCCGTATTTTTCAATCTCTTTTCGTGTAGCTCGACCGATTTTGACAGTTGGCCTAGTTCTTTTCGTAACTGCGTTGTCTGCGATTCTTCTAGCGCGAGTAAGTTGCGAAGTCTCTCAGTTTCTGAGTTCAGGGAGACGTTTTCTTCGACTGTTTCTTGAAGGAGAGCCTTTGTCTTGTCCGCAACATCGATAGGAATTGATTTTGAAAGTTCGGTCCTTAATTCGCCTTCTTTGTCCGCCTGCGCGATTGCCTTCGTACTCAGCGTTTCTAGTGATTTTTCCAAGTCAGCGATGCGCGTCACTAAAGTCGACTTAACTTGTTCAAGCTCTTCATTTCTTCTCTCTAAATGCGCGCATTTCTGCCTTTCATTCAGCTCCTTGATCTCTAAGGCAGCGTATTTTGACCTGATTGTTTCGACTGGCGGCGTGTTTTCGTCATTTTCCAGGTGAGACAAAAGTGCCAACTTCTCTTTCGCGATCGTAAGCTCCTTGAAAACGTGGTCTTTCTCGATCTGTAGTTTGAGGAATTTATCTTGCATATGGGAGAGTTCAATTTCTGCGACGACCTCATTAGTCGCCATCTCGGCGCTCTTTCGAATATGGATGCATTTTTTCTCGAGTTCAAGTTGAATCTTTTCGTATTGATATCGAGGCACAGAGCTGCTTAGTTCTTGTCGCAAGCGGGAAATTTGCAGCTTGTATTCGTTTCGGAAATTTCCCACTGATTCAATGCGTTTCAGGTTTTTCTTCCGCAGAGCTGCGAGAATGTCTTCGCTTCGCTCGAGTTTCCGCTTGAAGGATGAGACCTCGTGCTCAGCCAAGCGCACTGCCCTCTTCTGGCGAACTAACTCTATCCTCACATTTGTCAAGTTAGCGATGCAGTCCGCAATCTGGCTTTCCTTCTGATCGGCTGAACCCTCGAGCGAATTCTTCAACCGTGTAAATTCTTCCAAGTTCACGGAGCATTGCTGCAGCTCAGTGGTTAAATTATCGACGTTTGCGCGCAGTGCCGAACACTGTGTTTCATATTCTTCTTCTGTTCTCGACCACTTTAATGATTTCTCCTCGAGTTCTCTTTGCAGCTCTGCTTCAGTATCTTCAAGAGACTTTATCTTTTCTAGCAAATCGGAGATCGTACTTTGAAGTGCGACGTTTTCACGTCTCTCGGCCTCCACTGCTGACTGGGTTAATAGATCGCGCGGCTCAGTAGCTTCTGGCACGGCTCCTGATTTGACCGTGGCCTCTAGCTCCTTATACTTTCTTCTTTCAGAGTCAAGTTCGTTTTGTAAGAGCATAAGCCGCGCGTTTAGATCCGTAAATTGGGCTCCGTCAACTGAAATAGATCCGTTCTCCTCGAGTTGTACCGGTAATTGAGCTGACGAGGTTAAAACGCGCGCATCAGTAAATGACTGTATTTCTCCCCTGAGAGCTTTTAATTCGCTTTGTACACCATACGTCAGATCCTCGATGGCTTTATTCTGAAGATTACTCTCCTCGCTGGATTTTACTGGGACGGGCTGCTGACCACTGCGCAAGATGTCAATCAGATCTGTTACTTGGTCGAGCTGGGCCTGCGTCAGTGACGCCGTGGAGACGTTCTCAGGAAGCGAATTCATCATTGCCCGCCGAGCGCGCACCTTGAGCTCGATTCGTTCTTCTTCGAGAACTTCAACCTTCGCACGGAGCGTTTCATTCTCTGAGCGCATCGTCTTGTTTCTAATATTCAACTGCTCTCTAAGCCTAGAAATATCAGTAAGGTCGCGTTGCTCACGTTCAAGTTGGGCTCGCAAGATGTCGTTCTCATCAATCATCTCTGTGAGTTTATCGTCGATTTCCCCGATGCCCATCGTTAATCTGTCACGCTCTTTGGTCCTTTTCGTCAACGTCTGTTCTAGCTTTCTATTCTCTGCTCGCGCTTCCGGAAGTCCAGTGACGCCGGCTTCAAGATTGGTTCGAATATGAACCTCTTTGGAAAGTTTATCCTCGACATCGCGAAGGTGTAGCTCTTGTTCTTGGACGCGTTGCTCAAGGTCCGCGTGATCGCCTTTCAGAGCTTCATACTCTTTCACAACCGACTCGTATCTCCTTGTAAGATGATGGAGCTCAGCCGAGGGGGTCTGCTGTTGATTGAATTTGGCAATTACCTCATTCAGTTCAATCACATCATTGAGTGATTGATTGAGCTTTTCCTCTAAGATGCTGATCTTCAGAGCGCGTTGTTTGAGTTCTTCCTCTTGCTCGTGAAGACGCCTCTTTTCTGGGGCGAGTTCAGCATTGCGAAGTTGACGGTCTAATTCATCAATTTGCTTTGATTGCCGGGCAATTTCGAGATCTTTTTCATGGGCCGCTGCGACAAGTTGATTAGTTCTCTGCACGACCTCAACTCTGATCTGCTCTGTCTCTTGTTCTCGTTCGCCAAGTGCCTGTTGGAGATTTTCGACTTCTGATTTGAGCTTGTCTCTTTCATTTGACAAAGATTCATGCTCGACATCGTCGGATTCGTAGCGCTCCTCCATTTTCGTGTATTTAGCGTCCATCGCAATCATTTGCTTCGTCGCCTCTTCCATATCATCGCGCAACGTTTTATTCTGCTCCTCCAATTGTCTAATGACTTCTTCGAGTTTCTGATTCGCATCAATTTGTTCCGAAAGAAGCTCTCTCTTCTCATTGAGTTTGCGAGATAAATCGTCTTTATTTGCTGCGTCGTTTCCAACTTTGAGCTGGTTCATTCGAAGCGTCTCAATTTCCTTGCAGAGGCTATCGTAAGATCTATCTCTATCACGAAGCTGGCTTTCAAATTCTCGTTGATCATTCTCAATTTTAGCGATGAGCTCGGTCTTCTCGCGCTCGTGATCTTGACGCTCCTGGTCTAATTGCTCCTCAAGCTGTTTAATCATATGGGCGCCTTGATTCATCCCATAATCCACTGAGATCTTGCTTTCTTGTTGAACGTCTCTAATCATCTTATCCTTCTCGTCGAGCTCATCGTAAAGTATCTCTTGCTTTTCTATGCTTATTTCCAGATACTGGCGACAGGCAATAAAAAGCTTTTCTTGGACTTCCGGCTCAATCTCACTCCAGTTGGAGACGTCGCGTAAAATGTCGCCTGCTTGCTGCTGGACATCGTCATTATCCTCTAAATACGTCCCGTTCTCACAGATATTGTTGAGAAGCTGGAGATCAGCCCCCGAAATCGACATCTTAAAAACTCAATGTTCAGGAGACTTTGAAATTGAAAGCGTTAATCAAATAGCATTTGGCAGGAATCATGATGAACAATTATCGTAATACTCAGAAATTGCAACTGTATGGATAAGAGTATAAGTTGAGTGTCATTCAAGGGAATCATAAGGCACAGAATAATAATCAAAACATAAAATTGTAGAATTAGTGAATCTTCGCTCCATCGGAAGCGGGCGCGTCGAAGAATGTAGCCGTCTTCGAGTAATTTGCCTAAAAAGTTGTTAACTCACGAATCTGCATTAGACTTTACGTTGACAGCATTTTTGAGCGACTGAATGGCATCTTTCTCAATAAGTGTAACGGTGCATCCGCCAAAGCCACCGCCAGTAATTCGACTTCCATAGACACCCTTCGTTTTTCTAGCGATTTCTACGAGCTCGTCAACCTCAGGGCATGAAACTTCGAAAAGATCACGGAGAGAATCATGCGACGCATTCATCAACTCGCCAAATCGTTTGAAATCGCCCTTCACCAAAACCTCAGCCGCTTCCAATGTGCGTTTATCTTCACTCACACCGTGAAGGCCGCGATTAAATGTGACGGCGTCCATATTGTCTCTGTTTTTCTCGAGATCCTCCAGAGTAACATTTCGCAAAAATTTCGCCCCGCATATTTCGGCTGCTTTGAAGCAACTCTTTTGTCTCTCGGCGAACGGATTGTTTTCGCCGGAAAGTTTGTGCTTGACGTTGGAGTTAATCACTGTGACAGAAAATTATAGCTCTAGAAAGAAATTTCGAGATTACCAAAGAAGCAAACAGAACTCGATGGCATGTTTACAAGTTTCGAAGATTCGTCTTGGCAATCGATTAGCAGTGCATGATCCGCTTTTCCATGAACAGAAATAAATTGATCCATTATACCGCACGGGTTTTTTGGATAGTTGTGCTCGGCGGCTTGACACAGTAATGCCTTTTCAGTAGGGCTAAACTCATGTTAGTATGCATTAACAAAATAATCATCTTATTCATGTTTCGGTATTGCGGTCAAACTGTCGATATAGACGCTTTATATATTCTTCACTTACTCAAGATTAATTTTCGTCAGGGCTTCGAGGAACGTAGCAGTAGCCACTTCCATACTGGCACTGGAAGACACTCCACCTCCAAGGGGAACATTCGAATGGAAAACAGCATTAAAACCAGGAACATGCTTTCCGGTTTTCTTTTGAAATTCAGCAACTACTCCTTTGAAGTAGTCTCCCCAGAAAGGATCACCCGTTTGAATCTCCGAAACGTTAAACTCCACCTTTCCATTGACAACAAGAGAGACTGCTTTGATATCATCAGAGTTGTTCGGGTAACCGACCAAAACAGTTCGAAGAGGCAAGGCAATGGGAAACACAAATCCTTTGCTATAATCAGTATGCTCGCCAATGAGGTTTACACGGCCAGGAGCAGATGCAATAATTAGCTGTTCATCACTTGATTGAGTTATAAAATATTAAAAAGAGCCTTTTTAAGCTGCCTAGACAGCCTTGTGATTGATAACCTGCGGAGTTTTAATTAGCGAAAAATGGTCATATTGTCGATTTTATAACTTTCCTAGAACAACCAAATTCGGACTGAAGACGAGCCTTTGCTTCGTTTATTAGGGCTTCCATTTTGCCTCTAAATTAAAGCAACTAAATGTGTGCATTGTCATTTGATTTTTCGTATGAAAAGCCAAAGACCAAAGACTACTTTTATCAATTTATTATGAACTTAAAATGGTAAAGAAAGATAAAGAAGAAATTCACCCGTGAAATAGACTTGCGTTTTTAACAGAAAAATATAAGTAAAAGAAGATAAAGTTCAGTCTTATTTTATTGCACATATAAACCTAAGTAGCGATTCTAAGAATAAATTCTTTCTATAATGGCAAGTGAGCCGCTTCGGAAAAGAAAGGATGCTTGTACCGTAGTTTATTCAAATTATTCTAACCAGCCGATGACGACCATGAGGCCAATTCCAAGGAACATTGCGATGATTTCCTTGATGTTCTGAAGCAAAGATAAGCGTTTGACTCTCAAGAATAGAGGTTTACCTGAGCTGGAGTAGCCTTGTCATTGGCAAGGAGTTCAGGAATGACACCAACAGTCGCGATGTAAATGAATCCACCAGCAGTGAAGGGCAAGATTATTGAAACAGCTCCGAAAGTACCGCCAAGAAGGAGACCAACAACAGTTCCCATCATTGCTCCAAGGGCAGTGACAAGCTGGAGCATCATCGCGCGCTCTTTTGTAGCGCCGGACTGGACAAGAATAGCGAAATCACCGATTTCGTGAGGAACTTCATGGAGCAGAATTGTGAGTGTGGTTATAACACCGATGCTTTCGCCGGCGAGGAAGCTGGCTCCGATTGCGAGACCGTCGGTAAAGTTATGAGCGAAATCAGCAGCGAGATTGAGCCATCCGGCAACAGCGAGCTCTTGCTCTTCTTCTTTTTCTTCAGACTCTTCTTCCTCAGATTCCTTTTCGACTTCTTTCTCTTGTTCCTTATCGGAGGATTCATCGTCAGAGCTCTTCGCCTTCTTCGCCTTTTTGGTTTTCTTGGTCTTTTTATCATCCTTATCGTCTTTCTTTTCCTCCACCGCCTTTTTAGGAGCGTGCGAGTGACCATGACCACCATGGGAATGTCCGTGTCCTCCTTTCATGTGTCGGACGAAAAGCTCGACGCACATGAAAGCAATAATTCCGAGCAAAACCATGAGTCCGATACCCATCTCCGCGTCGTGCGAGTGCCCATGTGATTCCTCGTGTGAATGTCCGTGAGAGTGGTCGTGTGAGTGTCCGTGATCGTCGTTGTCCGGCAAGTGGGAGTGCGACGCATGAGGAATGAGGTGGAGAAAGGCATCGCCAAGGAGGCCACCGGAAGCGAATGCCAGCAGGATCTAGTCGTAGGATTAGTTTTTGACTTTGCGATAATTGATTTCTTACATTCAAGTATGGTTTATTTTCTTCTGTATTGCTTTCGATTGGAACACTGAATAAGATGAAATATGGAGCGGCAGAAATCAGGAAAGTGGCGAAAAGAGCCTAAAAACAAACGATTATCCACAAAGTGGGGCAAGTTGTTCGTGCCTTGAACCAGATGTCAATTTTGTCTTCAAGAGTTTGCTCGGCAATGTATTGTTTCTTGCCTTGAAACTTTTCTTTCGGTGGCTCTTGGACATCCATTCCATTGTGAGAATGCCCGTGGCATCCACCATCGTCGTGGTGTTGATGTGAGTGACCGTGATCGTGCGAGTGCCCATGATCAGCATGGGCATGACCGTGTCCTTCGTTGGCTTCTTTGCTCCACCGATGCTTTGCTGAAAAATTTTAAGAGGACGGAGACCCTGGCTAATTCTACCTGCTTTCATATCGGCTTCATGATTATGACAGCTGGACAATGCCAATAAGGCAAACGGAGTCACCCTCATCTGAAATATGTTTCTTGATGAGTGTTCGAAGTTTATAACTTTATTGATAGGTTTGAAGTTGGAAAACAATTTTAGAATAAGGAAAATAAGGAGCAGAAGAAAATTTAAGCATCTCCAAAGTTAGCTTTGATTAGCTTGAAAATATGATCGTAAATATACGAGGAGCTCGTAAGGCCGTGTTCATAAGGATCTTTTCTGTGCGGTTTGGAAATTTGGAGTAGCATCTGGAACAGGAGCTCCTGTGGAACGCCCTTCTTTAGAGTGTAGTTAATCAGGTCACTAAATTTGAGATTATTTTCACTGATTTTGAATTTACTCCACTAACACTGTGAATTTTTTGATATCGCCTTCTGTTAAACATGAATAAAGTGTTATCGGGAAGTTCTTCGACTTGATAATAACATCCACAATCAAAGGATAAGAACATGGATTCCTTGAAAATGAGCCTCTTTTCCAAATATTGTTCGTATGGGAGGATATTCTTGCCGTATTTTTAATCGTATCAGATTTGCTGGATTTCGAGTAGTTGAATTTATTAAGTCTCCAGCCATGAAGTTCTTCGATAATTTCTTCGACAAGGTCTACCCCCGTTTGAGCTCGACTTCTTTTGATACGACTAAGCAAATACAAATTTGCTAGAATCGAAGTTTCTGACTTTCGATGATATCTTTTCAAAATCATGATTATCCGGATACCATTGTGACTGTTTCGCCAGCGCCGAAGAAAAGCCAACACTATTCCGTCTATTTTGGTAGAAATGTTCTTTTCTTGAAATTCTTGTGATAACAAAGTTGCTCGCCGTCTCAATAATTGTTCGATCGCACCGTAGATAATCTAAAAAAATTAAGTGCGGGTAAATACCGTAATTATGGGCAAAATATATCTTCGAGATTCTCTGTATGAGGAAAAGCTTTAAGGGCGCCATCATTTCTCTTTCGAGAATTGAAAAATACGTTTTCTAGACATCAGATTCTTTGATTCAATGCAGATCACTTCGAAAAATTATATTTCCGCGCCAGAACAAAAATTAAAGAGAGAAAGCAAGATAAATAAAGATAAATCCCGACTGTTTTAACGAGTATAAAAACGCGCCGATTTAGATTCGAGTCGCATAATTGAAATTTTCAGAATGGGTTTCGGACGCAAGTGCCGGCGATTACCTCGGGACGATATAAGGCGAGAGAGGCGATTTTCTGGCAGTTAGACTTTCTGGCAGTTAGACTTTCTGGCAAAGGCGATTTTCTGGCACTGCCAGAAAATCTAATATGCCAGAAAATCTAACTGCCGTAGGATCCACGACTCAGCCCGGAGAAGACCAGGGTTTCTCACAGCCGGGACACGCGAACATTACTGAGACAACGCGAAATCGAGAAATTGAGCGGCAAGAAATACATGATAACATTTCAAATACAACCGCGGAAACCATGGATCTAAGACGAGTTCGATGGATTCGTCCAAAATCGATTCATACAGAAGCTTCCAACACATGTTAATGCTTACTGTACCCAGTACTGGTGTATTAAACATATTTTGAATACTGGAACTTTATCTTTGGACATACTGTACAATATTATTCGAGACTTACATTTGGACTTAAGTTTGATTGAAGTGCTTCTTCTACAATTTTGACTTGATATTCAGCAGGAAAATTTTTGATCATTGCGGATATAATTTGAGGGGATATTGTCCAACGCGTATCAGTAGATTGGAGTAGTCTTTGGCCGACAAATATGGGGAGACGGCAATCTTCAAAGTATTCGATGCTAAAATTTTTTGAAGAACAAACTATTACCATAAGTTATGATCCGTAACTTACGTTTCAAGAAGTCGTATTCTTCGGAAGAAGTTCATGCACTGCAGTCCAGAACCATTTAGTATTGATTGTAAACTTGGAATAATTTCACAAGACAAAATGACTCCAAGAAATGATTGAACACGAAAGAAAATATCGAGAACTGCTTTATTCCACAGAGGGCAAACCCATTTCTTCGAAGGTGACGCTTGAGCCATTTTCCAGTGCTGGAAAGATCTCGTAATGAATGGCAGTAGAATGACGAGAAGTGCGCACAAATTCCTCTTTGAGCTTTGAAGAGCATTAAGTCTAAATCTAAGGTGAATTAAGCATATTTAAAATTGGTCACCTATATTGAGTTACAAAATACGGCACGCTTTTGATTTTGCGCATGTAATCTTCAATAAGCTCGAATAGATCTGATCGTAACAATTTGCTTCCAAGATTTTCTATTGACGTCTCAAGTCGCAGCAGAATTATTAGACGCTCCGGGTAAATTTGAATATCACCATTGATTAGTTGAGTAAGAACTTTTTCTTCCTTGACCATTAATCCACAATGATGTCGGAGCTCTTTATGCTGTTCTGGTCTTTCAAGTTGCGCGAACAGTTGATGGACATTCAGCGAATTCAACAGTTTCACATTGGCTACCTTGCCTATTGCGTCGCGAAGTAAATTGGGATCAGAAACATGCTCAGATGGTGAAAGAGCGATCAACAGTTTGCTCCCAAGAGAGGCTGAAATTCAAGGTTAAATTTCGCGTTAGAAGTGGTCTTTTACCTAGTTGTCGTCGGAGTTGAACGTATTCGAGAATTTGCTCGTAAGACCACCCATCGAATTTTTCAAAGTTACAGTCAGTTTCAAAATTAAGCTCATGTAGAAAGCCGATCGTAATGAACGCAAGTGTCGCTCTTTGCTTCTCGAAAATCTCGAAATTATCGGGTAGATTTTGAAGAAAACGACCGACGAAGAGACAGTGATGATGGGTACTCGGCGCTAGTTGTTTCCATTTCGACAGATGAGGATTTGACTTCTCATTCAAAGGAATCAACTCCAGTGGAGGCGGATGATCTTCCGACTCTTCTTTTACTTTGTCCTCTTTAACTTCCACCAGTTCAATAAGCTCGAGGGGCTCAACTTCTTCTCGGGGAACGATTTCAAGAGTGCCTCTCATGTCCATTTTGGCGTCAAATTTTCGTGGTCCCGAGTTGGGAATAAGCTCCAATTTATAATCCGCATGATTGAAGGCATCGGGTAGAACACCTTCGGAAGTTACCATTTCAACGAGTTCGCATTACTTAAGCCTGTATTTTATTATTCTATGCTTAGTTTTTCGGCTTTCAGTTGATAACCTGCTTGACAAAACAAACTGCAAAGAATCGAAAGCTGCTGTTTATTCAATTTACTCTGTATTTTGAGAGTAAATTGAGTGAGAGTATTTTTATATTTTGAGTGAGTTGTTCAGGTAGTTTATAAAAAGTGTGTCGACGGATGAAACTAAGACCAGTTGCTCTTTTGTAGAAAATAATAAATAAAATTAAACTGTAAATAATAATGCAGCAGTGTGTTGACAAAAGAGACATAAAAAGGGCAACAGATACACTTTAACTTCAGTGCGAATTCGAGAATACCGGCAACGGGATAAAATAGATTTTTGAGGAGAAGCAATTGATTTGAAAATTTGTGTCGCAAAATTAAAGTGATAAATAAGAGAGTATTGTATGTTTTACTGGCCCTTGGACAAAGAGATATGTATTCGTGAGTGACACAATGAAGTGAAAGAAAAAGAACGTAGAGAAAATTAAATAAAGAATAAGTTTGAGTTGGGTAAAACGGAAAAAGAAATAAATGGAAAGCTCAGGTTACGATTAAAACTAGGTTTAGGAGCAGGAAAGACTTTGGCTCATGTTTGATGGGGTTTTAAGAATACTTTGATATTGTACAGAGGGGTACTTTGTAAGGTTGTCATCTTGTGTCTTGCCCGGACTCGTTGTACAACGGGCCAAACACTTTTAGGAACATTGTTGAAGAAAAATGTTAATTCTGAAAAGAAGAAAACGGGAAAACAAAAGAAACGTAAAACACTTTGACATCAGCTGAACACCAATTATCTGTTCGAAACGGATCTAGCGATTCTGATGGTAAGGAGTCGTTATATTTTTAAGGTTGTTAAACGAGTATTCGGGTTGAAATACTTTTCACTACTAGCGCGTTTTTGATATTTTGACTAACTGATATCATGGAGGAGTAGCTCAAGGAGAGAAAGGTAAAACTTTGCTTTGTTTGACTACTGGTATGATGCAACAACGCGAAAATCAACGAAAACAAGCGATTAAATCAGTTATGTTTTTGTGGTACAGAAAATAGAAAACTGTGTGTTAATGCGGGCATCGGGTCAACTTGATTTTTAGGTTGGGATTGAAAAAATAAAGCGTGGTAAAAGAAATGTAAAGAAACGAAAAAAATAATCTGCAATGATGAAAAAAAGTTGCGAAAAAATATATTTTTCTTTCAGGAAAATACTTATAATGTCAGATTGCAGTTTCCGGCAAGCTGGATGGTTGTTTTTTGAAGAGAATGGCGACAGATAACGACGGATATAATAAGTAAAAATAATTATCAAATCATGAGTTCGTAAAGCATGATTTCAAAACTAAAATGGGACCCTGTACGTTACGGGTGTTGATGATGAACTGGTAAAGAGGGCATCTCAGTGTACTGAATCGGGGTTTGTTGCATCGCCATGGTTGGTTGAACCCTGAAATTTGAGTTAGACTTGCTCCATGAAAACATTCTTACGTCATATGAGGTTGGCCATTTATCGCGGGCCTTGGCATCGCTTGACTTGCATAAGTTGTTACAACTAGAAACAAGGTTAAAATGCGTTTCAAAAGAAAAGTTTACTTTGTGTTTGCAAATTTTCTGAAGAGGTGACTTGAACTGAAGGATTTTGAGGTTGTTCGATCCCTGGACGGATCGGCGTTGTCATCATATTGTGCATTGTAACGACTGGAACTTGATTTACGATCACATTTGAGCTTGGTCGAAACTAAAATTGTCATAGAAAGCAGGATACTTAGAAGAGCGACTCACCTGGCCCGATGGAACTAAGGGTGCAGATTGCTGTTGATACGGCCGTTTATCATTGGTCACACTATGTGTAGCATTATCTTCTGAGTTTTTAGAGTCTACTTACCCAGTAACAGTCTGCGCTGTACTCAGTTGAACTTCAACATGATTACTCTGGCTCATATTTTGTGGAACCGCGACGCTTTGCACTCCTGTTGGTATTCCAGGCGGAGGCATCGCCATCACTCGGTGGGGATTCGAGCTAAGGACCGGCTGAAATGTTTGACCATTCGAAGTCGGGGGATTGGCAGTTGTCTTTTATGTGTTCAACAAAGGTAAAGCCAAAATTTCTGACGCAATTTCATCAATTATTATTGGAAACACATCCCAGAATCGACGGCGTCATGACAGGATTCTGATTTACCACTCTTATAACGCCCGGAGGAGCTATCGAGGAGGTGTAAATTTGCCCACTTGAGACTCCATGTGGATGAGTGTAGATATTCTTTCAAACGATTAAAAGAAGCCTCCAAAGAATGTCATTACCTGAGCCTCCATCGGAACGGCAGGTGGAGGAGGCTGGCTCGAATTTAGAACATGCCTGTACTTTGCGTTTTGCTCCAGAAGCATCTCATTCACGGTAGATAGATCCGCACATTTTTTCTGGAGCTCTTCGATCTTAATTTCAGGTTGTGAAAGAATTTAAAGAGGGTAGTTTTACTCTTTGTTTCAGCATGTCATTTTCTTTGCGCATCTTGCTGGATTCATCTAGTATCTGTTGATAGCTGTACGACATTTGATGATCAGAAAAATCTATGGATAGAAATAAGAGAATGAAGAAGTGTATTTGATATACTTGTTGAAATACTTGTCGATGATCTTTTGTGATGGGAGTTGAGATCGTTGGCAGAGTTACTGTAAGCAATAGGCCGTAATCTTTTGTTTTCGCTTTCTAGGAAAAAGAATGGTTCTTTCGGATATTCAGAATCAGAGGGATAAGGTACCTCTTTTCATCTCACGCATGGCTTTATTATTCAACGCAACATTGTATATTCCTAATTCGTATTGACACTTGTAACGGAGGGGTAAATGACGGGATTTCAAGAAGTTCTGCTCCTCCTCACTGAAAAGAAGATGAACCTGATATTTTCAGCAAATTGTACCTCGTGCAATGGATGTATCGGCAGGTTGTTCTTTCACAAGTTTTATTTTGATGGTCGTGGCAGAATTCGTACTTTTTGTCTTCGCGACAACCGACCAAAGCATTCAATTCAGCTACTGTAGGATGCGCGAACTTACATCGCTTTTTGCGAGAGCAAACGCCGCGTATAAAGTCGCGGCAGATAGACGCTACGTCTGAGTCGACATCACTAAAACTAACGCTAGAAGTGCGAATGGCCGTAGAAAGCTAAACCTGCTTATGGACATGTTCGACACAGAACATGTCGTGGAAACGGCATCTTTTGGTATCTCCACGGGTGCCTGTGGCGGCGGTGCCATCGTACACTCCATATTTTCCGAGTTCCGATTATCTCTATCTTTGCATACTAAACAAGTGAATAAGCAACAGAATCAACGAGCTATAAAAATATATGTTTTATTTGGCTTTTTCTTAATCAGCGAGTACAAAAATAGAGATCAAGCTTCAGATAGATACAGTAAATAAAGTTCAAAGGTACTGACTCCACTCGTAGAGTTCGCGCGCTTCATAGTCCAAGTCTAACGATCCAATATCGACCACAGTAACACACGATCGCTCGGACGCCGTGTTCGGTTTGTTTTTGTACAAGTCAGTCATCCTCTCACGGCGCGCATCGGCCGCTTCTTGTACGCGTTGCTTCGACTCGTCCTGCGATACAGGCTTCGGTATTTTGAGTTCTTTGTCTTGTTGTAATAAGGTGAGTATTTGACGTTCAATATTTTCTCGGTTGCGGGTTTTTCCCCAGAATGCTTTTGGTAAAATGGATAGCTGCTTGCTCTGAAGAATTTCGTAGAGATCGCGGAACGGTGCTGCTTTTGGAATGTCGGACAAGTTGACCAAGCGCCACGTGTTTCCCTTTCCCCGACGGACGCCGCAGATTCGTCGCGATAAGCCAAAAGTCGGCAGAGATCGCGGCTTGAGCCAACGTCAACCATATCAACAACGTTTTTATTTTGCTTGCGCTCCACCAAGTCACTTTTAACTTGTTTTATTTTCTCTCGAATCGCAAGAGTTCACTACCTGAGAAGTTGCTTGCAAAAGTTCGTTTCGCCCATGTTCTCGGCGACGCCTTGCATATCTTCTTTGAGTTGTTCTCTCCCGGATAAATAATTCACTTTGCCAGAAGTTCCCAATATAACTTTGAAAACCACTTTGGGCGGGAACGATTCGCCCATTAGCTTCATCCGCACCCATACTTTTTCTGTTTCTAGCAGCTTCGCTTCTAGTGGCGAGATTCGTTGCAAAACTAGGTGTCCACTTTCTTTAACTGCCACAGACACGACCGATTTCAGTATCTAACAATGCGATGTATTTGTAGGTTTGTTTGCGCACTAATTACCATGAATATTTGACGATCTCTGTATGAGAGCCAAGCGCGGGCGATTATCTGCGCTGCCCGGCGCTCATCATCCATTCTGAAAATTAAAAGTTTGGAATCAAAGGGAAACAAGAGTTTTTGAATATCTGTTTCTTTTTTGGTCGATAAGTGGGCAGTTAGTGAGACTACAGGAACATCTTGAGTATATATCGGCTAAGTGAAGGAAAACGGTGGATTGAAACAGTGTGCCTTGAAAAATAGAAAAAATGTCATGGATAAAATAAAATTCTGCTAGTTTCTAGCGGAACTAGTTCTTTGGGCTTTGGGTGAAAAGCTTGATGTCGCAGTTCTGGAGGAGCTTGTTTTTGCGCTCCTCGATCATCTTGGAGAAAGCTTTGGATCGTGGGGTTCCCACGGGCCCAAGCATGCTACTGTAGGACGCTTCTGTGCCGGTTGTCTAAAAATGGTAGCGTTAGAAATGAAAGAAAAATAGAATGGCTACCTTTGCGGTATCGAGAAGGTCTCGGACGAAAGTCACGTCAAGGCTGAGCAAATACTCGAGCAACTCTTTTGGATCATTTTTATTCTTGCTGCCAGCGCTAACAAGAACAGCTCCAAAGGCACCAGCAAGCTCGCCAGGAGTACGACCAGCTGCCATAGCACCCTGGAGATGCTGGAGAAGGAAGGCAAGTTGGCAGCGCGGTTTTGGGGCAAGAGCGATGAGATGATCCTAAATCGATTGTTTCCGAACTTGTCTAGATTCTCATTTCTCTGACCTGAACTGATTGCGTGTTGCAGCACCGCACAGCTTGCATCAGTGACATCATAGAGTCACTAGAATATTCATCAGCAACTGAAAGAACTAAGGAAAGAATTACCTTTCGGCTTCAAAAATCTTAACCTTCGAGTCGGAAAAGAAGTCCTTCATCAACTGGCAGAGAATGTTGGTGGACTGCGTCCACAGATGTTCAAGCATCTCATCATCATCATACTCGCCGTTTCGAAGGAGCTTCTTGATGTTGTCAATAATTTCAACTTCCTCAGTTTCGGGGGAAGTGACGTAGAGTCCGTGATGGTTGAGCTTGTTCGCCAAAGCAGAGGCGTAAAAAACGAGCTCAGTTGGAACACACTCTATAATTTAATTGAAAGCAAAAAAAAACTGGAAAAATGTTTACCTGGCGCCTTGATCAAAGCCATGGGCACATCTTCATATTTCTTCTGTTGGTAAATTTCCTCTGCCACGATCATATCCTCGACAAAAGAAGGCTCCTCAGCCAGTCTTGATTTGGGCTTCGGGGACGCGGGCTGAGGTGTGAGACGAGTTTTAACAACGGGCGAAATTTTCAGGGCGCGCTTGATTGGAGACACCTGCTGAAAATTGACAGAGGGTGTTGAGGACATGTACTCTCCAGCGTGCACTTTCTGGTGGTCGAATACGCGTGCGCTTCGGCTGGAAGGAGCAGGGAGAGCACTTTGAGACGCTCGTTGAGCGTAGAGTTCTCCGTACATTGCGTTGAGGTCGGATTCAGGCTCCGAGAATGAGTTCAGCTCCAAATCTGCTAGAAAGTTATTTATTAGAAGGGATTTACTTGTTAGAATTACCTGGTGACTCAGATTTGATGGAGGCAACATTGGCAACAATCTTGCCAATGGTAGTGTCCTGGTTGCAAGATTCATCGTATCGCTGCTTGACTTCAGCAAAAGTCTCGCGGATATCATCCCCAATTTGAATGTTGTCGTCGTCGAAGACAATTTCTTGCATGAGTGCGAAAGCTCGCTCCATGTCTTCCAGGCGAGACTGGAGTCGCTAGAATTTGTTGTAACGTCGTTACTATCTTTTCATCTTACCATTCGATGGTTATGTTCTTCCTGGAGATCGTTGTAGACGCCCTGAAGCTTCGTGCTCATTTGATGAACGTCTTTCTTGTACTTTTTCAACTGAGACGCCATCAAATGAAGCCTAAGATGATTCAAAGATGCAGAAATTACAAAAAGTTGCTTACTGCTCCTTGCCGAGCCGCCAGTTTTCCTGCTCCGACTTGATGATCTGGCACAAGTCAAGGCACACCTTTTCAATTTCTTGCTGGTCATTAGACATGCTTCGGTAAGCCTCCAAAATCTCATCGAAATCCGTCACCAACGGCTCGCACTCAAGTTCCGAAGCAGTCACTAGTTCAAAAAGTAAAATTTCTACGTCGCGCGTGCTCACTTACTTGAATGGTTATCCGACATTGGTTGTCGAGGAGTCAAATTAGCGCTGGAAGTAATTGTTGGTGCTTTTCGGGGATGAATATCCGCTCTTTGCATCTGCATTCAAGGCTTGAATTTCAAGCTCTGTTTAGGCCTACATGCTGATATGCTCCCTGCCTGAGGTGTTGACTTCGCGATCATAGTCGGAAACGTCATTCATGTGCTCGTAAAACATCTAAATTCGAGGATATGGACCGCTGCCGTTCGAATGTTTTATTGAAATGAACTAGAGTTACTGATATGCACTGACAGATAAACAGGGAGGTGTTCTAGAAACTACATGATTATTTTTCTATAAAGTGGTATTTGACCCCGAAACTATAGTTTGCACTAAATCCCTAGAAATGAAAATGAGAGTAACGACGCCTTTTTGACTGTACTGGTTATACGAAATTTATTTTTGATTTATTTTTTGTTGCTACTAAAAGGTAGAAATCGTACTAAGGCTACAGGTGGCGCTAGAGATTGCACAGAGAGATGGAGAAATAATGAGGGCAGGTGTTCTTCTACTGAGGGATGCGTGTGGACTTGAAGGAGAATTGCGCCATCGAGTGAGTTATAAAGTTGGCTCGAGCGTTTTGTAGATTTATGAACGATGTAAGGTTGCTGTTTGATTGAAAGTTCTTGTGCTTATTTCGACAATTCGGAGCTCAGCCAGTCCAAGCCTTCGTAAAGGCCAGTTCCTTGGGTGGCACAGGCTGCTTGCACATACCACTGAAAAGAAAAATGTTAAAGAAGTGGTCAACGATGAAGGACTTACCTTTCTTCTGAGCTGGTTCAGGCCGAGCTTCTCAGTAAGCTCAGTGACTGACAGAGCGTTTGGCAAATCTTGTTTGTTGGCGAAAACAAGAACGATTGCGTCTCGGAGCTCATCTTCGTTCAGCTAAAAGAGGGGCTGAGTTTAACACTAAAGAAAGGGATGACTTACCATCTTGTGAAGCTCATCGTGCGATTCTTGGATACGTTCGCGATCAGAGCTATCTACCACGAAAATAAGACCCTGAAAAACATGGATGAGCAGGTGAAACATGCTTGGGAGGGTACCTGAGTGTTCTGGTAATAATGTCTCCAGAGAGGTCGGATTTTGTCTTGTCCGCCGACGTCCCAGACGGTGAAGGAAATGTTTTTGTACTCAACAGTTTCGACGTTGAAGCCTTTAATATTGTTCAACAAATGGTTACTTCGATCAGCTTACCGATAGTTGGGATAGTTGTGACGATTTCTCCGAGCTTGAGCTTGTACAAGATGGTGGTCTTACCAGCGGCATCGAGACCGACCATCAAGATTCGCATCTGCTTCTTGGCAAAAAGCCGATTCAGTAAGTTGCTCACCGTCAGCCCCATACTGATTTCTGTCTGAATGAGTAAAAAGAATAAAAACAAGGTTCTAATCAAAACTGAGTTAAATTTAAGTCCTAAACAGTAAAAATACTTTCGAAAAATAAGGAAAAATTCGATTAAGGGAGCAGGTTATTTTTAATGAAAGGAAATCACGTGATACAGAAGAGGAAAAAAAAGTTTCTTGTTTTTATGTTATTTTTGAAACTGGATGGAACTATACTGGGAGATACTCCATCTCAGAGGGGCCAAAGTCACTTGATAGGAAAAAAAGTTAGGTCAAGAGACTTGGGCAAAAGTGGCCAAAAGGGGAATCGAGGCTAGACATGCAGCAAATGTCGAGCAAAAAATCAGCGATTCGAAGTTTGACAATCAGATCAGTTTTTTTGTTATACTGGGATGAGCCTTGTTCCGACCGCCCTAGTTGAATTGAAAATAAAAAGAAGTTCTAGCAGCGGAATTGTAGGATAGGTCTGAGGTAGAGACACCCTTCAAGTAAAACGCAAACGTGTATAATAATGTTTTTTTAAGGAGAAGGCCCTCGCCGCAGGCAAGTAGAACTCTTTCACCAGGCGAACGCTCGCATCCGTCAGTACTTTGAAGCAAAGTAGTAGTATAGTAAATTGTTGTTTTTGATATCGTGTCCAATAAGATAGCGTATATCATGAAGAATAAAAGTGTTTGATACAGTAAGAATGCAAAATGGAATATAATGGCACAATCTTTTTCTTATTTTTTGGATTTTGTATTTTGAAAATTTTTTTGGTAGTTTTAGTTTTTGGTAGTTTAAAAAAAAGAAACAAGCAAAAGACAGTAGAAACATTATTTTTTGAACGAATTCACGAAAGGCAGAAATAAGAGGGGCCCAATTATGGCGGATTAACTGGAACTCCTTGACAAAACGTTCAAGGCATTTATATTTTTATAAAGCTGCTTTAAAATAAACGGAAAAACGAAGTGTATCGAGAAGTCTGTTAGAAAAAATAAGAACATCTTTTAAACATCTCATCAAGTGTCTGCATACACAAAAATTTTTGAGCAGCTTCTAGAGATCTTTTAAATTAAGGCGATTAGGTAGCACTTTGAACAAAGTCGATATTTGCAAAGTCAGCGGTTAAAATTATTTTTTTTTTGTATTTTATAATTTTTTGTTAAAATAGCCGCCGGGCATGTGGCGCTCTGCCCGGGGCGAGTGCTGCGCAAGGGGTAAAGGCGCTACCCGAATGTCGAAAAAAAATACTGGTGAGATCAAGAAAAGAATAGTGATGGAAGGTGAAGCACTCGATGTACTTTGGATAGGCGACTGGAGGACTGCTTATGTTTTTTTTAAGTTAAACTTGAACCAATGAACTATTTTCGCAAAACAGCCCGTACAGCAAGTGAAAGGTTGATTTTTTTTCAATGATTTTTTATCAAACATCTTTTATAATTAACAAATCAAAAAAGGTAAACGCTACAATGAACGTGATAATATTTTTGCTTTTGAGCGAGAGCGGGGTTTTCTTTTTATAAATTTTTGCTTGACAAGAAAGCATCAGATTTTTTATTTTTATTTTGGCGAAAAAAGGGGCCTTCGGAGGACAGTCTCTATGTCGGAGCCAAATGTGAGTAGAATCCAAAGCACACACTGAAGTAAATTTGATATACTGCCTCGTCGGTAGTATATAAATCTATTTGCAATACGCCCTTTGCAAAATTCTAGCCACAGTTGGCTAGTGCCGGCAGAGAGAAAGGACGACTAAAGGCTTGCATACCGGTAAAATAATGTTTAGTTATGTTTGCATGTGTTTTTAAGTGAGGTATCAGGTGATGAAGGCAATTTATCAACGGGAAAAAAGTGGCTCCAGTTGAAAGTAGATGATTTTTTGGGCAAAAAGGGGAATTCTTGGAATTCAATTCAGGGCTCAACCTCTGGCGACTTGGAAAAATAAGAGACTTCTGGATTGTCAAGAGTGACCAAAAATATGATGCTAGAACTACAGAAGCACTCGCATAAACAACGATACGGAAAAAGGTAACAGTGGACTCCAAAAGAAAAAAGGACAAACGTAGTATTTGTAGATATAAACAGTTTTCTAGCACCAGGACGGTTTTTAAAAGTATAAAATTCGAATATCAATTTAGAAATTGTGATCAGATTTCGTTTTGAAAGAAATTTTGGTGATGATGGAAACTATGATCGGAAATTGGGTTCGGTAATGAAAAAATACGGTATTACTGTAAGTACGTCAGGCGACAGGACTTTGTTAAGATGAAGGACAATTGTTGAACTTTGAATGTTGTTTGTGAACATGTTGGGTAAAAATGGCGAGAGCTTTATAGAATATGATTTTTTGATCTTAAATCCGCAATACCAGCTCAATCGAAAGAAGGATCGGATAGTGTGGCGCATGGTTTAAGGTTAAACTTGAAAGAGTGTGTCTTTTTTATATTTTAGCAGAGAGTTGTCATGAAGATCGAATAGATGTAGATCTGTTTACAGACTGTGAGGTCGATTGACAAAATCATGGCGTGTTTTTTATAATCGCGCCACTTCGAGGAAAAGTCGGTAGCCTGGGCTCTGATTTTTTTTAGATTTTTTTTTACTTTTTTTTGTGAATTGGGAAATGGACGTTTGAAGCGGTATAAAATTAGTTCTTCCGGGTAAGATTTAAATTACGATGTAAAAAGTAGGAATTACGATGCTTTGAGCTTGTCCGAATTTTTAGTAAGGCCTGGAGGGAATGAGGCAATTTGAAAATAGAGAATCAAGGCATTTTGTGTGAAAATAAAATCACCGCTGCTCGATCACAATTCTTGACACAGAAAAGGAAGCATTCAGTAGTTTAGTTTTATGAGAAAAAGACGTTTGGTCTGTCGGGCAATAGTTAAGTTTAAATAAGATAATATTAGCATTATTAAAAGAATCATCAAATCACGAGAAAATTGTTAAGGACCGTTTACGACAGGCCGATTCGATAAACATAAAAAACGCGAAAAAAGATATGCTGATGTTGGAAAGAAGCAAAGATAAAAAACAAGGATTTACGGAACCTGTCGAATGAATCTGTTGATGATGGGACAGAACTTTCAGAGTGCAGCAGATTAAACTTCAGGTAATTATTATCAAAAAAGAAAAAAGAACTCATATGTAATCTAGCAAAAGAAAAAAATTGCTTTTTCAGGATCAGGAACGCAAGGAAAAATGTTTCCTACCGATAGTTAAAAAAAGAAGGTATATAAAATGAAGAAAAAGGATTCGGAACAACACTGTGATAACGTTTGAAAACGTACAAAATGTGAGAAGGAGAGCTTTTGCCAGTGTTTTAGACTGAGTGATACTGAGTGGGTACACCAGCAGAGTGAGAGGTGCACAAACTTATTGTGGCAAAAGGAGATTGTTTTTATGGCGCTGGTGGTGGTGATGGTCACGTGACGGAGACGCGAACCGAGAAGAAATTATCCTGATTTGGATATGGCTGAAGAAAGGTTGTTTTTTGTTCACATCTAGCTGTGACGGATAATGGAAGGTGATAGCAAATGGATTTTGTTGATCATGACTCCTGAACACGAGGAAGTAGTAGTTTAGTGATCTGAGACCAGGAGCTTGTTCAAGTTATCTTCGATACCACGTGTGAAGAAATAGTCGTTGCTGCTGTTGAAGGGGTCAGCAGATCCTATAAAAAGTTCGTCTTGGTCCTAAAGTGGTGAAAATGAAAGGGATTAGCGCATATTTGAGCGAACTTTTCCTGAAGGGCTTCCGCGAAAGTTATTTTGAAATTGCGATGGCGAGGGTTTATCACACCAGATGTCTCTGTTAGGCGCATTCCATGACTTTTTCTCCTGAGGTGGTTCCCACATCGACCTGCCTTTATTTTGATACGAGCTCGTGTGACTCTTGTACACATCAGATGAGTTGAGACTATTTGAATTTCCAGAACTCCAGCGATCTTGTTGAGGCTGTGGGTAGTCAAATGGCGATCGAGAAGGTCCTGATTGAGCAGACGACTTCCAAGATGGAGCAGATGAGAACTTAGAGTCGAAAGATCCTCTGTTAGAGCGATCCCATGGCGAGGAGACATCTGAGGATGACCCATTCCATGAAAAATCTCTCTGCGAAGACGAAGAGAAGACGGAGCTTCTTTCGTTTTGAACTCTAGAGATAACAATCTTTTTCAAAGTTGCTAGCTCGCCTTGTCCTGAAAATCAAGAATGAGGATTAAAATTAAGGAAGAGAACTTACTCAAGAACAGATCGGTGATTCGCTGTTCGTTCGAGGTCCGGGAACACTTCACGGAATCCTCGAAGGAAGCTGAGAGCCATCTCGTATTTTTCATCCTTGATCGCGTTGTAGAGCTCTTCCGCACAATACTGTGCGTGGGCATATTGATTCGGGTCAATATCTAGGCCTATATATACATGAGAAATCTTTTGCTCGCTGATTACTTTTACCTGCTGTCCGCATGTCTGACGCTGGCACTATTCCATTCATGATAAGATCGGTGATCTGAAGCTCGGCTCGTCTCCAAATTTCAGGAGTTGCTGATCGAGAGTTTGTCTGAATGTCTCCAGAAGAGCCCCAATTAGGAGGTCCTGATGGAGATACAGAAGATGGTTTGAACTGGTTCGGTCTCATATCCCAGTTTCCAGAGGGCGGACGCTGGTTTGACCACTGGTTCGGCGGACTAAGAGCGATGAATTTAAAGTTTCAAAAGCGCTGATTACCTTGGTGAAGAATGATTTGAACTGTTGGAAAAATAATGATTCTTGGAACTGTTACTACGCTCCCATGGAGGGCGATTCATCTGGTTTTGATTAAAATTGTGATTTGGCACTGAGTTAGAACGGAGGAAGTCTGGGGCCTGCCCGTTTTGATGAGAAGGTGGCGGGTATCGGTCGTAGTTTTTCGAAGGAGGCGGTGGACCGCCGTACTGGCCGATAGGGTGAGAAGGTCGACGGTCATATCGATTTTGATAGTCTGGGATGAAGTCCTGGCTTCCTGGGTGTCTTGGGATCACCGGTGGAGGTTGAGAGCCTCGATTGTATGCTCCAGAAGGTCCACTTGGCGGTAGAGGACGTGAAACAGAAGGATTATTGTGGCCTGGACCGATAGGTGGATAGCAATGAGTAGCAAACTAGAAAAATACATTGATTATTTGTAGATGTACAAAAACTAACGGTAGAAGGAAGCTCCTTTGGCTTCATGTCATACTGCTGATGATTCACTTGCTGTGGCTTTGCCTGCAGAACGGAAGGTGCGCCGTTTTCATTTCCATCTTTGAAGCCGTTTTGTGGTTGCTTGGAAACAACAGGTTTTATTGCTTCCATAGATAGCTCTCCTCGGTGAACTAAATAAGAATAACCACTACGTCTTTGAGTATTTTCTTACCTTTCCCCATCTCGCCCATTGGCGGTATAGCAGGATAGCAATGTTCCTTGATTTTGAAGGTCTGTGATTGTGTCTGCGCCGGCTCATTCGGCGAAATACGATCTGGCCGCGCAGCGGTTGTCGGAATTTTAGTATCGACAGTTGAAGGAGGCATAATCGGGCCGACAGTGTTGTTGCGACCTGTCAGAGCATTTTGAACGTTGAAACTTGAATATGAAGTCGGTTGAACTTGATTGGCAGGTTTGCCGATCGCTTGAGAGGGAAGTGAATTTTGGGCTTGTTGCTTCAACTGGAGATTGGAACTGGCAGTGATTTTGGTATCGGCAACGCGGGAACCCATAGAGGATGGAGCTTCTCATGGTTCTTTCTACTGTAATTTACAGTCTGTAAAATTATAACCATCGGTAAAAACAGCGGTTTACATCTAAATTCTAGAACCCGTGCCTTCAAGTCTTTCAGGAATAGAGCAGAGCCGTTCGTTATTCAGGGCTAAACAACTGTAACAATCTCGACTTCACGACTATATATTTACCTAAATCAAGGGCCTGGAGCCACTCATCGTATCCGTAAACTTTTTCAACTTGGATTTGAAGAGCGTTTCCAACTTCTGTCAAGTATTGGACGCTTGAGAGATGGTTTTGGTAGATTCGAGTTTGATATTTTGGCTGAAAAAGTAACGCTGTTGGCACCTCATTCGCTCTCAATTTCGCACTTACCTTTTCGTCTAAGTGGTGCTCAAAGACGGCAAGTCGGGATTCAGAAAGCACGAAAAACAGGAGTTGTGGATGATCTTGTGTACCGGCGGTTACATAGCTCTGGCGGACAATGTATCGGTTCAGTAGTTTTCCGATGTCCTGAAGATACAGAATCTCAGTCACGTAGGCTTCAATTACCGACGTGTAATAAAATCTGGCTGGAGACAAGGGTTGTCAACAATTGTAACCCTTCACTGTCGGGTGAGAAAGATGGCTACTTACCGTATCACGACTGTTGGGATTGTCCTGCTTGAGTATGCAATATTTCATATAGAGCAAGGTGTTGACCCAGTCAAGGACAACACTCGGATCGTCGTGGTTCAAATGAGCAAAACGGTATTCGTCCGAGGCTCCTGCTCTGTCGCGGTAGGCCAACATGATGCCGTTGTCTTGAGTGAGCAGGGCCGTTTCGACGTCGAGGATGGAGACGTCTTCTTTTCGCTTTTCAGATCGGAGGTAGAGCTTGTCCTTGTGCAAAATAGCTGCGCAAGGCTCGTTGCCGCTCTTTGATCGTCGACAAAACTAGAAAAAAACAATTATCGACAAAGGAATATGAATAAAAAGTACCTGAATTGGATGAATTTCATTCCCAGCATGTTTCGGAGGCTGTTTCAGCTTCTCATTTTCCTCCTCAGTTCTGGTCTTGTATTTCTGACTGATCCACTGCTCCTTGAGCGAGATGGAATCGTTCGGTGTCGGCTGGTAAGTCCAAACTGGAAACGCGGGCAACAGCTTTTTGTTGACAGCTTCGTTTCCGTTCAAGAGGAACTTTCCGATGTCCTCGGTTGTCCACACCTGAGACTTTGCGCAGGATAGAATTCCGGGATCTTCTCCACCCTGAATCGTCTTTGAAATTGGGCTTAGCCAAGAAGGACTTACCGATGCTCTTTGCTGTGACTCAAGAGCGATGTGCACCAATTTACAGTCCTGGCAAACCAAGACTCCAAAACGTAGAACGCCCCAAGCATTTTCCAAATCAAGTCGTTTTCTTTAATTTTGCGATTTTAAGTTTTTAATCTTGAATTCGAGGGACTCACTGGCAGTCGGCACATTGTCCATTCCCAGGTTTGCTCAGCAGGTCCGTTATTGAACCCGCTTTGTCTGTGTAGTCCATTTCGATATGTTGGAATTAAAGATATTGGCAACTTTCTCGATATTCCGTTACGGTTAACTTTTGCGGCGGGACACGTCCGGAAAAGCAATCAGATCCCTGTTACTGATGAGAAGCGTTCATCAATTTTTAATTCTGAAAAAATCAAACTTGAATTCACAACTTGAAATGAGTTAGCCCAGGAGACAAGATACAGGTCAAAGTTCGTAAGTTCAACAGTCTGACAGCTCGTTTGTAGATTTCCCTAATATGTCCCTTCTTATAAACATGAAGGTAATATTATTGATTTATCTTTTAAGATAGCGACTTCTCTATTCAGAAAAATGTCTTTTTAAAAATATTTTTCACAAAAGAAAGGTCAAGTTCATGTTTAATTATGACCCGTTTTTTTAATTCGGCGGTAATTCTAGTCGAGTTTGTTGATTCTTGTAATTATTGATTATCGGGTTGGTCTCTGCCGCCGGGGGACAAAGCAGATCGCGAAAAAAACGCGCGCTCGAGCGAGTTAGAGAGGTGTTTTAGCTTTGGCGAATTTAGCTTTGGACGGGCGAGGGGGCGAGTCAACACAAAATCACAAAAAGACGCAGCGTGACCTCAACCAAAACATCTCTCTCTGTTTATTGCTTTCTACTGGCGAAATTCTTGTATTTTTATCTTTCTAATTCGTTAATTGACAACTCAAATCCGTCATTGAAAACTAGTGCTAAAATGATCGAATCAATAAAAATCGTTCTCAATAAAAAGATCTCGTTGTCATTTCTAAATCATGCTAGGTATTTTATTAGCGTATGTCTAACAAGAGTATTTCCAGTAAGTCTCACTTTTCTCAGGCTTCAATTTCAAGCCAAAAAGTCGTCTTCGAGGGTCTTTTAAAAGCTATCTTTTGAATTAACTACAATAAAAAGTTCACACTAGCCACTTGAGCTTTTGTTGCAGGGCTAGAAAATTAGCAGAAGAAAACAAATGTTAAACTGGATATAAAACTTTATTTGGGCAGTAAATCTCTTGTTGCTAAAGTAGCACTTTGAATATCAATCAAAAGATCGGAGGGTTAGAATCATGATAGTTTACATAGGATTAGTTGAAAAGGAAAGTTCTTCATTCTTTCAGTTTGAAACCGAATGAAAGATCGTTTCGTTCAAGAAAAAAAGTTAAGAAGTAGGTAAATAATATTGCACAGAAGTACAGAAATAGAAACGATACAAAAAGGCGAACAAAAGGAGGCACAATGTTTTAAGGAAGGAATTAAAGGAGTCTACAGAAATATAAATAACAGCGACAGTAGCTGTTTTTAGATAGAAAGAGCGTTATCTTTTAAGATTTCTCTTCTTCTAGGAGCTTTTGTTTGTCTTCCTAAATCATGTTAATATTTCCGTACGGTTTCGTCTTGAACGACCAATTCGATTAGGTAAAGCATGGATTAAATATGAAAGTTGAGTATAATAAAAATTGGTGATAGTGACTAAACTTGAAATTGAATAGGAATTTTGTACTTGGAAGGCTAGTGAAATTAACGCGTGGCGGCTTCATAGCCAGCGCGTTTATGAATTTTATATTATTAATTTTCTCATGCCTTTGATGCGGACTGCTGCTGCTCGTGGGCTTTTTTCATCTCCAGTGATTTGACGAATGCGTACGAGCTGAACGTATTTGTGCTGTAAGCAAACAGGGATGTAATTTTTATAATTTACCCAGTGCCGAGGAGGACGAGGAAATTAGACACCCACCAAAGGACGGTCTTGACTTCGCTGAACCACATGACGGCGACGACTGTTTGACAACAGGCCTTAGCAACGCCGGAAATGTTGTGGGTGATGGGAGACGTAACCTGAATACAAGAAAAATGAAAAGATGTCGCATTGTCTGACATTTACCTGAATTTGGAGTCCGACGACGTAGCCCATTGTGAAACCAAAAGCGCCAGCAACGGTCATGGGAATCCAGAACTTGGAGGAGTAGAGGAAGGGGAAGTTAGCAAGCGTGCCGAATTCACCAGTGACAATCATCAGTGGGAGGAAGATCAAACAAGCGTTGATGTTGTTGTAGTACGTCAGCTTCCAGATGTCCTCATCGACCTAAAAACGCATGTGAACGCTGATATCTCATTTGAAATATTACCTTTGGCAACACTTTCTTGGTGAAGATCGAGTTCAGGGCAACACAGGCAGAGGCAATGACACCATAGGCAGTTCCAATGACAGAAAGAGATCCAAGATCGCCTTCTTGGTTGACTCCGAGGAAGAAACCGCCGACAATGATGCTGCAGCAAAGAATAGCTAAAATATATCTAAATTAACTGTCCAAGCGAAGTGATTTTTACCGAGGCAGGAAGTTTTCTTTCCGAGGATCAAATAGGTAAAGAGGAGGGAGAAGATAGTGACGAGGGATCGAGCAACGGTGTAGAAAGCAACACCAACCTATGTTAAAAATAGAAGAAAGAATGAGAGAAGACTCTTACTTCTTGGAGGCAGAGATTGTTAAAAGCAATCATAGCGACGAAGACGAGAGAAAGTGGCATAACATCGCGGCATTTTTGGCTTTCGACTTTTGTGCTTGGGAAGGAAACTTTTTCGGGGAACTTTTGAGCCATGATATCGCAGACTAGATGTTATTTTAGCGCTTGCATGATGGAGGATTCTCTTACTTTTACACATGACAACAGTACAAACGCACTGATAGAAAGTGACGAAAAGGGGAGCATCGAGTTTGAGCTCGTCTCCTTTTAACAAAGATTTGTTAACAAAAACCTAAAAATAATTTTTTTTGCGCAGAAATTTTAAAGCCTCACGAGAGAAATAGAGATCGCCCAGTAGAGCCCGACTGCTCCAACGATTTTAATGTACTTTTGCAATAACGATTGCTCCATTCTAAACGCCAAACCGGATTAATTTCAATCTATTACTTTACAATCATTTTTCATCATTATATCCTTGAGCAATCCCACAGCGTCCATCAACAATTTTCGATGGAGCTGCGTTTTGCTCCTGTGTCAGCCCAAAATATTCTCTTGATTCGCGAATTTTGTGCGAGTCGAGCAGCGCGATTTCTCGTTCTCCAACCGTTGCGAGTTGCATTCCTGAAGCTCCAGCAGACGATTCCATTGCTGTGTTTGTATTTGCCGCTCTTATATTCCCCGTGAACAATGAAACATCGTACTCTATTGACAGATTATGAAACTATATCTATTTGCATTAAAAACATTTACCCTTTACTGAAGCCTTGAGCTCAGCCTCGAGCAATTCTGTCCAATTGGCAGAATAAGCGCCAGTCCAATCTTCATCAGAGCAAGCCATCATGAATTCCCACGGATGCAAAACTGGTTTGTAGAAACCTTTTGCAGGGAGAATTGATTCTTCGGGAGATGCGATCAGAACGAAAATGTCCATTTCTGGGAAATTCGCTAGTTTCTGTGGCGTCGGCTCTCCAACAACTAAAAAATTAATTAAATGAAAATGCTTTAAAAGAAAAGGACGTACTGAGATTGTAAACGTTTTTGCCAGCCTCTTGGCCGAGCTTTCTTAGTTTATCCATGCATAATCCACTTGTCGCATGACCACCATTTGAGCCAAGGACAATCCCAACTCGCTCCGCATCCTTTGCCTTTTCAATGAGATAGAATCGTTGCATAAGAATTCTCCCAACATTGACTGGATTTTCTTCAACTTCGAAAGTGTCGCTCGAAATTGCAACAAACTTCTCGGGCTGATTTTGAAGACACCAAGCTGCTATTTTCGGTGATTTCGTGTTGCCAATGTAAACCGCCGTATCTAATGATTTCGTTTCCGGGGAGAGCTCGCTGATATCATTCGCCAATGTCATCAATCTGACGCTATCTGATTTCTCTCCAACTGCTTCCATCATTTTTTCATTCTCAACCAAGAATACAGCTCCTGGATATTTTGAAACAACTTCATCGAGAGAAGCGGCGAAGCTTTCCTTTTCAATCGTGTCTAAACTAAAACATTCAATCACTAGAAAAACTTGGATTTCTACTACCTCACAATCAGTGACGGAATATTGGTTATGGTTTTAAAATTAGCGTCGCCGAAATATACCAGCGCCTGGCAGTCGAGATGCAGCGCAGAAACTTCATCGACATCTCCATCCCCAAAGGTCGAGTCGGCAAGAATGCAGAATCTGGCTTCGCTTTCGGGACCAACTCTCTTTTTCAGCTCTTTCAAAATCTTTGCAGCGTCCGGTAATAGCACGTCATTAAGCTGTAAAGTCACATCGCCCTTGATCGATTCACAAAAGCTTGCGACTTTCCCGAGATCGTAAAAATCCGAAACCGAAATTGAGTCAGGACGGAGTCTGCGCCGCTCGATCACTCTTCCCATTGCTTCCGACCCATCGGGAGAAAAGGCGGACGTCATTCTAAAAGCGGCGATTAAATTCAGAATCTGAATTGAGGGAGGTAAAGCAAAGGCATCTTCTTGGTAAAAATTCGTCTAAGCACGATTTTGGCGAGTGCGAAATTGAATGAAATAAAAAGTAACAAACAAGTAGAAGCAGGGCGTATCACTGCGACAGAAGGGTGAATATGAGCGAGTAAAGGTAAATGAAGAAAAACACCACGTGAAACGCTACTTTGACGAGATTCTCGTGCATGAACGTTTTCAGCCGGCGCTGATTGTGGATTTCGGCTGGGTCGTATAGACCTAAACATCCACCGTAGAAAGTAAACCAGGCTCTTATCGGCTTACCTATACTTCCAGCTTGGACGGAATTGAATCTGTGGATAAGAATCAATACGACAGGGACATTAAGGGCGAAGAGAATCCAGTGCCCAGTGACAAAAAGGACGAAAATGCCGATCAAGTGTGTAATGATTTCGGGCTGAAAAGAGAATAAGCGTTGAAATGAGTGGCTTTCGTCTTACCAAAATGACATTATTCAACTTGGAACAAGCGGTTGAAGCGTTTAGGTAGTCGCATTCTAAGTCGGATAGCGTTATTAGCGCGTAAATATTGATCCCCAATAGAGCACTGGAATCTATAAGCATTCCGCCGAATACGACAGCGTCTGACATTCTAAGAAGAAAATCGATGGTGAGATTGAATCATTTACAGTAATTTCATAGAGTCGTACGATATTTCGAAAGGCGAACATACAGTTAACGGCCAGTAAGAGTTTCATAATATATCACATTCACTTTCGTTTTTGAAGAATAGTTGAAGAAGTTTTCTTTTATATTGCTTTATCCAGGAATTGCTTGATGTCGCCAAACTCGTCAGCGCAGCTTGAGTGCCCCATACCAGGGTATTCTAATGTTGCTTCTTAGCTAGTGCTTGTTTAGTAGTTCCAAACTAGGTCTAGGATCGGGGGTGATCGTTGGAGATCCGAAATGAGGCGCTCGAGAGGAATCACCAATGAGTGGTGCGCGGGTTCTTTGGATCTCCGATTGCGTGGAGATCCGCGCGATCTCCACCCCGAAATTGCGGTGATCGATCACCACTCTCGATCTCCACTTCTTGGAGATCCAAAAATTTTTTATCCCCGAAGTCGGATGAGTCACTTTAAAACAATCTTCTGCCAGCCTCCTGATATCAGAAGCGACTGACCGGATCAACTTAAAAATCTCAGGCAATACTTATTCTCCAGTGTAGATTTCAAATCTTTTGTCAAATCAAGCGCATGGATTGTAATTTTGGATAAAAATGTACTATTTACTATGTCTGCTCGAGTATTTTTCTCAATAAGATGGTTTTCAAAATTTTTGAAACTTGAAATCACATAATTTTAAATCAATTCAATTTCCAAAGACTCAGCTCGGTGGGTGAGCGATAATTTCTTGAAGATTAGCATTAGAAACTATTATTTTCTGAGATACTGACCCGCAAAGTCCCTGCAAAATATGAATTTAATCGAGAAAAATCGATGCTCGAGAAAATTCAGAGCTTCGATCACCGAAAACTGGAGATCGACAAAATCCCTGGGATTCATTTGGAGATCGAGCTTCGATCTCCGCGCTCTGGAGATCCAAACAACCCGCGCACCACTCATCGGTGATTCATCTCGAGCGCCTCATTTCGGATCTCCAGCGATCACCCCCCATCCTAGACCTAGGTTCCAAACCTTTCCAAGTTACATCAAAACCAACGCTTCTGAGGCCATCAGCGCTCACTCTTCCGAAATTGTTAGGGACGATATTGTCTGACTTTCCATGACCGAAGAAAGCTGGGAATCTGTGCTCCTTATAGAAAGGCTGGTGAAAGAAAATGAAGGAAAGTCTTACCTTCAAGTCCTTCAAGATGTTTTTACGAAGAGGAAGCCAAGTTGAAAGACAAATCGCTCCACCAAACTTCTTCGAGGAGCTCAAAGTAGTGTAGATTGCGAGTGCGCCGCCTTGACTAAATCCGGCAATGACGATTTTCTCCGACGGAATGTTGTGTTGTTTCATCAAAGTGTCTGCTAGTTGATCCACATTTTTGGACATTTTCACGATTCCCTAAAGCTCGAGTCACAAAATGAACGGATTTCAAGCGCTTACCTCCTCGTCTTCATTTGAGTCCGGAGAAAGGCCATACAAGTCGAACCAGCTTGGCATTCTCATTCCCATGTTGAGCGTGACAGGCTGCTCTGGCGCGTTTGGGAATATGAAGTCGATGTCCTGTCTGTACTTGGAAAGTCTTTGCTTGAACTCACTCATCCATCCTTGTCCCTGGTCTCCTAAACCGTGGAGAAAGATCACTGCTCCTTTGACCGGCTGTTCCGGGTTGATTCTATAGGCGTTGTTCTCCATTCCTTCCTTTGCCTGAAAAATCTCATTTTATTCCAAATAAAATTGCGCAAATCACAGAAATAATAAGTGTCACCAGTTTTAGAGTTCGGAGAAAACCTTCCTTGAGTAAATCACGATTGTAACACAGAAAACAGTTCATTCGAAGATTTCTCTTTCTTTTCTGCTAATTGGAGAGAGCTAAAGCTATTTTCTACACCTTCCTAATCCACTTGACCTTCTCGAAACGTCATTTTAGAACAAGGTGTTTCCTTACATAATGAAAAGGGGGAAGAGAAAGAAAGAAAAGTGGGCTATGGTCAATTTTTGGAGTTAAGAAGATTTGGAGTAAGCTAAAAGGAGCAACTTTATTTTCCGGAGATACTCCAAATTGGAGCAAAATTTCAACGCCGATTTTAAGGGTGTTGCAGAAATATTTAAGGGTATCTGAATAGCTCAAAAGAAAGCCCGGGCCCCGAGGCGCGTTTTTGCCGGGGTTTGAAAGGGCCGGGAGGCCCTTAACACCATTAAAATCGGCTTTGAAATTTTGCTCCGATTTGGAGTATCTCCGGAAAATAAAGTTGCTCCTTTTAGCCTACTCCAAATCTTCTTAACTCCAAAAATTGTGTCGAGCCAGAAAAGTGTCTAACAATCACTGATAATTCTAGCACCACTGTTCTATCAATTGCAATGTTTAGGAATTAACCATTTGGAAGTCGCAACTCTGCCTTTCGCAAACCCGCCCTCGGACACAAAACAACACGATGAGCCAAAACACCTTTGGAGTACAGAAACAGAACATACAGAATCGCCCCAAGTACAGGTAGTTCTCTGCTCGTGTATTCAAATTTTCTCTACGGATCGAGGTAGAGTTACTAAGTGTCTGTGCTCCTGGTGGAGGTATTGACCGTGGGCGGGATTATGGCCGGGTTACGCTAAATTCGCTGGTGGTGGTGCCTGGGTCCTTAGTGGCAAGGTGCACCGCACACCGCGCCCGGTCGATGGCGTCTGGCCAATCAGCGGCCAGAAAAAGCCAGAGCGCCAGAGAAAGAATCGACCGCTGCAAAGGACGCGCGCAACGCGTAGTCGCTGGTACTAACCTCCAAAGCAAAACACGAGCAACAAGGCCAAAACATAACGATGAATTCACAAATCGCGAAGTTAGTCAAGGCTACAGGCAGGTGTTCCTTTTAACGAAAAGTTCCTCAATGACGTCTTTGAAAGTCTATTGCTCTTGAAAATGACGCAGATTGGATCAGGATAGCTGGCCTCATTCAGTCAATAAAAGGTCTAATTATTGGTTCGGGGGTTTTGAGCACTGATATGAAAAGTAAAGAACACGTCGAAAGACTTCGCCGCGAAAAAGCACCGAAATGACAGGCGCAAAGATTCGGACAAGACTCCTTACATCAATCACCCGATCGGAGTCGCTGAAATTTTAACCGAAGAAGGAGGAGTCACTGATGTGGATATTCTATGCGCTGCTTTGCTCCACGATACTGTCGAAGATACAGACACTACTTTTGAAGAAATCGAAGAGCTCTTTGGAAAGATTGTGCGAGATTATGTCGATGAGGTTGTTGAACGAGTATTTGAACGAAATTACCTTGAATTTAGGTGACAGACGACAAGAACCTAGAGAAGATGGAACGGAAGAGGCTGCAGATTGTGGTAAGTTCGGAATCTCTTGTTTTCATTCTTGCGATAAGCAATTATCTCAAATTCAATGCCGGGAGGAAGCTTTTGTAAAAAATGCTTAGAATGCGCCGAAGAAAACGCCGGGGGCAAAGCAAGTGAAACTGGCTGATAAACTCTACAATTTACGAGATCTAAACAGATGTACTCCAGAAAGCTGGGATGAGGTTCGTTTGGTACATTATGTATTATTTCTCGTAGTATTTCTTACTTGAATGAATGGCGTTGAAGCTAAGCATTATTAGGAAAATAGTCACTCAGATCTATAAATATACAAACAAACAAAGCAAACTTTTAGGAACGCGTCGTCAATTACTTCAAATGGGCGAAACAAGTGGTTGATGGCCTCCGTGGAGCCAATGCTGCACTTGAATCAAAGCTTGATGAACTTTTTGTCGCTCGAGGCGTCTAATTTCAATGTCGAATTCCACTATGATTTAGCCTTAGTACTTCAACATTCAACACATTTTTTGTTGGTATATATTTATTAGATTGATTTTTATTAAAAATTTTGTTGCGTTAATTTCTTTTCAGAAACACTTGTCGTTTTTTCAGACTTCAAGTCCTCCAGGTTCGGCAGTGTCCACATCAAATGTGTAGCCAAAAGGTCCAAGTCCCGTTGAAATTTCGCTTTCAACTTTGTTAGTGCCACTTTTGATACATCCTTGTAAAATGACTTTATATGCTCAACAATTGCTTCAGTCGACTTTGTTCCGATGCCGTTGTCAAAAGACCTCTGCGGAATGCCCAAGTCGAATTGAGGCGGAACTTCGAATTCGACCTTTTGAAATATGGCGAAAATATCGTCCGTCATTGTTTCCACCTTGACAACGTAGTTGAAATTCTGACAGGGAGGACACATTTTTATTGCGGGCTCGAAGTGGCGGTTTTTCTGGTGACCGTCAAGGGCGATCCATGTAATATAGTTGTGAAAACTCACCCAGTGGCTTTTCGTCGAATCCGTGTTCCACTGATGCGTGTCGAATTTGTCTAGCCCCTTTCGTAGAGAGCTTTTGTAGTAGTGACCGCCGTTGGCGTGATGTTTCGACATTTTCTCATTCCAAGCGGAAACGAGCCGTACCATCGGATGTCGAACAATAAGTATGCGCGTGCTCGATGGATCCTTGAACGTTTCAAAACGCTCAGCGGCAGTTGATTCAGAAATGTTTCTGTGTTCGATGATACTTTCGTAGAGTGTATGCCAATACGTCGATGAACATTTCCAAGCCGCGCAAAAGCCAGTTTAGCTTCCGGAATTACTCTTCCAAGACTCTTCGTTGAATGGAGACCTGTTTTTGGAATTTCCGCACACTGGTGTTGAAGTAGATCGAGTCGCCGACCAAACCTGTTCATAAATACTTGTAACTCGTCAGCGGAATATTCATTCGGTACCAAATTATTCTCTTTTGGCGGGGAATCGCGGCCGACTCTTTCGATTTTCTCTATTGTAAGACTGCTGGAAGTAGCAGTGTTTTCGTTTACGATAAAAAGCAAAACTAGGGTTAAAGCGAGGACAGACATTATCCATTTCATTTTCTCTTGAAACCGAATACTCCTTTGACTCAAGCGTACCTCCTTGGGGTAAAAAAGGGATTTAGCTTGGCGCTTCTCCGTGTACTCACGATTCCCTAAATATCACCGACATCTAAGTATCGGTTTAACATTTTATGTATGCTGGGTTAATTGAGCACGGCCTTTCGTGCATTTTCCGTCTATCCAGAATGTCATTATTTGTACTTGGAAATGGAAATTTAGAATGGAGGAGTTTTGGGAAGAGGAGCTCGCAGAGAATGCAGAAAAAGAAGGAGAGGAAGCGGCTAAAAAGAAGGCATTTCAAGATGGCGAAAGCTTTGGGAAAGTGAACGGCGGAATTATTGGCTTTGATGTCGGATATGCACTTGGACTTTCAGAAAGTCTTATTCTTCTTGCTGATAAGATGCCTGATTCCTCTAAGACGAGGAGAATTGTTGCGAATTCGGAGAAACTCAGGTGCGGTCATTTCTCAGCATGCATTTTGTTTTATCTCTAATTCAGGGAAGTTGTTGCGAATTTGAAGGTCATGCATCCGGAAAATGAAAATATACAAGAGGAACTGCAATCAATCAAAGATAAATTGGCGAAACTAAACTCTTCGATATCGAGTTCGATGCGATCATCACCAGGTAATTCCCCACTTGCTTCACAATAATTCATCTCGAATAAGTTCCGAAGACGACCGAAGTATCCGCGAAAAATATTGACTGGTAACCTGCTCGAATCTGATTGTACAAATAAATCACAGCAAGATTGATATGCTGGCATTTTATATTCATTTCACATTAAAATAAATAAACAGACAGAAGACACAAAAATAACTGTCAAGAAGACAGGTTGGAGGCACGGGGCTCTGCGCGGCATAAGAATTATTTGATTTATGAACTGAAGATTTTGAACTGAAGAATAAATAAATTGAAAGAGCCTATTGATTCCGATGCCGGCACAAAGACCACAAGTAGAATTTAACTAAATGCAGAAAAATATAGTCATTTTAGCGTAGTTTTTCCAATTGAGAGACGGAAGATATTGTTAAAAAATATTATCGTTTGTTGCGACGGGCGCGGACGATTTTTCTGCGAGGAGCAGCTACACCACTATTGTTTGCAGCGGGTGCAGCTCCAGCACCGAACATGTTTCCACCCTGAAATATTTGATAAGCAACAGAATAGAAAAAAGATGAGCTTACCGGTGCAGGTTGACTTGAATTCCCGCCGAAGCTAAAGCTCCCGTTTAGAGAGCTATTTTGAGATCCACCGCCGCCAAAGTTGAAAGATGGGGCGGGTTGTTGACTTGATGTCTGGTTTGAATTACCGAACATACTCCCTCCAGAAGGAGCGGGATTTGTATTTCCCCCGCCAAAGTTGAATCCAGAGCTAAAGTAATAATTTAATTATCGCCAAGGATAAAATCTGAGTTACCTTTGGCTGTTCGAATTTCCACCGAACATGTTGGTCCCAGAAGAGGGCTGAGAGCTACTACCGCCGAAGTTGAATGTCGGTGCGCTCGCCTGTTTTGTTGGCTGCTCAGGGGAAAACATAGAAGAAGATCCACCGCTGTTTTGGTTTGACGCGCCTCCGAAGCTGAAAGGCTTATCCTGCGACGAAGTTTGGGATGAACTGCCGCCAAAAGAAAATGGCTTGTCGTTCGCAGCCGTGTTGGAGGATCCACCAAAGTTAAACGAGGGAGCGGCGGTAGTGGCATTAGAATTGCCAAACATGGAGCCTTGGCTTGATGGCTCTGACTTTCCTTTGAATGAGAAACTTGGCGCAGCAGTTGATTGAGTGTTGTTACCAAACAAAGAGCTACCAGTTGAATCGTTCGTCTGCGATCCCCCGAAGTTAAAAGTTGGAGCGGCAGCAGCCGTTGATGCTGGCTTATCGTTATTGCCTCCAAAAGCGAATGGTTTGCTTTCAGTAGAGCTCGACCCACCAAAGTTGAATGAAGGCGCCGCGGGCTTGCTCTGAGATGATCCGGATCCGAAAGTGTTTGTTGTGGTTGTTGAGCTGTTGTTAGATGCTCCACCGAACGTGAACGGTTTATCTGCTGCTGCAGGCGCTGCGGCAGCTCCTCCTCCGAATGAGAAACTTGGAGCGGATGTTGTCACGGGCGCACTCGGGGCTCCTCCGAAGTTGAACGACGGCGCGGCTTCCGTTTTTGGTTTTGAGCTTCCACCAAACGAGAATGTTGGAGCAACGCTCTTCGCTGGCTCGGCAGGCTTCGAAGCACCTCCAAAAGAGAAAGAAGGTGCAGCTGCTGCGGGAGCCGTTGAACTAGAAGAACCGCCTCCAAAACTGAAGGAAGGTGCAGAAGTAACTGCTGGCTCGGCAGGTTTTGGTGTACCACCAAATGAAAATGAAGGTGCAGCATCAGTCTTTGGCGCGGACGCCCCTCCAAAAGAGAAAGAAGGAGCGGCTGGCTTTGGCGCTTCGTCCTTTTTAGCTTCGCCGCCGAAAGAGAATGAAGGAGCGGCGATCTTTGGGGTTTCTTCTTTCTTCGCAGCGCCACCAAAGGAGAAGGATGGTGCTGGATCAGCTTTTTTCTCCTCTGTCTTGGCACCACCGAACGAAAATGATGGGGCAGCGGCTTTCGGCTCTTCAGCCTTTTTGGTTCCCGCACCAAAAGTGAAAGAGGGAGCCGCCTCTGTCGCTTGCTTGGCGGCATCTGTAGCGGGCTTGGCAGTTGAAGCACCGAAAGAGAATTTGGGAGCTGCAGAATCTTTCATTTCTTCCGCCGGCTTAGCACCAAATGAAAATGACGGAGCCGAAGTGGTTGACTCCTCCGTCTTTTTAGCGCCAAATGTGAACGTTGGTGCCTTATCCTCTTTCTTCTCCTCTGTTTTGGCAGCGCCGAAGGTAAATGAAGGCTTTGGAGCGTCTGTAGCTGGTGTTGCAGACGAAGTTCCGAACGAGAACTTTGGAGCTGCGGCTGCTGGAGCGGCACTGGAGGCACCAGCCGGTGCTTTCGGGTTGGGAGTCTCGCATGCCGAGCATTTGGCCAGATCAGCTGCGTTGGAGACCATACAGACGTCGCAGGACCACTTGCCGCCACTTTGACTCTTCTGCTTCGACATGAAATCAGCGAAACCACCAGCAACTGGGGGAGGGATCGGAGTTGCAGTCTCGGCAGGCTAGAAATAAATAAAATCTTGAAAATTAGACTTGAGAAAGTACCTTTTCGCCAGCTGCTTTGGGATTTGGAGTCTCGCAAGCGGAGCATTTCTTGAGGTCTGCGGTATTCGAAACCATGCAAATATCACATGTCCACTTTCCTTGCGACGCTTCCTTTTGTTTTGCCATAAAGTCGCCAAAACCTCCTGCTGCAGGTGGAAGTGTCGACTAAATAAATGTTATCAATAAAAACAGTTTGCATATAAAATAGCTTGAGAACATGTTATTTCATCTTATATATAATAGGATTAGTCTCTCTGCTTTACCTCTGCTGGCTTCGCTTTCTCTTCCTTCTTCTCCGATTCAATCTTGGGGAGCGTCTTTTCCTTGAGCTCAACCTTCTTGCTTTCGACCTTTTTGGGCTGGCTTTCCATAAACTAGAAATAAAAAAAGTTATCACTTGTTGAAATAGTTCGCGAAATTTTGTCACTCTGTTTTCTCACCTTTTTCTTCTGTTCATAGTAGCCCTTGACATTCACTTTTCCTGTGTCGCTCTTCTTCTGGCTTGACCCGCCGAGACGAAGTTTATTTAATTTTTTCGGCTGGCTGAAGGAGAACGAAACTTGGGAATCAACCGATTTGCTTTCCGGAGAGCCAGAGCTTGATGATTCTTTGTAGTTAGGGCAGGAGAAGAGGATCGGCTTGCTGTGATCAACAGGAGTGATGTACTCCTTTGGCGCGGTTGGGATCTTCGAGGGCCGGGACTGAATAGATCTCTCGTTATCATCTTTTATTGGAAATATCCAACTCATTTCTATTTTTAAGGATATAAGCTATGTATTTAAACTTTCGTAGCGCCTAAATGCGAAGGAGGATCATTTTCATTTCCAGAGCAATCCTACCTAAAAATGCACGTAAAACTCAAATCTGGTACTTTTAAAAAAATTTTTATAGAAAATTTTCTTTTTAGAGCGGTTTCAAATCTTACGATGGCGATTCCTCGAAATTTTTCAACTTTATCGGTCGAGTTTTTTCGATAAATAACTTTTCTTAACCCTTATCTACAAATTTGACGGATCAGTTTTCCCTTATTCCGACCGAAACCGATTTTAGAGCCATTTCCATGAGGCTTACCCAGCGCGTGAATAGTGTAAAAAGTGGCGCGTTAGGCGCTCGCTCTCTCGACTCCTCTTTTCCGTGAGAGTGGCGCGGTTGAGCCGAGCGCTTTGATTGGTTGCAGGCGAAAAAGCACAAAAAGAAGAAAAACACGAGCAGGAAAGAGGAAAACGCTAGAATGAAAATTCGAGAAAGTTTTGAAATAAAAGCCCGTCAATTTTCTAGCACAACATCATCGAAATAAAACATACGGTTTAGTTTTAGCGATTCAATGGAAAAATTTCGAGGAATCGCGATCGTAAGATTTCAAAACGCTCTAAAAAGAAAATTTTATATAAATTTTTTTTTAAAAGTACTAGATTTGAGTTTTGCGTGCATTTTTAGGTAGGATTTCTTTTGAAATGAAAATGATCCTACTTCGCACTTAGGCGCTACGAAAGTTTAAATACATAGCTTATATCCTTAAGTGCCAAGTTGAAATGTTAGAAGAGTCTTGCTCAATTGAATTTCACAAGTCTCACTTCTTGAAATGAATTTTCAACTAGAAGCCCTATTAAGAAATTTATCTAGAAACTCACCTTCCAGGGCTGCGACTTGGACACACTCGACGATGGCTCGTCGTATTTGAGCTCCCTCGAAACATCCAAATTGCCCCTGGAGAAAGACTTCTTCGGGGCGTTGTGATTTGGAGTCGAGCAATGCACCGGTCTAAAAATAACTGTAAGATTCTTGCCAAAAAAATTCTCATACTTAGGGAAGCGAGATGGATCAACAGTGAGTTTGGGTACACTATCCAAACTGTAGCTTTCAGACTCAATTGTTTCGGAAGGAGGCTGGGCTCGAGGTTCTCGTTGGCGAGACATTTTCGCTGCTCGGACTTTTCCTCCACCACCACTGGAGCTTGAAGGAAGGGACATTGTTGACGGTGTTTCGGCAGCTTTCTCTCGCAGCTGGTCCATATTTGTGATGCCAACCTAGAGATAGAATAATAATTAGGATAAAATTCGGACTTTCGTTTTACCTTCTGCTTGTTCCAGCGATCCCTGGCCGTCCAACTCACAGGTGGTCCATGCTTCGTGCCTGGTTTTGGCAGAGGAGCACTTTCTGCCTCTCTCATGGACATCCATCCATCACCTGAAAGAATTTGACTAGATTTTCGTTCGAGTTTAATCTGTTTTACCTTTTCTGATGGGTCTTGTCAATCGCCGCAGCGTATCCATGATTTCCCTGGCTTCCGGCGTTTGCATCGTCTCGAATTCTTCCTTCACAATTTTCGTCGGAATCACATGTCTTGACTGTTTCTTCCACGGGCCAGACGGTCCACCGTAGAGGCCTTTTTTGATTCTCGTGCTCAAGCAGCCCATGTATCGTTCCACGCCCTTGAGGATATTTCTCTTCGGCGATTTTTCTGAGGAACCTTCTTCTTCTTTACTATCCGCTTCTTTATTCACATCTTTCTTCGAGGAAGAGGTCGACCAAAGAAACGATTTGGAGGTTCCTTCGCCAAGGCCTTTTTGGATATTTGAATTGGAACTGGACCGGATGGGAGTGAGTGGCCCCGTTCGCTTCTTTTTTATTCCCATTATTTCTGGGTTGAAAATGGGACGCTAAATTAATTAATTGATTAATGGATGAACAATATTTTCAAATTATTTTACCTTTCTTTCGAAGGGCTTAATCTTGAATTTCAAATCAGTGAGGCTCCTCTCCTCCGACGGGACTGAATCTTCCTCATCTTTCTTTAAACTTTCTCTGCTCGGGTCCCTGCTCGGCGTGGCCATTTTGAATTCCGCCGAAATTACTGACTTTTTCTTCTTGGGTTTTCGTCTCTTTCGGCTTTTGGAATTTGTGGGCCCGAGCTCTTGTTACTACGGAGCTTCTCTCGAGGGAGGAGTAAATGGACTGAATGCGCCACTGAGCGCGCGCCAAGTTGCCTGGTTGGTCGTTCATCCAGCCCACGCGTTTCGAAAGAATGAATCACGGGTGCGCGAATTTATCACGCTTTGCGCGCAGCTGTGCGCGCGCAATTTTCTTTTTCGAAAAGAGGAATTTTCAAGCTCAAGCGGGAGATTTCTCCATTTTCTCAGATATTTCGGGAAATTTCTTAGCGTTATTTTCTAAATTCCGAAATATTCATCCTTATTGTCAGAAATATGAGTCTACAATATCTTTTATGGGTAATTTAGAATGGATGATTACAGTCAAATCGGGCTGTCGCCAGAAGAGTACGCTTCGGAAAAGCTCGGCATTCCGAACCTTTCCGAGCTCAAAGCTAAAAAGCAAGCCAAGGTGCTGAACAAATTCAAGGAAGATCAGCAAGACGTGATCATCAAGTTCCAAGAGGATGAGTAAGTCTGCACAGATTTCACCTCCGTCTTACAATCATTTATAGAGCTGCGATTAAAAAAGCTCGCGACGAGTACGTCCGATCTTCGTCTGCTCTCTACACAATCACACCTTCCGTCGAAGAGGGGTTGAGTTTCGAAGAAGCTGTTGAAAAGGCTGGAAAACGATTCGACAAGAAGCTCACGCAAACTGAACAGATAGCGTTTTATCAAAAAGCTGTTCTTTCGGAGCAGTCGAAATCAACCGGCGAAGCATCCGACAATTCAGAAAAGATCAAAGAGCTCGAGGCTACTATTGTCTCAAAAGAAAAGAAAATTTCCGAGCTGGAAAAGAAGCTCAAAATGGTGCCAGAGTCATTCTTCCTCCCTCTCTTATAAGTTACTTTAGGCAACTTCCGATAAAACACCAGCGATGCTGGAGGATCTGACCGAAAAATTGAAGGAAACAGAGCGGCTTCTTGCGGAGAAAGACGATGAAATCAACTCTCTGAAAGAACGACTGAAGGAAACATCATTGGATGATTCCAAGGTTATTAGGAAGCGACGAGCTGAGAGTTTGAAGAATGCTCCTGCGAAGCCAAAAGGACCTATTCACTGTTTCCAGGAAGATAAAGGAGAGGGATAGATAAACTTACTTGCTTGAAATTCATTTAGTTGAATTCAAGTCACTTATTTTTTTCACCGGGAGTTCTCGTTGATCCCTTCAAAAGGTTTCAAGACATACACAGAGGCTCGTACTGAGTACAAAAAGCTCACTGACGATGAAAAGTCTAAGTACATCATCCTGACTTCAAAAGACGCGAAACGATACGCGCGAGAGTACGAAGAATTCCTCCAATCGCTTCCAGAGGAAGATCGCAGCGCTTTTATGGAGAAACGTCCCCGAATCGAATCGACGAAGCAGAAAGTATCTAAAATCTTCCCTGGAATGCCAGAGAAGCCGCCAGGTTCTCTCCGCACTTTTATTCAAAAAGAAGAGATGGAAAAAGCGCTCAAGAAAACTAAGAAGCAAGCGGAATTCGAAAGCGCGTCGAATCAAGCTGAAAAGTTCGCGATACAGTCAAAGGCATTGACTGCTTACATTGAAGGCTTGTCCGAGAAGGAGAAGCAGAAGAGAGAGAAGAAGCTCGAGAAACTCTCTGAAGCGTATGAGCAAGAAATGAAGAAATGGTACGACGAGCTGGAGGAAGAGCACCAGGCGATGTACGACCGAGCGATCTGGATAGATAATCGAGGAAAAGCACCGGCATGGGTCGAATCTCAACCAAAGGCACCATCTCCCTCTTTCCGTGCTTACTGCTTGGATTATGTGAAGAAAAAGCTCGACGAGAATCCTACGAAGGAAGAAATCGAAGACGCCTATAAACAATTGAAAGAAAAAGAATCCCGGTTCGAGAAACTCCGTGTCCGACACAAGGAAGAGTTGGAGAACTTCCCCGAAAGGCTGAACGAATGGATTGAGAGCTTGAACGAGTTCCAGAAGGAAGTCTACTACGAAAACCAAAGAGTAAGAAATTTTTAAATCCGTGGTCTCTTAACCTTTTCTCAGCTTTGTGAAGGTGGTAAAATTTCGAAGGACGACCTTGAATTCTGCCAGGATATCTTGAAAAAGATATCCGATTCTCCTGATGATGCGCTTACAATTTTGAGCGAGCAAACTGTCTACGAGAAGGTCAAAGGATTTCACCTCGAAGAAGCCGGAATCAAGTAAGAAATCAATCGATACCTACTATTGCAGGGACGATGATATTAATTGTGTTTTAGATTTGTTGGAAATCGACGAAAACTGAGCGAAAAACGGCTTCAGAAAGCATGGAAGAAGGCTAACGAGGAAGGTGTTGATGCGAAATTTATGAAGAGCATTCTCGAGCGAGTTGTTGCAAGCAAAAAGCAAGAGATTCAGAAAGAAGAGGCAAAGACTTCCACCAAATCATCAGGGAAGAAAGAGAGGTCGAAGAAAGGTCAACGATCGGCATTCCAGAAGAAGATGGACAAGGAGTTTGGTGGGGATGGTCATCCTGCTAAGCCAAAATCTATCTATGAAGTATTCAAGGTTGAACATATTGGTTTTCTTCGTCTCACGACCTTATAGGCTGAATACTTGGAGACTGGCCTCGTCGAAAACCTCAAAGAAGATTTCCAGGCTTTCAAAAAGGACAAGAAGAGAAGTGCTCAGGCGACTCTCGACTATGAGCGACGAAAAGATGACTACAAGCAGCAAGTTCTCGAGTGGATTAACTCGATCGGGCCAGAAGAGAAGAAGAAGTACCAAGAGGAGCACATGAAGGTATTTATAATTTTCTGTTCAAAGATGTAAGCGCACTTTTCAGGACTTCACGATCACAGAAGTTTGCTCAACATCTTCGCAGTCTATTGAAGACGCTGCGGATCGCCTTGTCTACCTTGACCCAAAAACACCTGCTGCCTACGACCCGAGCTTCCTTCACGCTGCCGACGATGACGAAGATGATGAAGAATAAATTCATAGAATGGTATTTTGCTATCCGAAATAGGTTCCTATCCTGACTGTACATATCCTTTTCGATTTCATACAACATATCAGCAAATTTACGGTTCAAGAATTTGTATGAATGAAAAATAGCCTGCCACAGTTTTTTTATTCTGAATTAACCATTTCTATCTCAGGCCGATCAATAAAGTTTCGGGGCTTAAAATTACTTACATTGGCGTTCTTTTTGCTTGATTGAAAATAGAACGCGTTCTTTTCGAAAGATTGTCTAAACTGAAGAGGAAAGTGCAGAATATTGTCCTCCTTTGAGGAATTCTGTTGTGAGGTAGTTGTATTTCTCGTAGTTTCAATGAAAAGACAAAACAAAGCCCGAAGTTGCACGGTCAAAGGCGCCAGAGCACTGAGCAGTTCAAACAATCTCTTGGAGCAAAATTCACAGATTCACAGAATTTCCGGCCGAGCATATAAAAACAGATATCAGAGAGAACACGCTTTCTTGTCTAAATATCAAAGCAGTTTGAAGAGAAAATGTCTGAAGGTATTGAAAAAATTGAAAGGCATTGCTTTAGAAAACTTTAGTGAGTTTCGATGTCTTCAAAAAACTCATGGAGGACTCTGCTTTCCATGATTACATGGCGAAATTTTGCTTGTTGCCTGTTTATGGGCAGAAAATTTATATGAAAACGAATGGATCGTTTGTTGGAGAGCCAAAATTTCAAAAAGAATTGAAGAAATTCGGAATTCTTTTTTGGATTTACGAGCATCGTTTCCCGTTCTTTTTGAAGAGCGCTCTATATCTCGAGTATCAGGTGCAATTCCGAGTAAAAATCATTGATTTACAATTTGCTCAAGCTTCTGGTTTTGCTGAGGCAACATTCGCTTGGATCAAATCTAATCAAACCGGAGATAGCTGTCGAGCTGGCTCCTGTGCAGGCGGAAGTCTTCACCAAGATGACTGGAATGGCCAAATTCTATTATTTTATGAAGGAACGGTGGAGCCAGCTGAATTCGTAATTTGACAAATGGCATGTTTGGTGTACAAATCAAACGCCTTGGAATGATTAAATAGCCACTTCTTGATCGCCACTTGATTAAAGAACTCGAACGAATCGCTTCGATTGGTTGTGTTTTATTTAACCGGTCGACGCGTTCTTACACAGACACCTGGCACGGCTTGACAGTCAATGGCACGTGAATACTATAATTATGACAGTTCCACTCTTGTAGCAAACAACGCCTCATCAGAAGCAGGACTTTTCGAGTTTGTGTGCATATTTGCTGAGATTTCAAAAGCACACGTTGATACTGTAGTTTTGTTAGTACACTTCATTGACTGGACTTGATCAAGCCGTGATAAAGACCGCGATAGACGACTTGCACTCGCGAAACTTCGGAACGGGTTGATCAGCAAACAAATCATAATCAAACTTGGAGATATCTAAAGCAAGCATCAAATGTTTAACTAGTCTGACAGCAACCTGATTCAAGTGACAAGTTTTTTGACGCCATAAGTCCTTGGTGTCTCCCAAGAACATATTTCCAGAAATTCGACACAACAAATCCTTCTATCTTCACCCAAAAGTATTTTTATCGAAAACTATTCGTGATTAAGTATTCTGAGGGTTCTTGATCGAGTACAGGATGTTATTCTGTCCTACTGGCTTCCTCAATTCCTCACAAAAACAAAACAACAAAAATTTGTCAGTTCAAAAAATAGGCAAAACGGAGCGAAGAAGCTCAATTCATTGCCAAATCCGAATAAAAGCCTCGATTTCAATGCTCTTTCTGAGTACATTGGAGATCGTCCACGGGCAAGGGTTTCAGTAATTAAAGTGCCGTATTATAAGTAAACAAAAGTGAATAAAATAAATGTTCATCAATCGATTTCTTGATGCTCCTGAAACCAAACAAGACCTCAGAAACAGCTGCAAAGGACTTGAAATCAGAAGCTGCTGACAACGATTCTGGTTTTGAAGAAGACATTGACGATAAACAAGAATACAGTCAGAAAAACGATGCTCTCTTCCGCAAATCGAAGCAGCACATCATCAACAGTATTCGAGCTGATGAATACGCTGCCGGTCCTTTTCAAGAATATTTAGCCAGGGCTTTCAATAAAGCTAGCCACAAATTATGTTTTTCTAAGAATGGCTCTATTGAAAGCTGAACACAGTGAAGTGTGATGAGCAGCAAGCTGCGTTTACTCTTTTATTTGTTCTCGAATTGGAACGCTTCCGCGAGGATTTCTCCCTGATAATGCGCGTGGAAAAGGTTCAAAGACTCAAAGATCTTGTTCAAAGATTTGTTGCTGATGACCGTCTCGGTCCGTTGATTCCTGGAGTTACGGACTACGGCTCGTTTATTGTTTTGATGGAGATTCAAGAGTGTACGCATTTCCCATGGCCGCTGAGAGCCGTCTTCAGACGGTGTATCGAGTTCATGGAACCTTTTTGGCTAAAATTCGCCAAGAAAGATTCTAAGTCATTCTGTGTTGCTCTAGAAATGGAAAAGAGGATACCAAGGAGCACTTTTTACAATTCATCTGAAATGATTTTTGGCGAGAATCCGACTCCCATTGGGAAGCAATGTTTCACTGCCTACGAAACTGTCAAAAACTCATCGAATTTTGTCTATTCAAGCTTCAAAGCAAAAGAAGAAACAGATGATGTCAAAAATAAGCCAGTTTTTCTGAGAGATCAGAAAATCTCTGGAAGAAAATTGGCTGAAGCAGCGACAAAAGAATATCTTGACGTTCCACAAGGGCCATCGAAGAAAATTATAATTCGGAAAGAGCCTAGAGAAGAAGGCCCTGGTTGGCTTCGACCGAGCATCCGAAAAGGCGGCGTTGTATTCAAACGTCCAACAGTTCGACCGAGCCATTTGGTTGATTGCCTTAGGGACCCAGTCCATTTTGAGTTCTTCCAGCGTTTTGCGAAAAGCTTCCATTTCGATAAACAAGTCAAGTTCTACAAAAAAGTTGATGAAATCAAATCGATACGCGACACGAAGACGCGATCAAATAAGATCTTGGAACTTCACAAGGAATACTTTTCCGAAACATCTGCATCTCTTGGTGTCGATGGAGAAATAATGAAAGAGCTGTTGGAATCACCTGGGGATGAAGTAACTCTTGGTATGTTGATTTCTGCGCAAGCTTGTGTGATGAAAAGCATGGAGCAAACTTGGGGCGAGAAATATCTACAATCATTTCCTGAAACAAAGAGGGAGAAGAAAAAGGCAAAGAATCAGGAAGCCGATCTTGAGGCAGAGAAATCGTTGAAGATAGAGCGCTCGGTAGCTGTGATGGTGGAGCCACTTGGGAAACTGCTGATCTTTCCGGAAGAGTGGTTTTCTTAAGGAATAATGTCAAATCCTGCTTATAAACTTCCAAGTTTTACCTTTGGTAACATTGACAGGATTTACCGGAGCGTCTGACGCTGGCGAGAGACTTGAAGGTGATAATGATGACGGTATGGCAGACGCGGGACTCAACGAAACTCTCTTTGGAGGTGTTTGTGTATCTCCTGTAAGAAGTACAATAGATGAATTGTACTTCTTTTTATATTGCTAAAAATGTTGAAGAAGCATCGTAAAAGGTGGTGCTCTTACCTCGTCCGTGGCACTGTGTGCATCCTCTGGCAATTGTGGCTTGTCCGTTGATCCTTCCGGGTGTTCTATCGACTGGCGTAATTTGGCTAAACAAACTCTCTTTGGAGGTGTTTGTGTATCTCCAGATGAATTGTACTTCTTTTTATATTGCTAAAAATGTTGAAGAAGCATCGTAAAAGGTGGTGCTCTTACCTCGTCCGTGGCACTGTGTGCATCCTCTGGCAATTGTGGCTTGTCCGTTGATCCTTCCGGGTGTTCTATCGACTGGCGTAATTTGGCTAAACATATTTTATCCAATGTACATGCGTAAAATCGTTACCAATTTGTTCCGCTTCATTGTTATCTTCGCGTTGGTCATCAATACGTTTTTGAGGAAGAAATGAAGCTTTTTCTTTATCGGGCCATTTTGAAATGTCAAAGATTATGAATGAATCTTTTGGAAGGCAGTAGCGGCGTTTTGCAAAAGCAAAAACATCCTCCATCTGTAACGTAGAAAATTTTAATATTTGTTTTGGTAATCGACAGTGGAAATCATTCAATTGTTGAATTCGCTTTGTCGCATTGTTAAGTTTGCTTTCGCATCTGGAACATTTTTTATTCCCATTTTCAGCACTTAGCGGAGAAATGAAAGACGATTGCGTAAATGAATAGTCTTCGTGTGAGCAAGCCGTCTTGACAGGATACGTTTTTCCGCTTGAAGTTGCGCAACTGGAAACAAAGTTGCAGTAGACTACCAATAATTTGGAGAGAAAACTCTTGATCTGTCTTCTCTGACATAGTAAAAGCTGCTTTCTCGATCGTAAGTGCATCTTCATTGTTCTCAAGCGATTGCGCTTTTGCTCAGCTGTTTCCTCTTCGCCAAGTAAATACGAAGAGATGATTTCTTCTTCTTGTTTTGTAAATCTTAGAATCTGATGAGCCCGTGCTCTTAATTCTTGACAAAAATTTTCAAACTCGCGCCTCATGGAAACAAGCAGGTGAAAAGCAGCATTCTCGACATGATCCTTAAGCAGATAAATTCGGAAGATGTCTTGATTAAACAATTTTGCTTTTTCAAACTTTCATCATTGAAGCAGCATGAACCGCGCATTGACGCTGTTGCAGTAGAGTAAAATGTATAGTGTCTCTTCTTTTGACTGCTTTTGCTTGAAGCAGTAGTTCCAATTCGCCAATCGTTAAGTAGCGCATGAGGAAGCTTTTTCAGAAGCTCTTGACTTTCAGCATCATTGGAACGTAGTAAAGAACACGGCTGATAAAAAGAAAACACACTGGATGCGGTTTTTCCTAACAGCGAGAGATATTTAAAAAGATCGGTGTCTTCGAAGTATGCCGACGTTAAAAAGTAAGGGCTCGATTCGTAATCGTAGTTTTTGTCGTTGATTGGAACAGTAGGTTCTTCTATTTCTCCTTCCTCAATAATTGATTTTTTCGCATCTTTGCATATGTCAATATAAGCTTCAAACGCGAGCCGTTTCATTTCTTTTACTTGGTTTTCGCGACGCTTTTCATCAAGACGGGCACTTTTACGCATTTGCGTTTTGGACTTTTTTTCATCATGGACCGCAGCGTCGTTCGAATTTCCGTCTGCAGAAATATTTACCTCATCATCGTAAGAGTGCTCGTCTTGAAGGTTTTGCATCTCACTTTCAAATTTTGCTGATTTAAACGCGTCAAATGCTGCATCTGCCAAGTGTTTTTTGGCGATACAGTAACTTTGTGTTGAAAATGAAGAAATCAGAGAGACCAATTCACGAGTAATACTCATTCCATGATGAAAATCATAGCCCAAATCGGTCCGTGGATGTGACTGTTTAGGAGCGTTTCTTGACCGGATCTGCGGGAGATTGTAAAAAATCGTCGGAAGTGATGGGTTGATATTTGTTAACGTGTTTGACACCAGAGTTGAACAAACCTCGCCATCTTCGATAAACGTCCGATACGTAGGATCCAAGAGTGCATAGTAAAATTCAAGATTCGCCAGTGCTCCGGATGCAGTTTCCCATTTTATATTTCCAAGCAGACCGTCAATGGATATTAAGTACGTATCGAATTTGTCTGGAAATACCGACTGTAGATAATAACAGAGATCGTCATCTTCGTCAGGCGTTTTCAAAAATGGCTTTATCGTTGAAAAATAACGATTGTCATCGCTTAGAGTTGGGGCCAGACGCGATTCCAGAGTGGGTATTCCATTTGAGGACGTTTGCTTTTTGAGTGCACTTTCCGTCGATGAATCTTCATACTGAAGAACAAATCCCATTGCAATAGGATCTGCTAACATCCGATTTTGTATTTTTTGCCAGTCAGACGCTGTAGTGTTCAGGAATAAGTTTTTTCGCCAGGGATTTTGTAATATAGTTTGTTGAGGTGTTCCAGAGTCAGCAACAGAAAAAAAGTCCATTGCATTTTGACTAAAGAATCCCTGACCGTTTAAAACTTCGGCAGAAATAGCATTACGAATTTCGCGATCGAAACGCTCACTTTCAATATTTATCTTCTCGGAAACGCAAATTCGTAATCTTAATTTAACGATTAATAGCAGGATTGAAATAGCAAGATTACCGCTTTGAAGTGTGTTCAGAAGGTTTACCAGCGCTTGCGTGTACACAGTTGGAATGAGTATTGAGCCGTCGGGTGCTTTCGCAGGCAATTGAGTTGTGGACGCCGGAATCGTTTGCCAATTTCCCAAACTGTAGCCGATCAGAAGCAGCGTTACGCAAAGGAAAATGGTTGCCGCCGCTTTGAGGAGAAAAACTTGATACGCTCGTGGAAAGCTTCTGATTTCCGTTTTCGATGGGCAACAAATTAACGATTGGAGACAGCGATGAGACTGCTCCACTTCCTCCGGACGATCGCTTGGTACTTGTGATTCTACCAGCATCGCTGTGTGTTGACTGCTGCTGCGTCGGCTGTTGATAGTCTCGGAGCTGCTGACACTCTTGCTGCCTGGGCAGCTCTTAAAAAGTTTTTACTTACTTTTTTCAAAAATAGTAAATTACCGATTGTGATGGAAGAGACGAGTTTGTCATCCGAAGGACGGGCACCGGTGAGAGTGGAAGGGCTTTCTCGTTGTCGGAGTCTTCGCTGAGAGGACTTGTCGATGGTGCATGCATTGTTTGCAGTGATATCTGATCTTGACTTTTTGGTGGTGATTGCACGGCGTGTCTCAATGATGATATTGCTTGAATGGCTTTTTTCTGGACAATCGCATCTTGTTTTAATTTTCGCCGTATAAGGCGAATTACGGGGTCCGTGCTGGTAAGCTCTTGTCGCGTTCTTTTTGGAGGAATGTGGCAATCGATTCTTGACGGAGGGATTAGCGTGTTTGGAGATTGAAACGCCGGCACTGGATATCGTACTGGATGAGACGACAGGATCGATGGGCGTTGCTTGGGTGTTGGTAGTTGATAAATTGGTACCGACCCGACTGCCCGTGAAAAGTTGCTGTTGGAGCTGTGTTGCGGACTGCTGTTGGCAATCGTAACTGCAGCAGCCTTCGACATAGTTGCTGTTATTAACGACAATGGATCTTTCTGCTCCCTCTGGAAAAAACGATTGCTTTGCATTGTGACAGTTCATTAACACATTTTTTACTTTATTTTCGGTAAAGTGAGTGAGTGTGCAGTTTAAAGTTGAGCGACTAGATCATTTTAATTATAAGGAGGAGACAGAGGGAGAAAGTGAGACGAGGCGTTAGATGGAGCCATCATCAGATAAAGCTGCTGCTGCTTCTGTAATAATCCGACAAAAAGAGCGACATAAAATAATGATTTAAAAAATAAAACCTAACAGCTACTGCACAGAAAATAAAAACTTATTTAGCAGAATGATCCGCATGAGTGTAGCCAAAGCGCTTTGGAGGCTGTCCGGCAGTTGAGCGTCGCGATTTTCGAATTGAACCTTCTCGTTGGAACGGTGAAACACAAGGTCGTCGGCTAAAGAATTTTTAATAAGTTTCATAATGGCTTAAAGCAAAAGTACCGTTTTGGTTTAGACGATGAAGAGTCATCCGAGTACAAGGTTGAGATCGACGAAGTAGAACTTTTCGACGAGGTCGTAGTCTTTGTACTTGTGGTCGATGTTGTAGACGCTGTATTTACTGACGCCGTTGACGTGATGAAGGACAAGTTCGAAGGCGCTCCACTGGATTCTGTCGAGCGAGTTTCTACGGAGCCCAAGTGCGACGAGCCTTGGCTTGACGATTCGTCTCCATCTTGTGGCTCTTCTTTCATTTTATCGTCGTTGACTACGTCAACGTCACTGTCATCACTTTCTTCCTCCACTGTCTCTTTTTTTGGGATGGCAGTCGGAGTGTACTCCTTGAGATCGCGCGGCGTAAATCGCGAAGGTGCCATTAGACTTATAAAAAGTAATAAACATAACAACACTACAGAAACAACACAATACCTTTTTGAAAATTCAGCGGGCGAGGTAATACTGTCAAAGCTAAAAAACTCATCATCGCTTGGAGTCACATGCATCATGCAGTCGGTGTAGTTTGAATTCGAATCTTGTCGAATTGGCTTCATGTTTTCCTTATCCGCCACGTTGTCCTTATCTTGACTGACGGAAACTGAGGCCACTTGTGGCATTAAGACCCGGTTTTGTTGATCGGTCGCCTCCAATGGTTTATCCGCAGCTGCAGTTTTAAATTTGAGCGTCATTGGACTATCCGCAGTAAGGCTGGCATACGGCTTTGTCTCGCCCTTGACCGTGGAATTTTTCATCGCGTGGTATTTTGCGCGTGTCTCGTTCAGCAACTTGGTCAATGTTGGCGAGTCTTTAGCATCTTTCTCCTAAACGTACTTTTACACTAAGTTTTTTTTGGAATAATTTATTCAAATCAAATTGCAAATTAAAATATAGAAAAGGTTAGAGCAAATAAAGTTAGTTGAATCGGGAAGCTGTGCGGTAACGGACAGAATAAGACCTTCTTATCGTAGCGTATTTCAGCGTTTCGTCTGAAAAGTGAGAGTACATTGGGGGTTCCTCTTTTGTGACGAGCGGAGTCAATCCGAATGCTTTTGGCTGAAGTTTAGGCATTGACGGTGGACAATTCATGACTGCTTTGACAGACGCTTTTGTCATGGCTCCGAGGTTTTGGTTAGTATGGGTGTCGATCCAGAGTGCTTTTCCATTGATCTCGTTTACGGGGTATCGATACTCGACGAACTGGCGTTTAAAAAATTTTGCCACTTTTTTGGCAACGCTCTTTTTCTTTGGTTTAATTTGTTCAACGGGAACAATCATTTTGTTTGAGTTTGTTTGAGTTAAACTCGTTTATAAGAAGATTTATGACAGGTGCGACCACTAGGTACTTCCGCGAGATCACTCAAAACATAAAACAATTTCCGGTAAAATGATATGTTATCTCAAGCACAAATTTCTCGCAAGATTTTGATCAATATTAGGCGCGAAATGATCTGATAGCCTTTCAAGTGGAAAATTCTACAAGGTTTGGGTGTGTATTCGAATTTAAAAGTTGCCACGCCGTTTTAATATTCTAGTCTAGTAGACGAAAACCGCAAGTGTAGTGAAACTGAAGCCTTGGTAAGGATGGAAATTAAGCTCTCCGGATCGTCGCCACATCTGTATTAAAACCGCAGGGCCATCCTGTCTAGTCACTAGTCCGACGGAAAAACTAACCCTCGAAGGAAAGGTCAGGGGGCCATGTGTGGTGGAAAACGAACGCCTTGGGTCGGATGGAAAATGGATTTTGGGATGGCCAACGCATCTGTGCCGCTACCGCACAGGCTGGCCCTAAATCATCCGGTCGACATATTCACCGGACGTCAAACCAAGCGGAAAAGCTTAACGGAAAATAAAGCACGAACGGGCCTTCCAACGCATTATTTTACTACACTCACCTCATCAGAAGAATCTTCGACGATTGTATTTAGACGACCATCGAAGCTGTTAGAGGCGAGTGGGCTTGGGGGTACTGGCATTTCCCGGCGTTTTAGATAGGTTAATCGAGGATTTGCGCGAACAGCTGAGATCGGCGTAGATGTATTTACCGGAGACTCGTACTTGACTTCGTGCTTATCCTCTTCTTCCACCTCTGTCTTTACGACTTTCTTTTGATCGCAGTTTTCTTCTTGTGAGAGCGGCATGGATTCTGCATTTTGTTGCTCGTCGACGCTTTCTTCAGACGAGATTAAATTTAACCGCAGCAACTCGCCCATTGTAGTCGACGAAACATCACTGCTACTGCTGCTTTTTTCGCTACAGATAGACAAGGTCGATCGTTTCCATTGTTGGTCCATTTCCGCGGCCGCTTGAGCACCAGTCAATTTTGGGGATTCATATTCGTCGACATCAGACTCGTCTGTAGTAATTGAGAGTCGTAATTGTTCCTGTTGACCTCGACTTGCAGGCACATCGAAATTAATTGACGCGTATGTCGGTGGACTATCATCTGGAATAGTTGGTCGTCGCTCCGGCGGGGTATCCTCAGACAACGTTGTTGTATCACGAACAATAGAACCATCTAAAGTATCGCCTTGTCCTTCAGATGCTTTCTTTTTCCGAAAGGAAAACATTCGAAAAAAGGAGCTGCTTTTAGAAGTGCTTCTGTTGTTAGAACTAGCCGTCGACCAATTGCCACGGCTGTCGCTTTCATCGTCGTCTGTGTCTCTGGAGCGATTGTTTAACCAACTAAAACGACGAGGAGGTGCGCACTGCTTTGGTGTAACCGTAGGCCGTGGTTTTTGTTGTTCTGAGGAAGTCTGAGATTGAGTAGTGTTTGTGGGCGGCGGCTGATGCTCCTGCTGCCTTCGCTCTTCCATTTCAATCTGTTCCAACCGCCGTTGAAGTCGCTGCTGTTCTTCATGTTGTCGCGTTTGTTCTTCCCTTTGGCGACTCATTTCCCGGCGTTTTCTTTCTTCCTCATTTACCAAGCGCTGATACTGAAGAGTACTGTTGGCATTTTGCTGCTGCTGCGCTTGAAAATAACGATCGTCTCGCCGCATGTGTCGAGTAGATCGGTTAGCTAAAAAAGTGTTAAGTTTTTAAAAGACAGTGGCCAAATATACCTGCATATCGGCCGCCGCTGAATTCCCCGTGGTAAATACGGCTGCCACTTCCATATCGGCTACTGTTGCGGCTAAATTGGACAATCTCTTCCAATATCTCGCCCGGGCGTCGCTCTTCTCGGCAGCAAGGAGGACAAAAGAACAAAAGGCGTTCGGCTCTTCGCGCACCCCAAATAATCTGATTTTCTTGGCCCCGTTGATTGTTGCAACAACAGTATGCGACAAAATCAAACGGAAAAAAAATCAAATCCAAAAAGAAATCGCGAAGTTGACGACCCCAGACACGGATGATTTTTGGCAATGATTCGTGGCGATACTTGTATTTGAGGCACATCACCGGGCAACATCCAAGAGCACAGAAGACCGCAACGATGATCCACAGAATTCGTAGAAAACTAAAAATTCCATTAGCCGTAATCACGTGTTTTGGAATTAAAATAAATTCCGTGGAAAAATTAATAACAATTTTTGAGAATTATGGAAAAAATAATCCGTAAACAAAGAAAAAGTTCAAAAAGATTAAGTCGATTATGTTTTCCATAATATTTCATCGGTATATAAATTCGCGCTCAAAAGATTTTATCTCATTTCCGAATTTTATATTTGAAAATAAAAATTGAAATTGCATGGTATCAAAATTTGCTAGGTATACTTTGATCGCATGGTATACTAAAATTGCTATGTGGCACCTAGCAAGTTTCCAAATTCGACCACATTAAAAATTATTTTACATAAATTTTACCTATACCATGCAAAAAAAAGTGACATAGTTCTCAAGTATACCCTTATATTTCAACATACATTGATTCATTTTTGTTTTCTTCCGGAGAGATTGTTGAACTTTTCCATGGAATCGGTGAATTCGTGGAAGTAGGTGTCTCGGAAGAGGAGGAAGGCACTGGAGGTGGTCGTATTGTAGAGGGTCTTTCTGTAATTTCATTTGTTGTTGTTGTTGTAATCACCTTCGGCGGCGTTGTAGACGTGCTCGTAGTAGTTGGTAAAGTGCTCGTCGTGCTTACGGTTGTTGTCGTATCCAGCGGTTCTCGGCAGTGCTCGCTATAAGCATGACCTAACTCGGGGTCGCAATAGGCCTCATGCGGAATCCACGGCGAGCCATGAACTTGAAGACAATCTGAGAGATCATACGAGCCGACAACTGCGACAACAGTCGCAAAAAGAACACGCCACTGACTCAGTCCCATCGATTATCTTAAGATTTAAAAATAATATTCAATTTGAAATTTCTTTTTATGGAAAAAACTTGAACAAGTTTACGTCATAAAACAGAAATTTTTCTTATTCTTCGTCAGAAGAGCTGCTGCTGCTGACCAAAGAAATGACGGCTTCCTTGAAGGGGTCGGTGACTGGGAAGGAACCCTCGCTGACTGTGTCAAGTGCATCGTCGAACTGCGAAGCTCCAAAGGAAGAACGAGCCGCGCTTTTTTCGACGTTCTTGACCTTCTTCTTGGTCTTCTTTTTGGTTCGGGTCTGGGTTGCGGGAGAGGAGGTCGAGGTCGAAAATGGCTCGATAACCGCGAGATCGCGACGGTGTTCTAATTCCGAAGAGAAAGACGAATTTCGACCTGGCCCTGCGTCGCTGGTCTTGTTGTCAAGGGCATCGTTTTCTTTCATTTCAAAAACGTCAAAATCGATCATGTTTTGGAACAGGTCGTCCAAGACCTTCTCACGTTTTTTGATGGCGAATTTGACTGCACCAACGTGATCCTCACATTGGTTCTCCTCGCGCAAGTGGAAATCGGCAAGGCCAGCGACGATTGGATCTGCAACGCCAAACTTAAAATTAAACGTTATTTTTTGTGCGTTATTATTTGTACATACCAAATTGAGGAAATTGAGATCCTCGGTGGGTGGCAAAGTGGCATTGCCGAACAAAAACATCGCCACCAATTCATCGGTAACCCCAAATTTGAACTTGGTGAAGAGGGGTGGAAGGGCGTCGTAGACGGCATCCATTGCGCGAATAAGCGCCATTTCGCCGATTTGCGCTTTTGTCAAATTCTTTCGGCGATAAGACGTATTGACCCCGATTGAGCGATTAAGGCGCTCTTGAAGCTCAGCAAAGGTCAGGATCCAATGCTCTTCCTTGGAATCTGTAGAGTGCCGTTTCTTTGCCTCGAGATGGTAGACAGCCGACATGCAGTCCGGAATTGATCGCCAGATCCGGAGCTCAAGCGATCGTTCAATAGCGCGTAGTTGCTTTGCGCACGGAGGCTGCTTGATTTCATCACCCATGCAGAGGACTTTGAAGGTCTAAATTTTATAAAAATGGGGTTTTTCATAAAATAGTACCTTCTCGTTGGCCATTGACGCTTCTAGAGCGTATGGCTGTTTAGCAGTTGTCGGAATGAAACCCGCCGCAAGCAGAAACATCGCCTTGTACGTCGCGAACGAGGTCGTATCCGTCGAGGGCCAGGGGAAGACCGTTTTGGCGCCAAGAGCATTCATCACATCGACAAGCTTGCCGACATGTCCAATAAGCTCATGTTCGTTGATGTTGACCAGGCGCCAATCATCATCGCCAAAAAACGCCCAGATGAAGAGCTTTTGGATAATGTAACGCCCAAAGAGGTCCTGAGCGAAGACAGGATAGAAACTGCCCAAAGTTTTCCACGGTTTGCGTGGCGTCTCTAGAATACCATACGGCGGGTAAGCAGAGTTAAATCGAGGGCCGTCGCTATTGTCGTTTGCAAGCAGATGACGGAGTTGCTTGCGTTGTTCTGTCGCCTTGTCGGTGGTCTTGGCAATCTTGGCGAGTTGCTGAAGATACCAGCCAAGTCGAGTATCGGCAAGTGACGCTGGGATTCCATCGCAAGTATCCACCGAAGTCGAGAAGATGCGCTGGAGGTCCTTGAGCGTCAAATTCCATCGTTTGGGCTTGTTATTGATGGTGCCGGCGGCGTCGCAATCTTCTGTCCAGTTCAGCTCGAATGGAGCGCGTCGCCCACCAACAACGACGTGCGCGCTTGGGGTGGGAACTGGGTTTTTTGGAACATTTACCGTTGGCCGCGGAAAATGCATTTGGCCAAGGCCTTCTTCCAGATCTTTAACAGCGGTCGGCTCTTCATTGACCGTCTCTCGTAGCTGTTTTGCCTTTTCGCGAGCACTTTGAGCTCGCTCTTTGTTTTTCTTGGCGCGTTCTTTTTGCGCTTCTTCTTCAAGGCGGATGCGGCGAGCTTCCTCTTGCTCTTCTTTGGACCAAACGTGACCCATGGAAATACATGGTCCGACTCCAAGCACCGCATCATCGAGCATATCGCCAAAATAGTGCTCAGAGGTTGGCGACAATTCGCGGCGAGTTCGCTCCTCGTTAACTCCAGCAACAGTGGGCGCTTTCGTCACAATGATAGATCGTGACGCCGAAGGTGACTTCTCTCGCTGCGGCTTCTCAGATCGTTCCTGGGACGATTTGCCAACCAAAAGCGCGCGGATGGCTTCAGGAGTAACACGGCGTCGACGTCGGCCACGACCGCGAGGAGATGCCCTGATTACCAACGGCAAATCGTCAAAGCCAGGTCGACCGGAAGATTTGAATTCGCTCGACACTTTGGATTCTTAAGGGGGCAAAAATGATCTTGATAACGTTAAACTTCATTATCATTTTTTGCACCTTCCTATGTCGGACAGTGGCGAAAGAGGCGGAGGAGAGACAGGATTGATGTACTCCTGGAGGGTGCGTTTTGGCTTTGACTTGGGATTGGCAATTGCAGCCGTGGAACCTGCATCCAAAGACTAAATGAGTTATATAAGAAAAACAAACACCGTCTCTATTTTACCTTGTTGGCGGGATTTGCGTTTTCATCGGCGACATCGTCAGAGCCACTCTTGCTGCGAGATTTCGTGTCCGCACCGTTGGACGGCGGCAAAGACCGATATCCACGATATTTGGGATACGTGAACATCCTGAAATTGTTATTTTTGGACACTGGTCAGTGCGACACATCAAGCTCAAAATGTACAGTAATAAATGTGCACTAAGTGAGCGATAACTGGACAGTAAATAAATGGCGAGAAAATCATTTCTCGCCAAAGTTTTCCTTGAGCTCGTCAATCATTTGTGCATAGCGAATGTCCGGGCCGGGCTTGAAAACATGTTCCGCTGGGACGGCGTGCATCATTGCAGTTCCTTCTACATTAGCTGTTAAATTGAAATTTGTAAAAAGACAAACCGTTATGAGCCGGATTGAAGTATTGAAAGGGGAAGAGCAACCCTTCGTTTGCAACGACTTTCGGATAATCGTCAGCGGGAGCAGCAGTGGCAGTTGGCTTTTCATCGATGCCAAGAATGGCCAGAGCTTTCTGTTTCTTTGGCGACGGGGTTTTTTGACGAATCTGTTTTTTCTTGAGCGGCGATTGCTCTTTCACCGCCTGCTCAATTGCCGCATATTTTGTAGGAGTGAGCTTGAATTCTGCGGTGTAATAACCGCACAGCAACGAAGTCGTCAGCCTTGGCGGATTTTTTCGGACCGCTAAACAAACCGGTTATTCATATTTTCGCCGTTTTCATAATTTACCGTGAGCAATTTGAAGCGCCGTTTTCCCATAAAGAGTAGCGCGTCTTTGGGCACGTTTGATGAGTCCTCGTTTCTTTTTCTTCTCGGGCGAAAGACGAGGCGAAGCAGAGCTTGGCGATTTTCGACCAGACGACGTCCGCTTGCGTTTTCCGGCTAGGAAACAAGATTTTAATCGACATAAAGTTGATTTGTCGCTTACCTCGGTACTCAAAGATAGGGGAGCATTGTGGCACTGTTTGCAATGGAGCGCCGCGCGTGGCCTTTCGCTTCGATCCAATCACCTTGCCCAGGAGACTGCAAACGGAAATAATTGTTATTTTTGTTTTGATGCGAAAGCACCTACTTTTCCCCTTGTTTTGCCGCCTTTTGCATCAATTTGATGGCGATAGGAGATTGAGTAGCCATTTCCATGGCATCCGCGAACCGTTTTTTGGAACGGAAAATTGGCGTATCCGGCCTTGGGGTCTTAGCCTTCAACAATCGATCCATACTCCGCTACGACGTCTATTGATAAAACAAATTGACAAATAAGTACAGATACTATGCATTTAATTACAAGCGGATGGATTAACAAAGGATGAAACATAAATGCGTGATAAGTAAGCGTACAAATTAACAAGCAAATTTACGTTGGCGAATTGTAGAACTGATTGAAATAGATCCAACTCTCGACGCGCCAGAATCGAAACTCACAATCGCACATTTGAGCAAGCCCCTGCATTTCCAACGGAAGATCAAGATTCTCTTCCTACATTTATGTTAAAATCCATATACAAAAAGCAAAGATTACCTTGTAATTAGCGATTGTGAAGATGATCTGTTTTCGCAGCCAATCGTTTAGCATGAGCTTTCGATAGTTGAAAACCTTTTTGGAGAATTTGACGGGAAGAAATGTCGTTTTGCCAAACTGATTTGATGTGAATGACTGTTTCTGTGACATTTAGCACTTACCAGCTTGAAATGATGAACATCGAGAGCGCTCGTCAACACCTGTTGTCGTTGCTGCTCTTGACGTTGAGCTAAGAGTGTTTCCTCTTGCTCAGTGCCCGATACTCGATAATCGTCGCTACTCCATGACATCCTAAAAATGTTAAAATGTTTTTATCTTAAAGATAAGGTGAGCTTCATTGACAAGTTTAAAGCCGTAATCGTTTGTCGGTCAAAAAAGTGAGATTAAAAAGGACGTTTGAAAAAGGAAGAAAAAGCTAGATCATTTTTTCAGTCAGTATAAAGTTAGATCATTTGGGAACTTGTGGAGGATAAGGGCACGTGAAATGGAGCAAACGAGAAATTTAGGTCAGTAAACGTCAAAAGGGATAAATGATTATAAGTGGCTGATAAGCAGCAAAAATTAAATGAAGCAAATTTGGTGGCGACAGGAAATACTAGTCAGGAACTTGGATGGTTTGAGAAGTTACTCAAAGAGTAACAATGGTGGCGGCAGGCTCAGTAGCTAGATATAAAACAAGATTAGAATCACAAAAATAAGTTTGAAATTCGGACCTTGTCGAGTGGAAGGGTCCGAGCGCAAGTTGTTCTCTCCAGAGCCTTCTTCGGATGCGTCTTCGTTGTCGTCGACGTATTCAACGACGGAGGCTTCAACACCATCGGCGGAAGCTTCGACGCCATCGGCGGAGGCTTCAACGAGAGCTGCAGTCGGGCCAACTGTGGCCTCGTCGCCAGCGACGTCAACTGGCTCGTCTTGCTCGTTGGCCGCTTCAATCACCCCGGTGTCAGCATCGTCGCCGTCAAGGACGAGCTCGTCGACCATCTCGGCTAACTCGTCAACCATGTCAAAGGGGCTCGATCGCGGCTCATGGAAGCCAGCGTCGCCAAAGTCCTCTTCGATGCGACGATTAGCGTCCAGAAGCCCTTGAAATCCTGGCAAATTAATCAAATTTTTAAATTTAAAAGTTTACCTGGTTGCTTGGAGATGCTCGTAAAGTCGCTGTTGGTGGCCCATTTGGTAGAGACGGTCGACGTGGTGGAGGGAGCGGAGGTAGAGCTAGCGTCATCCATGTTGGCGCCTTCTTCTGCTTCGGAAACATCGTTGCCATTGAGCGAAGGAGGCGATTGAGAGAGGGAGATGCTCCATCGGCCGTTGTCAACGGCGAACGCACACTGGCAGTCGCAGATGTTGCCGACTTCCTTGCACTCGTCGGTCAAAGATCGGCGCACTCGTCGGTCGTCGACCAAATACGATCGCCGTATGCGAAGAAGCTCATCCTCTGGCTCTTGGATTACGGGTGGTGTTTGAGCGCCATTTCTATAAAACCCATTTTAAACTGTCCTTCTTTGAAAGAGCACTTACCGAGGATTATTTCCAGGCCAGCCGATGCCATAGGTCGACGGCAAGCAAGCGCGACTAGCAGCAATAAGGATGTATATCGCTACAGCAGCGATTGCAGCAGTCGCACAGGCCACAGCCAAGCATCCAATATCAAAACGCGGGGTACAACCAAACATCGTTTTCTACAAAATCGATTAAAAATTGAAAGAAATCGAAATTTACTTACGATTTCGGTGGTGGTGGTGGTTGGAGCTCGAGTCGGCGCTGGAATCCGCGCCGTAGTGGTGGGCATAGAAAGGACAGCTCCACCTGCTACGTTGACGGGCTGAGGAGGGGCAAGAGAAGTCGGTTTTTCGGTCAACAAGCGTTGAGAAACAGGGCTCAACGGAGACTCGAAATGAGTTGTTTCAGGCAGCGTCGAGCCTGGAGCAGCAGTTGTTGTAGTTGCTCCGCCGGTGGCAAGTTCCGCGCCAAGCACCTCGGAAGTTTGAGCGGCATGCTCCTCGTGAGAAGCAGCGGTGGACGTCATTCTGGTGAAGGACGGATGTAAGGGCATCGATTCTCTAATAATCTCTGTAAATACGGGTTTTTGAAAATCGATTACCGTGGAGTTCGCGGACGAACAAATTGGAACTCGTCAGGAGCGTTGACAATCTCCTCTCGCCAGACTGGTAGAGATCGAAGTGAAGTGGTTGGGCTATCCGCTCGTCGGCTGCCACCAGAATTTCGGTGATGGCGCTGGTGACGAGGGGTTGAAGGCCGAGAATCTGACCGAGCCGATAGTTGTTGCTGGGAACGAGCGTTCGGCGGATCCATCAGAAACATGCCCTTTATACTTGATTATCTGAAAAATGAATCCCCGTTAACTACCGTAAACACTCGATTTACAGGGTGCTGAGAAATGAAAAACAGATAATCAGAAAATAAAAGGATCCCGATCAGCGGAATTTCTCTCAAAAGCCGCGACTTTCTCTTACGATCAGCAATTTTTCTAACAATCGGCAACTTTCTCTTTACGAAATTAAAAAACGCCGGCTTCGAAAAATGCGAGATGGGAGAATAAGCGAGCGACAGGAGAAGATTTTCAAAATCTCGAAACACGATTTTTCCGATTTCCAGACGCACGCGTGCGCCGCCGCTACTTCTAGACTTAACACTCAACCTGCTCGTCGACAATTTTCATTTCGAGATTTCAACTAGCAAGATGCGATTAATCACGATTTACAAATAATGACACGTAGACACAAAAGTTCAAATTTTGTAAAAAAATTTTTTTATTTCTAGAATACAAAAAGTTCTTATTTGACAAGCAATTATTTTTTACAGCTTGTTAGATGAAAAAGATGGTGTTTCTTCACCTAAAAGCTTGAGCACCAGTTTTCTTGACCTTGAACAGAGCAGGCAAATCATCTGGTCGTCGTCCAGTGACTCGGAGGGGCGAAGCAGAAACTTGAGCGTGTCCATACTCGCCATTCTTGAGGTTGAAGACAAACTCGCTGGTCTCGAGAAAAATGGCGGTTTCCTCGAACTCGAGCTCGGCGATGAGTGCAGCCAACTCTTTGTTTCTGTTCGCCAAAACCTGTTCCAAGATGTTGACGGCTCGAGTGAGTTTGTCGGGCACTCGATTGACTAGAAAGATTTTTAGTCAAGAATATTTAATTGAAAATTTGAAAAATAAAACTTACTGCAACTGTCGTAGTGCATATAACCGTAAGTAGTTCGTCCCATACGGTTACTAATGGGAGCGAAGAGCCATGGAGTCGCCACGTCGTTTTTCCAGTCCTTGTAGCGAAGGACTTCGGTGTTGGTCTTTTCAGGATCTTTTGTAAAGACCCCATAGGTTACATCAACATGGGCGGCTTTTCGCTTCGCCAATTCGGGATCACCGTGCTCAGAGCCAGCGACAGACAAAGAAGAAAGATCGTCAATGCGATGGTAGAAATGATCCCGCTCAGGATTGTCACCAGGTCGGTGGAAGCGGGATTCTTCGAGGAAGTTGCCTTCGCGCTGTCGGTTGGCAAAAACCCCAGCTTCAAACTCGTCTCGAGTTTCGCGCTCCTCTTGTTCAACGTCGTTGAGAAGAACTTGGGTTCGTAGAATAGCATCCTCGTCGAGACACTCGTCCATGTCGACCAGGGTTTCGTCGCCTTCAACGTTGCCCGAAACGAGGATAGTTTCATCAGCGCCAACATCTCCAACTGGAGCATCGAAGTCGAGATGTCGACGGAAGCGACGAGGAACGTCACTCTCATCGACCATTCTCGGGAGAGCATCTGGAGATTCCAGAAAAGTTTGGTCATTGTCGGCACGGGGCTTTTCAACACGACCAGCGTTGCCACATCGCTTGACCGTAGCCGTTGACTGTAATAACGATACCATGTCCAAAAATAAATGCACAAAATTCTTACCTTTTTGGTAGCCTTCCTTGCCATCGTGAAATGCCGTTTTTTGCTCTTGTTAGTTTGCGTGTCAAACAAAAACTGATTCGAATGCAATTTTCAGCCCTTTATATAGACTTTGCTGAGAAATAACAAGGCGTTCTAGAATATTTGAAGTTTATTTTTCGAATAATCAGTACAGAAAAAACTTGTAGAAAATCAAGGAGGAGACGTTGCTAGTCTACAGGTTTAAAAAACTGCGCACAAGTAAAAAGGGCGAGAAAAGAAAAGATGATTTACATTTATATTTTTCATCACCATCTTTCATATAGTTCTTTTTCATATAAATTTCTCTAAATAAAAACAGGTTTTTTCATTTTGTCTGTAATAGACCAAAGTTACTCATTTTGACATTTAACATTTAACACGAAATAGACGAGAGCATTGTTGTAAACTTACTAAAAGAAAATTGAAACTAAACATTTAGTGTTAATCAAAAGTTCATTCAAGCATTTCACTGGTAGCAAGACCAGCAAAATAGGAAAAAGATCGAAATTTCAACAGATACAAAAATCAGTCCTCCAATTGTCAAACTGACAAAATGGATCAAAAGCCCTATCTGACAGATTCCCATTAACGTTGTTACGTCGGTAAGAATGTAGAATAAAACTATTGGTAAAAGATACACTGAACACTAAACACAGAAATGCCTATCAAATGAAAAGACTTTGTACCCCAAGCTGCTCAGCTTGAGTGATCGTCAATCGTTTCTTCGTCAATTTTTTCCGCACCGTAACTTTCATACCGAATTAATAAAGCAATCTCTGCGCTCCTTCGATCAAGATCAGTTTTCATTCCTCGATTTCGGATTAAAGCACAAAGCCAAAAATAAAACTCATTTCTGAGTACTGTGTATATCGTTGGCTTTGTACCCGTACAAAGTGATTTCTTCGATTGAGATCTTGCTTTTTAGCGAGTTGAGAAACGCGCCATCATTTACTCGCAACTAGAATCAATGCTCCACCACACTCGAATATATGTCGACGCAGAGACTTTTATTTACAACTTTATTGAGAGATTCATTTTTGTTGATTTCATATATGATCAAACTTAAAGGGGGCCTAAAGATCAATCGAGTTGAGACGCTCGTTTGAACTTTCGTCTTTCTATGGGTTTGACCCTATAATCGACACTTTCTTCACGCAACTTCCGGAAAATCAAAACTGGGACATTAGCCATCAATATATCAATATGTGGTGGCGCTTTCGTAAAGCGTATAAAATATGATGGAACACGAGTTTTATCACAAAAAGATGAAATGATTTCAGAGAAAGAATGAAGGTATATTACAAAATTGATGGCTTTTTAATAAACTTTTTAAAATGAGACGAGAACAGCGATAGGCACACAAAAGTTAGAGTATTTGAAAATGAAACAAAACTATCGATAGTCATTTGATGGAACAAAATTCCCTTTCCACTGCTATTGAAAATAAATACAGTAAAATGCTATAAAAAGCCTGTAATCTCCTGACTCTTGTTTATTCGACAGTTGTAAAATACGCAAAATGCAGAATCCGCTAGAATTTGATAGAGTTATGGATGAACTTGCCCTGCGCTTGGAAGCATTTCATATATTTTATCATCTTGAAGACAACGATGAGAACGTCTACATTTCATGAATTTTTGTTTTATTTAGTTGTGTTTTATGTTAAAATGAGAGAGAAATAAATTGATTAATTTTCTACGAAATGTGTGATATCCAATCTTGCAACACAGTTTCATTTTAGCATCCCTTTTTTGTTTTATTTTTGAGTTGATTTTAAGTGCTAAACAGTATTATGGCGTAGGAGATACAGTTTGCTCAGACGACAAAAATTGTGATTCATCTAGACGATCTTTGGCAGCATGGGATGAAGTTGGTTGAGGTTGAATTGAAGTATGAGGTTGATCTAAATTTACTATTAGCTACTGCATCTGCGATTAGTTTTGGTAGAGCGCATTAGTGCGTATCAAACCCTTTTTTTACAAGTTAATATTTGAAAGATTTAGGGAAAAGAGAATTATGATTTTTAGGTTGAGGTACCTTTGTAGCTCTCAGGTGAAGGGACGGAGAAAAACTTAGATTCATTGGAGTCGGCGGCGTCAAGTTGAAGAACCATAAACCTAAAACATGATTAGTTGAATATGTAAATATCTTATTAAAATGAGTTGAACATAAATATAAAACCAATTTAGGATGGAAAAATCGAATTAGCACTAAAATGATTTTCAACCCTTTTTTACAATTTAACCTTTTTTCATACCTTGAAAAGATTGAAAGAAAACCAAGTCGCGGTGTATAACTTACGTAAGCCGGAAGTCGATCGAATCTTCTAGAAGCGCGCTCACGTGAGCCCATCGTAAAGGTTAATCCGCAGCTTCGAGCACTGGTCCACCGGCGCCACTCGCTCCAAGCCATCAGATCAGTTTCTTCGTTTTACTAAAAATGAATTTTAGCCCAATTTTACTAAAAATAGTTTGTTTGACCCTAGGACGATAACATCGGCAGATTGTATTAATTGCAGACGGCGTACCAGTTGTACCGCACCTGCGCGCTGACATTTAAGATGCAAAAATTTTTTTTTCGAGTATCAAAATTGCAAAGTTAAAAACCAACGAGAAAAATGGCTACCAGCCTTATCAAAGTTGTTCTCGAAAGTATGATACTTGGATGCTGCTTTTGCTTACTTATGTCCGCTACTTTTGCCGCTGTTGTCTTTATAGTTATAACTAACCTCCCACCCATCTACAGTGGTCAAGAACTTTACCCTCACCGCTACAAACCATAAACACTCTGCTAACTTACCAAATAAGGAATAAACAGAAATAAATTATTCGACCAACTTAAAATTATCAGTTTTAACAGACTAAGAAACAAAGTTAGCTCAACCCTTATTTTGACCTTCAACCCTTTTTGACCTTGATCCCTTTTGGGTCATCATACCATGAGTTCATTTCGATCTGAAGAGCAAAAGTTGGCCATCGCGTCGCCTCGGGCCGTGAGTGCCAGGGAACAGTGCTTCATTTTCAACAGCCAATGAGCGTCAGAGAAAACGCCAGAACATCAGTCACTACTATAACTACTCTCGTCAGCATTGATCAAACCGTTGTTGCCAGTCATGTCTTAACAAACTTTTAGCTCAAAATACCCAGGGATGTCATTTACCCGTTCTGACGTATCCCGGGTGAATGATTCCAACCGAAACATCGACTTTTTTGAAGTCATGCTTTAGCGATGTAGCCGCTGCGTTCAATGCTGCTTTGGACATTCTGTAGCCATACATGCCTCCAGAACCGTTATCAGCGATTGATCCCATTCTCGAAGTGATGACATTGAATTTAGATCCAGCTTTGAGTCTTCCTTCAACACCCTTCGCAACGCGGAGCGGACCGATGGCGTTGACGTTGAATTGGTTGAGTATTCCTTCGGAGCCAGGGAGATCGTCAAACGACTCTCGGTTTAGGACGCCAGCGTTGGCGACGACAATATCGAATGCTTCGGGAAACGTGGAGTTGTTTTTGATCAGTTCAACAGCTTCATCCTAAAAAATTATAATACGCGGTTTAGGTCTTTACCATTTTACCTTGCCGACGTCAATGTTCTCAATAACAGTGACATTCTTGACTTCTTTTAGACTATCAGATGCTTTTCGACAAGTCGCCCAAACAGAGTCACCGCGAGCAGCAAATTGTCGAACGAGTTCGAGCCCAATGCCACGGTTAGAACCAACGATCAAAACTTTAGCCATTTCTGAAATGTACGAGTTCGGAACTATTGTTCTAATTATTATATTGTCTGTTAATATGTGGAGGCAACTCTAATTTATAGGAACTAAAAGGGTAAGTGGGCGAGTTCGGGAACTAAGCATGTTTTTAAATTGAAGTTATTTCCATTGGCTGTGAAATAGTTAGGCAGTCGATCGTAGCTTTGGCATCGAACTGAATTTTGAAGACTCGGCCACTGTGCATTTCATTAGCTTTGTTCTGATTCAAAACTAAAGTAGAGTAAATGATAATTATTTCAAGTCTGATTCAACCTCTGAAGCAGACTTCTTTGAGCACATCTTCGTTTGTCCAAGGGTTATTCTTTGAGAACCCTCGCTTGAATTTAGCAAATTTGGCGAATGGGTTTATTCCATTGTACTGCTTTGGAATCGTGCAAGCTTCAGCAACTCGTCTTGCATGGCCAGTTAGCTCTATTCGTATAATCGGACAGGTAATTTGCTTCAATCTATTCGGTAAATAGAAAATATCTTTGTTGTCGACAATTGCGGGTGCGCCACAGTCAATAAGCTCTACTAAAATTCTCGTTGATTTCAAATATTTATTCTGTTCGATTTACCTTTCGATTTGAAGTCATCTCTCTCCAGCACAAGCGCTCTGTAATACATGAATTTGTCTTCAGTGACTAAATTGGTGCGAACTAATACGAGCTCATCCTCTTCTTCGACTTCTAGATCTTCTTCATAAATCCGATCTTGGATTTTTGGTGGAAATCGGTCTGCGTATTGAGCTGATGTTTTTGACCTTCTTCTCGTTTCTTATATGGATGCTGAAGAACAAAGACGGCCATCAAGTGATGTGTTTGCACGTGGCAAATTTGAATTAGTGCCGAATCTTCGAGAATAGAATCTTCTAGTGTCGGCAGGAGTTCTCTGATCTTGTTTGATAAATTATGGAACTGGTGGGATGACATTTGAACTTCGCAATCGAAACTGTGGCTGAGTGATTCAGAGACAAGCCACGGCGACTTTTTGGTGATCTTCTTCTTCAAATTGATGAATTCGGCTGGTTTCTCCGGGTCTATTTCGTCCTCACTGTCAAGGAAATTTAAGAAATCTTCTTCGTTCTCCTCAATCTTGAAATCATGGAGGTGAATGGCGAACTTGAGTCCAAGGCTTCCAAAGGCTTCTCCTCGCTTATATTGCATTTTTTTCAAGTGATAAAATTCTTTATGATAAAAGTTATAATCTTTCGGCCATCCAGCTGTTACTGAAACAATCTTCTTTGGTTCCAATAAATGTTTTTTTGTATTTTTTGGAAATCTTCCAATAGTTACGAATGGGGGAATGTTTTTTGGATGCAACTCTTCAGGAAGCATCTTTAGCTTGCTGCATTCAGGATGATAAATCTTTCCAGAGTCGATGTCCATCGCAATCACTGTTTTCTTGTCATTAGCAAATTTTAATATCTTCACTCGCATCAGAAAAGTTTTTTGAGACGTGTAAGAGGTGAATTCGGCAGCTTTGTAGCACTCTGATTTATCGTCAAGTTGTCGATCTTCCATATCTTCCTCAACGATGGGATCCAGTTCCTTCCATAATCTACATAACAACTCAGATATCGCCTGTGATCCATAGGTTGTATTTGCAGTAATCCCACAATAACGATTAGTCTTGTCAATATAGATGATTTCGCCTTCGACCTCTTGGTTGAGTCCAATAGACTTCCATTTGCGCATCCAATCGAAGAGTATTTGGATTCTTCCCCAATGGCCTTTCGTGAATTTTGGAGAAATAGGCGGCATGAGTCCAAAAGGAACTGGCTCGATTGGTATATTCAAGATGGGAGAACCGGGAGGGATCAGATAAATCTTCTCTGGGTAACAGAATTCAATTTTCTTTTTGAAAACAAGATAAACTGGCAACTTGAGTATTTGGTTTGCAAACGATGGTCTTGAATTCAAAGGAATCAATCCACATGACCATTCTCCGTTCAAAAGCACGAGGACGGCTTCCGAAGGATATGGAAATCTTGGAGTGTTAGACCTGACGGTTGAAATGGCTTCATCGAATATTTTTACGATTTTTTTACGAGTGAGATTGATAATATCGATTTCATTTGCATTGATGCTCCATGTTGATTCTGCTTTCTGTTTTTTGACCGCAATGCTCATTTTCTTTTTCTGATCCTTTGCCGCTCTATACGCTGCAAAATTGTACGCAAGGAAGTAGTCGTCGCGAATTTCGTGGGGAATCTCCCCATTTAGGTCCCGATTTCCTTTCCAGCGATTATCCACAATTTCTGCGAATGCAAAAATGCCTTTCTCTTGGAAATAAATGTCGGTTCGGCCATTCATTTTCTTTTGCTCTATAATTTCATTGTTGACAACTTTATGATCGAACAAATTTAGGTGCATTAAAAAGTAAAAGAGAGTGTCTGGAATTATAAACAGGAAGAGGATAAGGTAGGCAACAAAGAACTCATTCTGGGAGGAAATTTACAGCTGGGAAAATTGAAACATAGAAGCTTTAGGTTAATAGAGGTCAAGTGTGGCGTCGTTGCGAATTTGACGGATAGGAAGTTGAAGTCGAAGAGGATCACGAAGTCGGTGCAGTTTATTGTTGATCACATGAAGTCGGCGCATTTTTTCGTTGTACTCTGAAAATTTATGAGAATCTTAAAATAGAATAAGACGATTTTCAATAAGGAATTCTGAGTGAAATCCTTACCCCTCTTTTTTATTAGCTCATTTGAAAGAGCGTAAAAAGTTATGCCAGATTCCACCAAAAAAGGATGAAATTTTTGAAGTTATGACGTCATAGCACGTGATTGAAGTTCCAAAAGTACCTTTTCTTCCGGACATCGGCGTTTCCGACTACTCTAAGGTACGCAGGCATGCGATACATGAAAATGATCGTCTTGTCGAGCTCTACATCGGCATCCAAGTCTCAAACCTTTTCATCCCTTTTTTCTCGAAATCAATATTTTCAGCAAACAGCTGATTTTAAAAAGGGATGGAAGAATAAATTACAAGGGTTGAAACCAAGATGCCGATGTAGAGCTCGACAAGACGATCATTTTCATGTATCGCATGCCTGCTCAGCTAAGAGGACTTGGAAATGCCGATGTCCGAAAGAAATGGTACTTTTGGAACTTCAGTCACGTGGCACGAGGTCAATATTTTGAAAATCTCTGGAATTTTCCAGTGTTTCTAGTGTAACTTTTTACGCTCTTTCTAACAAGCCAATAAAAGAGGGGGAGAAGGATTTCACTCAGAAATCCTTATTGAAAATCGTCTAAAACTCACCAGGAATATCGAGAGTAAGAGAAGGTGCCATCTTATGGGTATACAAGAGCTTAAGTCGCTGCTCATAGGAATCGTAATTAGGCGCAGTTTTAGAGAGAACGTAAAACCCATATAAAGCAACAGAGGTACTATAAATTCCATTACTACGACAATTATATGCCTTTTCCTACCCATAAGTTATGAAGTAAGTGACAGGTTCCATGATGTCCCAAGAGTACTCCCACCAAGTGAGGCGAGCGAGAGCTGACCACTGGAAGACCATGTAAGCCAGAATTCCGTATTGGATGGCTTTCGTTTTTGCTTCCACTTTTTGGACTAGTACATCGTTTGCTTCAAAGAAAGGTTTCATTTCTTTCATGAGAGCTTCTTTTTCTTTCAGAAGTTCTTCTTCTTTCTCATGTTGTTTCGCCTTGAATCAGTTTTGAATTGATTTGCACGGTTTTTGAGTTACCTCAATATTCAAGGCTGTGTAAATCTTGGCTACTTGATATCTCATCTCGTTAACCCCATTATCGGCCGGGACTGATGGCGAGTAAACTTTTTCAGAGACTTCCATCGGGACTTTGATGTTGTATTTTTTCTTGTTGAGCTCCAGATCGAACTCTTTTAAAAGAAGCAGATGACAAAATGAGGTAGATTTTGCAAGGCGTTCGCCGTTCTTTAGAAAAACGCTAAGGTTATTTATTTGTTAAGGAATTACCGTTGTAAAGCAGTCAGCTTGATACACTCCTCCATCCGTCTTCTGAATGTCTCGAAGAAGAGATCCAACAGTTCCTGTAACAGGCTTGCAGGTGAACATCACTGGATCACCTCGAGACGGGAGTGGCACGGTCAAGATCGGGTGCCCATGTTGGTAGGTTAGAGTAGCCGACTCAAACCTAACGCACAAGCGAAGGTACCTTTGTCTCGACAGAATCATTCTGAAGCATTAAGAGTAAGCATTGTATATTTGTATTTCATTTCATAAATAAATAATCAAGAAGAATGCTTCTAAAATAATTGACCGTTAACGGATTTGGTAATTTTATGAAACACGACTCTTGCACTTCATTTTATCGAGGTAATATTGTTGAATCGTAATTATTAAAAGAATTTATGGGCAATCAGTTTTAAATTAGATAGCACGCAATGTAGTCAATTTATTTTCCTCTGCTTGCTCGCTGCTTGAGCATTTTTCTCCGTACAAACCAGCCAATTGCTTTTTCTGGTACTGAAAAGACACTTTATAGTGGGAAGACTCTAATCAAACTTACTAAAATTAGATAGCCAGCTTTGCATAGCATGAGGTGCTGTCTTTAGGTTTAACACTTGTGTCCTTCGGGTGTTTGTCTAAATTAAGGCGCGAAGAGGCTAAATTTCAAAAAGAAGATAAGTCAAGATCAATTAAACCCTTCGCATAGCCGTGAGTTGTCACGAATCTTCCAATAGTTCCAAGTGCTTGTCTTGTGTATTCTTCGGCAGAGGGAATCATCGTGGTGTAGCTGTAGTTATGCTGAAGCTTGTTTTGAGTCAGTTTGGTAGCGACGTAGTAAGGTTTGATAGATTGGAAGTCGACCCCAGTGCCCGCGTATTCATAACTCATATTTATTGCCAATTGATCAAGAAGTTTCTTTCCCGCTGCATATGAGCTTTGAAATGGTGTTGGCTGAGTTGAAGAGCCTTTTCGATAAAATTAGAAAAGATTAATCTGATGGTCAAACCTGAAGAAACATAAACAACAAGACCAGATTTCCGCTCAACCATTTTTGGAACAATCACACGGGATAGCTGCGTCGCAGAAACCAAATTTACATTGATGTGATCCCACGACAAATTCGGATAGTCTGCGTCCATTTTATGGATCATCTGCGGAAGCGGATACGAGACACCAACAAAGTTCATAAACACGCCAATGTCCAAGCTAGCTAACTTCTTTTCAAGCGCTGGATAGTCAACATGCCCAGCGAAGTCCGCTAGAATCTCAATCGTCTGCACTTTAGAGTTGATTTCTTTCATTTCGGCCGTAAGTTTGCCGAGTTTCTCACGATTGCGACCGATCAGAACGAATTTGTCTATTTTCCGGCACATTCTCAGGCAGTAAGCTTTTCCTATTCCGTCTGTGCATCCTGTCATTACAGCGTAGCCTCTTTAAAATTACATTATGTAATTTACATATGAACGCGTGAAAAAAGGCTTATTCTTTTACCCGTAAGACGCGAATTTCTCATCATCAGGATCATTAGCCATCTGCCTCATTAGATAAAACTGGGTAACTCCAACATATACGCCCCATAAAATGCCAGCTAAACCAGCCAAAAAGACCAGCCCCATTCTGAACAAACCGTGATCGTTCGTTTATCGAAATTGATCTTTATTTAACTCAAACAGAACTTCGGAACAAACAATTGGGGAATAAATAAGGAGAAATCAAAGCCATGCAGCTAATGAATTTAGCTGCACGCACTCATCACATTTTGTTGTTGTTGAATCACGGGCACATCTTAGACAGTAGTCGTTTCTTTTTCTATACATCGTATAAAATCATGTTACATCGTCTCGATCGAAATTATAGCTTTTGCATGTCCTTCTCGCAAAGTTTCTCGAACTCGTCGGAGCTTGAATATATTATGACTAACGATAGGGACAACTAATATTTACTTTCTTCCCGCCGCGCCAGCGAGTCCAACTCAAAGGGAATGGCAAGAATCGCCCGGCTAGACAAAGCCGCCGACTTATCGATTTCGATACTTGTCACGGTGTGTTTGTAGACAAGTCCGTCATCGTTGACGTTGAGATGGGAAATGAAGGTGTATACTTTTGGCCGACCAGCGGAAAGAAACTTCAATCTCTCTTCACCATGAACGGTCCATTTGAATTCGAGAATACCGAGCCGCGCTTTGATATCGGAAGACATCAAAGTTACAGTTGGATTGGAGAGTTCCGCGGTGACGAATGTCTTCGCAATTTCGACACCGCCACGGAGACTTTTGACGCCGTTGAATTCTCGGCGACTGAATTTTTCATTATTTAAAAATCACGTTTTGCGTTTTACCTATCGAGTCCATACTCAATCACAAGTTTACAATCCTTCGTGTAGATTGTATAATCATGATGAACGTAAGCAGGATAAAGCAGCTGAGGAATCTCTTCTCTCAACTTTTGATGAAGCTTGTGCAGTCGGTGCTCCTAGAAAAGATTGATTCAAAGAGCATCAAGCACTCAAATTACCTGATCGCTTATTCCACGTCGCTTTCGACTTCGCCTGGCTTCATTAGGATCAGTTGTTGAAAAAGCATCTAGTGAATTTCATTTGGTCTTGCAAAGATGTAAACGAAACAAACCTAGGAGCTCATCAAACTGCCTCTCCATTGACAAGAGCTCGATTTGATCTTGCTTCGCTGGCACGAGCTCCTGAAATCATGATGATATTGAGATCGAGGAAGAGAAAGTGCGAACCTGAGATGGCGGAAAATGAAGAGATGGTAACCGACTTGTTTTTACAGGTTGCAAACCTTGATTGGGATTTACGCAAATAAAGCAAGAAAGAAATAAGCAAATTCTATTCTGTTTAACCCCTCCCTGCGGAGCGATTCACTGCTGCTCTTCGCTTGATTCGAGAGGCATTGAGGATGCCTCGTTGAGCCGACATAACACGATTCAATCAAAGATAACTCTGTATCTCAAGAGATATTTATTGAAGTTTTGTTTAGTTTTTCAATTGTGAATTAATAATTCATAATTATTAAGTTGGTAAGGCAGTGAAATCGTGCTGTACAAAAGATATTACAATCGTGATTTTTTTCTTAGGGTTTGCTTAGATTGTGCTTGGTTGGGTAAATTAGGGCTTCGAATTTTTTGACATCTTCTCCGAGCTAAAGTGGAATATTAAATATTCGACGAGAATTTAAGATCATACCTTTTTTAGGTCAGCGTCGAATTCTTTCTTGCGGGAAGAGAAGTTTTTATTTCTGTCCGAAAGATTGTCTTGAGTAAGGTTATTTAAAAGAGAGTTTAAAAAGATCTCTTACCAAGTTCTGTGAGCATGTTGCGTGCATCACGAGTAAAAGCGATTTCACTACCCGAGTCGTTCTGATTTTGTCGGTTTAGTTTTCTTTTCTTCGCGTCCGGCAAGCCTGTTTCGGAGTTTCCCCGCTTGTTTGATGTTTCATTTGCACTCGCAGGTGGGGGATTGGACGCGGGTATATTGATAGAATTTCGAGACGGAGACAAAATTCTAGCGATTACAGGCTTTGGCGCAGGAGTGATATTTGTTGGATGAACTATCGCCATGCTTGGTTTCGAAGCTGCCTCCATCTTAGGCTTCTCTGACTGAGACTGTAAAGAGATCTTCCTAGGTTAGTTTACGATGGTCGGTTATTATAAATCTGTATAATACAGAGTCCATATTACAGATTACGTATTTCTATCCTAAATTTTGACCCAACAGATGAAGAATCAACAAAATAGACCTCTCCTTGGAAGGAAGTTGGTCAACGATGGCTCCGTCACTATCAACTTCGGCGATTTCCACGGGCTCGGTGACTGCTGAAATAGCTTCAACTCCTGAATTATTTCGCTGGTCGTATTGTTTCTTTAGCTTCTTGCATTCCTGTTTATGTCTTTTCCAGTCCTTACACTGGCATTGTCGGCTGCAGTAGAAGACCTTGCAAGTGGAACAACGCAAGCCTGGATGCTTTCTACAACCGATAGCTCTGCAGACTCTAAATTAATGAGTTAATTATTACTTTTGAAGCAATAATAGACTTGTACCTTTTTTCTTGTGGCAGCGTCTCAGAGCTAGTTTTACTGGATGGAGTCTCAGCTGGAGGCTTTTCTGGAGATTGAGAGCAATTGGTCAAATCAATAACATCGGGAACAGATTGATGGCTTCCGTTCAGAGAGGTTCCACGCGATGACATTTTCGGAGAGTTCATATCCTTGTAGTGCGCAGCTGAAGTGAGAGGAACATCGTCTAAGTGCATTGTTACTGAGGCAAGGATTGTCTTCGCTGGACTCGTAACAACTTTTTCTAGATTTTTCTGAATAGACTCTGAGTCTGCGATCGCGCCTTGCTCTTTCTCTGGCAACGGAGTTGAAATTGTCGGTTGAATGGACACTTCTTCCGAAATTTTTCCTCATCTTTAGTTTCAGTCTCAACTGGAACAGTTGCAACAGCAGATGGCTCAGTTTCCTCTTGCGCCTCTCCGTCGTCTTGTGGAGGCTTCGCTGATTCAGATTTTTCAGGCTCGGCTGAGGATTTATCGCTGTTCTTTTCAGGTACTTCTGCTTCTTGATTATCTTCCTGCTGATCTTTTTCTTTTGATTCGGCCGCTGACTTGATACCGTAGTCACTTGTAGCGGGCGTATCTAGCTTGTCCAAATCGATGGGATTATCCGAATCATCCATCTTTTCCAGCTCCTCTAAGATGGTCAGAGGTTTCTTTTGGGAAGATCCTTCCATCACTTCTTGCTTGACAATGAGGCAATCGCTCTCAGTGTCTTGTAGTGCAGGAATCGCTCGCTTAGTCCTCTTTCGCAATTTTCGCTTCTTGACTTTTCCGCACTCTCGGCGAACACAGCTGTCACAGTCTTTGTCATGAAACTGGAACTCTTCCTCGATCGCGTCTCGCTCCCGCTGCGTTTTAACTGTTTCTTTATTCAGCTCATACACCTTGTTCCAGCCAAAGTAGATTTCGGACTCATCACTGGGCACGGTGCGCATTTTCTCCCTCATATCCGCGATGTTCTCGAGGTAGCTCTTTGCATTTTCATTCGGGTTGTCAGCGAGGCTCTCCTTCAACGACTCGTAAAAGGCTTGCTTCGCAAGTTTGCCTACGTTCTTCGATTTCTGACGCCGTGCCTTGTGCAAAATATCGATGACGTCCTCCTTGACTTCTTCGTCTTTAGCCCAAGGACCTTCATTGCCATTGACTTCAGGAAGTGATCGAATTCCCTTGTAGTCGACGCGCAAAGATGGATTGGCACCGTGCTCGAGCAAAGCTAAAAAAATGATCATTTCCAGAGTAAAAAAGTCAATGACTGTACCAATTAGAGGTTCTCTTGGATCGGCGCATTTCCCGCCATCGTCAAGTAGCCAAGCAATTGTGGACATGTTGTGCTCGGCAACTCGATCAGCTTTAAACCCATATTTTGCATAGAGATTGATTATTTTCTTCAGAACAGGGCCTTTCTTTTGCTTCTGACACGCTAGAAAGAATGAAAATATTACCAAATAAGTAAGAACGAAAATTGTACCTAAATGAAGAGAACTGTGCTTTCCCTTTGTTTGGAAAAGCTTCTCTAGCATTTCTTGGTCTTCTTTATATCGTTTAAAAATAATCTTTGAACTTGAAAACGGTTTTCTTCCGATGACAGCAAGGTCGAGAATGCTCATGTTGCATTCAAGCTTGTCCGAAGCCGAGCCGCCAGGAAGCTGCTGAGAACGGGCGCTGAAGTCACGCTGGAAATTCAATGTCGATCTCAGCATATCGATATCGCCCTTGAAAGCAGCGCGCCGCACATCAGCAAGGTCTTTCTTGCTCGCCGCCTTCATTTTTATCCCGACCGAAACGAGGTCTATTTGACACTGTTTAGTTCTAAACAAGAAACATTAATCATGGGAAAAAACCTATCCGTGAGTTTTTTTGAAGAAATAAGGTGATCTATGACATGTCACACGTAAGTACAGTGAAGATTTTTCTTCTCTCTATGTTATTTGCGTCGATTTTTACGAACTCTTCCTTGGCCAAGAGCAGGGTGTCTAATTTGGACGGACAAAATTGGATCGGATAGTTGGATTGGCCTATTTTGGAAAATAGCCGGAAATTGGTTGGATCTGGCCCCGGTTTTTTGTTGGATATTTCGGATTATTGGGCATTATTGGATAGTTGGGATAAATTGGAAATCGGGGCTAAAATGGGCAAATTGGCGGCCAAAATAAATTGGAATACTGGTAAATTGTTGGGCAACCAGCCGAATCAGCCGATTTGATCAAATTTTAACCAAAAATACTCCTAGATCCCAAAGAGCAATTTTTAAAGTCCTTTTTTTAGTTTCTCGGGGAAGAAATAAGATAATATAAATCGGAAATATTTTTGGGAAGTAAACTTTGTCGGATTTTTATCGGATTCGGATTTTTATTGGAATCGGAAAATAATTGGAAAATTGGCTAAATTGGGGAACTTCAAAATTGGCAAATTATTGGATTATTGGGCTAAATTGGAATTGGATTGGATTTTGGCCGGATCAAACCCAAAAAAAAATTATTGGCCGGAAAATGGCCGGCCAGACCCGAAAATTTTGTCCAATTTAGACACCCTGGCCAAGAGTGACACTTCCACCCTGAAAAAAATAATTGTTAGCGGTTCACTCCAGCTTTTGAAACTAAAACAAGTCAAATCCAACGCCAATTCGATAAGAATCAAAGCCTTTGGCACTTTTTTCTACCTTGAGTTCGTTTTCGTTATTGATCGTTTGCAGCGCCTCGAGATGGAGCATTAGATCTCTAATAGTAGCTGATTGAGAGGCGTTTTCTTCCTCCAATGATTTAATTCTTTTATCTTGCGCCGTTCTTGTCTCGACCATGCTAAGAGTCATCGAACGCTCATTCTGCAACTCCGTAGACGCCTTGACTGCTTTTTCCGTCGCCGATCGGAGTCGTTTTTCGTAGCTTTGTTTTTCTTTCTCAAATTCGTCCTTGGTGACAGCGCGGGATTTCAGTTTGTCGAGCTCTTCAGTGATCTTTTCGCATTTTTCTTGGTGCTCCTGATCTTTCTGCTTCAACTTCTCTTCCCAGTATTTTCGCTGTTCCTCCAACTGAACGCTGAAGAATTTCAAGCACTCGGTTTGAATTTTCGCTTCCAAATCTTTCGAATTGACCTTCGTCTCTACGATTTTTTCCGAGCTTTCGTTCGTGACCAGTCGGTGGACGAAATAATCTCCAGCGTAGTCCCAAACTCGATTGTCGCTCAACGCCATCGCGTAGTTATGAGAAGTGTCCAAGTAGTGCTGCTGAGCGTGTTCTTGTGTGTATCTCCCGCAGCCAATGTTTCCGCAAACGAGACAAATCCATAGATCTTCTTTTGAATTGCAAGAAAGACAGGCATTTCGTTCGCTTTCCTCACTCGACGGAGTTTGCGTATATCGACAAACTGGGCAAGTGGAGTCTTCCCATTTTTCAGACATTGAGAGTGGAAGGAATGATTGCAAAGAACGGTCAAAACGGACTTCACCGACTCGTCCATTCGCTCTAAACAAATCGTACAAGCAGGCAGCTCGGTAAGATTCGGTAACGGCCAGCCTGCGCCTTCTCCAGCGTGAAGCAGTTCCACTTTTCCCACATACGCGACTTATGAAAACCTTTATTAATGTTTTATGTGACGACTTTTATTTACCTTGGCAAGTTTCTTCTAACAGCGAGTTAAATTTCTGCCCATTAATTGAGTGATAAAAAGTATCAGCACTTTGTTGCTCGTCGAATTTTAAGAGGACCATGTACTGATTCAGAGATTGGTCGCGCACGATCTTGATGTATTCCATTTTCTTATCGTAATTTCCGAGAAAACGGAGCAGATCGTGCGTGTCTAGATCGACTGGAACATGGACGAGCAGGAGCATGTCGCTAGGGCCTTCCTCCGTGATATTGAAGCCGTAGTTTGTCTTGTACAAGTGAATCAGCCCTTGAACTGATTAAAAAGGAACTTGGGTTGGGGAAAGTTACCGTGGACAGATTCTATCGCAGCATTTCCGGACATGAACGGTTTTCGGTCGGTGAGTTCGTGAGTCACTTTTTGCGATGAATTCTGAGAGGGAAAAGATGTTGAAGATGAATTGCTTGAGCTTTAGTTACCTTGAGAGCGTCGGCATAAGTAGATTCTAAAGGAAAATCGACGGATTCGATTGAGTACTCGACGAATTGCCGAGATCCACGCATTTCTTGAGACTTTTCTTTGTCATTCGAGGACATGATATTCACTGTTGATTCTTTTCTAGCTCGGCGGGGTTTCATAGGACTAAAAAGAAGCAAATGAAAATATGTGGATGGCGTGATGGAAAGTTTAGTTGTAAGTTTCAAATCAGAAATCAAGAAAATGCATCTTCAAAACTTAACGAAAACTTACTTATCAGAGCATTCTTGGAGACTTAATTATTATGTAACAGATGATTATCTAATGACCAGGAGGATGAATAAATTTCCATATATATTTACCTCAAATCAAAAGCGTCTTGCTGAAAACTCTCAAAAATTTCGGCTCTTTCTATATTCTGCGCGTTTTTGAGCGATACAGGAGCACAGTAGTGAAATTCTACAAAACAAAAGCTGTGAAATGATGCGTTCAGTCTCTCGACTTACTATTAATTCTAGTGTTTACGTCTCGCGTCTCAAGTTGAAAAACAATCAGACTTCGGAGTTCTTCGTTCATCTAACTGGAAGGTATAAAAGTTGCTTCTTGACTTCGGTTTTCGTTCTTTTATTTTCGCGAAATCTCTAAGAAGTCATGAAAAATAAACGCATCCAAATTTTTTATCAAGTGTGACGACAAATGACTCCTGGTTTGAACTGAAGTAATTTTCAGCTTTCTTGGGAGCGGCCAATCAGCGCGCGATGAGAATCTCTACCAGACCATTTCATGCATTTCCAGAATCGATGCAAGAAGCCAAAAATGACTAGAAATGGAGAATCAAGCAAATTTTCATCAGCAACCAAAAGAAATAAAAAGCTTGAAATTCTGGAAACAAAAATAAAAAAAAACTGGATACCGCTAGATCTGAGTCACTCGACAAGCCAAACGACCTGATTGGCCCTTCCTACCATTTCTTCAATCCGGTATCACTCCATTTTTTGGCTTAAAATGGGTATCGGAAATACAGAGAAGAACAAGTTCAGCAAAGCCCTCGCAAAGGCGAAATCAATTCTGGAGGGTCTCGTCAAGATTCCTGGCTACACGGACAGAAAGATCATCATCAAGCAATTTCTACCAGACGGTTCCGATTCGATCAAAAGAAGCGTTAGAACTCCGTTTGCTTACAAATTCGTCGGCAAAGACTTTGTTGAGAGAGAAATCGACAACAATGAGTAAGTCAATTGATTACACTTATTTTCATTATTTTATCACCTGAATGTTATTTGTCGTGTCAAGTTTTTTCTGGATATTTTTTTGCTGGGCTCGGTAACCTGCGTAGAAAACCCGAGTCAGGGTCTGAAGGAGGTGAAGCGATTTCTCTTATATTACTTATGGAAAATCTCTGCGGCTTTTGATTTCACCTCTTTCAGACCCTGACTCAGGTTTTATACACAGGTTGCCGAGTCCAGTGCTTTTGGGAACGCACTTATCTAACCCGCGGCCCAATCATAAGCTTTCCTCATTTGCCAATACTGGCGACAAACCTTCTCTTTCATTTTTTGTATTCATTCTTTGTGACGAAAAATGGAGGTTGAACAGCATATGCGCTATAGCTAGGGAAACTCGATGAAAAATGAGCTTTTTTTCTGGGCTTAGTAGGGGGTCATATAATACAGTTTTAGAAAATCCAGAAGCTAGGGATCATTTTGACTATTTACAGTAAGGGGTTTGACTCATGCCCTGGGGCGTTTAGGGACGTCTAAAGTCCCGAAAATTGGGCAATCTCGGAAAAATGGCCGTAACTTTTTTTCTGTCGAGCTTCAGAAAATGCGACTACTACCTACTTGTAGAGGAGGCTCTGACGAATCAGAATCAGTATAGAAACTCTTTGTCACCCCCCTCTTCTAGGGGCTCTAGAAGCTCTAGAAGTTGAGGAAATCATCCGAAAATCGTTACTTTTTTAGGAAAATTGGGTAAAAAAGTTTAATTTTTGTCGGAAATCAACTTAGCCAAGTTAGAATCGACTTCACGTCGAAAAAAATGCAGTTTGGGGTCATTTTGATACGTTTCGGACTTAATTTCCTCGAAATTCTAGTTTTTCTCATTTTATGACCCCAAGTGACCGCGAATGACCCCAAACTGTATTTTTTTCGGCGCGAAGTCGATTATTACTAGGCTAAATTTATTTCCGACAAAAATTAAATTTTTTTACCCAATTTTCCTAAAAAAGTAACGATTTTCGGATGATTTCCTCAACTTCTAGAGCTTCTAGAGCCCCTAGAAGAGGGGGGTGACAAAGAGTTTCTATACTGATTCTGATTCGTCAGAGCCTCCTCTACAAGTAGGTAGTAGTCGCATTTTCTGAAGCTCGACAGAAAAAAAGTTACGGCCATTTTTCCGAGATTGCCCAATTTTCGGGACTTTAGACGTCCCTAAACGCCCCAGGGCATGAGTCAAACCCCTTACTGTAAATAGTCAAAATGATCCCTAGCTTCTGGGCTTTCTAAAACTGTATTATATGTCCCCCCTACTAAGCCCAGAAGAAAGCTCATTTTTCATCGAGTTTCCCTAGCTATAGCGCTTTTTACAAGCGATTCAACAGAGCCAAAACCCTTCTCGAGAAATGCATCAAGCAAAAAGGCTTCGACGATCGCGGCTTTGAGCTCATTTATCATCACCCAAAAGGCAGATGTAAAAAGACACTTCAAAGATTCTATTTTCTCGGCGAGTTGTGTCCCGTCTCAAAGAAAAGTGAAAGGTAAGTTAGTGTTAACGGGTGCCCTTGTTAACGGACCAATGGGGGCGGGATGGCGGCCTCGTAATCGATTATTGGCCACCGGCGATTGTTAAAAATGAGTCAGAGGGATACGATTTTAACGGGTAAATAATAAGTTTTTAAATAAAATGGAGAAGAAGACAACAGACCAGGGCGACATCTCCGTCGAAGTCGAAAGTATTTCGGCTTTGGTATTACCCAAGGTGAAAGAGAAAAATGATGTGACTCCTCGAGTTCGTAAAACTCGCAAGAAACCAGAGAATAGAGCACAGACGACTACGTTAGCTGAACGTATGCAAATTATCGAAACATTGGAAGAAAATTCGCGCACTCATCGTTACAGGTATTTTGAAAGAATTCAGAATTGATGTCTACGAAATAAATTTTGATAGTCTTGCACGCGTTGCTCGAGCACTTGGGCGAAATGAAAACTCAGTTCGATCAATTTGGAAGAACCGCGACACAATCCGAAAATCAGTTGAACTTTCGGGGACCAGCCAGGGCTACCTACGAAGGGCTGACCCCGATCAATTATTGTTGGCGCAAAATCGACCTGAAAGACTGAAACGAAAAGCCGAACGAAGGCGCCAAAAACGAGCTGAAGAAAACGCGGAAAGATCAGCACAACGCAACGCATCCTTCCCCCGTTTTCTTTCTCAGGCGCCAACACCTTCCAACGACGCATTTGCAGTAGTTGAGGAGTGTGAGGGGATCGAGATTTTTGATGGAGAAGATGAGATCAAAATTGAGACAGTTTCCGATCAAGATGATGATCAGCGGCCTTCTAATGTCATATTTAAACAAATCGAGTAAGAGTGCCTTGATGAAGAATCAGCACGAGTAGGCGTTCTCTCCTACTCTACGGTAGCCAGTCAGAGGGGGTTTCCAAATTCGCCAGGGGTGGCGAACTTCAACGCCACATTTTAATTAGTAGCTTTGATTCTTTTCTAAGAACTGTTCACTGTTTTTATCGATGGAAGAACGAAACTCAATGAAATGGTTTTCGAAGAAATTGAAAAAAATAAAAGTTCTTCTTGAAGAATCTGTCAAGAAGCCTGGCTTAGAAAGCAGGGGTTTCGAACTTGTCTATTACAACCCGAGAGCTCATAAAAAGGAGGTTGTAAAAAGATTCTACTTTTTCGGAGAATCCTGTCCCTTTTCCAAAAATGCTAGGTGTGTTACATGGGTGATCAATTCCATGATTTTTGCATTACCCTTAGTCTCTACTTTGATTTTCCGATCCTTATTCATTTTTTCAGTGAAATATCTGAAGATGATTTCAAAGCGAAAACCCCACTTCACATGAACCTACCTTACAGACCCAAAAACATCCTTCAACCAACGATCAGCGGCAACATCTGGACTGCCTCCGTAGATCTCACCGAACTGCCAACAGAACCGTCGGACATCCGCGTCGGAGTCGACCTAACAAAGAAACTCATCATTCCCCAAGGAAAATACGCACAGACAATCGTTCGACCAGATGGCGTTAAAGTCAGCTCTTCGACTGCCTGGTCGAAGGAAATTCAAATCCCAGACATTGTCCAGATCAAGCCATCGATCAAGCTTCAGGGTAAAATTTTGAAAATCGAATGCGAACTCAAGCCCGTAAGTTTCGAAAAAAATAAGCTCTTAATTTATCTTCAGGAATTTCAAGCAATCAAGCAACCCGACAATTCAATCAACAACGAACCCAACTCTTCTGGACAAGCTCTCAAAGTCGTCGAAGCAGGCGAGGGAGGAGCTTTTAGCCCTTCTGCTGTCCTTCCAATTGCTTCCGAGGGTCTCAAAGTTGGAATCCCTCGAAATCCGAACGCGCCTTTTTCCTCTCCGATCGGTTACCAAGTCCCACTTGTTGTCACCCCAGGAAATCAACCCAAATCCTTGTTCACTCCCGAAGAAGAATCTGTCCTGGAAGCGAGCTATAATAACTACGATAACACTCTTTCGGAGCACGAAATAGAAAAATTAACATCAATGCTGAATAAAAGTAGAGCACACATTATCAATTGGTTCCAACAGCGAGCAATGAAGCGGACCACCATCCAAGCGGACGATGGAGTAACAATAACCGACAAGAAAAAGATGATTCTCGAAGAGTTCTTCGCCGAGAACAATTTTCCAGATAAAGAGAAAATCATTAACATCTGCAGCAAAACTGGATTGCTTGAGAAGGTGGTCTGGGCGTGGTTCAGGAACGGATTTCTTCTTGTTTCTTTTTGAAAATTTAAATTTGATCGGGAATGATTTTTAAATCCGTTGAAAAGAGGGCGACGTAGAATCGCTAGAATGACAAATGAGAAATTGGAGCTACCAAATACGAGTACAATCGTAGAGCCTTCATCAAAAGAGGCCGATAGCGTGAAGATAGAAGTGCTCGAAGATGAAGGTGATGATGGAGTGACAATCTTGGAGATTGATGATGAAGTAAAAACTGAATCATTTTCCGATCAAGATGATGACCGCCCCCTTACGGAAGCGATTGGGGCTATGGATGATTCTATGGACGAATGAAGACTATTACTGGAATAAAACTGTCCTTATTATACCAATTGCACATTGAAACTTGTACACTCTCCCTCTGCCAAGATTACAATATATAAGAAATGCTTAAAAATAATCGTTTTAATGCGTGTTATGAAAATGTTAAGTTAATGTTAAATACCTGGAGTTGTTTTTAATAGTTAGAATTCTTCACCCCAAGATTCCGTGAATTTCACGGCGTGAATAATTGAATTCATTAATCGCCCGCTCGGACCAGAGCGTGTACCGTCCTGAAACGAATAGCTTGATCCCACCCACGCGCGCTAATCAATTACGCCAAACTTCATTTGCGCCAACCCAGCCGCGCGTCGCATTTCGCAAAATACACCCCTTAGCAAAACAGTTGAAAGAGGCACTTTTGAAATGGATTTTTTGAAAAACCTTTCAATTAAACTACACAAGCCCCCGTCGAAGGAAGAGTTTGACGCGTTACCCCAAATAGGGACGATAGAAAAGCCACAGTTGATCACCTTTCAACCAACAGACAAAGCCTTCGGGAAGAATTTTGTGATCTTAGTCCGAGTCGGTCCATACGGTTCATGGTACCGTCCGAGTCCACCTTTGTTATTCCTAGAAACCGACGATGAAGGTAAATATCAATTTTATCAACCTTCTTTTCAACTTTTTCTTTCAGAGTGGCCCTTCCGGGTGCGGATTACCTGCAACAAAAATAGAGAGCTAAGGTGCTATTCCAAAATGTATATGTACTCAAAGCTACCAGCATCGTCATTGACGACAGATCCAGACTTCTTTAAAGTGGAAAATTTTCGGCTGGAAAACCTTGAACACGCCCAGTTTCATTTAGAAAACTGCACTGATGTTGACTGCTGGGCTAGAGCCACAAGGAAGTATGTCCGCGGCGTAGCTTGTCTCAATAGACTTTCTGAGTCAGCTCTCACTCCTGCGGCTTTCTTGATGTAAGTTCGGTAGATTCTTATCTTTTAATCCTTTCGATAGTCATATCCGCCAAGAAATGAACATGAGCGAAGAATTGTTTGATTCGGTTGTCAATGAGCTCGAAAGGAAGCATATATCGAGCTCCTCAAGAAAATTTCTAAAACAATACAAGGACGCGCTAGCTGAAGTTGCCGAAAGAAATGAAGATGACAACGAAGAGAACCTTCCAGCTGCTAATATAAAAGTACCAGTTGTTAATAAACGAAAGAAGAGAAATCCCAATGAACCCACGATCGAGGAGAACAAATGGATAATCAAAGTCGATCTGAATGAGTTTGAAAATGATCCGACTGATTTAAGCGTTGGAATTGACTTCTCAAAGGGTCTCATTATCCCAAGAGGGAAATGCGATCAATGGATCACTCGGCCAGATGGAATGAAAATCCACCAGAGCGGGTGGGCCAAAGAAATCTCCGTTCCCGACATTGTCGAAATAAAACCTGCCCTCAAACTCGATGGAAAAGTTCTCATAATTGAATGCGAGTTAACACAAGTTAGTTATAACTTATAAGATGCCCTTTAGTTTTCATCAATTCTTTCAGGAATTTATATCGACGACGGAAAAACTAGAAAGCTTTTACTTGCAAAATAAGTATCCGTCGAAAGAAGAGATGCTGAAAACCTGCAGTATCACGAATATGAGAGAATCTCGTGTTTCTAAATGGTTCAGGAAGAGTTTTATATATCTTAAAATTGACTCAAGCTGTAACTACAAACTGCAGTTGAAAAACTTTGGTCAACAGAGATAGACGACTAAAAGCACGAATGGCTAACGAAATCCTTGTTGAAAGTTCTGCAATTCCAACGCTAGAACGCCCGAACGAAACATTGGTCATCCCATCGAATCCCTTCCCATTGGCATCCGCGATTGATGCATTAGCAGTTCCCTGCAGTATTGGAGAATCAGATGACATAAAAATTGAAATAAAGGAAGAAAATGGAATAACAATTAATGAAATTGATGACGAAGACGATAATTCTCGGGAAGCTCTTTTCACTGATAATGAAATTTTAACTGATATACTAAAGATGGATCACTAAAAATTGAATAGGTACAATGTAAAATATTCATGTCAATTCCGCTCTTCCAGAATATAATATTGAAAATCACGTATTATGTTACATTTCGGATAATTTGTAGAATGGCCACTGTAAGATTGTGGGCAGCAGCAGGATCTAGTGACAGTGGATTCAATGCAGTTGCGCATATTGCTGAGAAGAAAGTGTTTGTGGCGGGGGACGAGGATGGATGCATCCATTTCTTCTCCGGTAAATTATTTTCTTGTTCTGTGAGACGTTACTTTTTTTCGATTAGATAATGGAAATAAACTTCAATCGATGAGTATATCAGATGAAGAAATCACATCCATTTGTGCGGGGGCGAATGAAACAATATTCGTCGCCGCGGAAGAAATTGTCTATCAAGTAGGTATGGAAAGAAATTGGAATATTTAGTTTATCGAAAATGAGACCCGAGAAATGCCATCGAGCCAACAAGATCGTTCAAAATTGGAAGAGACGAAATCAACCATATTTCGATGAACGAGAACTTGACAAAATTAGCCACGGCCGATGACGACGGTAGAATCAGAGTTGCTGATGTCAGGTAAATGACAGCGTTTCAATGAGTTTTGGAGTGCGAAATGTTTAGCAAAGCAGAAGGAGAACCGAAAATAAAAGCATTTCGCGCAAAGCACGAGAACTTAGCGACTGCGGTAGAATGGACGACTGATCAGATTCTTACCTCGGCTTCGTCCGATCAGTCAATCAGAACGTGGCGAGTAGACCAGCAAAAGTGCGTCAAAACGCTCGACGTGTCGCAATTTAAAAATGAAATTCGCGAAGAATCAACTGAGACGAGAGTGAATGTTTCCCCACCGCTAGGTTTGTTCTTCAATTCAATTCTCTAAATCACAATCTTCAAGTACATACGATTTCAATTCTGCGAAACAGCGACCCGGAATTCGTCCTTGCTGGCTGTGAAAACGGAACGATAGTGTCGAACAAACTCGAATGTGGGAAATTGTCGTCGAATAAGATGCTGACGCAGGCGTTCAAAGGATCTCACAGTTTCGGAATTGGAAAGATTTGCAATTATAGCTTGAATGATAGATGGTTGGTTGTTTCTGGAGGAAATGATAATGCAGTGAAATTTTGGACAGCAGAAGCGGAGGAGAGATCCCTCAAATTCAGGTTAACATTCGAATTTGCTTCGGTTACCGGAAAATTTCGTTTTAGATTTGATAGGTCCACAACATTATCAACGAAAATAAACGACATGGTTTTGGCGTCGAAAGAAAGAGTTATTGTTGCGAACGGGCAAAATAAATTATCTGAATTGATTCTTCATTAGAATTTAATTTAAACTTCTGTTATTGAAATATTTTTCTCTTTGATTTTTTTATAGAATTTCTGTTTCAAGAATGACGATTATTCAAAAATGAAATTATGAGATTACGCCATGCTGGTACATCGTGTGCTTGCTTCATCAGATGTGATGGTTGTCTTGGAATAACGAAGTTTCTAGCGCCTGGGCTCGGCAAACTGAGCTGTGTAAAAACCTGTCACAGGTCCTGTTTCCTGTTTTTGGGGAACCTGTCTGAGTACCTAAGTAAAATCGGGTAATAATTTGGGCCTGTCCTGTGTACCTGTGTAAAATTGGGGGATAAATTTTTCTTTTGCTGTCCCTGTTCCCAGGGGTTCGAAAAAAGCGTGGTACGCGCGTGGTATTAGCGCCCCCACTTTCGCCGTTCCACGGCCCGCCCGTGGTACACTTTCAAAAACAACGGTGGCTCGGTTTGCTAAATAAGGCCTGCGCCAGAGGGGAGTTAGACCAAGCGGCGACCCGCAGAGCGCAATACGAACCACTACACAGTTCGTTCCGATTGCCGATCCAATGTGGGGAACTAAGAAGCCACTATTAAATGAATTGATAAAAGAATATCTTTACTAGTCCAGTTCAGATATAAGAGGGATAAGTAAAGTTATGTATTTTATATAAAATAGGAATAAATTTAGCCTATATATAATACAGGGTTTCTATCGGAAAACAAAGTGCACTCAATTATTATGAAACTAACACATTATGAATACTATCTGATAAGGTCGCTTGACGGTTAGTCCTAGTATTTGGTTCTTTTTGGAAGTAATCCTCGACTGTGAGTCGGCTAATATTTAGCAAACGGGTAGCTTACCACTTCCGGGAACTTTTTTGTTCATATTTCCCAGTGTTATAACTTATAAGTATAGAGGTTATTGTTGTTAATATAATTATTAAACATTTAAATCTTCAAGTTAGCTGCGCTCGCCGAGGGTGAGACCTATCCGCGAGCGCGCAAAATTAAAACTGGGCACTCGTTATTTCCACCGGCTCGCGTGGAATTCTACGCGTGTCCGTGGGTGGCGCTACTACGGGCCCGCGGTGGAATTTTAGCGCGAAAAACAAAAGCGCGGTGGACGAAAGTGAGCGGTGGCGCTAATACCACGGGCAGGCAACGCTTTTTTCGAGACCCTGCCTGTTCCTGTTTCTGTGTTAAACAGACCTGTGTTTCCCGCTCAGGTCCTGACCATAGACAGGTTCCTGTGTAACCAGGTCAGGAACTGCATAAGTCAGGGAAAATGTATAAAGAAATCAATAGCGAAAGACGTGAAAAAGAGTACAACAATCAAAATAACCGATAAATTCGCGTCTTTTTGTTTCTTTGTAATATTTTTTCTTTGAAATTTCCTGTTTTTTGTCCTGTCACAGGGCCTGTTTCCTGTTTTCTGACCCGCTTAGACCTGTTCAGGCAGGCCCTGACCTGTGTAACCTGTTTGATAAGCTGTGTGAAAAAACCTGTCTGAGTACCTGTCTAAAATCAGGATATTTTTGCTTCCTGACCTGTGTACCTGTGTAAAATATGGGACAGAATTTTTTTTTCCTGTTTCTGTGTCTGTTCCTGACACAGTTTGCCGAGCCCAGTCTAGCGCAGCTTATCAATCTTGGTTCATGCAGTCTCATCATCTTGGTTGTTATTTTTCCGATTTTTCTCTGGACGCAGCCATTTTCTCAAGCAGCCAAAGCTCCGCCAAGAAAATTCAATCCGAACATAACAGATCCCCGCGAAGTGCAATTCCAACCATTCATTCCAAAGCCATCTTTCTGGAACGACTCAATTCTCTATGACCTCTTCCCGAAACCAGATCATCGAGAGGAAGTCTACTCGATTCTTTTTTTCGTCTTTCACACAAGAGTGCTTCTCATCGCGTCACTTGGCTTCATCTTCTTCGTCAATTTTTTATCATTCTTCGCTGTATGTTACGAATCAAAAGGCTTCGCAATAACTACTGCCGTCTTCAGGTGTTTTGAAATCAAGCATAAAAGAACCTAATTAATTCTCAGCTCACTTGGCCTTGCATTAGCTGCACTTAGTCTTCTTTCTACACTCGACCTAGATTTCAATCTCTGGCGCGAGGCAGCAGCTCTTCAACTTCAATATTCCTTTCTCACCGCGTCAAACCGTACTGCCACGCGTCTGTCGCTCGATTTCTTCCATAAGAAGTTTGAATGCTGCGGCATTAATGGACCTGGGGACTTTGCAAAGGAGAATCCAATCATCAAACTATTCGCCGGACAGAATGCTGTACCTCTTTGGTTTCAGGAATATGGTTTTGTTCGAGTAGACCCTACACCTCCACCAACGGTGTCACCTCCAAAGATAAACCCAGATGGTTCTCTCAATCCGAATGAACACGATATTCCGTTGAACTCAAGTTCATTACCCGGCGGTTTCACCTGCACAGGCTGCACTATAAATATAAATGACCCCGCTCCACAAGTGCCCGTTCAACAAATACCGACAACAACGCCTCAGCCAACGACTAAATCGCGAAGATGGAAAGATACCCGTAACGATCGAACGTTACCGTGGACATATCAACGAGCAAATTACCCATGGTTCATGGGTCCGCCACTCCGAGGGACTTTCTGTGAAGAAGAGCCGTGTACAACTCAACGACTTGGGTTAGTATATAAAGGAAAACTACCTAATAAATAAGAAATATTTGTAGTCGAGAAGCGTCTGCCGAGTTCCCTTTCAATGAAGAAAGCTTATTTTCTCAAAACTTTCTTATTCCCAAAGAGCTAAATCTTTCGCCCGGAGACTTTCCTGTTCCGGAATCTTGCTGCGAGCGACAATCGAAATTCTGCGGCCTTGAGAATTCTATTTTGCGACAAAAACTGCCAGCCCGAACATTAGTTCCTTCTGTAAATATATCCGACATTTGCCTTACTAACAATTCAGATCCTATAAACTCCACTGTTCCATCGCCCTGTTTACCTAGCAACACTTCCACTACTGCTATTCCTACTACAACAACAGCTCCAATTGAAAATGTCGTGGACAATATTTTCACTGAAGGGTGCTTTCCAAGTCTTTTCGAAAAGCTGAGTGCTGCCAAATGGCTCCCCACAGTGCTTTTCGGTCATATTCTCGTGATCTTGAACTTGTTTCTGAATGTATCATTCGGTTGTCTTATGTGCTGCGTTACTCAAGGAAAACCAGAGCGACATGTCAAATATGGCAAGAAACATAAAGTTCCCGTTTCAAGACGCCTTTAATTCTCCTTTCTTTTCATTCAACAAATTTTCAAAAACTGTACTTCCTTGTTTATCACGCGACGTAATATAATAAATTTACAGAACTTAAACCCGTAGGCGATCTGCATGCAAATGATTTCGATCAATTGAAATAGATCGCTCTCAAAAATCGAGAGACCAGTTTTTCACGGAGAAATGTTTTTATGCAGAGAAATCGTATTCTGGCATGTTTCATCGAAAAAGATAATTACCTTCTAAAGCAGATAAAAGTTCCCAGAAGATATTTTAAATTTATTATGCTGAAAGCTAGGTTTCATGTACTTGCCGCTGATTTATTAACGATTTTTTTAATATTTCCTGATAGTTAGTTTTTGCGAAGAAAAACCTTTTAGTGTAAGATAATTCTATTTTAGAAAGGTTCCCTACGGCGCTAGGCAGTAGATATTGAAAGGGAAGCATCTTCGAGTATTTCCACTCGAAGGGATATCGGCATCTCATTACCCTGCCATTTGTGAGAACATAGTGGCGCTTGTTTCTTCAGTATCATTCCCGTGTATCTAGCTCGTGTCTGGTGCGCCCTGGGACCACAGCACAACGCGTTGGCGCCTCTCAGAATATAGAATAGACCTTTTACAGAACAGTTTCTTCACTACAAGGAATTGAAATCAAGGAAGAGAAGGAAAAAGGAAGAACATAGAAGTACCGTCAGAGTTGTTTTACTACAGCCATTCCCTCAGGAAGAATGACAGAAGGAAAACACGAGATAGAAAGTAATCGACGCCCATCTGTTGGGCAAATGTCTTTTTGCTCAATGACGGATGTTGCAGAAGGTACGATATTAAAATGATGGTTTATCTAACATAAATAATTTTTTGGTACTACAACTTTAGAAGAACTTGTTTGTTAAAATAAGCGATGAAAAACCCGTCATCTTTAATTTTAGGAAATGGCCACAGAAACGGAACAATCAGCGAAAACTGGATCACCCTCAACGTCGGTGGAAAATATTTCACAACAACGAAGACGACGCTCAAGAAAGACCCAAAAAGCTTCCTCGCCCGACTAGCCTCCATCGACGCAAACGACGTCGATCAGCTTAATGACCTAGGCTCGGAAAAGGATGAGACAGGCGCTTTTTTAATTGGTAATTTGATTAATGCGCCACCAATTTATATAAAATCGATAAAACTTGAGTAATTTATTTTAACATTCAGATCGATCATTTACATATTTCGAGCTATTACTCAACTATCTGAGAACCAACAAGCTTATTTATGATAACGATGGACGAATTTCAATAAGGATTTCTGAGTGAAATCCTTACCCCCCTTTTTTATTGGCTCATTGGAAAGAGCGTAAAAAGTTATCCTAGATTCGCCCAAAAAAGGATGAAATTTCCCTCGAAATTACGTCATGGCACGTGACCAAAGTTCCAAAGGTACCAAAACTTTGGACGCTCCGCATTTTCGATCCTCTCTAGCTATCAGGGCGTGTGATAGTGGAAAATGATCGTCGCGACGAGAGCTATGCGTGCATCTAGGTTTCATCCCTTCAAAAATTTCTTTCAACCCTTTATCACTAGTACCTGATTTTCATAAAAGGGATGAGATTTTTTTCGAGGGATGAAACCTAAATGCACACCAAGATCTCGATCAGACGATCATTTTCATGTATTGCATGTCATGATAGCTCAAGCGACATGAAAATGGTAAGCGTCCAAAGTTTGGTACTTTCATAACTTCCGTCACGTGCTATGACGTCATAAGTTCGAAAATTCGCCAATCTTTCCGACTCATCTAGGGTAATTTTTTACGCTCTTTCAGATGAGCCAATAAAAAAGGGGGGTAAGGATTTCACTCAGAAATCCTTATTGAAATTCGTCATGCTACTCTACAAGGAATTCTCTTGGAGGCAGAATTTTACAATATACAAGTTTGTTGCCCTTTTCAATTTTTAACTTTACTTTTCTTGTTAGAGTTTGATCTCGCTGTGTAAGGAGAAACTCATGGAACGATCTAACTGTCAATCACCCACGCCATCTGCTAATGTTCAACCAACTTATCGGTAAATAAACCGAGTTTATTTGGTATATGAAAACTTTGAAGCGTCCTGCAATGCTCCGAACTTGACCTGACAAATACCCTATCATCCCTATCTGACGGCTGGACCTTCGAACAAGTAACTCAACTTTCGAATGGCCAAGAAAAAGGCAACGAATACTTGTTGATCATATCCCGACGAGCCGATCTTTCTAGTGGTGTCAATCTCAACCAAGGAGACAAGGTATTTATCTCTACGTAACTCGATTTATAAGATTTTCAAGGCAAAAGCCCTCCACGGGTACGGATCGCCACAGCGCCGTTAGACCAACGTACGATAATGACCTCTATTGACCTTTCATTTCTACCACTATTCTCTTCATGAATTCGCTTCACTGCTTCATCCCCTGCTCTTTCTCACACTCACTCATTCTCCGAATTCATGCATATGCAAACTAGTTCAATAAAAATACAGCGAATGTTCTTCCAATACTTGCTCTTTCAGTGGATTTTTATTTACACATAGGTATTTTGAATCAGAAGTTAGTCGATATTAATGAAATCCATGAGCGTGTTTTCTTGTTTTTTCAATTTGTTCGTTTCTCGTCGCACAATTTTGCGCGATTTTTCTTTTTGGTTGGGATCTTTCGTTGCCATCAAAGGAACTTTATTAGGAACTTTTGGTCGCCAGATTACCGGGGATGCTAAAATATGCTATGTTATATTTTCAAATGATGATTTTGTGCACCTTCAAGTCGAATAGAGCAAGTATGAGCAGCTCGCACAGTTTCCAGAACAGCTCGCAAAAGATTCTTTGCATTTTGCACGAGAGAGTTGACAGATTCCAAGCCACTAACTACCAAATCCCCAGCGACAGACTCGACTTCTTGCTTGACTCGAGAAAGGAGTTTCAGTTGATGCTAAAATCTTTATAAAGATCTTGCAGTTGTAAATAATTTTACTTGAAGAGGGTCGATCTTTGCCAAATGACTCTTCAAATTGTTCGACAGATTTTTGTCTTTACACTCTTCCGCAATTGGTGCAGCTTTGTTGTTCAATTTTGTTCCATATTCTGAAAGCTTCTTCGCGGCCTTGATAAGTTCCCTGTTTGTCTGGAGAGGCCCTTCGCCTGTCTGGTAATCAGTCATTTGCTTCATAATTGACGACATTTTCTTGGCAATCGTGATCAAATCGTTCTGGTCATCGTCCCATCGATCAAACTCCTGGTGAGCTTGATCTCTAATTTGTTGGAAATCTAAGAAACAGTTTTCCATGCGGTGATCTTAAAATTGAGTGTACCAGCAATCTCAGCTTTGATTTCGACTTGTTGTTCCTCAGTCAAAGCATCGATGACTTCAGCACGCTCTGCGAGTTCGGTTGAATCCACGGTATCCACAGTCAGAAGACCAGTTGCTACAGAACCATCATCCTTAAAATTTGTTTACGATTGCCTTGCCGCTGAAACGTACTCTGAAGCTGTTGTTCGCAGGATCCTCAACACGTAGATGAGCGTATTCGTGGGGACTTCGTGTCTGAAGCACAGCCCTAAAGAACGTCAAGACAATTTCTTATTCTGAGTAAACCTGAAAACTTCATTAACCCCAGTAAAGAGTTGGTTGGAAACTCTGATTATTTCCTCCTTGTCGCATTCGCCATTTTGATTGATGTTCTCCACGCCGTCCGTGGCTTCTTTTGAGAATTCAGGCAAGTTGATACCTTTGAGTTCTTCTGTTGCTTCCTTTCAAGGGGTTCTGTCAAGTTTATGAGCACAAAATCGATAAGATATTTTAACAAATCACTCCTTAAACCCTTGCCTTGACTTGTTCTGTAGTAAAATCGGGCTCATATTGTTCAATGTCGGCCAAAACAACCTCACAAATTCTCTGGACGCGACCACAAATCAAACCAGCGGCGTTGTCAAGTCCACTAAAGTTGTTGATAAAGGTCAGCGCATTATGTAAATTATAGCTTGTTTTTTTTATTCATCTTGCAACTCACGTGGCATTTTTTTCTTCCGCGGCCAAAACACAATCCCCGATTTCTTTGAGAATGTGCTCCTGGGAAGTTGCGAGGAAATCAACGAGTTCGACGGACTCGTTGACGCTTTCGACCAAGTTAGCGAGCTTGAGCTCCCACTCATTCCTGAAATCGGCTTTATAAGAAGTAGAAGGCTATCGTTTTCTTACATCACAACGTCCATATGTTCGATGTAACATTTCTGTTGATTATCCGAAGCAAGCATCTTTGCTGAAGTCACTGCGGGTTGAATCATGTCGGAAAGCGCCTCCGCGGCTTGGAGAATTTTAGCCTTTAGCACTGGGTTCTTTGAAATTGTGAAGGCAGAAATCTTCGCAGATTCGACCATTTGGGCGGAATGTTCGACGAATTCAGGTGCATACTCGTCAACTCCAGATTTGTCTCCCTTTTTCGCGAGTGAGTAGAGATTGAGGAAAGGAACCTGCGCGTTGAGAAATGCGTTTCCGATCTGGTCACCAGCTGCTCGGCGAAGTTCGCTTGAAGTGAATGAGAAAAAGGTATAAAAATAGGCTATTTTAAATAGCTACTTACTCTCGCAGACAACGGTTCTTTTCTATCAAATTGTCGATTGCATCTTGGAAATTTATCTGCTGACCAGTCTTTGACGCGTTCATGTAGTCATCTAGAAGACCGGTAAGAGCTTCTCGGACGGCTTCGCAGCTGGAAACGATTTGGTCTTTCCGATTCGGAGTTGTGAATCCAAGATCAGCAATAGCAGCAGCTCCTTCAATGAGCTTCTCGAGACGAGATTGGAGATCCTTGATTTGATAGTTTTTGGCTTCAGCTGAAAAAAATTACCTGAGGAGTTTGCTGGTAATCAAAGTCAATAGGATCCGGAATGTTCATATCAAAATCCTCTAATGCTTCACCAATGTTTGCCGGAATAGTGAGATCAGCCGCATTGATGCCGACGTCGCTGTATCCTTGGAAGTTTTCTCCTTTGATAACTGCTGCAATCCGTTTGAGCGCCTCCTGGAACTGTCTTCGCGCGTCTGTTTGCGCCCTCTCCGCCTCGATAAGCTTCGGATTTGCAAAATATGCATTTTCAGCAGTTATTAATCGGATACCAGCGTCTTTTTTTGAGCTTAGTTTATCTCGCAAACGGTGAGGATTTCCTACCTTTTAAATTCTGTCTGGCAACGGCGATGGCGTAGCGCTGATCTTCTTGTTCCGGGAGAATGTCATCTTCCCTTTGTCCAGATTTGACGTAAATTTCGCCACATTTGGCACCCAGTTCTTTCATTGCATTCATGAAGTCCCCCTTATTCTTCGCATGACGGACATTTGCAAAAAGCTGTTCCGCATTATTGACAAGCTCGACGATGTTTGCGACGTCGACATAATCAGCAAGGATGAGTAATCTTGTGACTTCCCTCACCAGCGTCCTCGATGCACTAATCATCGTCTGCCGCTTTTCAACATTTAACGGATCGGAGGTGAATGTGTGCGCAGCCGCGTAGAAATTCTTCCCTTCATGATCCACATCACCCAGGGTTTTTTCAATCTGTCGCTTGAGCGCGAGCGTGTACTTTTTATCCGCACTTGGAAGAACTTCCTAAAGTAAGATTGAGCAATCAGATAATAAATTAGGCGAAATAAAATACGCGATTTGCCTAAAGGGTGGTAATTTGAATACCTCGTGGCCGGTCTTCTGAATTTCTGATAGTGCTTCTTTGATTTTTGTCAATGAAACTTGTGCTGGTCTGGAAACACCTTTCTGTAGTGGAGATGGGTTGTCTTCCATCAGGTATCGAAAGTGTTTTATGAGGTCTTCTAGCAAATCGTAAACGGACGTGCATTTTGGTTTGAGATCTTCGGGATCAAAACCGAATTGAGCATTTCTTAATAAATATAAATTCATATTAAGACTACCGATGTTATAATTACCTTAAAGTTGCCATTTTCTCTTCCAATTTTCTCTTCTGTTAAAAACCTCTGAGTTTTGAATCTGAGTAAATAAAGCTTCTCCGGCTTATCGTCTCTCTTTTTTTCTCAGCTTCAATTTGGATGGTGAGTGTTCGTGTCGTGTGTACCGCCTTTTACTACTGCTAGGTAATCATCAGAGCGCGAAAAACGTGAAAATCGTAAAACCAGAAACTTTAATAAAGAAAGCTTCCCACCCAAAAGAAAGACGAGCAAAATATTTCTTTTGGACAAAAGAAGCGGCGCCCGGCGAGTGTGTTGAAACGGCGCGTGAAGCTTCTTTTCTTTCTCTGTCGTTCTTTTTCAAAAAAACTCAGCTCAATGCCAGGGTTAGTGAGATTTTGAATGGAGCACTCGAGCACCGGGCAACAATGAACCGAGTAACGTTCACCAAGGCTGATGAAAATAGTAATTTCACAAGAGGGGGCGAGCACTTCACGGGCACGCGTTATCAACTGTGAAACACTGTGACTCCAGGGAGAATGAAATTAGGGACAATCATAGGTTGAATCGGAACGATGAAGAAATGAGCTTTCCGATTACTTTGAAAAATATTTATTCAAAATCAAGACTTTGCTGGTGTCAAAATGTTGCGCGTTCTATTCTGTTATCATTAACTGATAAATTATCAGTGATAATAAAATGAGCTTCATACTGTATGTTATCTGGAAAATAATATTGCATGTTAAACATCTTATAATAAGACTAAAACTTGTGGTAATCAAAGATTCCGAAGCACAACTGTATAAAATTTTAAACTGTATTAGAGCCTTTTCTTGGACATGACCCAAACCGGTTAAAATCTGAGCAACAATGAATTTTGGAAAGTATTCTCCTCAAGTGCCGCAATCCCGGATCTCCTGGTCAGCGTCCCAAAGATACTGAGAAATTTCTACTTTTTTACAAAATACAAACAAGATATTTTTAATGGCTGTGTTATCACGGCGACGATCAGGGTGCATTTATGCTTTGATACTGGCACTATTACTCTGGTGCACGATATTGTATTCGAATAGTAATCAAATGATAGTCGAAGTCGAGAGAGGAATAAACGAAGAATTAGCGCATTTGAGAGCAGGATTGCCGGTGGCTCCCGAAATTCCGAATTTCGGGTTTGAAAAAAGAGAGCCAAAAGTGGCTAACGGAAAGGAAGAGTTCGCAGATCAGATAGAAATCAACGAGGAGATACAGGAATATGGAGATGTTGAGTCAGAGGGAGGAGAGTTGGATGAAGAACAAGAATCATACGAGGAAGAGGACGATACAGAAGATGAAGATAATGAGTTGGAAGAAGAAGAAGAGAGTGAATCTGATAACGAGAGTCAAGAAGAAAAAACTACGGTATCTGATTCGGAGTTAGAGTCTCAGAATGTCACTCAAATTGAGTCTGGTAAAATTGCCACAGAAAAATTAAACTCTGAAACAGAAGTCACAATTTTATCAGTGACATTTCCACAAGAAGAACCTGAAGATTATGAATCTTTTCTGCAAAACATTTCCTCGGGCTCAAAATTTAAAATCACCCATCTGCGAACTCATAATAAGGAGCAAGCAATGATCAAGGACATTTTTGATGTCGACGTTGAAGTCGACGAATACGCTAGTTACGAGTTTGAGCCAGATCACGAGATCCGTCGAGAGAAGGAAATTCTGAAGGCAGAAGTAGACGACAAGATACGAAGACTGAAAGAGCAGAAGCAAGCTGAAATAAATGCGAGAATCGCTGAAGAAGAAAAGCTTCAGAAAATCAGGGAGGAACAGCAAAGACGTGAGAAAGTTTTGAAAGAACGAGAGGAGCGTGAAAAGAAAAGAGAAGAGTTTTTGAGAAAGAAGGAAGAAGCGGCAGAAGTTATGGTTATATATCCAGTTATTATATTAATAAGTTTTACATGGATTCATAATCATAAAAAGCTCTTCGCCGACAATTAGCAGCGAAGAAACGGCTTCAAGACAAATTACGGGCAGAAGATTACGAAGGGGAAGAAGAGCTTCTCCAAGAAGAATATGAGACAATGCAGCAAGAATCGCATGACGATGAACAAGAAATAATTGCAGAGCCTCTTGCGGGAGGAGATCATTATGGCAAGGAAAAGATGTTCGGCTTGTTCAAGGGACGTGTTTTGTTGGAACCAGGTGTTCCACATGATTGCTATTCTGATGAAGAGCTTCAACCGTGTCTCAGAAAGCCTCTACCAAGAAAGTCGGACCCTGGTGAGTTTGGGAAAGCGTATGTTCCAGAGAATCCGTCTGCCGAAGACAAGGCCAAAATTGATAAAGGCTGGGAACGACACGGCTTCAACGAGTTCGTTTGCAACAAAATCGCACTAACAAGACACTTGTCGGACAAACGACCAAGCAAATGCATGTCAAAAAGGTGGAAGAAGCCGCTGCCGACGACTTCAGTTGTGATTGTTTTTCACAATGAAGCCGAATGCACTCTATTGCGAACGGTCTACTCTATCCTCGGAACAACGCCAAAAATCCTGTTAACCGAAATTATCCTCGTCGATGACAAATCGGAAATCGACAAAAGACCTGAGCTAGGAGTAAAGCTGGAGCAATACATTGTTAATGAAATAAACAGCAAAATGGGAGAAAACTTCGTGAAAGTGATCAGGCAGCCAACAAGAATGGGGCTTATTCAAGCTCGTCTTGCTGGGGCAGCAGCGGCAAAAGCCGATACGATTACTTTTCTCGATGCACACTGCGAGTGTTTTCCTGGTTGGGCGGAGCCTTTATTGGAACGAATTGCTGAGGATCCAACTAGAGTGATGACACCTGTTATCGAGGTTTGGTATCTTTAGTAAGACACCAATTTGAAGAACTAAGGTGATCGACGCTGGTACTTTCCGTACTACTGAGACGAAAACTGCCAACATTTTCAAAGGAGTGTTCGGATGGAATCTCGTCTTCTACTGGATGGAAGCATATGGTCCTCAAAATCCATATACGTCTGCATGTACCTAAATTTTATCAATTTTTTATTAATATTTTTAAAAGACGAAGCTCGACCGATTCGATCACCAACGATGGCTGGCGGTCTATTCACGATGGATAAAGGTATTTTGAGCGAATCGAAACGTTATTATTGATCTAAGCGTATTTCAACTGGCTTGGAACTTATGACGAAGAGATGAAAATCTGGGGCGGCGAAAATTTGGAAATGAGTTTCCGGGTAAAAAATTCACGTAGCCTGAATTTTTAACTTTGACCATTTACACGTAGATTTGGATGTGCGGTGGGAGCTTGGAAATTCATCCCTGCTCGCATATAGTTACGGTTTCATGATTCATTCTATATTCTATTTTTTAAACACTGAGAATTTTCAACAAGTCGAGAAATCCAACGTGAGGGCATGTTTTCCGCGAGAAATCGCCTTATTCTCATCCTGGAGGAGAGACTCCGATCATCAGGAATTCGATCCGGGTCGCAGACGTCTGGCTCGATGAGTTCCAAGAAGTTTACTTCAGAAGGGGGTCGCCTGATCTTGCGAAAATCGATGCAGGTAGTCCTCCTTGATTTCTTCTTCAATAAACCTCTCAAGGTGACTTGACCTCCAGAATTCAACTTCGAGAAGATCTTCAATGCAAATCGTTTCATTGGTACATGGAAAACGTTCTACCGGAGCTCGATTACACGATGAACAGCGATTTGATTTTTGCCGGAGAAATCATTGCTCAAGGTTTTCAACTAAAAAAAGAAAAAATCTCAATTTTTTTCAAGGACTGATGACTGCACGAAATCCAAATAACAGACAGTGTTTTGACAGTTCTGGAAAAGACAATGCTCAGATCCAGATCTTTCCTTGCCATGGTATGCTCGGAAATCAATATTTCGAGTACACAAACATCAAGGACATAAGGTTTGAAATCATTCTCTTCGAAAATATATTCTTTTTTAGGAAATCTGACGATTATGAAATGTGCATCACAGTTGTAACAGGCGTCGCAGTGCCCGTTTTTAAAACTTGTCAAAGTCGTGTGCAGGGGCGTCAATTAGCGGTCCCCTCACAAACTTGGATACTCGATGAATATTCTCGCTTTTATAACCCTTCAACTCATACTTGTATAGAAATTAAATCTGCTGGTGCCGTGCTCGCAAGCTGCAGGAAAGGTCTCATAAGACATTTATGTGAATGTTCGATGAAAAATCTTGAGACCTATTTAGTGACTCAAAAATGCAAAAATTTGTAGTTTCGAGTTACATCTCGTAACTTATTGTGAATATAAATAGTGCCTCCAGAAACTTTTATTCAGATCTGGATGCTTGGAGGGTCGATTGAAATTCATCCTTGCTCGCACATCGGCCAACTCTTCCAAGATCGTTTTCCTTCTCCTTCCGATGAGACGATCCTTATTCTTGCACGATCTTGGATGGACGACTTTGCCGAGGCCGTAATTCAACGAAATCCATCAAAAAGGCTCTCCAAGGAAAATCGAGTCCTCGTGAAACAGATCAAATTCTTTCGAAAGAAAAAAGAATCGAAACCGTTTTTATGGTACCGAAATAAAGTTCTAAAGAGTTTGGAATTCTTACCATACGAAGATGTGCGCTTTGCTGGTCAGATTCGTGGAGAAATGACGGACTTGTGTTTAACCGGTTTGTTTTTTATTCAATAAAAAATTAATATAAGCTTTAGTTTTAAACAAAACACTGACAATTGACAAGTGTCATGCCAGAGCCCGAAATCAATATTTTCAAGTATGATTTGCTCTTGATTCAATGAATTAAACAAGTACTCAGTACAATAAGAATAAGCAAATTATGTACGACTACGACGTGACGCCTCCGATCTGCCTCCAACCGATGAAAGACAATCCGATTCCGCGCTTGGAAAGATGCAAAGATCAAAACGAGGCTCAACGATGGAAAACCCGAGGCCAAGCGCACTCTTACCTGCTCAGCGAGTTTCAGAACTTGTGTCTTCAGCTCGACCCGAAAGAAAAGACTCTCGGCCTGAAGAACTGCGTAAAAATGATGCAAAAACAAATTTTTGTCTTTGAATAACAAGGTTTAAAATACTGCTTTCTCTCTCTTGCCATAACTATTTACCTTTCAGAAGCTGATAAAACAATAAAAATAAATCATCCCAAAAGTCGTTTATTTTCTAGAACACGTCTCGGCCTGAGGCGTGTTTACGTTTAATCGTCAGTTTGAAAAGTCAGCAGCTGGAGAATGGAGACCCGCGGAGAGCTCCTCGACCGAAAAGAGAAAGAGGCAATTGAGAAGTCTCGAATGCGAGAAACTCTTCGCCAAGAGCGAATCTTCAACGCTCGGGAGAGGTAAGAAGCTGCTCGTTTTTCAAATAATTCATGAATTTCTTCCCCTGAAAATTTAAAAGAAGATCATTCGGGTCGGCTTTTTCTCGGAGTTCTCGGAAGATTTTCAATTCAGAGTCCATTTTTACAAGTCCGAAATCAGTTATTTTCCGCCAAAGCGTTCTATTCGCGCAGTCATATAAAATCTGGTCGATAGATTGACGTTTTAAAATGATTTCTTTCGACTTTTTGGTCAAATCTTCCTCGCTGAAGCTTTTTTCGTGATTTTCTTTCGCTCTTAGGTAAATAATATCTTCGTATTCTAGAGATAACAGCTGTTTGAGAAGGATAAGGCTCTCGTCGAAGTACTCCATGATTAGAATTAAATCGTAGTATCCCAGAATGTGTTCAGCAAAAGCTTCTGGAGTTTTGTGTTCTTCGGCTATACTCGCTAATCCTTAATAAATGATATTATCTCAATAAAACCTAAAACATATGACAAACCTAAATCTGCTGAATTCGGATTGTGCGTAATTTTTCGAACTTCGAAGCCGTATATTTTCTTAGTCTGAAATTTTCGCCGTATAAATTCTTCGAACGAATCAAGTGATTTTGAATTAGCCCGTATATGATCTTTACCGAAGTATATAAAACTCGATATTGTTTGCGAAATAGGCTCTCTAAGGATGGTTATTCTCTTAGCAGCCGGTAAAACTTTGTCGATAACAGGCGACCAAGTATGATGGTTTGCTTAATTTTGGTTGAAAACGTTGGTAGATTGAAATTCTTAGTTTTTTGGAACCAGACCTATGATATCGAATTCTTTTTGAAACGTGCAGTCTTTTCTGAACGGTTTTCCATTGCAAAAGACTGCAAAATCGTTTGTTGGAAAAGCAAGCCGTAGATGATTCTTTTGCGCATATCGATAGATGATGTTTTGCAGCGTCGAACTTCCTGTTTTATGAGCTGTCTAAGGATTTTCATATTGGAAATAATATTTTACTGTTTATCAAGAAAAATGACGAAACTCCTTTTTCAAATAATAAATAGGCCAAACTCTTCTTTCAGTCAGTTTTCTCTGGCTCTGAAGGCTGAAAGATACATAACGTAGCAAAGTTAGTATCGCAAAAATAGTCAATGCTATTGTTAATCGATGTAAATTCATATTTTGCAATGAAAAAAATGCATTTTATGCTCGCTTCGATTGAGATTCTGCAGCAATAATTCAAATTATTTCGCAAACTAAAGATTGAACTAAATGATTTTTGGAAATTCGAATTGAAATTTTCACCCGAGGGTGGATATGCATCCTTATCTCTATTTTTAAGCAGCTGGTTCTTTTATGATAACCAAGCCTTTCAGACTTATCGGCGTTGACAAGCCCGCGCTCGATCGGCAGACGGCTGAAAAGAAGGAGCGACTAGCAGCCGAAGATGAGCGCAACGCGGCGTACGGTCGGGAGAGCAACAAGAACGCCAAGCTCGGTCTTCTCTACGAGCAGCGACAAGAGCGCGACGAACGCGACTTGGCCAAGCGCATCAACGAGTTCCGCTTCGAGCATCAGACCAAGGAGTCCCGACGTGAGTGGGACCTCAACGATCCGGAATCGAAAAAGAACAGCGCTCCAGTTCGAGTCGCCGATGTCGACACTAATCTTGGTATTTCGTCGGCACAAGTTTTCGACGGAGAAGATCTTGCTGGTCCATCGCGAAATTCCATCCAGCAGGATCAGCGACGACAGTGGGCAGGTAAAATCACTGTTAATTTTTCGATTTCAAAAATTGTGTGTTTCAGACTGCCAGAGAGAGGAAAAACTTCGACGAGAGCAGGAAGAAGCTTATACCACCCATAAGTACCTTACTGAGCAAATCGCCTGGGCTGAGATGTGGCAAACGATGCTCGACCAAAAAGAGGCCAAGAGATTAGCTGATTTAAAGGAATTGAAGCAATTTAACTTACAGGTAAATTGAAAAATTACAAATGTTTCTGAATGCCAATTTAGCAAGCTAAAGAGAAGCGTGAGCGAGAAGCCGCGGAAAAGAACCGCGAGTTGCAGGACAAACTGACCGATATCAGAAACAACGTTACTGGTACTATGCTGACGGAAGATCCAGCTGTCGCCAAGTCCACTTTTGGCTCCCACCGAGTTCTTACTGACCGATGGAAGGTAAAATCGTCTAGTTTTATTTTTTAAATAAAAGTTCCTTTAGGGAATGAGTCCCGCGCAGGTCGAAGACATCCGATCAACGCAAGAACTTCAGCGAAGCGAAAATAAAGCGATCCAAAATCAAAATAAAGAAATCGACAATCAATGGGACAACGACAGAATCCAGCAGGCGAAAACTCTTATGCTTATGGAGCGCAGGAACGGCTTAAGTTTTCTCATTTGAAATCATGGAAGAGAATACCCGCAAACTATCCCTAAACTCTTCGCATACAAATATTATCAAGCCGATTTATAGCGAAAAACGACAGCGCCGCGATATCCAGAAGAAGCTGGATGAGGAAAACCACAAACTCGCCAAGGAGCAGTGCGAGCGACTCAATCACATGGACTCGGAAGTTTACACCAACCGGCCATCGAACGCGTACTTTGATCAGTTCAATACTACTTCTCGATAACTGTGCGAGACTTATTTATTCAGTAACAAGATATAATAAATATCAATATTTTTAATCTCCGATTATTTACTTTCGTTCGTGAACGAGAGTAAATTGCAGTTTGACACAGGTTTTTTACGAAAATCGAGCCCGCAAGCTCAGCAGGTCAAATACAGGAGCCCGATCTGTGGCTTCGTTTTTATTATAATTTTAATATTTACTTCCGAGAGAGGGGAGTCGAGAAAGGGCCTATTTGATTAGTACTCAAATATTATAAGGAAGAATTGTTTCTTTTTTATTTTCAGAAAGAAAAATATAAAAGAAGCAAGCTAGACAAAGAGGAAAATTGATCACCCCGATCAAAGTGAAAACACCTCCCCATTTTTGCTCAAGAAAATCATGAAAAAGAGAAAGTTCAGATGGCTAAAAACTCATTAATAAAAGGTAAAAAGCCTTGTTTTCATAATTATGATCGAGTATAATAAAAGTCTTGTAAAAGGGGACTTCTAGAATACGAGCAGGATAGTTGTTCCAAAGTGGCATGAAAAAGATCAGTTTGAAAAATTCTTGGGGAGAGCAAATGTCGGATAGTGAAAATGCAGACTATTTGACGCCCCGGTCTGATGGGAGAAAATCGCAGAACGAAAGGCCAGTAGGATAATTGAATTTTATAAATTTGGCAAGCTAGAAAAAGAGTTACTTATCCCGATAAGGCGCCCCCTACCAGATCGAAAGGACCTTTGGGATAATTGTCCAAGTCCAAGAGCAAGTCCCCGTGCTGAGCGCAACGTAGCAAATGAGTACTCTCCGAGGGTTCAACATGAAAGACGGAGAAGAGAGCGCCGAAAAAGCACAAGTCACGCGCATCAGCTTCAGTCAGATCATGCAGAATCAAATAAGCCTGATATGAATAAGACCCCACGTTCCGAATCACATAGAACTCCGCGCTCTGCTCGGTCTCACGGGGCGAAAACTCCGACTTCATCTCGGTCAATCTCGGAAAAGAAAAGAAGGTCCCCAAGATCAGCTCGAGATAATAGCAAAAATCTCGATTCCGGTTAATACAACTAATGAGAAAATATATATTAATGTTCAGTTCGCGAAATGGTGGAGATAAAAAATAAACTGAACGCGTTGAAGGAGGAGAATCGAAACTTACGACAGCAAATCGCCAAAAATAAGATCGACAGTGGCGAAATAGACGCAGAACAAGATCGGAGCTTGTACAATTTGCTTCAAGAATACATGATGGAGAATCAAAGTTTGAGAACATCAAATAAGGTGCCACAAACATCAAATATATTTTTCTAATTTTTCGAAGGAGCTTCGTCAGAAGGCGTTGAACGAATCGAAAATTTCAATGAAGAATTCGGTCTCCACAGAACTTCCACAACTGAAAGAAAGTTCCGGTTCCAGCCCGGAGCCATCTCAGTCTCAAAGTACCAGAATGAGCTCGAAACTCAGCAGCCGAACTATAACTTCTGAAGCGTCAACTCAAACACCTGTCCAACCGAGGCATAGAAGCGAGCGAGAGAAAAAGAAGACAGAACAACCACCTCAAAAACCAGTGAAAATGGGATACAGTGATTTGTATGAAAAGAGAAAACCATCGTCGGACGTCGAATTGAAAAATGTCGTACCGCCGTTGAAACTTAGTCACGTAAGATGAATATATTTTCATTATTTTAAGTGACGACGTTCAGGATACAGATTATGGCAAACATGAATTATCTCATCCTTTGTTACCTAGCCATCCTCCAGTTAATCGAAATTACCCCAGAGGAATGTTTCAGCAATAACATCACCTTTTTGAATTTGAAAAAAAGACCACACTGTTGAAACTTCAAAAGAACAAAATGCCATGTCAATGCCGAACTACAACTCCATTCCACAAGGATCACATCGGGCTAATTACAACACAGTTCCAAGTTACCATCCGAATCCGATGAGCTACCAACAACCCTACCCGCCACCTTACTATCCCCTGGCTCCAGTTCCTCCCCGTCCTGGGCAGCAGGCTTCAACTCACATGTCAGACCCACTGCGCTCGTACCGAATGAGTCAACGCGATGCAGATCAGCATCTTCACCAAGGACGGAGCACATATCGACCCCAAGAACGGTCGCACCAGCAACAACATCAGCGCCATCACTACTGAGCTTATATGTTTCTATTCCAATTATATTTAAATAAACAAAATATTGCACAATTGTCGAAACCGTATCTTTTAGAAATAGAGAACCGTTTCCGGCTTTCTAGTCTCCTCAACCACAATTCTTTCGTGGCCAATTTTTGTAAAAGATTATTTTCGCAAAACTTCCGAAATTGACATTTTTCCTGGTGGCCGTTCATAATGACAAAGTGTTAGAAAATTGAATTTTATCTTTCTTTCTTTTTGAAAAGGCCATTCTTGCCCGCTAAAATCATTATCTTCTCTCGAGTTTACGGAAACCGCAAAAAGTCAACTGCTAGTCAACGCGACACCGGTCAAGAATCAGGAAGTACAAATCAGCTCCAATAAACAAAAAAATGCAACCGATTATTTCGCGACTCTAGATCGGCAGGTCCGTCTTCTTTTCGTTGACAGAAAGAGTAACCACAGGACTGCAAGTTTATAGTGTCAAAATCGCTTTCCTTCACTTGATGTATTGCTCGCTTGATTTCTCGTGTCACCACCTTTACAGTAAGATCTCGACAGAATGCTTTCGATAAGGCCTCACACGGAAAATAATAAGGAAACGGCCCACAGCTGCTACTTATACTTGACGACATCTAACAATCAGCAGCGGTTATCCCTTTTAACTTTGGATTTTCTGGAAAACTACTGATAGAAACACTTACACGCAGAGAAAACAAGCGACTTTCTAGCGTATTCAAGAGACAAAACGGAACAATGACTATTCTTGGAAAGAGTTGGAACAAGTTAGCTGAAATTTTTAAAGAGAAAAAATCGAAGGTTAAAATTTTTATTATCTGTACGTTCATACTTATTAGGCAGCTCCCGTTTCGCCCAAAATCCCGGATCGCCCACATCCCGGATCGCCCATTTTCCTGGATCGCCCATTGTGGGCAAAACGGGAAAATGTGCGAATCAGGAAAATGTGCGATTCAGGATTGGGCAGAACGGGATTTACAAAATTAGAAAAGGAACTCTTTATCCCTGAGTCAGGGGTCTAAATTCGCAGTGCGAATTCGCTTTATTGCGAAGCGAAGCGAAGCGAAGCGAAGCACAAAATATCAAACTCTCAAAAGCGAAAAAAAGCGAAAAAGTGACATTATTTATCAAAAGGCGGTTACTTTTTGCTCTATAGTAGGGCGTCTGTAAGAATATCATAACAATTGTGATGTTTAATTTGTCACTTTGAAATTTTTAACCTTTACAAGTGCCGAATGTTACCTTACTTGAGATGGGCCATCTCAGGGTTAATTCTTATGAACACAGTAGCCCTGAGCACCTTATTTGAAAGATAAGAGCTTGAACTCTCTCGGAGGCTTCGGGACCTTAGTTTGGGTCTTATAATTCCGCAAAAAATACATTTTAGGGTTTTCCTTCAGGCATTCGAGATGGTCGCCTTATGTATCACAAACCTTTGTGAACTTACCCTTTTATATCGACGTTTTTATAATTGTCAAATTTTTGAAAACCAATGAATTCTATTATTTTTGAAATAAAAATTTTTATCTCCAAAAATGTTCGCAATTTTAAAGAAATTTTCGCTTCGCACTGGAAGTTCAAATTCGCTTCGCTTTCTCTTCGCACAAAATTTGAAAAAAAAGTTTCGCTCTCGCACTGGGTTTTTGGCTGATATTTAGACCCCTGCCTGGGTATTATATCTTTTCTTCCTACAAATAAAATCATAACTCGGTCAAATCTTCTTTGGAATGTCTGATTTCCAAAGATCAATTTCGATCGATTATCAAATTTCAAATTTACAATTGCAAATCCTGGTTTGCACACAAATCCCGTTCCGCACATTTTCCCGTTTTGCCCACAATGGGCGATCCAGGAAAATGGGCGATCCGGGATGTGGGCGATCCGGGAATTTGGGCAAAACAGGCGCTGCCTACTTATTAATTATGTTTATATCTTTAAACAAAATTAACTTTTTTCATCAGGAAAAGATCGATCCTTCGCGATTCGATTGTCAAAATCGTCGAGGCCAAGAAAAGAATATCTCTCCAAGGGATTCTCCATCCACTTCAACTTCTTGTTCTGACTCAATCCCTTCTCGAAAGAATGTTTGCCAGCGGGAAGTAGACATCGAATACCTGCTGTAAGTACCGGAGAAAGCAATTTCTCGCCTTGCGCCTTTTTGTAAAGTAAGCAGCCAGTTCCATCATTTTGAAATTGGCGAAAAGGGCAACGCTGTTAGCCGATTCACATATTTCTTCGTTTCTTGAACTTGGAATTGACTTTTTTGCGCAAACATAAACAGTTAGCGAAATAGTATCAATATCTAACTTTTTGATTGGAAAGAACAAGTCTTTCAGATTGCGCCAAGGCAACATGAAGAACAGAAGAAAGCCACAAAAGGCAGATCATGGGCCCCACGTGACGTATAAAAAGACAAAATATCAGAAAGTGCGGACTTCAATTCTCAATGCAGCAAAAGCAACTCCGACAAAGATATCGCGAAGCATGAGGCCTTCTTTTGCCACAGTGGTCATGCAATTGTCGTAAAGAGCGAAGCGATACTGTACATTTGAAAAACAGAAACTAGTGTGAATTTTAGCGTGTCCTTTTGAAAATCAGCCTTCTTCTCCTTTAGACCGTATTCCAGGGTGCATGCTTGTTAATTAAATTCCCGTGGCTGCCAGCTGTTAAGCGGGATCATCCTTCCGCAAGGAAAGTTGTTCTCACTGTGTTGATAATCACTTTTCAGGGTTGAAGTGTTGAAATGTAAATTTGGAATGAGCACTGTGAGAAATACGTAGACTGCCTTAATTAATGACTTTCTAAATGCCTTTGCACATGTCTGACTAACGAACTAAAAACGCGTGACAATGTTTTCATCTTTGGAAAACAGTTGTCTTTGTATTTGACGTTTCACCACTAATGCTCACTAACATCGACTAGATGAAAGTTTGGTAATCATTAATTTTGCTCGATGACCCTGAATAAGAATACAAGTGCCAAACTCATCGCAACTCAATAAGCCCCAAGTTCAGTCGACAGAAATAAAACTTCATGTTCATAACATGTATTCTTTATTGAATATTATTCTGATAGCGTAATTGAAAGCTACATTTTGCTAAATTTTTCGTTCGGGTTTTCATTCGCTTCTAAATTTAGCAAATTAACAAAAAAAGAAGGATAATTTGGTCTTACTCAGATTCTGGTGCTCTTCATCTTCTTCTTGATCTTTTCCCTTGTTGAAAAACTTGAGGAGAAGACCGATGAGAATAATGATTCCACAAAGCCCGAACAGGAATATGAAACCTTGTTTCCCGTCGTTACCCTTCGTCTCTTCAGTTGGTTTAGTTGTAGTGAGGTACTGAATGGGAAATTTTAATTGAAACCATTATAAACTCTTACATCGGGAATAGCCGAAGGTACGTATCGTCGACCATCAAGCGTGTCGTTTCCAATTGTTCCGTTTTCGAGGTAAATTCCGTTGACGAGGGCGTAAGTTTCGTTGACAGTGTCAAACTCATCGCCGTCGTATTCAAAGACCAGTTCTCTTGGGGAAATAGCAGTTTCCGTCACATTAGCGAAAACATAGTCTTCTGAAGAATTGAAGAAAGAAATCGGATCCGCCTTAAAATTCAATAAAAATATTCTTCATAAGCTTTGCTGACCTCAGAAAAATGTGAGGTGGTGTTATTTGGAAAAGTGGAATTGTCCATTCTCTAGTAAATATTCTGGCTAAATGCGAATTGAAATCTGGGAAAGTTGCGGTAAATCAAATCTCAATCTGAATTTTACTCAAAAATTTTTCAAAACATGAATGACGTGTGGGTAAATGGGGCCTTCTCCCTCTCTAAAAAAATCTCATGGTAGATAGGAGATCGCAAATTTTAAAAGACCTAAAAATGTAGAAAATTTCAATCATTCATGATAGAACCTATTTTTTATTATTGCGATTTTGAATCATGAATGTGATAGATATCAAATCAAAAAGAAGCATTCCTTGAACTCAACCTTTGGAGAATCAGGATGGGAGGCGCCCCCATTCTCCGTGGCGCTGCTGACCACAATCGACCACGCGGTCGCTGGAACTTCCGCCAGTTTCTATTTTGAAATCATGTTGCGCGGCGTGCTCCTGTTTTGGCCCTTTTTTACTGTAATCTCGGCGAGAGGAGTGTTTGTCGAGTCGAGCCACCATAAGTTTGATATTCGCAAATTGCAGTACAATCGAACGCAAGATGGTAAAAACAATTTTATCGACATTTATTGTGAAGAGAAATTCTAGTGAAAGAGCTTATGGAACACATGAAGCTAGAGAACTGGAGCAGAAGAGACTATCAAAATTTATACGATGAAATAATGGTCAACTTCATACCAAGCTACAGACCCGCGCCGCCACCTGGTAAGAGTAGTTTTAATAACGGTTTTCAGAGAAATCCCCAATTTGATCGAGGGTTGTTGGAACTCATTGCGACGGGGAGGGAACGCGTAAGATTGAAAAGTTCGAGAGCCGAGTTTTCGGAAGAAGATAAAGCTTTTGTCAAACGATATGTGCAGCTAAAGGGGCGGGTTTTAGCGAGTTAAAATAAAGATAGAACTTTTTCTCGGTGACATCATTTTAATTTGTAAAACCTTCAATAGTTCGCAATTCAATTTCGTCAGAAACAGAAGTTCCTCGGGAAGTATTGCTTCTACGGCTGCTGGTGCTTTCCAAACGGGGCGGGTGACCTCGGTATCGGGACTGGAGACCCAGTCGACAATATCGATAAATCTTGCAGAGAGTACAGCACCTGCTATAATTGCATGTACAGCTCTAAGCTCAACGCTCCTTGCTCTGAGAACGAAATAGGTCATTATAACGTCTACGGGCGAGAAAACGAGCAGACAGGTGAGAACTTGCTCGTCTGCGCGGATGACATCGGAACTTGTAAACGACAGAGATGCGAGTGCGATCTCTCCTTGGCGGAGAAGCTGGCCGGTCTTGAACCTGAGTGGAATATCCAAAACCACCGGAAGTGGGGCCAGCCGCCATTCAACTGGGAGCGAAGATGTCTCAAACATTCAGGCACCACGAACCGTAACCGATTCCGGAAGCGAAAACACATCACAAATATCATTTTCTTTAGAAATCGAGCGACTGCGCGGGGCCGCGCCTAGCAGAAGCACCTTCTCTGACTTTCCCAAACTCGAAAAACAATTCATCGCTCAAGACAAGTTCTAGACACAAGTTCTTGTTCTCATGGATATCAGCAATTTTCAGATGAGAATTTTCCTAAATCAGCTCGTCTTTCCGACTTAGTAGTGAATGTTGATTTTGAAAGGAATTGATTACTAATGTCACATTAGGCAAAATATTGTCATGAAGAAAATTAAGTAATAAAAGTAATAAGAAGTCATTATAGCAAGCTACCTAGAAACTTTAATTTGGAATTCATTTTTGTAAATTGTTGTGAACTTCTTCCAGCTGAAAATCGTCTTCCAGCACCATCCTCCGCTATCTCGAGCGCGGTAGCGCCCCCTCCGCTTCTCACAGGTAAGAGGCCATCTATCGAAATAGGCACCATAACGCGATAGCCAGTTTTGAAAAACGGTACCTTTCTCCACACCAGCACGGCATCGCTTCCGGCCTTTGTGGCTAAGATCAAGTGTAGTATCTGTTCTTCTCAGTGTGACAGCTGGGACCGTCCCTACTGGGACGTCTATTGTCACCCTGATTTTTGGAACTAGGGATGTAGTTAGGGGCTTGCTCCGCTCTTCCCACGGGTTGACTCGCTATTGCAGTACCGGCGAGCTCGGCCCACTCCCCCACGGGGGAGAAACAATCATCAAACAAACTAGAAAAAACCCCACACAAATATTAACACGCCGTAAATACAAGCCCAGATTATTCTTCCCCAGCAGATATGTTCGTTTCTAGCTCGATCGATAAGTCTACCAAACATCGTGTCATTCCTACACTACGGAAAAATAATAGGCTGCTGTGGACGAATTCCCAATGTTCAGTACTACCGTGAGGGGCAGAAGGTCAGCTCGTTTATTGACATTATTCTTGAAAACTTTCTAGTGCTGCCCCGATGGTAACAGAGTCGATTTCTACGAAGATTGCTTTTAAACCCAAGAAAAGAAAATCGACGGAGTTTCATTCAAGAACCTAACACATGTAACTAACTGTAAATATAATTTATGATCATGGAATTTTGCGCGTGTTTCCTAAAATCGAGTGGTTACGGAAATTGTAGAAGAACAATTGTCAAGTTTTTCTAAAAGAAACTTCCTCCAAATTGGAAGCAACTTGGGAAGTTGGTCTTTTGTTAGTTCCATAAAATCGCTTTATTGTTATGACGTGCTTTTTTTAAGGTTGTGCAATTTATTGCACTCACTTCCTCAATTTAAGACCCAGAACACCATACATATTTGGAATCAGTGAAAAAAATCTAGAAACTTGACCGTTTTCGTTTTTCGAAATTCACTTCCGGTTACGATTCTAGAGCCGGAAGTTCACGAAATTTATAAGAAAAACGTGCTTATGACCTATCAAATTGAAGCTCACAACGAATTTAGTCATTTATTATCGGAACCGAGTTCAACCGCGGTCAAAAACCGCCGGTAAACGACCGGTAAAAATTGAAAAATTTCTCATTAAATCATGTTTTTTTCATAGTTTTACGGATCAGTTTAACCGCGTTTGGGACTGTTTCTTCAAATTACTCAATGATGAGATGATTGAAAATCTTCTGCGCATCAATTTGATAGGTCACACTTTACCATGACTCCAAAATTTCGCCTACTTCAGGCTCTAGAATCGTAACCGGAAGTGAATTTCGAAAAACTAAAACGGTCAAGTTTCTAGATTTTTTTCACTGATTCTAAATATGTATGGTGTTCTGGGTCTCAAAATGAGGAAGTGGGTGAAATAAATTGCACAACCTTAAAAAAAGCACGTCTATGCGCTTGTGTTGTCAGAAAATTGAAAAAAAGAGATACAGGCCGGCATATATCGGTAATTGTTGTCGGGAAGTTTACTTTTTCCATTTTGCCAAGTCTGTGTTGAGATGAGGGTGGCTTCCTAAGCCGGCAAGTCCTGGGTAGAGGCACGGGAAAAGAAGACTTGGGGAGGACTGAAGCCAAAAAGTTAGAATTGTTTAGTTTACAAAATTTGTTACCATGTAAGGGTAAGCAGGGGAGATCGGCGGAATCAGAGGTCGACCTGGACTTGTGAGAGTTCGGAAAAACTCAGCCGGCGATGTTGGCGACGTAGAGGAGGTCGTCGGGGTAGCAGAAGAAGTCTCAGATGAAACAGATTGTCGCGTTATCTTTGAGATCTCATTGCGGCTGTCATCGACTGCCAGGCAATGCTCGATCGCTCGGACGACGTCTCCATTGCAACCTTGAAGAACGAGCTCGAGGACCTTTATTATGTTAATTTGAATCAAAACTATCAGCGTTTACGTCTGATTTCTGATCGGGAAAAAGTCTCTCTAGGAGATTCACGTATTTTGAATTCGTTCTGGATCTTTTGAGTGGGGCAGATTCAAAGCTATCATCGAGTTTGCGCTTGATTCCGACGATTGGCTTTGAGTCATCATCATCGCTGATTTCGTCGAGTTCGTCCTCATGATCTGATCCTCAGAGAATCATAAATTTGTGCGTGCTTTTAGCAAGTTTTACCTTTTGGGAACACTGGTCCAGGGGCTAAGTATCCTAGCTTTGGGTTACCAGCGTTGTCTACTCCATCAGAAGAGTCCTGTCGCATTCGTAAGCCTAGAGCAATAGCATCTTCAGCTGCTTGCTGCCTTTTGAGCGCAACTTGCGCTGCCATCACCCGACGTCTCTCTGAGATTAGGATGCATTTGTTGCAGTTGCAGTCTTTGTAGCGACAATTCGCCTTGTGTCCTTTCAGCCAGGAGATGACTCCGTGATTTCGGCAACGAGCGCACTTCGGTTTTCTAGCACCTTTCTCAGTTCTTGGGTAAGGAATGACTCCATCTTCTGGGGAATTAAGAATTTCCTCGTTGTCATCACTGGCACTCATTTCTTTTTCTTTTCAAAAATCGATTTTTAATCTTTTTGAAACTTTTTTATAAGTTGTAATAATAGTTATTCTCACCTGAAAACAGATTTTACCAAAAAAAAACGCGGCGCTGTTGGAGGTGCGCTCCGGTGCGCCAGAGAAAGCGCCGAAGGCGTGAACTATCCAAAGATTATTGTTGAAAAGAAGATCAAAAGGTAGACTGTCGGTAATCTTCCAAATTAATACATTTGACCTGTTTAGACGCTTATATGATTTTTTGAAAGTATTAATCTCATCAATGCGATAATTTTTAGAATAATATCATAAATTATTAAACAATTGAATTTCAATTTAAAAATTAGTAGTAATCATTTATATCATAATAAGAAAGATATTCGATCATAAATGAGTGAGATTGAATAAGACTGGTCCTAGGCCTCGAGGAGAAAATCAAAGAAGACTCGCTGTTTCCGTTGTTCCATTAACCATACGAGTCAGAACAGTATATCGCGGCGTTCCATAGTTACTTAACAGTAACCACAGAGTAATCCGCTTTCCTGTGGCTTGAATTAATCTTCCTCTTTGTTTTGGTTAAAATCTACAGCTGGATCGGATTCGCTACAAAAGAGAATTGTTAGCGCCATTTCATCTCTCCAATTGACACAATCGCCGTTTGGAGAGGCTCAGGAAGTGGAATCTGTGAGAGTTAAAGCCATCTGTAGCTACTTCCGAGTTTTTTGAGCGAGCTTTGTTGGGGACTCCGTGTTGCTTGGGCACCGTTCAGCTGAACATAGGAAAATAGCTCGGTAGTTCTTGGCAAGAATCTTGACTAACAGTGTGAAGTACCCGCTTTGTTCTTCTTTTCGATTTCGTAAATTATTTCGAAAAAAAAACTCTTTATTGATTCATCTTCGTATCATCCAAGTTTCCTAAAATCCCTGCAAATAACCTTTGATGCTACGCCTAATTGCAATTCTTCAATGATGATCATCTGTAAACCGTCTTTCTTGCCCAGCCTCAAAGAAACCTGATATTTGCATAAAAATTTTCATCCCCGCATTTGGCCAGTAAACAGAGTCAGCACTTGTCGTCACAAGTGATATTTTAACTGTCAATAACGGCGCGAAATTTTCACGCTTTTGCGAATTTCTCCGGAAATGATTACCCGAGTAATAAAATCCAAAATTTGCAAATTTATCGATAAATAGCTGGAGAGGAGTATTCATCGATTTAATACAAACTTGTTATTATATTTGTGTTTTAGTTGATTTCCTCTGAATCAACAACAAAAGCGTTTGAGCTCGCCGCGGCTTTAGCTTCTCAAGTGCCATTTTCGGCACGTGACACTTCCACTCCCTTTCAAAATCGAGAAGTTCAAAGTCTCAAAAGTGTAATTCACGGCAATATAACGCGCCTCTACAAACAAACTCGCTTTGAACCCTTCAAACTAAACCAAAAAACCGACTAAGAAAACTCTTTCTCAAAAAAAAGAGTTTCTAAAAAGTAACGAGAGTTGAGGTTTATGTAGTTTTATTGAGTATTGAAAGGCACTTGTGTCAGAGTTGATTCCTGCGAATGATTAAAGTTTTCTTAGGGCTTTGGGTTCGGAAGCTCCTTTTGCTTGTGGAGTGCTGACCAGCTGGGTTGTTCTATCGTTGAAAATTGCTCCTCGAGTTCGGCGCGCTCTTCGATTTCGAAAGTGATATTTTCGATTCGGGCGAACTCGACAGTAAAGCTTCCAAGGTAGGTAATGAAACCGAAGCCTAGAAATAACTGAATTTCAGAGGCAGAAAATTAAATTTTACGTACCCATAATCCACTCGGTTATGCCGCCAACGAATGTGAGGACCATGTACTCCTGAGAATGTTGTCTCGGCTTCCATGCATTTGGTTCTGCCTTCAGTTCATCTGCGAATTGGTTACACTCTGGTCTTCCAAGTGATCGCAAATCTCTAAAGAAATCTTATTGTTTAGGTTTAAATATGATAACTTACATGACAGGTGACTCCCAGAACTCAGGCATCGAGCTGACGTAATTATGGAGAACAAAGCCGATGACAAATCCAATCATCAAGACAACGGACAGGGTTAATCGGAGATAGTAAATGCACGTACATCTCCTCTTTGGGTTCTGCTCAATATATCTAAAGAATGACCTGTTTACAAAAGACAATTTTCCTACCTTTTTGTCACGACAGCCATCAAGGAGCAGTAAATGGTGCCAAAAAAGAAAGCTAACCCAGCGCAAATAAAATGAATTGTCGCAGCATCATAAACCTAACTCAATTTAGCCAGAACGTAAACAGGAAGTACTCACGCCATAGCCGCCGACAAGAAGCTTGAAAAACGCTCCAGCGAGACCAATGATCCAAGCAATCATGTTAATTCTGCTGTTTTCTTTTGGATTCGAAGAGTCGAAGAATTTATATGCGACTGTCATTGTCGACATTGCCAACAGACCGCTGATGGCAAATGTCGCTGTGAATACTTTGTCCTCCGGGTCTCTTAATTCTTCAAAAAAATTGCCAAAGCTTGTTCATCTTACCTAGTTCCAAGATGGGAAATGAAGGGCCACCAGAGCTCTTCTATATGACAACTAGTCTTTGCTTGAATGAGGAGAATAATCAGCATAATAATGAACCAAATACAATAAATGGACTAAACGGACATTCGAAAAAGAATCAATTAATAAACTTACAGGAAGAAGAGCCCATTTGGAATATTCCATCATCATTCGCAGATTCCAAACTTCAAGCTAACTTCGTGAACCAACCTTCTCTCGGATGACTGTTATGAAATCATAAATAACGAATACAGATCATTTACATTCTAGAAAAAAATAATAAAGTACGCAAAGGCGGGCTCGAATGGCTGCACATTGTTTCTCTGAAAAAAGATTAGACTTGATCATCAGCCCAGTCAAATTCTTCGTCTTGATTTTTGTCTCTTTGCTCTTCATTTTCAGACTTTGCCGTTGGAAGTTTTTTGGTCTCTTTTATCTCCAAAATATCGTCACTGAAGTCATGAAAGCTTTGTCGAAGCTTTTGAAAATTATCAAGAGATGCTCAAAATAAATTCGAATTATCTAAAGAAAACTTGATAATTTCCTTTCCTTGGAGATGTGCAGCTGGAGAGATTCAAGCTCTGTTTGCGCAGCGATAACTCGAGTATCAGTTACTGTCAGATTTGTTTCTAGCTCAATTCTGTGCAAGTTATCGTACTCTGCTAATCGTCTGAAGCTACAAAAAGATATTAACTGCCCTTACCGTCTTTTCCCCAAACCTCTTGTAAAGTGTCGTCAATTCTGCACGATTCTGTTTTATTTCAGCCTTCGCTTGTAAGGCAATGCATTTCATAAAGTTCAAAGCAGTTTTTGTCGATTCTTCCAGGTGGTTGATATGAGCAGTAAGTTCTTCATTTTTAGAGTCTTCAAGAGGGTAGTAATTATAATTGACAATCGAAATTTAATAACGATTCTCATTCTAAATGAAAAAGAAAAGAATTTTTTTAGAAAAAGTCTGACGAAAAGTTCATCAGAAACCCTTTGCCTAAAGCTTCATTTTTCTTTAGTTCTTGCTTCAGCTGACACTTCAGAACTACATTTTCATTTCTCGTTTTCATGAGCTCATGTCTGAGCTCGAGCGTTTCTTCATTCACTCTCTCCAATCTTGCCCGCGTTTGGTCAACAATTTGCTCCATCGGTCTTGTTGTGTCTGTACTTGTGACACACTGTGACTCTTTTTGTGGGATGATCTCAGTTATAAAAAATGACTCCAGCTCAATCGCTCGCGCGCTCAACTTGTCTCTCTAACTTGAGGCCCTTGGTGACAACTGCTGATAAACTTTTTCTCACTTGCGCAACTATCAATTTGTAAATGAATAGCTTCTCAATTCAAAAGCGAGAAATACAGACAGACAGAACAACTTTTAACTTTTAATTAATTTAACTCTTTCAATCGATGCTAACATGGCTACTTTTGCCGCCGAGCGAATAATTTCTGAACTTTCTAAATCTAGCTAAGAATTTATTGAAGTAATTTTTAAGAGCACTCAAATTTTACGTTCAAAGGCTTTTTTCAAAAGTCAAATCATTCATGCGTAATCATAACTAATTGCATTTGGAAAATATACTCAAAGTTATATAGAAATAGAAATTTATTCATAGAAAAGTTGCAATTTTGATTGTAAAAATAAGATTTGAAGTAGAAAAATAAAGAAGGAACTCAGAGGACATTGCGGTTGTGTAGAAAAATAGATAGGAATTGTTGGGAATGAGGCGTTTTACTGCATGCGGGTTTTGAATACTTCTTCGTGCGTTTTGTGGTCTTGTTCCATTTGATCCAACCTGATGTTTTATTTCAAGAGAGAAGAACACAATCAAAAGTGTACCTTTTGTTGATGAGAGTTAATTCAGCTGGTATATTTTCAACTCCATCCAATGTTAGGACCGATTCTTTAGATCTTGCTTTTCGCGGAGATATCCAATGAGGCGAGGCAGAGAAGCTTTCCTCTTGCATATTTATTGCCTAGAATTTTGCTGAGGTTATTGAGAAAATAATCATTCTTACGTGAGCAAAGTTGGACATCCTGCCTTGCATTCTCTGCAGCCTCTTCTTAAGTCGATCATGTTCTTCTTTCGGAACGCCTCCTGTCTTCTTCAGAAGCTCTAGCTCGGCATGGCTTCGATCTTTCTCCGCCGCTAGTTTCAACCTTTCTTCTGTCAGATTTCGTACTCTTAAACGAAGTTTGAGAATAAAAAGTCTTCAATTCAATTACTTTTTCTGAAGCTTATTCTTTGCCGCGTCAAAATCATTAATTGACTTTGCGAGTTGATCCGAGACATTTTGATTTTTGATTTCAAGCTGAGAAATTCGCTGGTTGAGACGATTCTTTTCTTCCAAAAGCTGATGCGATCTTCTTCTCTAGCTCGTTTTGCTTCGTCAAGGGAGATGCCGAGCTCTTGTCGGAGTTTTGTAATTTCCGCCTTGAGAGCATCTTTTTCTAGAGAAAGCTCTTTTGAATGGCCATCTCTTTCTGTGAGCTGAATAAAATTTTAAAAATTATTGAAGAAAAAGTATTGAGAAAAACCTGTCTACTCAATTCGTTCTTTTCTTTTTGGTCAACTTCGATCGTTTTCTTTAATTCGTCAATTTGCTCGTTTCTGATTCTAGCTTCACTCAGCGACTGTTGAATCTTCGCCTTTTCGTCTCGTAGATTAACAATTTGTTTCTCGAATTTGGCTTTAACTCGGTCTGCTTCGCTGTTATTATTTTTCATTTCATCCTTTCAAAAGTTCAAAATATTCTTCCATGATTTCGATTTCGAAAAAGTTAGCCCTCGAAAATATTCTTTTGAACCCTTCCTTAGCCATTTCGAGTTCGCTTCGAAGGCGACTGCAATTTTCAGTTTCTTTTTGAAGTTGAGCATCAGTCTCTCGTTTTTCGCTACGGATTTGTTCAACGAGAGCCCACTGTTCGCGTTTAATTTCTTCGATTCTTTCGTTTGCACTTTTCTCGGCAAGCTCGGCGAGACCAGATCTCTTCTCTGCATTTTTTCGTGTCGTTTCTAGCTGCGAGTTAGCCTGAAAATCATCCTCATAAAAAATAATCTTCCTTGATTCCAAACCTTTTTCCAAGCTCCTCTGTATTTCTCGATTTCGAGTCTTCCATCGTTGATCTGCTTTGTATACTCTGCTTTTATCATTTCTTTATCGTTCTCAAACTTGAGCGCTTGCTCCTTAATTTCGCGTTGAAGTGTTTTGTAGTCTCGTCGCTGCACTTCAAGGCTTGCTTTTGTGTCTTTCAGCTCAACTCTCAACTTGGAGAACTCTTTTTCGCGCGATTCTACCAGATTGTTGAGTCTGTCGATTTCTAGCTCGTTGATTTTAGCTTGATTTTGGGCGTCAAGTGCGGACTTTCTTAATATTGCTTTGTAAAACAATCAACAGGGAAACAGTTACCTAGCTTCGACGATTGTAGAGTCAACTTCTTTCAACGATTTCAGTCTGCTTTCTTCGAGGGTCTTGTTTTCTGTCTTGTAGGAGTCCAATTTTTCGTTAAGAACAGTGATTTCTCTTCTTAGCCCATCAACTTGCGAATTCGCGTGTCTTCGAATCTCCAAGAGTTGAGCCTTGGCCGAGTCCCTATCTTTCTCGGCTTCTCGGACGCGCACATTAGCTTCGAATTTCAGCGCGTCAACTTCTTCAAAACGCTCCATCTTGGCTTGCTCGAAGTCGGCATTGATGATGGTAAGTCGAGATCGCGTTTCGTTGTATAATGATCTGTATTTTTCGATTTCTTCTTCGAGGGAGCCCACTTTTTCCAAATTGTATTTGTGCTTGTTCTCGTGGATAACTGTCGCCTTGACCATTTCAAGCTCAGCTGGACACATTTCCGGGATGTGCAGACCCTGAATTAATTGAATTCACAAAGCTAGATGGAGGTTTTTACCTGGGGATCGTCCTCTCCATTGAGTACCCTCTTGGTACTCGACATTTGGATGTCATTTAGCTGAGCTTTCGTGGCATTCAGTTCAGCTTGAATTTTCCGCAGCTCATCAGATGTGCTCTCTTGGACACTTTGTTTGGATGTTTTGCGACTGAGAGCTTCCGGCGATCCCTTATCACTGAGACGATTCTTCACATTTTGGTATTCCTCCATCAGAAAGTCGAAACTCGACTGAAAAAATTTCAGATTTATTTCGGAGAAATAATCTTACCCTTGCTTCGGCACTTTTCATTTGCTCTGCGAGAAGAAGCTTCTGAACCTCTACTGGGTCTTTTAGCGCCTGTGGAACATCCTCGTTGATTCCTCGAAAACTCGGGTCAAGCTGATCAACGCTTGGCATTTTCTTCGCCGGTGGAATGACTGAAAATTCTGGTTCAAAAAATTACTTGAGATACAAGCACAATACACACTTGAGCACAGGATTCAAGGGATAAATGGGCAATTAACGATAAATGAGTTTCGATAAGTGATAAATTCCCTACCAGGAACTTTGAATTCAAAATCCTTCGGCGCTATTTACAAATCGTTTAGTCCCTTTTGCTTTCACAATTTCAATATTTACCCATTGGCTCTGATTCTGAAGTGGAAGCATCCGACGTTTCTGACTTCCTCGTCACCGATTTCATGCTCGACGCTTCGGAAATCGACATTTTCGTAAATTACTCTCTCCTTCTTTCAAAAAACAAACACCATTCACTCCTGTTCTCGAGAAAAAAGAACTCAATATTCGGAAAAGTCACTCGCTGGCGGCTGAAAAGACAAACAAAATCTTGGTTCAAGAAAAGCGCCCACGCGGCGCTGCTGGAATCGGGCAGCAACGCACAACGCGCTCCCTGAGAGTGTGTGCCCATTCATTTATGCGTGAATGACATTCGAAAATTCCTATTGATTGTGCTCCGCATTCAAACGCGCGCACTTTAGAAATCGATCCCGCACCACTGTGTTTTTTCAGTTGCTTTTATAATCTTTTATATGCTCTATTTGAAATCAAAATAAAAGGTTTGGAATAGTATTGTGTATATTTTAGCAGTAATTTACAAATTTTTACAAGTAGGTCATTTTTTCGTGTCTATTTGCGTTTTTCAAATCGGCACGAGCTGCATATCACCTGAATTCTATAAAAAATGAAGATTTAAACTTACCCTTGCTTTTCAGCTTTCTTTTTTAGCCGCGCTTCTTTTGCTTTTGCGCGTTCTAGCGTGCGTCTGAGTCGTTCGAACCACGTGGTGATTCTTCGCGGCCAGCTGGTTCCGTCAAATCTGTCCTCATTATTGCTGAAAAATGATTTATTGCTTTCTCGATTGCATTCTAAGGCTTACTTGATAATTGGAATATCGCACTGGTTGAAGGCGTTTCGGAAGAAGCTCATCCAAAGTTCTTTTGTTTTGTCGATGTCTTCATGAGAGACTTGCCAAATCACTTCGTGGAGTTTTTGCGTTTTGTTGCATTTGACCATTCGAGAGTCGAAACGTTTGAAGAGTTTCTACAAAAAAGCTAGAATGAATCAATCTCACGCCAACTGACCGTTAGACGAGCCGCTAGTTTTTCCTCGTGATGGTCCGCTAGCTGAGGTGCGAGGGCTTCGATGACTCCGTGGAGATCTTCTTCCAGATTGTCTCCGACGTCAATGATGGGCAACTGAGTTGGAAGGTTGACCATTTCGTATTCCATAGAAAACCCAACGCCTTTATCTGCTTGATCGGATTGGAAATGGACAATCAAGACATTTGTATCTATAAAAAGCGATAATGCTCGAGCAACTGTAAGAGTCCCGTACCTAAGATTATTCCGTCCCTGAATTTATACGACTGAATTTTTTCTCCATTAGGCGAGAAAGACGGCATCAGACCATTATACGGCCTTTCTGAGTTATTTTTCGAGGAACAAATTCGAGCAAAGAGTTTTTTAGTTCCATCTTCGGAAGGATATCCTAGCGAGAGTTTATCATTGCCGCAGTAGCTGTGGTGCTCCATCCCAAATGTGGGACCACTGTGGACTTTGACTTTGATTTTCGCGCCTTCTGGAGCGCGGATTTCCCAACGACAGGCGGCGTGGTTATGGTAGTTGCTGTATGAAATCGTGCCCTTTTCTTCACTGAAGACTCGTCCGTCGCACTTAAAGTAAATTTAAGATGGTGGAGGATCATTTTTCCGACTCACCTTTGCCCTATTCATGCTGTTAGGTGGATTGAACGCGATGCAGGCTTCGATAGAGTCGCAGAAGTGGTCGATGTCATCAGGAGCGAATCTTTCAAGACTGAATCTTCCGGCTGGAATTGGAGCTTTCGTTGCATTATAAGCCACTGTTGTTGTATCTTCAATCTCCCCAAATTCCCAATTCTCTTTTCGAGCATCGACTGCGGCAAAAAGCGGTAATGCTCTAACTAGCTGATTTTTCGATAAAAGCCACATGTTTCAGCGGGAATTTATCTTTTCTTTCAAAAAATAGAGCAAACAAAAGCGACACTTAGAACTTGGTTGTGTGTTTCAACTTTTTCGAGCTTGAATGGCAGTTATCGTGATTTTATAATGAAGCGCGCTAAATATCAGCGCCACCTAGCGCGGCAGGCGCGCGTAGCGCAAAGCGTTTTTTTTTCTAGTAGAGGATCAGTAAATATTGATACTCGATCTTGGGCCGACACAGGAAGGAAAGATTAAGACTCTTCTTTATACGATTTATTTATTAAATACAAATTCTAACTTTTAAAAACAAAGCTATTGTCCATAGGCTATGGACTATATTTACGAAAGGCTATTTAAAATAGCCTATTTAAGAATATAAAAAAGTGATTTTCATTGGTAGCAAGATTTTTAAGGTCCTTTAAAAATATCATCAAACATGATTTGAGTGAGAAAAAAATACGATTTTCGTACGACTTAATTAAATGTAGTACAGAATCTAAATCAGTCAATAAATGAAAGAGATAAAAATTTCTAGTTATCTTGAACTATCTATAGAATCCCTTGACAAAAGAACGTGTGAAATGAATTAAGACATCTGCATTCAATTTTGAAATCCATTAAACCAAATGTCATCTGGTAGTGCCTCACGGGTCGAGTATGGAACCTTATGATAAATTACAAAAATTAAATTAAATTATAATAAATTAAATTAAAATCAAATTACAAACTGGACAAATGATTCTTAAAAAATACAAGACCCTCGTTTATGGGTAAATTGACATGTCTTTCTTACGGAAAATTAGTCTTATCCTATGTCTTTCCCTTTATTAGATTGACTAAAAGAATATTAATTTCAGTTACAAGAGTAATATTTTTCCATCTCTTTACCATTTAACCATCCCTGAAGATGAATGAAGAGAAGAATGATGAAGAAAAAAATGATAGGTCAGAGGGACAGGTCAATGTGACCTGGATTCTTTGACGCGAGGACGTGATCATTTCTAAACGCGAATATTCAGCTCGAGGTGGCGGAGAAGCAAGTTTTTTGAAAAACAAAATCAAATCACTAAATTAGCAACCGAAAAAATAGAAGCCCATGGTGATTTTTGCGGCTTCCGTTAGAAGTGCCACGGCAGTGAAATTTCGGGATCGCCGAAAATAGAGCCAGCAAGAGCTACTTGAAAATCAGTTTTTGAAGAGTAAGGGAACGTGCAGTATAAATATTGTTGGAATTACAGGCAGCTTCGAGGGGAATGAGATGATAAGCAGTTTGATGTTGCTTGAACACCTAAGTATACTGATCTAAGTAATAAACTAAATGTACACTTTAAAAATACAAAAACATAAAAAAATGATCAAACCCCGAGTTTAGACTTGAATTTATTCTTTTTTTTTAATATTAAAAAAGGCAGAAGAGCTCAAGGGAATCTTGAAATTGACCTTGCATGGTGTTCAATTCGCAAAAAAATAACACCAACTAGTAATCCCGAATTCTATCAGATCGATAATTCTTTGAAGCTGCTCAAGAAATCATCTCATTAGCGGATAATCTGGTCTTCTTCTTCGCGCGAAAAATCCAGCTTAGTATTAAAAATCAAAGTTATATTTGACACTGGTTTTCAATCTGCGGACGAGAAATTGCTTGAACTTCTGATCTACGTATTTTAGCCGTCAAAGTTTAAACAACAGCTAAGTATTCGTCTGGGCTTTCGACGGCTTCCGTTATTCTTATCAGTTGATCCGTTGGGATCTTCGATGAGTTCCGCGGATCAATTTCAATCTGCTTCCAGTTTTCCCAAAGATTCAAAGAAAAGAGTGAAAACACCGTTTGAAGACATTTACTTATCGTAAAACATATGACCCGCGTCACGGCAAAAAGTGCATTCCTCCACGAGAGAAAAAAAATCACTAAATGTGGAATAATGACTGTTTTGTGACAAAGTACACGGCTACTTCTGGATTCAAGCCTCGGTAGAATAAACACACAATTTTAAAATGCTTGCGGCTTCTCAAGCACGTCTAAAAAGCGTCTTAAATATGTCAATTTATTTCATAACTTAACGGCTTGAATTTGAAATGGAAACTTTAGAGCACCTTCGTTATTTGCTGAATTTTCAAAGGATGGTCAAAATGGATTCTTTCCGAATAGGAGGCTAACTCTTCTCATAGCAAATGATGCTGAAGATATTCTCTTTGCGAAGAGCTTGTTCGAATCTATCACGAGGTAGGTCGAAATTTCAAGAGGAAGACATCGATAAACCTTATTAGTTGTTTTTTTTTGCATGGATTTTATAAAGTGACACCCTTATTTTTCTGGAATAAATGACCTAAAGGATCCTTTCAGATCTATCCCCTTATTTGAGAGGTTCGAATTCAGAATCCATTATATTATCAAATCAACTTAGAAAAATGAGATGCAAATCCAAGATTTGTATTTGATACAATCAAATACACAGTCAAGGGGATTTCAATGGTGTCAAAGTAAATACTCATATCTTAGTTAAAACAACAAGTAAGGTATCATCGTATTGATGTTGGTCTTTTTTCCTCAAAACCACGTTCAAAAACCACAAAGATGACTGCGCGATGTCTTAAAACACCTAAAGTGTGATAAAAAGAAGCAGCCGAGTGGTGCTCTGATTAGCCGCCAATTACAGACGTAATCAATGTCCCTGTTGTTTTTGTCGGAACGTGCAGCATCCGATTTACCCGAATTTCAGATTTGGCCACGCAGAAGATGAAAATTTCGCACAGTACTCCAAAATCCTCTTCGGAGAAGCCATAGATACAAAAATGAAGGGCGATGTTCTTACTTCCTTGGGAATCTGTTTCTCGCTCATGAATCCGACGATGAAGAAAAAGGACCAGAATGATTTTGTCCATCAAGGTAAAAAAAAACTCCTTCTTTTCCGAGTAACGGGCGAAGAAAGTCAAATTTTCGACCGATGATTAATTTGGACCGGAAGAAAAAAGAAAAAGTAACTTGATCACTAACTCTTGAAAACTTTTCTTTACATGGCGAGGGCATTTTAGATGACCTGAAATAGCCTGTTAATATGGGCGGTAATTTGCCACGCTGATTAAACTCGTCTTTTGCCAAGCTTCCAGCTTCTTGTTACATCACCCCAGCAACGCTTCTAAGAAGCTTGTCCTCAAGTGAACGTCGCTAATTCCTAATTGACCTGGTTTCCTAATTATCTGATTGTTATTTATAGTGATTCGAATGCTGAACATCACCGACAAATGGACCACCTTCAACAGAATTAAATTCAAAGTAGCGACGGCGCTTTTCACACGAGCACCGTTTATTTTCTTGGAAAACGTTTTCAACTCGCTTAATCTCTCGCAAACACAGGATTTGCTCTCATCCCTTCGACACATTGCTCAATTCGGGCCGAATATCGTTTGTGCGATGAACCACGATTACCAGATTTTGAACAGCTTCGATGATTTAATCGTGGTCAAAAATTCGCTTGTACTATTTCATGGCTTGGGGTTCAGACAATTTGGTGAATTACTGAAATATAAATTTGATTCAGTTAAACCCTAAAAAAGATCCGTCAGTGATGCGAAACAGGTGTATCGAATAGTTAGGGCTTCAACAATTAACGTATCTTATGCGGATTAATTTCATAAAATTGCATTATTAAGGGTGTCAACAACGATTTTGCCAATTTTATTACCACAGTTTAGGTACCTTCCTGATATTTGATTTCATATTTTCAGAGATATTTCAGATCTGAAAAAAGATTTGGAATCCTCAAAGGCTGAATAAAAAGATATTAATTGGTCGAATCATAAGACAGACCCTAATTCGATCGTTGTTGACACCCTTAAATGGCTCTTATGATAATGTTTTAGTCCGGATTTTGACAGAGAAGTGAATAAAAATGAGCTGTTTTCTTTCAAAAATCTTCTCTAAAATCCGGCTTCCCATGTCTTCTTTCATAAGCTAAGGGTTAAGGCCATGCTAAGGAATGAACAATAAAACAGAAGACCTCTCCGTGATCAACTATCATTTGCAATTGGGCGCTAAATTCGAGAGAAAACTCGACGAACACCTCCTTATCGTTGGCATGGACATGGCGGTGGAGTTTACATATGCTCAAGACACGCAGGAATCTGTCACGGACAATTATTCATACCGCAAAAATACGTTCAAGCTTACTGTTACTCCCAAGGCTGAAATACTTTTCAATGTCAAAATTTTATCTGAAATTTTCTATGTTAGTCGAAGTGGTTTAGTAAGAGAGTAAGTAACAGATCGCAAAAGTTTTCAAAGAAGCGATCAAATCATGGATTTCGACAAATCGGAATGCTAATTTATCACCTTTTCCGTTACCTGACAATCAATCGATGTTTTCTTGAATCAATTCTTCTACCATTCTTCACACTTGGATTTTATGCGTGTTTTTGGCTGAATCCAAAAAATATGATCTGGGATGACGGTTTTATGGCTTCTTTTGGGGCGGAAAAGTATATTCTTATGAAGACTTATCTTGGGACCAATACGATTCTTCAGGAACCGATAAAAACTCACTCATGTGAAATTTTGTAACGTGAAATTTGAACTTTTCAAGATTTGAATATTTGATGAGCTTAGTAATAACATTACGAAAAATCTTCTCTTGTAAACAGCCCCTAATTTGCGAGCCCGACTGAAGCGATGTGTACAAACATGAGCTAATTTCGCTGGCGAAACAGTCAAACGGTACCCCACACGTAGCGTGCTTCCTAATTACACCTTCAGTTCGACAAGAAAAGAAGTTGTTGCATAACCTTGAGCATCTGCTAAGAAGCTTACAGTGTAACTAAGAACCCTAAGAGGTTAAATCGAAACGTCATAAGTTGAGCTCAGATGAGATTTCAAAGCACGGCATCGGTAATAACCACTATTCATTTCAACACCAGATTATTGCTCGATTCGAAACACCCGAATACTTGGAGACGAAATACAGGAGCTGAAATTAATTAGCTAGAAAAACTGGTAACCCACTTGCACGTTTAGACGTGATAATATCGGCGCCGAGATAACTTTAAATATTTATCTATCCACTCGAATGTTCAACAAAGTCTTTATAGATGCTTATTACTTCGTCCAAGGTAAAAAGAAAAACAAGCAGAGTGGATTTTGAGATTTCGAAATTTTAATTTCTTTTTAGAGCTTCAAATTTCGAAAGCTTCGACGAATACTGCGATTCTCTTGATTTGTACATTCATCGTAAGTCCAATATATTCTTCATTAGCGCGTTGTTAGCGGATGAGCGTGGAAATGCGCGGCGGCAAGAAGCCAGCGAGGATTTGTAATTGTCTAATAAATCTCGTCTTTAGTCGATCTTGAACTCATTACTCCCTGCTTCGGCTTGCTACGCGATTTTCGGCTTCGGTACGTATTGGGCAAGATTGATCCAGGATTGCTTACTTCCTCAAGAATATTTTCCATCCTTGGGAAAATTCCACAAACCAGAATTACCTAATCTCCTTTAATTATTCTTCGCTCAGAGCATTGTTCAATCCCCGCACAGTCCAGCGATACGGTTGATCACTGCTGTTTTCAGATTTGTAAGAGTGGTTTTTAATGACAATTTTTTCCATTTGAATGAGCTCTCCTGCCCTAGATATCGTCTCTTTATGAAATTCGCAGGGTTCTTTGCCCATTAATCCTTTAGATCCTATCCCACGTAACTCTGACTCGTAATCCCTTATGTAATGATGCAGGAACCCTAAAGGTTTACGACGTTCTTCCTCTGAGAACGAATTCTTTCCGGGCTAACAAAATTTGAACTAGATTGCGCAATAAAAATTCCGACTTGGATTGCCGTAGCTCTTCATTAGAGGAGAAATCGGTCAATTAAAACGCTACTTTCTAAGATGCACGTTTAGCGGCGAATTTGCCCGACTTTGGCGTCTACGTGGGCATCTTCTGGCTTGTTCAGGTAACCGCACAAGGCCCTTATTAGCCAGAGCGATAATTCACCATGCATGCCACCGGAACTTCGCGGGAGCGAGGGGCCATTGTTCCTTTTTCATTTTTCTACACTTGTTAGGTTAAATAAGCTCTTGTTCTAGCTACATTCAACTGTGCTTGGACTGCTTATCTCCGCCGGCGTCATCTTCGTAAATGACCATCTAACTATCGTTTTCAGGAAGAAATTACTAAATTATCTTTTGGAAGGCAGCCTTTCCAAGAGTGCATTACATAAAGAATTGTTTTTCTAAGAATAGTTGTTTCTGGTCGCTCAAGACCGTGATTTTGAGCTTGTATTTTAAGCTCGGTTAAAATGAGAAATTAGTAATTATGGTTTGAAAGTATTCTCATACTTTTGCCATCTCTTGCGCTAACAGGAAAGAGTTCAAACTATTTTTCGGGCTTCTGTCCGTCTAAAATATATTTCTAAAGGCTTTCTTTGGAGAAATTGAAGATCTGGCCAAGATCATTCGGGCTTTATTTTTGAGCTCTTGTTAGGCGTTACTGAAACACTCGGCCAGTTTTCAGAAGAGTGGGTTGATTACCTTCTACAGGTACAAACACAGTAAATTAACGTGGCCCAATGATTCAGGTCACTTCAACAAGTTATCAATATCACCGTGGAATACTTCTGTCACAATGGTTGCATATTGATTTAGAAGTCTTTTGGATAGTTTTTGAATAACTTATTTATTGTCAATTATGCTCAGAGCACTTAGAATGTTATTCAAAAATATGCAGTAACGGTACAATGAGTCAAAGAATCGTTAGTTTCGACGATTGCGAGAAGCTTCACCTTGAAGCAACTGATGGATCTGATGATCAATTTTATTTTTCTCTCATAATTTTAGGATCTCATTTAATTCTTATGTTTACTTTCTACTGCATTGGGACCTTATTTTGGAAGAAAAGCAAAATAAAGAATTGATAAGAGAGATTTTTATTTTATATTGATGCAGAAAATTTTTAGGTATTTACAGGAGTGAAGGAGAAAATAACTGTTTCTTATTTTCTTGTTTGAGGATTGTAGTCATATAATCTTGGCTTTCGAAAGTTTTTAGTGGCTTTCAATAGTTATTTTATTCTAATATAGCCTCAGTTAGAACTTTTCCTGCAAGTAGCCTTCAGTTTGCGAATCATTTCTGGGCGCGACGTATCCATCGTCAATGTTAGTACCTGATTCAGCTGATTGAGCCGGCGTATATGAGTATGCTTGGACTCGAGGGGGAATGTATCCATCATCGGGGGACTTGTACGCATTTGATTCAGCGCGATAGGTTCCTGATTTTAGGGACTCCGGCTCATGAATTCCGTCTCCCTTTTTTGATTTCATTAGGAGTCTTATGGCGAAAAATATAATTATGAGGAGAAGAAGAACGGCAACTCCAATCGCTCCGTAAATAACGTATTTCGACTAAAATCGTTTATTTAAAGTGAATTATTAAAATATAATAAAAATATACATGTAAATAAAATTATCATAAAAAGTTTACTCACAGTCCCATCTAAAGGGTCAGGTACTCCATTGAATCGGAGACAAGGTTTTCCTTCTTCACATGGCTTTCGTTCATTTTCGTTATAATTCGAATCCATTTTTTCTCGCGGTTTTTTCGACGTTTGGTTGTAAACTGTGGGGCTTTGTCTTTGACAATTTTAATTGTCTGTCACGAGTAAATTTTCAACGGCGCACAGCTCGCATGAATAAGCGCGTATCATAAAAAGGGCAAGAAATGAGAATCGCCGTCATCAAGTTTCTGAGGGATTTTTAATTTATTCAAGATCTCAATTGAAGCGCATCAAAAAGTTTATTTTGAAGGAAGAATGGTGCCTTCGCAAGGGCCAAAGCCGATTCGAACTCCGTCTCGCTCGCAGAAGCCGGAGATCAAAACAGAGTCACCGTCTTTTTACCGCTCATAAAACATTTTATAGGCAAGATTTCTTCATGAGAATCTTGAACGGTTCCTTTTATGAATTTTCGCTCTTCGTCGCCAACTTTGACTGTTCGCGTGCCCTTCCAGCTCAACTCGAGCATGGATCCATATTCACCTTGTTCTGGGCCAGAAATTGTGCCAGAGCCATAAAGATCACCTGGCTGGGAATTGCAGCCATTGACTGTATGGTGAGCCAGCTGCTGCGCCACTGTCCAGTACATGTACTTATCAATTATAATTTTTTGTATTTGTTTAATAATCACCTTGAAGTTTGAGGTGCCAACTTGGTTGTACTCCGACTGGTTCTCGCCCTTGATTGAAACAGCCAAATTCAAGTCGAAGTTGTAGTCCTTATTCATCGTCAAATAATCAAGAATAGGATTTTTCATTTCCATGTTTGGAACAATAAATTGCTCCATTGCTTCCATCGTGACGATCCAAGGGCTGAAATATTTTTGGTATTCTTCCTTGATTGCGACACTACCTGATAGTAGTTCCAAAGTTCTTTCCGAGGAATGGGCCGAGAGGAACATATTCCCACTTTTGGATGTCTCGTGCTGACCAGTCGTTCATCAAGACCATTCCGAAGATGTGATCGGCAGTCTCATTGACATTGATAGAATCGCCGAGGTCGTTCCCTTTTCCGACGAAAAATGCGGTTTCAAGCTCAAAATCCATCAATCGGCAAGGACCGTAAGTTGGTGGGCCGTCTTCTGGCTTTCGTTGACCTGATTTTGTTATATTTGATAAATTTTGGAGAAAAGTACCTTTTGGTCTATGAAGAGGAGTTCCGGAAACGACAACAGAGGATGCTCTACCATGGTAGCCGACGGGAAGATGAGTCCAGTTTGGCATTAACGCATTTTCTTTGCCTTTCGGAAGTTTTAAATGACATACGGTAGAACTTGATACTAATCGTATTTTATCTGAGCGATCTGATCATCACAGCAGGGCACGTTTGTACCGCCCGGTGTGTGCCGGACAAGTACTGCCCTCTTTTGGAGAGATCGATTTTAAATACGCTCCACATGATCGTGAAAAACTCAGTCAAGAAATCAATCTGAAGTTTTAAGCACTCTGTATGAAGTGTTATAATGAGGCTTCAAGTATCGGCTATGTTTCACGTTTGAAGTGCATATCCTGCGATATTTTCCTATATAAATTATAACAAAAACTTCCCTCTAAACATGATTCCAACATTCGTTGCATGATGAACCGATGAGTAGAAATCAGTGTAGTCCCCAATCTTTGCAGGCAAGTGCATTTTAGCAGTCGCTTGCGGGATCAAGCAAGCAGCAATTTTTTCTTGACTTGATGACCCTTCAGCAAGAAGATCATCCTGGAGAGTTTTTCTTACTGCAGACCAGACAGATCGACCCATTGACATGAAGTCATTGAGGACTGGCTGTTTGAACGCAGATGGCAAGTTGGCGTCAATGCCGGCCCAGATCGAATCATCAACAGCCGAAAGATCTGTGTGTTACAGTAACTTGTGAATAGTAAACTTGTTCTTACCTAAGATCTGCTCTCCAATGGCGACTCCGATTCTATGCGTCGGATTCTCGCAGGTCGAAAAGACGCCAAAAGGCAAATTTTGAATGGGAAAGTCGGAATTAGCAGGAACCTCTACAAAACTCTTCATTTTTTAAATTGACTCTTGCCGAAAAGCGTACAAACTTTCCAAGTGACTCACAATTCACTGGGCGGCGAAAATATAACTTTTTATGTGTTACGCCACGCCTTCGTTGATTTCATTTTTACGCTTTCATATCAATATTTTATTGGCTTGGAGTCTGATGAAATTCAGATATATTGTAGTATCATTTTTTTATATTCAGATAATCAAATTCTTGAGTCTAAAACTCCTTTATTTTCGATTCTTTATAAATTTTGCAAGAAAAAAATATTCATATAAACAAATAAATCTGGCTTTGATGATATCAGATAACGTATTTTAAAAAACAAAAGAAATAAAGATTTAACCAAGGTTGTTCTTGAAAACTACGAGCTTTCCAGTTTTACGCGGGCGGTGGTTCGATCCAGCCCGGATGAGTGATTTTTGTTCTTTCGCACGCTCCCATTGGCCGCCAAACATGCGCCAACAAAAATTCTAAGAGAGAAATGTCTTTCCCTGCGATAAATCCCTATTCTACGTGTTTATTAGTCATTTTAGTTAGTCATTAATTTATTAAGAGAATCTCCTGCAAAATCTTAAATTTACTCCGCCGATTAAATATTTGTTTATTCTAGAAATATGGCTCCAATGGCACCAGCACCACTACCAGCTCCATTTGGAGGCCGAGGTGGAGGTAGAGGCGGCGGAAGAGGCCGTGGAGGCGGACGAGGCGGTGGCCGAGGTAAACAGGGATTTTCTATTCAAAAGATTCTATCTTGTCTTTTCAGGCGGAGGCCGAGGCGGCGGACGCGGTGGATTCGGCGGCCGCGGCGGAGGTCGAGGTGGCGGACGTGGACGAGGCGGTGGACGCGGAGGTGGCCGAGGGGGTGCTCGAGGTGGCGGTGCCAAGGTCATCGTCGAGCCCCACAGACACGGAGGAGTCTTCATCGCCAAGGGCAAGGAAGACGTTCTTGTCACCAAGAACTTGGTCCCTGGCGATACCGTCTACGGTGAAAAGAAAATTGAGGTAAATATAGCTTGCTCGAATTCTTTGCTTAAAAATATTCCTCAGGTTGAGGTTCCAGCTCCAGAAGGATCTGCCAACCCAATCCAGAAAGTCGAATACAGATCGTGGAATCCTTTCCGATCTAAGCTCGCTGCTGCTATTCTCGGTGGTGTTGATAAAATCCACATCGCTCCTGGCAAAAGAGTAAGTCCTTCCCTTTCTACTCCCTTCAATAGTTTTTCAGGTTCTTTATCTTGGTGCTGCCTCGGGAACTACTGTTTCTCACGTGTCTGATATCGTCGGACCAGAAGGTCTCGTCTACGCCGTTGAATTCTCCCACAGATCCGGCCGAGATCTTCTCAACGTCGCGAAGAAGCGAACCAACATCGTCCCCATCATCGAGGATGCCCGACACCCCCACAAATACAGAATGCTCGTCGGCATGGTTGACTGTGTTTTCGCTGACGTTGCCCAGCCCGATCAGACCCGAATCGTGGCTCTCAATGCCCACCACTTTTTGAAAGCGGAGGGTCACTTTGTCATCTCGATCAAGGCCTCTTGCATCGACTCCACTGCCAAGCCAGAAGCCGTTTTCGCGTCCGAGGTATGCCGAATTTATTCATCGGAGTTTCCTTTTGTTTTTTAGGTCAAAAAGATGAAGGCTGAGAAAATGAAGCCTCAGGAACAGTTGACCTTGGAGCCCTACGAAAGAGATCACGCAGTCGTGGTTGGCATCTACAGACCGCCACCGAAGAAGTAAAGAAAGATCCCCGAACGAAGAATAAACACTCCCTGACTCTCCCCCTTCCAGAAAGCTCCTCTACTGCGCTACTGATTGTATTGACCTTAGAATGAATCCTTCCCTACTGTACCTGAACCTTCATTCGACAGAACATGAATGGAACAGCGCAGAAAAATGTCTTGTCTCTTTTAATTTATCGCTTTTATCTCTCAGAATGAGTTCCCGTGCACGCAAGGCGCTTGATGATGAGCTCCAGAAGGTCGAGTTCGAGACCTCTGAAGAGGTCGATGTTGTCCCAACCTTCGACTCCATGGGCATCAGAGAGGACCTCTTGAGAGGTATCTACGCTTATGGCTTTGAGAAACCTTCGGCCATCCAGCAGAGAGCCATCAAGCAGATCATCAAGGTAACTAGCATTCTCTTCCTTGATGTCAAGCGTTTCTAGGGCCGTGACGTCATCGCTCAAGCCCAGTCCGGTACTGGTAAGACTGCCACTTTCTCGATCTCCACTCTCCAGGTCCTCGACACTTCTGTCCGAGAGACCCAAGCTCTCATCCTCTGCCCCACTCGAGAATTGGCCCAGCAAGTCCAGAAAGTCATCCTCGCCCTCGGTGATTACATGAATGTCCAGGTATAATTATAAACTGTTTCCGATGCTATTGAAGTGCTTAGGCGCACGTGTGCATTGGTGGAACGAACGTAGGAGAGGATATCCGAAAGCTCGATTTCGGTCAGCACGTCGTCGTTGGTACTCCTGGTCGTACTTTCGACATGATTCGTCGACGAAACTTGAGAACTCGAAACATCAAGCTCTTGATTCTTGATGAAGCCGACGAGATGTTGAACAGAGGGTTCAAAGGTACATCGTTTTTTATCGCTTCAACTTTGACGCAATTTCAGAACAAATCTACGATGTCTACCGATACCTTCCTCCAGCAACCCAGGTCGTCCTCGTCTCCGCCACCCTTCCCCACGAGATCCTCGAGATGACCCACAAATTCATGTCTGACCCGATCCGAATCCTCGTCAAGCGTGATGAACTGACGCTCGAAGGTATCAAGCAGTTTTTCGTCGCCGTTGAGCGCGAAGAATGGAAGTTCGACACCCTCTGTGATCTCTACGACACGCTCACCATCACCCAGGCCGTCATCTTCTGCTCCACAAAGAGAAAGGTCGACTGGCTCGCCGAAAAGATGCGAGAGGCGAACTTCACAGTCTCGGCGATGCACGGAGACATGCCACAGAAGGAACGAAACGAGATTATGCGCGAGTTCCGATCCGGTCAGACTCGAGTTCTCATTTCCACCGACGTTTGGGCCCGTGGTCTCGACGTCCCACAGGTACGCCTTTCTCAGCTCTTATCGCTCTTGATAACCCACTTTCCCAAAAGGTCTCGCTGATCATCAACTACGATCTGCCGAACAATCGTGAGTTGTACATCCACAGAATCGGCCGATCCGGTCGATATGGACGAAAGGGTGTTGCCATCAACTTTGTCAGAGTAAGGGACTTCTTTTTGCCTTTCTTTTCAGCGAAATATTTAAGAACGACGATATTCGAATTCTGCGAGATATTGAACAGTATTACTCGACTCAGATTGATGAAATGCCAATGAACGTAGCGGACTTGATCTAACTGTAGAAGAATTTGACCAATAAAACGAAAAGAAAGCACCATCATTAAAAGCAACGACATTTAAAAGCGAAACAAGTTATTGTAACTCCGTTCAGTCTCTTGATACTGCCCTCCTGAACTACTCACATCTATTAAAAAAAAATTAAAAAGGCAAATTTTGTTTCTTATCTTACCGTGTTCTTTCTCTACCTTCTATCTTTGACTCATGTTTCTTCCTAGAAAAATTTTTAAAGAGCTAACATTGCCCTGAAATAATGAATTGTCAAAGTCAGCTCACTCTTTCCGAGAAAACATTTTTGCCTCTAGTCATTTTTTCTTTTCAACAACAAAAAAATACTTTTGATGTCGTAAAGCTAGCAACACTGACAAGAAAAACTTAAGAATAAAAATGATAGAAATCATCGTTAATGATCGATTGGGCAAAAAGGTTAGAATCAAGTGCAACCCGCAGGATACTGTTGGTGACTTGAAAAAGCTAGTCGCCGCGCAGACTGGTACCAGGTACGAATTCGCGTAGTTTTTGGTGTTTTCAAGCTTGCGTAGATATGAGAAGATCGTTCTCAAGAAGTGGTACACCGTGTTCAAGGACAACGTCACCCTCTACGACTACGAGATCAACGACGGCTGTTCACTCGAGCTCTACTACGCCTAATTTAGACAACGTCCGACCACCCACGCTCACACTGATCTGCCTGGGGAGTGCTAATTCTCCTCTTTTCCTTTTTTCTTCTACTAGTAAAATCATTGCTGAAAAATCATTAACAAATTCTTACAAAATATTGCATTCTGAAATCCGCATATGATAGACAGAAATTTTCAATAAACTCCAAGGTTCTCCAATCGAGTGCTAATTCGAGAATGTTCTAGAATGACGGGATCACGCAATAGAGATGATTTCTTTGCAGATTACCAAGGCAGCCACACTAGCAACTATAGAGGCAATCATAGAGAATATTTCGAGGAGGTTTCTAGCAGCGAGAACGCATTCGACTGTCAGGATGGCACACAAGTCGCTTTGTTTAACATTCCCAAAATGCACGGTGAAGGGGATATTGAGAGACTCCTCAACAATATTTGCAACGAAGTGGATGGAACTCTCCTTTCTCTCAGAATCAAGCCAGACCGAAAAAGCAGGTTGGTAACGAATCATCACCTAAAAAGCTAATATAGATTTAGTAACTCGAACTTCGCGTATGCAACGTTTAATTCGCCCGAAGTTGCAGCTAGAGTGGAGAAGATGATAAACTCCAATAGAGGACCTTACAGACATTTCAATAACGAATCAAGACCGATGTTCCTTGGAGGCCCAGGTCCAGGAGGCAGGGATTATGGCGGAATAAGCGCAAAAGTCCACATTCCGAAAAGCGCAAGAGTAGCGTATCGCAGGACAAACTTTTTCGACGGTGCGAATCAGAATGACTACCAGAACCCACGATACAATGGCTTCCAAAACAGATGCCATCATACAGATACACAAAGTTCTATGCATCCAAACGCGAAGGGAGGCTTTACAGCAGAAATCATACCAGAATCTGTTTCTCTACCGTTCTTCACCGTGGTTAAAAACAGCTTCCACCAAAGTGACTTCAAATTAGAATCGCTGACTCAACTTCAACTTACTCCACAGATGCGCAACTCGACCTGTATATACTTGCTAGAGTCGGAAAAGGATGAAAAAGTCATCCCTCAATTGGCAACGATCAGAGTGCCAAATGAGAGTCCCTTTGGATACTCTGAAATCGAGCTTATTACTGGCGAAATTAGAAAAGTTTTCAACAAGAAGCTGTACAGAGCACCAGGCAATAGTGAAATCGTGAAGTGTAAAATCTACGAGCCAGAAAAGTTCAACAGTGAAAGCGACCAAAATTTATGTAGATCGATCTTCAATATGTACCTCGACGAGAAGAACCAAAACCTGAATGGCTACTCCTGCTTCATCATCCCTTTTGATTCCGGCGAACCCCAAATGGTCCAATTATACAAAAAGCATCCAGAAAACAACATGACTCATTTCTCTAAAATACTGGAGGAATTGAACTTTCTTGAGAGCGACTCGCCATCAATTCGCTCACAAAATGAGAGCTTCAAATTCAAGTCACCTTCTAAGGTTCGTGAGTTCGTGCCTGGAGAATCTGGCCACTCAGTCAGGCGAAACTATCCATCACAATCGCCAATGAACCTCCAGCGCGCCCCATCAATTCCCGGGGTGATCTTCAAGCAACCAGCTAACGGTCCTCTCGTGCTTCAACGCAGCGCCTCAAGCCCTTCACCCTCTAAAAACTCTCCCTCGAAGCCTTCAACCGACCGAGAAGACTTATCAGCTGTACCAAAAACCACCTCGTCGAGTAATTCTTCAAATTCCAGTAGCGAAGTCAGCAGCCTTATTTTTGAGCTCGAAGAAGCGTCTAAAATTGACACGCAAAAGAATGAAACAGAACAGAATATATCTCGCTCTACAGCTCCTTTCGAATCTCAAAAGCAACATGCAGCTGGCCAAAAACAAGAGAAAAGAGTACCATCCCCAGCATCAGACAACCTTAGCGTAACTTCTTCAAGTGTCAACTCAAAACTATCGGAAATAAGCCTCAATGCTCCTGAAATAGTGAAAGATACCGAGCGTCAAGTCTTTGACGAAAATCAAAGCGTTATGTCAGGCAATACACAACATACGGCAGCCTCTGGGTGTAGTTCTATCTCATGTTCAAGTTCACCTACTAACATTATCTACAATCTTCCTTGGGTAAGACTTTTGTGAATTTTAGTTTATCAACTCATTATGTCTTAATAGCCGAACGACGATTTGATGACCGTGAAAATAACTCGTTACGATCCTTCGGGCTCGTTCATTTGGGGTCAAGATGTGGACTCTTCAGTTGAACTCTGGTCTTTAGAAAAGGCACTTTTGGATAAAATAGATCATATTCGACCAATCGGAACAGTCAAAGTTGGATCATTTGTGACGGCTATTTACGATGAAAAAGTTTACAGAGGAGTTTACTTAGGAGACGAAGATAAGCTGCATCGCGTTTATTTCATTGACTACGGACATATTCAACTTGTTGATGGTAAGGAATAGAAAATTAAAGCGTCTTCAAAGTTTAATTAGTAATCTCTCTCAATCGGCCAAGAGAATTTTGGGAGCTTCCGGCGCAGGGAATTCCGTTTATAATCGGAGATTACATCCCAGGAGACGACGAAAGGATTGACCATGATGCGATGTTTCGTTTCCTTGAAAGTTAGTCAACTTTATTGATAGTGAATATTTTAATCTTTTTAGCGTCTGAAGGGAAAACTTGCTGGATCCAGATACCCGATGAGAACTTCTGTGCGCCAGAGTTTCCGCGGGCCGATTCACTTGAAATGCGCGTCTTGGCAATTGCATTTGGAGACAAGGATAAATCCGCGGAATCACTTAAAACTCTTGAATGTGTTCCTCGTGCATATATCGACGTTCCATACGAGCGAGTTCCATGGACAGAAAGTTCAAATTCTCCCTCTGAAACCGAGCCATAAACCTTTCAACACTCACTGCTTGCTTTATCAGTACCTGCCGTCTACTCCCAGCCTCTGACTTACTTATACCGTAAATCGTTTCTCATGCCTTATCGCTATCTTCCCTATCTCATGAAGCACTCATCCCTCATCGTTCTCAAACTTAATTGGTCGAAGAGCGCGCTTTGTTCACATTTCCAATCTGTGTTGTTTGTTTTTATTTTTTTTCTTTTTCAGAATAAAAACTCACGCGACACTGTTTGCCGCTCTTTGTGACCTTTTTTTGACCGTGAAATTTTTTGTTCAGATGAGGCCCTGGTGAAAAATGCGGTTTACGTTGTTTGTATCGCTGGTGGCCGCGTTGATGGCCATCCCCTGCCTGGTATTACGAGAAGTGAAGCCGCCACTTCATCCGCTGCCGGAGGGTTGCCACCTGCGCGCGCTCCTGGGTCTAATATCTGGCGTTTTAATTGCAATGAAATCGGCAAACAAGCTTACGCCTGATGGAAGGCTCGCTTCTATTCTAGTAGGAATTATCCTATTCGCTGCTAGTTCTGTATTCTTTATCGGTAATCAATTTTCAATCGGAGTTTGCCTAATCAAAAGTTTAGCTATTCTTGCTTTCTTCATTAGCAGCATGTACTGGTCAAAGTTCAAGAAGGACCAGAAAAAAGAGTTCGATCCAGATCATCACTCTGGAAACACCAGAAGAAACGCTATCAACGTATGTCTCTATCCACCCCATATTCCCAATTCTTTCGTTTTCAGGTCATCTGTAATGGTGGAGTTGCATGTGCATACAGCCTGCTATACCTGGCTGTTCAGGAGTCCAAGACATTCACACTCAATCAGCCACGAGGGATTGACGCTAGCTGGTTCTTTTTAGGTAAAGTCATTATTCATTGACCGTCGAGTAAGTCTTCTTAGCAATAACCGGGACGATTGTCTGCTCGACAGCAGATACATGGTCGTCGGAAATAGGTTCTGTTCTACGCTTGGGCGAAAAGAAACGCGGAAAACAGTCGAAAACACTCGACAATAGCAAGGACGTGAAAAAAGAAAAGCTGCCCATGTGTCGACTCATCATTCCTCCATTCAAAAAAGTTCCGAGAGGAACCAATGGAGGCGTTTCGCTCGTTGGCTTCGTGGCAGCTGCTCTTGCTGGGGCTTGGATTGCTGTCTGTGTTCTTGCTGGTCTCTGGTGGACAAATGGAATTGACTTTGCCGATGACAGTGGGAAGCTGGTTGCGAAGGTGCTTTTCTTGAGCCTAGCGCTTACAGGTAAATGTTCGCAAGAAATGCTTTTATTTTCATCTTTTCTTAGGCTTATTTGGATCAGCAATAGACTCAGTACTAGGGGCGCTCTTCCAGTTTTCGGGAAAAGACCTTGACACCCGACTTATCGTCTCTGAACCTGGCGATGGTGTTATGTAAGTGCTACCTCTCTTCGACAGGAAGTAAAATTCTTCTTTCAGCCATATATCCGGCCAAGACATTCTCGATAATCACGCTGTTAACATTCTGAGCGCTACTTCTGCTGCTTTATTTGGTCCATTGTGTTTCCAGTTGCTGCATAAGCGCCTTGCTTCCGCCTAAAGCCAGCAACTCTTAATTCATATATTCCACTAAAAAGGATCGACTCGAGAATGCGAGTTGGCGACTTGTTCACAAGCCAAATCCATTTTTGATTCTGGAGAAGCCGTCGTTCCCCTCACGGTTAATTTAATTTCTATCCAAGTTACCTCAAACCACCTGCTGTACCATTTCCAAAATGGAACCAACTTACTTTTCTTAGCTATAACTCTATGAAAATAACAAAAAAAACATATTTTGTTCACCACCACCAAACTGCTTGGGAAAATCTGCAATATTTTTTTACATTATTTCTTATTCATGTTATTTTTCGTTGCTGTTGACCACTTTAAAAACCCATGAAAACATAATTAAATCGCTTCAAAGAACCTCTATTCCATACAAAAAGTGTATGAAGTTTAACTTAATCCGGGTAGTGCGAATTCAAAAATATAACCATCAATTTTTTCTGATCATTGCTATCTTTTCATATCTCATTATTTCAAGCTATAATTCTTAGATGTTACAATCGGGTCATCGTGCCTAATTAGTCTCTTTATATTTTTCTAATTTCCCGTGCAAAAGATACCGTCGGAGGACTCGCAGTACTACGATAGCGATACATACTCATTCATTTGACGATTCATGTACTTTTGCAATTCATTTATTTCAAACGAAACGAAAAGTTCTGAAAGTGTAAAATTCCTCCCAAAAATCCATATCCAGTGCCTTCCAAGTTGCTTCAACATTGCGTGTGCCTTTTAGAAAGTTTAAAAATAAACGAAAAAAGTAACAGTTATGTTGACCAACTCAATATGTTTCAGATTTCAGATGGCTACTCAAAAGCTTCTCTATGCTGGCCTTGGTGCTCTCACCGCTGGATACGGTGTTATGAACAGTATCTACACCGTCGATGGTGGTCACAGAGCTGTTTTGTTCTCTCGAGTCGGAGGCGTCCAGAGCGAAGACATCAAGACCGAAGGAATGCACTTCAAGTAAGTCCCACCCAAATGAGTCTCTTCTAAAAGCGCCCTAGAATCCCATGGCTCCAGTGGCCCCTGATCTACGACATTCGTTCTCAAGCATACAAGGTCGTCTCGCCCTCTGGAACCGCTGATTTGCAGATGGTCGACATCGGTCTCCGTGTTCTCTACCGCCCTCAGCCAGACAGAATCGGTATTATCGCGCAGACTATTGGTGAGGACTTCTCTGATAAAGTGTTGCCCTCAATCATTCATGACACTCTTAAATCTGTGATGGCTCAATATAATGCTGCTTCACTTTTGACAAAACGTAACGAGGTATAAAATTTACCTGTTAAAACAAGAAATGACAAGTTTCTAGGTGTCTATGGCTATCAGAAATGATCTCGAGCAGCGAGCACGTGACTTTAACATTATTCTCGATGACGTTGCTATCACGGATACCCAGTTTAGTCCTCTCTTCACTCAATCAATTGAAAACAAGCAGATTGCTCAGCAGCAAGCCTTCCAAGCCAAGTTCATCGTTCAACAAGCGCTAGAAGAAAAGAAGCAGAAGATTGTCTCGGCTGAGGGAGAAGCTCAATCGTAAATTATGTCATCTCGAATCGGGATAAATTTTATTACTCTAGCGCAACTTTAATCGGTGAAGCTCTGAAGAAAAACCCAGCTTATCTCAAGCTTCAAAGAATAGAGTACGGAAAGAAGGTCTCTCGAGTCATCGCTCAAAGCCCCAACAAGGTAATCAGGCCTAAACAATTCGAGCTCATTTTAAAACATCTGCTCAGGTTATGATGGATACTGGAAACTTATTGCTCGACGTCAAGGGAGTCGACACAATGATGAAATAAGAAAGTGATCACTGCGAACTCATTTAGAATGAATAAATGTATTAATTTATGAAAACAAAGGAGCAATTTGTTTTGAAACTTAGTTTCACAACAATGGCTGTTAACTTGTCAGGGGGCATCACGGACATAATTTGGTTGAAAGAACTGTTCTGTCTCAACAAGAACATGTCTCTTACTCTCAGTCTAGCAAATTTATTAGATTCGAAGGACATTCGAATTCAGACTATTGTCTCTTCGTTCTCATAAAACGCTGAAACCATGACGGAATTTCATATTTAGCAAGAGAGAAAACATGGATAATCAAAGCGCCTTGCACACCTTGGAATTTATTGTAGCAGCGGTATGAATAGAACATCAATTAGGGCCTACCTAAACTAACATCAGTCAGTGACTTATGCTTATAGGATCTTATCCTCGTTGCGGTTGGCTTTCTCATCGTACTCGGTGTTTTTATATCAGTAAGACTTAAAATGCTACTGTTCTTTGTTTCTGATAATTTAAGCTCGCTTGTAACTGCAAATGGATTCAGCGGAATCCTCGCTTGAATCAAAACTCAAGAATATCCAAAGCACTTTTGTTCCCGTTTCCGATCAACAAGTACATCCTGCAAGTACCGCGCCGAAATCATGCCATAGACCCTACTTCAGTTTGACAAGTTTATTTGAGAACAATAAAATATTTGAAGACAACATTGAGGAAGCGTATTTCAACCCTGGAATCGCATTCTGTTGAACTAGTATTTTCGTCGTAAATATAGAGTGTTGATTAAACTCTACGTTTGAAATAGTTTGATTCAAATACATCTCAAAGTAGAATTAACAAATATTTATTACCTTTCGGGATTTTCCAGTGAGAAGTCGCTGCATGCGTTGATTTTTGCGAGCTGCAGCACTTCACAGAGTTAAAAATAGGAGCTTTCAAAAAAAGAACCCTCAAGAAACGTCTGTTCTTAACTCTGCCTTGAAGACATCATCGCATCAGTCGCGACAAAAAGTAATCCTAAAGCTTTGAAAATCTTCATGATGTTCTGATCCGAGCTAATGACACCTGACTCTTGCTTTTATACCGATTGATGTATTAATGTCAAACATTATCAATAATGAAGAAATGCACTTTAAAGGACCGCTCTAACGATGGCCCTGATGCGGTACGGCACTGTGGAAGTAATGGGTTAGCTTGAATGTATTCAGAAAAAATGGAAGTGATTGACATTTTAGTACAGAAGTGTCGATGACAGCTTTGACGCCAAGAAATTAAACTGTATTCGTCTCTTTCTTGGAATCGTTGAAGGAGGTTTCGCCAAACATAGAGCGCTAAGTAAGGGTTGATGCGAGATCCAAGGACATTTATACTCCAGGATGTCGACTCAACCCCAATCCTGACTTGCACCTGGTGTCCTAAAGCGGTTTAGCTTCTTTCTCTGATAGGATTTCAGGAAAAACTGCTCATAGAAATAAAATCCAAACATGAACATAAATCCTATCGCAAAGACACTAAGTCAAATTTAGCGGCTTCTCTTTTTGGAACACTAACCTGAGCGCTGTGATGATTATAGGATCTTGAATCATATCTCATGTGCTTCCAGCATTCATAAGAAGCTGTTGATTTATATTTTTGTTTTCCCTCTGGGAGAGTATAAGGTCAGGTCTGAGAGATAATTTTTAATTTGTGCAGCGGGGCCGACGGGTCGGCAGGCATGCAGGTCCACGCCGGGGCGCGTGTCGCACAGTGCACCGTGCATTGCTCTGCGACCGAAGGCATTGATCGGTAATCGCCGCCACGCCGATTGGCCTCTTGCAACAGATAAGTCAATCGATCCTCAATCCCCTTGATATTCGCGCCATTTTCACTTGCCAAAGCGGAGTAAAACCTGTTCCATTAACAGGGGAGCTACCACGCCGCCTTAGAGAAACAACGCGCTCTCGTGAAGCGTTAATATCAAATATTCACCACCTAAAAGGGATCAGTGAAGAGATATTCAAAAGAAGAAAAAGATTCGGATGAGCCAGTTTACTCTGGGACTGCCATGACAAGGTGTATACAAAAATGCTGCAATGTGCCTGGCTAGTCGCCCTAATACTCATATTATCGACAGGTACCCTTGACCAAATAACCAGCTCTCCACTGTTGAATCTAGTCGGACAATTTCCTATGGACGAGAATACAAGCTCTAGCTGTGAAATCAAATACAATTGTTTCGGCAAAGAAGAGTGCTCAAGAGATATGGTTGAATATTGGTAAGTTTTGTTTCCACAGTTCAAACTTGAACAGGGAATATTTTATTCGTCTAATCAGCAAATGAGCCTTGACAAGTGAATCAAATCAATTTTAGTTCCACAGTACTCAGTGACCCGTCCTGTTCAAAAGAGGATGGTCGAAGCAAAGATGATAAATGCGGTCTACTGTATAAAAGTGCGTCTTCAAGTTCTGAATCAACATCTGCTCTTTGCCCTAATAACTTCACTCAACGAGGAACGACTAAGCAACCTTCATTATGTGACTGCTGCAAAGATAGAATTAACAAATGCGCAACGCAATTTATCGAAGAGTTAAATGATGTTTTGGACGACGCTGCCGATCCTACTAATGGTGACCCGACGAAGATGATCGCTGAAGAATGTACGAAAACCTATGAGCAATTTGTGTGTGCCCAGCTCTTGCGGCGAGGAAGAAATGATACTTTATGCGGAGACTTTTGTTGTCGAATTAGATTGAAATGTCCTTTCTTGAGAGTCGAAGATAATCAGGTTAGAACAAAAGAGCTTGACTCTTTAGCTAAAACTTTTAATTCAGCTATATGGAGGACAGCCTGCTTTGTCATGTGAGGAAGAGTCAGCTCCAGGATGCTTTTCATACTCTAATATTTCGAGTAACTCTTCTAATTATACAGATGAGACACCCGAAAATTGGAGCGACCCTTGTAGCTCCAGTAAAGGCTCAGATCTACCCCGATTCCATTCATTCACCTCCACTACAATTCTGATTAGCTTACTTGGACTATTTATTTAGTCCAAGTTAACTAGACACAAATCTCAAAAACCCCAATCCGTCGCGATCGACGTTGCTGCCTTTTCCCTTCTTTTTATTCACGAGTTTCTCCCCGTGATTAATTATCGTTTTACACGCCGCAATGTTTTTTTTTTATTTATATTTACCTCAGCGCCCTTTATGATAGATTTTTGAAATAAATATTGCTGCAGAAAAAAATTGTATTAACTAGTTTTGTTAGTCCTTAGATAGTAGTTTTTCATCATTGTAAGGGTTAGTTAGTAAGCAGCTTTTGCAGGTATCGATTTCAACATTTCAACAAGAAAATGACGCAAATTAAAATGTCAAATCACAAATTGCCAATAACGAAAAGTAAGCCTCAGTTAACAAATTGGACAACGCAGAATATTATATTTACGCATCATGGTCAGACTTTTGGTCGAAATATCTTCAAAATGTTTCGTAGAAAAAAAAGCAGAATTCCGTCTTCAGATGTTTGTTTAACGCGTCTCGCACATTTTAAGCCGATATAAAGCTTATTGAGAAGCTACTTGTAGGTCAGCTTTTGTCTACTCCAGGCGCTGCGTGGTAGAAGTCGTTCAGCGTCGTACGCTTTCCCGCGAAAATCCAATTTCACCAAAATATTTGACTTTTTGCCCGACCAGAAAAAGTATACAAAACTCTTTGAAAAAAATAGATAACAATGGAAGTAGAGCTTAAAGTTGACGACATTACAGCTGCACATAAAGCTGCGCTCAAAGGTAAACTAAAGGAGCTCACAAAAGTCAAACAGGGCAAAATTAATATTTGTCCAATTGTCATAGAATTAGCTGTTTATTAGATTACTGCTTATTTAAAATTATTCACATCTTTTGACAAATACAATTTCTAAGGCGATCGCGATGAACTAGGAAAACGGGCGAAAATAATTTACGTACTCAATTTCTTCTATAACTAACAAGCACTTATGCGACCCTACTAAAGAGGAAGTTCTAAAAGAAAACGGCACCTTGATGGATTCCCCAGACTATTTCGGTCGCACTCCTCTTATGTACTGCGTCCTCGCCGACCGACTCAACACTGCCAAATGTCTTCTCAGACTAGGAGCTCAAGTTAGCTCCGTCGATAATGTTGGTCGAAGTGCTGCTCACATCGCTGCACATAAGGGATCGATTAAATTTCTTCAGCTCTTGGTTGCTAAGAATTGTCAGTTTTCCCTACCAGATAAAGATGGTCAAACTCCGCTGCATCTTGCTACCAATCGTAGAATCACCGACGGATCATGTGTAAAATATATTCTAAAAGCGATGTCTTCTGATTATATTGATGTTCAAAACCATCAAGGCCAGTCCGCGCTTCACTGTGCTAGCTATTTTGCCAATGTGGAAGCTGTCCGTCTTCTTTTGAAGGCATCTGCGAACCCAGATATTGGCGACTCGAAAGGAAAGACTCCATTGCATTTTTGCGCTGGAAATACTCAAGCAGATGCTGTTCTTACTTCGGAGGTGCTACTGGAGAAAGGGAGTTCTTCTCTTATTGATTGGCAGGATCATGAAGGTCGGACTGCACTTCATGTTGCCGTCAAAGCTGCAAACAAAAGCGTGGCGTCTTTGTTAATAGGATTTGAGGTGGCAACTCATCATTAAATTTCTTTAGAATCATCAGAACCTCTGAAAAGCTAAAGGATGTGATGTTAATTTAGCCGATAATCTAAGTAGAACGGCTCTTCACTGGGCCGCGCAGCTCGGGCGTGCTGATTTTATTCAAGAGCTCATTGATGGCGATGTTGATGTTCATGCGCAGGTAGGACTAGAATTTCGTCAGTTTTTGGCATTCATAAGGACTGTAATGGGGCAACAGCACTGCATTACGCCGCAGCGGCTGGAAGCACGTCAAATCACCAGACATCTATTCAACTGCTTCTCAAACATGGGGTAAATGTGGATGTCAAGGATGAAACTGGTGCGACTCCTCTTATGTGGGCTGCATCTCGTGGCGCTGATTTCGCGATCGAGAAAGTACGCTTTGAAGAATTTTCTTTATTTGATTTCATTGTTGGAAACCGGATACTCATAGAGAGCTTTTAGCTGATCCATTCCGGTGGTGAGATTCAAGCAGTAGACAATGATGGTAACTCAGCACTCCACGCAGCTGCTGCACATGGCAAAAGTCTGAGTGTAAGTGCCTTAATTTCTCGTGGGGCAGATACTCAAGCATCGAATCATGATGGTCAAACGGCGCTCTTTGGAGCTCTTCAGTCCGGCAGCTTGTCAACTGTAAAGAATCTAGCGGATAATGCGTCACCAGAAGAGATTTTCCATCAGGATAGATTTCTATTTCCTTTTATTTTCAAAAGATTCTTATTAAAGAAATTTCAAACCTTCGAAAAGGACAACTTTGGAAGTACTGCGCTCCATTTTGCAGCTGAAGCTGGTCATGCAGATGTGATCGAATACATTGCAAGACTTGCGAATGCAAAGAATATGCTCAGACTTGAGATAAAAGACTCATCAGGTCAGACAGCGCTGCATGTTGCAAGTGAAAATGGCAAGGCGAATTCGATGGCAGCCCTCCTGGAATGGGGCGCTGATGTCGACGCTCAAGACGAAAACGGATACACTCCCCTTCATCTCGCAGCAAGAAGTAATCATGTTGCAGCAATGAGACTTCTTCTCCAATATCATGCTTTTATCAATTCGATGACCTTCTCAATCGAGCGAGAGACACCACTTGACATGGCATTTGAAGCGGATCATCAGGATGCAATTGCTATTTTAATAAATTTGGACGCACTGGTTGGTGAAGACGTGAAGCACCTGGCTGCAAGTAAGATTCAGCGAGCATGGAGACGATACAGTGAAAATCTCAAAGAAGAAAAGCAAAAATTCCTTATGCTAAAGCAAGAACATCTTCGACGCGATGCAGATGAAATAAGACGAATAAGAATTGCTTCAATGTCAAAAGCGACGCCGATAACTGAAATCAATGAGAACAAAAAACGAGAGCAAGTTGTGAGCACATTTGTACCGGTAGAAGCACCACCGCCAAACCCAATAAGAGTCTCGATCGGAACACAAACGGAACTGAAAACGAAAACGCATCAAACTCAGACTCCAAGAAAACTTAGCTCTGTGAAAGTGGAAGGAATCCTTTTTCGCGAAGAAATTCCTATGAACGGCTTGAGAAATGACATAATTTTATCGGGCCTATTTAATCTCAAGAAAAAAAGACATAGAAGTTTAAGGCTAGAACTCAGGGATCTATCAAAGCCCGAATAAGCGATAGTGAGAAACTTGATAAAGCACTTAGGTACAGTGGAGAATCCCCCGAAGCTTTTGCAAGACATCTTTTCGGAACTGTGCCTGGAGCTCGTCATCATCTTCTGAAACAAGCAAGACGTCGTCATGAATACGTGCAAAGGTCAGCTCAAGCAGCAGTGATCATCCAGGCATGGTGGAGAAGGAAGAAACGAGTAGAGTGTCACCTTGATGATTTGAAAAAAGACCGCCTCTTTAGTCGTAACCCCTGGAATACAGAAACTCCAAAACCAAGGCCTCGGTTCAATCGGAAAATAAGATAGCTCATTGCCATAATTTCGCAATAACATAGTAAACCGAAGACAGAATTGTAGCAAACAGTGATGGGGTAAAGATCCAAGATACTCTGCCTAAAAAGAGACATTTGCCAGCATTAAATTCGAAAAGTAGCACTAATTGTGAAAAAACCTCCGGTGATTCGAGGTTAATTTTTTCTTTGTTAAAAATTGGAAAAATAAGTGAATTTAAGAGCTTCGAAGTCTAATTCCAATCCAAAAGAGAAAAAGAAAAAAGCTCGTAAGAACCGGGTTTTTCCCTCAGGTGATTCCTCAGAAATGACTTTAAAACCTATTCAAAACATAGTGACTTCTGATGACATAAAGAAAAAGTCGAAGCCATCAAAATCTCTATCATCTGTATCCACACGATCCTCAGCTGATCGCCGCACAATACCTCAATCAATTACCTCCAAAATATATTCTTCTATGTGGAAGCATTGAATATTAAAAGCATTATAATTTATAAAACACTGTTGATTTGTAATCTTTATTCTTCACTTTGAACAAAGTTGATAGGCACTTGATAGGAAATAGAACCTTCTGGAAGAAACGGCGCCAGTCATCAGAAACTATAAATACCGAACGAAAGATGGTTTTCTCATTACACCAGAGACACAAAAACCAACGAAAATGTTTACTTTTTCGAACGAACACTTTGAACCGCCGATGAACCAGCTCTTTTCTGAGCTCGCCCATTCCGCGAACAAGCGAGGAGGATGCTGCCAAACTGCTGAGAAATTGAGCAAGTGGTGCAGCTGCATCAACCTTTCTTCCATCCCCACCAAGGCCGAGGAACTGCACGTGAAGGTGGACGAGAAGAGCCGCACTTTGACCGTGTCTGGAAAGTCTGAAACCGAGTCTACTCGACGAGACGGATTGAAGATCTTCTCAACGCACGTTTGGACAAAAGAAATTCGAATTCCAGAGGATGTGGAGCTGAAGACGATCGCGTCAAAGTTGCAGGAGAATCAGCTCACTTTCGTCGCCCAACGAGTGCAGAAAGAAGAAGAAAAGCAACAAGAAATTCCGATCGAGATCGTCGATACTCCTGCTCTTGACTGAGAAAGTCGATTATCGTTCATTCTTTTCTTAGCTGATTTTACGGAAAACACATAGATACAGTATTAACCTGCAATAAACGGAATCCTGATTTAAATTTTGCTACTTATGCTGGCTAGAACCAGCCTCCTTCGCTTAGCGTCATACCGCGTAGAATAAACCAGTTCTCGTCCGATCACTGAAGTCAAACTACGACGGGCGGGGTTAGTACTTACATGGGTGACCGGTTGGGAATACCTCGTGCGCTAAGCATTTTGCATTTTATTCAAATGATGATTATCGTTTTTAACGAGGAGCCGTTCATGTCGTAAATAATTCAACAATTGTTGAATAACCAACTCTTTAGTCATTGAAAAAAGTCACCATGTTTGCGTGCGGCAAGCATTGAGTTTTGAGCTTGCCTGGCGGGCGGCGTGGCACTTGGGAAAAAGCGCCCTCTACCGCGCGCCTTTCTGAAAAGAGGCCGAAAATAGGAGCGCGCAGCGACAAAACGACCTCGAAATCAAGGACCCCTTCTCTTTACTCATCCCATTTTTGAGTCCGATTTCGATTGTCTAACAGGTAAGAATCGTCTCCATGCCCTCTCTCTCCTATCCCTCTCGCCTCTTACAAAAAACAATCTTGGCCCTACATACGAGACTTCTCAGGGGTGGCTGAAACTTTCCAGCCCACCTCCGGACTTAACCGCGTGGGACGAATCCCCGTGTATAATTTATGCCTTTTTTTACATAATTTTACCGGTCGGTTTCACCCCGTTTGGGAGTGTTTCTTCAGATATATTGATTACAGGATGACTCAAAATCTTCTGAGCATCAATTTGAGAGGTCACACTCTACCATTACACCTAAATTTCGTCAATTTCCGGCTCTAGAATCGACCGGAAGTGGAGTTTTCAAGAATTTTAAACCGTCAAAGTTCTTAAAATTTTCTGCTGATTCTAAAAAGGTATAATGTTAGGGGGTCTATAAGGCGGAAGTGGACTGGAAAACTTCGTTGACCTTAGAAAAAGCACGTCGCTGCTCGCCCAGGTCCCTTAAGTCCGGAGGTGGGCTGGAAAGTTTCAGCCACCCCTGAGAAGTCTCGTATGTAGGGCCATGATTGTTTTTTGTAAGAGGCGAGAGGGATAGGAGAGAGAGGGCATGGAGACGATTCTTACCTGTTAGACAATCGAAATCGGACTCAAAAATGGGATGAGTAAAGAGAAGGGGTCCTTGATTTCGAGGTCGTTTTGTCGCTGCGCGCTCCTATTTTCGGCCTCTTTTCAGAAAGGCGCGCGGTAGAGGGCGCTTTTTCCCAAGTGCCACGCCGCCCGCCAGGCAAGCTCAAAACTCAATGCTTGCCGCACGCAAACATGGTGACTTTTTTCAATGACTAAAGAGTTGGTTATTCAACAATTGTTGAATTATTTACGACATGAACGGCTCCTCGTTAAAAACGATAATCATCATTTGAATAAAATGCAAAATGCTTAGCGCACGAGGTATTCCCAACCGGTCACCCATGTAAGTACTAACCCCGCCCGTCGTAGTTTGACTTCAGTGATCGGACGAGAACTGGTTTATTCTACGCGGTATGACGCTAAGCGAAGGAGGCTGGTTCTAGCCAGCATAAGTAGCAAAATTTAAATCAGGATTCCGTTTATTGCAGGTTAATACTGTATCTATGTGTTTTCCGTAAAATCAGCTAAGAAAAGAATGAACGATAATCGACTTTCTCAGTCAAGAGCAGGAGTATCGACGATCTCGATCGGAATTTCTTGTTGCTTTTCTTCTTCTTTCTGCACTCGTTGGGCGACGAAAGTGAGCTGATTCTCCTGCAACTTTGACGCGATCGTCTTCAGCTCCACATCCTCTGGAATTCGAATTTCTTTTGTCCAAACGTGCGTTGAGAAGATCTTCAATCCGTCTCGTCGAGTAGACTCGGTTTCAGACTTTCCAGACACGGTCAAAGTGCGGCTCTTCTCGTCCACCTTCACGTGCAGTTCCTCGGCCTTGGTGGGGATGGAAGAAAGGTTGATGCAGCTGCACCACTTGCTCGATTTCTCAGCAGTTTGGCAGCATCCTCCTCGCTTGTTGGCGGAATGGGCGAACTCAGAAAAGAGCTGGTTCATCAGCGGTTCAAAGTGTTCGTTGGAAAAAGTAAACATTTTCGTTCGTTTTTGTGTCTCTGGTGTGATGAAAAAACCGTCTCTCGTCCGGTATTTATAGTTTCTGATGACTGGCGCCGTTTCTTCCAGAAGGTTCTATTTCCAGGGTACAATGTTCTGGAATCTTCTATCTGTAGATGTCTGTCGTCTGGAGCCTTCAAATTCTTCTGGAATATTCTATCATCTTCTCGAAAAAGACCCGAAGTGGAAAATTTAGATAATTATGAATTTGTATATTCTTGACCTAATTACTCTTGAACCTGTACCTTTGAACTACGATTTCATGCATATTCGCTTGTTTGATAGCCGCTTGTTTCGGTAAGGTGGATCGGTGCATCTGTTGCGGATCACTTCTGAGAAGTTGCAACATACGATGGACAATCAGATAAAAACGGATGTTGGCTATATTTTCCATCTGCGCTTCAAAGAAAAAATACTGGGACATCTGTTTGAATCAGGTTCTAGCGCTACAGTCTTTGACGATATAAAAGCGGAGACATACCTTCAATGATCATTCAAACTCTTACAAAAACAACCAAAAATGAAAATCTCCAACATTCTCCTTGCCTTTTCAGAGGCATCTTCTCTCTCCTGGATTGGCATCCGATCTTCGGCTGGTGAGATCTGCTCCTACTCTGGATTTACTTCTCAGCAAAAAAATCTCTGTCGACGCAATAGCTTCATCGCCCCTGCGATTAAGAATGCAGCTGAAGTCACTTCTTCCTCTTGCTTCGAGTCGATGTCTGACACCCTCTGGGGCTGCAACGGCATCAAAACGCTTCCCAAAGAGCAACCAGAACTTGAACAACCAACTCAAGAAAGCGCATATCTCCATGCTCTCGCTACGGCTCATCTCAAGAACTCCCTCGAAAAATTTTGCAAACTGGGCTCAGCTGATTGTGAAAATTTCAATGCTGAGCAGTTCGCTCTTGAATTTACCGATGTCGCTGCTCTTAAAAAGAAGCCCTTCTTATTTGGAATTCACAATAACAAAGTCGGTCGAAATGCTGCTGAAAGCGCCAAGAATACTGTCTGCAAGTGCCATGGTCCTTCCGGAAGCTGCGCTCAGAAAACCTGCTGGAAAGCGAGCACGAACGTCAATAAGATGAACAGAATTATCAAAGAAAAGTACGAATCTGCTGCTCGAATCCAACAACGACAACTTGAAATTCTACCAAAAGCAGTCTTCGATTCGTTCATCAACGACCGATTGATCTTTGGGAAGAAATCTCCCAATTTCTGCGAAGTCACTCGAGGAAGAGTTTGCGACGCTACGAAATCATACGGAGCTGGAACCTGTGATGAGCTCTGCTGTGGACGTGGATCGATTCAAAAAGTATCCATCGAAAAGGAAGAAGTCTGTACTATGAAATTCGTCAAAGTGGAGGGCTTCTCGTGGCCAGCCGGGGTACACTGTAAAGATATGTTTTACCAAAAAACAACAAGTACCTGTCGCTGAATACTTTTTGACGACTTAAATTTCATTCTTGCTTCTTCAAAGTTCATTGTTTTTTTTAATAAATTGATCAAAATGAAAATATAATTGAACGACAATTAAAAATTCTGGATATATAAAAATGAGAGTTTATTTTTCTCACTACGTTTGAGTCACTACAGCTTTTACGAAAATTTATGCATTATTTCTTCTTGCATATTTTCGCTCTTTTCTCTGCTTGATTCTCGAGGAAGATTCTGATGGCATATCAGCGTTTGTATCGAGAACACAGTCTGGGTTGGCGATAGATCCGGGCATAACTCCAACTTTGAATGTTGTCAAGTCATCCGAGTCAACAATTGAAGCAACGTTGTCGAGACCAACAAAGAACTCGGACCAGGCGTCCGTTAAACTTGGAGAGTTCGCATTCTGGTTGAGCACAACCATTGTAGAACTTCCATCAGCTTCAAGAATAACGTTAGCAACGTCAAAGACCCAGGTGAAAATTCGTGCGTCGGTGAGATCGCCTGGGAAGACCAAGAGAACGGTGTAAGTGCTCCAGTCAGAAGTGACGGCGAGGTTGGCTTCAACACGGGATTGAATGAGGCCACCGGTTGGGCCGGAAACCTGAAAGTCAATATCTAAATAATTTATGACTGACGAATGTCTTACCTTGATTTGATTTGTGCTGAATCCAAACCAAGTGATGACATCGTTATCGGGGCAGTCAACACAGGCAACATTCTTGTTCAAGGTATGAGTGCAGTTGACATGATTGTCGCAGGTACACTCAGAAACAATATTCATGGGGTCTTTTCCATCAAAAGTCAGGTAAAGACCTTGAGCACAAGTTACACCGGTGCAGGATTCGAACTCATCTGTTGATGTGCTGCAATCAGTCATTACAGCATTTTCGATGTTGAGTTCGTCGTACAAGCAGAAACCAAGGTCGCTGACACAAGGATCATCGACCGTACCGTTACCGCTGAAGAATTCTGGGCAAGAACACTCATATGAACCAATGGTGTTGTCGCAGATTCCATTGACGGGATCGCACTTATCATGTGCGCCTGGGATAAGGCATTCGTTAAAATCAAGGCACTCAGTTCCAAGAGGCAAGAAGCCAGGTTTGCAAGCGCAATCATAACTACCGACTGAATTGACACATTCGCTATTCTCCTTAGCATCGCAGATTGTTGCATCTGAGCACTCGTCGATATCAGTACAGTTATCACCAGTGGTAAGACCGTCTCCCTCGTACCCATCGGCACAGATACATTCATACCCTCCATCCAAGTTAGCACAAGTAGCAAGTTGATGGAAGCACTGGTTGGATCCATCGAGGCACTCGTTGATGTCAACGCAGAGATCTGTAGTATCAAGCTCGTATCCCGCATTACAGTCGCAGGAGAAACTTCCCTCAGTGTTGGAACACGAAGAATTAGGATCAGAGCAAGTGGTTGGGTCAGCACACTCATTGATATCAACACAGCTAGTTTCGTTGGCATTCATTTCGAATCCTTCTGCGCAGAGGCACTCGAATCCACCATCAAAATTGTTGCAGTTTGCGTTAGCAGCGCATGGAACAGGAGTAAAATCGCACTCGTTGATATCCTCGCAAGTGAAACCATCACCAGAAAACCCATCTGGACAAGTACACTCGAAAGAACCGACAGAATTGACACAATTAGCGTTTTCAGCGCAAATATTCTCCGCGCACTCGTCGATGTCTTCGCAAATCTCCCCAACAGGACCTTGATCAAAGATGCAAAGAGTTGGTCTGAACTTTGTGCATTCGGATTGTTTCCACTGGCCGATAGCCGTCATGTGGAAACAGGCTTCGTCCCAGATATTTGGGTGTTTTGGCGCAAGGTTGAATGTACTCGCTATTGGTTCATTTGTGTATATATTGGTCATCAAAGATGGATCGTTGGCACCAGATGGAGCGGTGTAGCCAATCCAAGCAGGGAGACCAGCAGCAATATTGAAAACCCAAGCGTTGAACATGCTAAGATCATTTTGATTGGTCTGATCGAAGGTCAAGAGTTCACCGCCTTCGTTTTGGCAGATATTGATGGCTTCGTCGAAATTTCGTAGAGATGGGTAAAGATTAATGCAGTTGTCATGGTCAATGGTGGAGAAGAACATGTCATCCGATCCATCAGAAGATCCTCTTGGACAATATCCGGCATCGTGGAATCCAGGATTGCAGGAACACTCATAGCTTTGGAAAGTGTTTGTACAATTTGCGTTTTCACCACAAGTGTTAAATCCGGTAGCGCATTCATCCATATCAACGCACTCAACGAGGGCGTCTCCTTCGAGACCGTCTTCGCAGGTACAGTTGAAGCCACCATCAAAGTTTGTGCAGAAGGAGAAATCGACGCACTCATCAGATCCATCAGCGCATTCATCAATGTCAGTACAGTTGAATCCATCGCCTTGGTAGCCATCAAAACAAGTGCAGTTGAATCCTCCGTCAAAATTATTGCAGAAGGCATTATCATGACAAGTTCCATCTTCTGCACACTCATCGATGTCGGTACAGTTGAATCCATCGCCTTGGAATCCATCATTGCAGGTGCAATTGTAACCACCAGGGAAATTCGAACAGTGTGAATTTTCATCGCAGTCGTCAAAAGCGCCAACCATTCTGAGCATATTTTCTTCTCGGCACTCATCAACATCAGTACAATTAAATCCATCACCTTCATAGCCGAGATGACACGTACAGTTGTAACCACCATCAAAGTTTGTGCAATCTGCAATACCGTGACACATGTGAGTTCCTTCAGAGCATTCGTCGATATCCTCACACCCGGTGTAAGCGATTCGAGTAGCGAGGAAAGCAGGGTCGAAACCATCTCCTCGGTAGCCGTCTTCGCAAGTACAATTGTAGCCTCCGTCAAAATTAACACAACCGACATTAGCAGGACCGCATTCATCGATCTCTAAAGCGCATTCGTCGACATCTTCGCAAGAAAATCCAGTTCCATTGTAGCCGTCATTGCAGAAACATTCATAATCTCCGAAAGTATTGGCACAAGTGGCAAACGCACTGCAGTTATTGGTCGCAACTTGAGAGTCAACAGGGAATGTTTCGGGATATTCAATCATGCAAATGACTGGTCTTTCGATCGAGCAATCGTTGTTTTTCAAAGTGGCAACAAGTGTGAAATGGACACAGTCGCCGTTTGCTGGTTTTGGGAAATTCGGCGCCCAAAAGAAACTGGCATCATTATCACCCAAAATTTCTGAAAATGATTCCCCAAATATGTTCCCGTAGAAGCCGCTACTCCAGACCAACCCCATCCAAGGTGCTTTATCACCAGCAAGTGAAACAAGCACATCAAATTGCTCAGAGAAAGGAGCTCCATCAACAAAAGTCGCGATGTAGCCATTCGGACTGTCATTTTCGAAAGCAAGTTCTTGACATCGGTCAGCAGCAGCATAATAATCTCGAGGGCTAGAAAGTGTTTTGTAGCATCGTCCATTGAAATCTTCAAAATCAGCTGGGCATGGAAGAGAGATCGGACCGAACTCGCAGCTTTCTAATGTAGTCGTTGTTGGTTGCCAATTTGTAGTTGTTGTAGGTTCATCAGTAGTTGAAAAGATTTGTGATCCGCATTCATCAGAATCCTTGCAGCAGAAGCCGTCGCCGTAAAATCCGTCATTACAATCGCAAGTATAACTTCCATCAGTATTGTTACAAGTAGCTTGATTGTGACAAGCATCGGTTCCCGCGAGACATTCGTCAAAGTCCTCGCATAAGGTACCACTTGTATCATTTTGGGAACCTGCGTCGAAATATCCTTCCATGCAAGTGCAGTTAAACCCGCCATCAAAGTTCATGCAGTAAGCATTTTCATGGCAGTCGTTGGATCCGTCTGAGCACTCGTCAATATCGTCGCAGACGGTTCCGTTACCGGTGAATCCGTCCATACAAGTGCAGTTGTACGAGCCTGGCAAGTTTTGACAAACTGAGTTGACATCGCAGTCATCAAATGCACCAATTTGTCTAAGAAGATCTTCTTGTGCACATTCGTCAACGTCCGTACAGTTGAAACCATCTCCTTCCCATCCGATCACACATGTGCAGTTGTATCCACCTTCAAAATTGCCACATTCCGCGTTATCATTGCACATATCAATCCCAAGATCGCACTCGTCGACGTCGGTGCAATTAAATCCATCTCCAAAATATCCCTCGTCACAGGTACAGTTGTAAGATCCTGGCAAGTTGTTACAAGAAGAGTTGATATCACAGTCATCAAAAGCGCCGATTTGTCGGAGAGCTTCTTCTTCGAGACACTCGTCAACATCGGTGCAGTTGAATCCAGATCCTTCCCAGCCTACTTCACATGTACAATTGTATCCGCCGTCGAAGTTGTCGCAGACAGCATTATCGTCACACATATCAGTTCCGTCCGCACATTCATCAACGTCAGTGCAGTTCCAGCCATCACCAATGTAACCGATCATGCAAGTACAATTGTAACCAGGCGAGTCATTGTCGCAAAAAGCGTTTTCATCGCACATGTGATCGCCACTTGCACATTCGTCGAAGTCTTCGCACATGAAGCCATAGTCAGAGAAGTTATCCATCTTCATCATGTACCCATCATCACAAGTGCAGTTGTACGCTCCAAGCTGATTGGCACAACTCGAGAAAGATGGGCATGCTGTGATCATTTCCCAGACATCCGCCATGACAGAAGTGTTCATCGGATCTTGACTGTCTCCAATCAGAATCGCTGGCCAAACATTTCTATCGTAGAAGATTCCATCGTGACACTCATCGTAGTCGACGCATTCTCCGTGGGTAAAGTTCTCGTAATAAAAACCAGTGTGGCAGATGCAATCAAAACCACCGTCAAAATTATTACAGGAGCTCCTGCCGCTGCAGTCATCAAGTTGCTCAGCACACTCGTCAATATCTGAACATTCCCAAGCAGTTGTGTTCCAAGTCCAGCCAAAGTCGTTGAATTCGTATCCGGCATCGCACTCGCAAGTGTATGTACCCACTTCGTTCGTGCAGTTTATGGAGTTGACAGGACAAGCGTTCGGGTCAAGGCACTCGTTAACATCACATTCTGGCACTTCTCTTGGATCAACGCAAGCAGTCTCGTTGACAGAATAGAGAGTAGGGAAAGTGCAGGTGTCAACAACCAATGTCCCGTTGAAACATCGGCTGCTTCCTTCACAGGATTCTTCGTGAGGCAAAAGGCTCAGATTTTCGACAGCAGGGGCGACAAGAGTAATTTTACAGGTCGTGGAGAGATCGATCTCACAAAGTGGCATCTTACTTCGGCCGCAGAAGCTCTCATCCCACATCACTGCTTCAGTGTAGCTGCTTTCCGAGGACGAAAAGTAGAAACCTTGAGTGATGGAAAGACAAATATCGAAATCCGCGACGAGTCGGGAGTGAAAATCAAGGGGAACATAATCAGCCTGGTTGCCATCGATGTCCATGAAAGTTCCGTTTTGAAGCATGTAGATTCCGATCCACGCCCCGTCGTATTGTCGGATTTGAGACGCATCTCCAAGAAAATGCTCCTCGATGTAGCTAGAGATAGCTTGATCTTCATCTGCGTTTTGAGGGATCGCGAGTTTCCCTCCATTCATCTCACAAACTTCTTTTGCGTCGTTAAAGTTTGCTGGAGAAGCCGCAGCTCCTTGCGGTGCATTGAGATAGAAAAATTTGGAGCCAACCTGGATTCCGTCAAGGTTATCGAAGCTCGAATATTGAACTCGGCCCGATATTCCCGTCAGGAAACATGCTCCGAAAAGCAGCAACATTTTGCTAAAAGAAATTTCTCTTTCAGAAAATAATCTCTTACAACTTACCTTTTATCCAATATTTGGATAAAAATCAACTCAAAACATAACTCGATTCAATTTTATGCATTTGCGGGAAAGGTTATTATACGATATGCATTTTGTTTAGAACGATTGAGGAATTTGAAAATCAATTAAACCCGCTTGGCCATTTCGTCTTAGACAAATGAGCTTGTTATTATGATTTTCTAGTTTTTTTTTATTCACAAGCTAAAAAATGATCATCCTGACGGGCTGAATCTATTCTTTCGGAAGACGCCCATGATCCATTCCATGTACGAAGCAACATTAGTGTAAATACCAGCTAGAAAATTTGATAAAAGAGTGCCTAAAAGTGTCAGTTTTTTTAACCTCCTTTACTGTCTCCCGTAGCATCTCCACAGCCAGTATGCTCACCAGCAGAATTGTAACTTCCGCCACTACTCGTGATTCCCCAAAGAACCGCTCTATCAGTATTAGCAAGTTTGTAACTAGCCCCATTCATTGTGATTGACGGTTCTTCAGAGTCAACTAAAATGATTATTTAGCTGTATTATATCTTTCTCTTACAGGTTCCGGGCTCTTTGCAAAAGAAGGGTCCTCCGGAATCCCCCTGGCAAGTATCAGCCATAAGATTGCATTCAAGTCTCTTGCTAGCGCAAAATTGCGCTCCAGAAGTATCCATGCGACCTCGCATAAGACTGGCGCACTCATTGCCTGGAAAGATTTCTTGGTAGGTGAATCTTGGAGTGTCCGGTACTAAGGGAGTATCTTTCGTGTACAATGGCGAGTATCCAGGAGTTTTTCGGGCGCATTGCTGATCCATTTCAATGAATCTATCGAGATCAGCTTGGTTTGATGCTGTTTTGCCCCACCCAGCAACCTAAAGTAAAAACCTTACTATGGAAAATATCTTTATGCTTACCTGGCAGCAGTCTCCCTCTCCAAATTGCTGTGAAGAAGTCGGCAGACAAATGGGCGATCGGAATTCATTATAACTCGGCACTTCTTCGGCTAACTCAAAAGAGCAATATCATCCTTCAATGATTGCATGTTGAAGTTAGGATGTTTCACGTACTGAGCAATTGTTGTCCTATGAGTTCTTTCCTTGTTGTAATCGTCGTTTGCAACAGAGTAGTCGCCAACGTAAACTTGGTAGTTTTTAGCAACATAGTCGCTAGCGAAGCAGTGCGCTGCAGAAACGGCCCATTTTCTGTTGATCAAAGACGCTAGAAATCCTGTTTTTCGAGGGATAAAAATATATGTTCACCTCCGCACTCGTGGGTGACTGTTCCATAATGATCAAATCGTAGAGAAACAAGCCATGGGAATTGCCCGGGGATAGATTTTACGCCGCCGACAACGTGGGCCTAAATCAAACTTCCTAAAAATCCCGAATTTCGGAGATCAATTACCGCTGCGATGTTAAAATTGATATTGTCTCTCCGAGTAATGCATTTTCCCCCTTCGTAGTCTTCGAAGTTCTTGGCTGTAGCTTTATCACGAGCAGATGCTGCACTCGAGGGAATTTCAAAACTAAATATTTGACCAACATGAATTCTAGTTTTATCCTACGTGTAACCACAATTGGGATCATTGGCATTTCGAGCCCATCGCTTTACCCGTCCTCCTTCAGCCACCACCAGTCGTCTGGAAATTATTTAAATATAAATTTGAACGCCTTCAGAAAAAATGGAAGACTTTAATTTGCATACTTGATGGGCAGGGTACTGGTGGCGCGAGCCTTGACGATTCTGTTAAATTTATTCCGATGAGCCATCGACTTTCCGAGATTTCTGTTGCTTATCTGGGCAATGTTTCTTCCATTCAAAAGGACCACGTAATCATTCTTGTTGATTGTGACATACAGTTCGTTGAGGCCAGATGTACTTAGAACTCCAGCGTAAAAGGGGGATACTCTTGGTCGAAGTCTTCGTCCGTCAAAGAGAAAAATTTTCATCATTCGTCGAGGTTGTGAGACGATTCTTATATCAAGTGGTCTTGCTTTTCCATCTAATAGAAGTTCTAGTTTCGTTTCTGCTCGAGATCTTTTTTTGTGGATCAAACTGAGCGTTAAGAATTATCAACTTGTTTTTTTGAATCCTTTCCTTTTCTCAAGATTGAATTTGAAGGAGATCGAGTCACAATTACCCACTTCATAATTATTCGAGTAACATTTTAAATTCCTAACAGCTACAGTCTTCGTTATCGCTGTGGCGTAAGTTGCTAGTAAAGTAAGCGCACTTACTATTCTCATTTTTATCTTTTGTTGGTCGATACGTTCCGAGGCAGATAGTGACTTCGGAGGACAAATAAACAGAGTAAAAAGGTAAACATAATTTTACTGGAGAGGACTCGAATCATCATCACTTGAATCTGGATTCTACTAGTAGATCCTGGGATTTGGACCCTTGAAATCAAGGAGGAGTCATCTCTCACAATAGCACGAGAACTTCGGAAATATAATATTGATCGATTTATTACACTTTTAAAAATACAAAATAAATGGTAATAGTGTTCATCAAGATGATGTTATTTAGATGAGGAGCAAACTTTATCCCAATTTTGAGTTGTTATCACCCAAAACAATTAAAATTTAATCACCCAACTCAGCACCCAGATGATTAGATAATATTCCTATCGATTCAAACAGGCTGAAATACTAACTCTAGGCAGACTGAGACGGCCTTTGGACATTCGACCGTCAAGTCCAGCTACACTTATTTTGGCATCTGGCCAACGCTCAACTAAACTCAACTCGTGACACGAGGCCCCTCTCTCTCAGGCCAAACCTCTCCGAAAACAACTCTCATGTGATACAGCTCCACAAAAACGTTGATCACGTGTCTCAAGATCACCAAAAACGGTTTCACTTTTTCGTAAAATCGAAAAGACTTTCAAGCCAGACTTTGGGTTTTCTGCAAACTCGGCACATTTTTGACAACGTTGGATAGACAGACGCAAAGTCTGAGTAAGAAGTAAACTTGTGAAGAAAAGTGATTTTCGTCCTCTGTGAGTTTTATTAACGAAGAGTCCTGAAGACAGATTAACAGGTACGATGATGGCAGAGTTGGGAGCATAGATAACTACGACTAGGGTGTGATCACTGTCGTCCACAAGGGCTTAGTAGCCCGTGGTCGGGGCCAGGATCGAACCACCAGGAGCCAAAAACACACCACGGGGCTGCTACTCCGGCTCATTGTCTCGCTCAGCAAGCTCAAGCCGAGAGATAAAATATTTTTTCTCCTCTTTTAGGAAGAAGATCAACTCTTGAGAAAAAAAAATCAACTTGGCAAACATTCGAAAATGACATCGACAGAGGAAGGCCTGGAAGGGCTTCTGGACCCACCTGCTCAAAGTTCTGCTAAGCCAGAATCAACAAGTTCTTCTAATTCGAGAAAGCGAGCACGTGTTGAGGAAGAAAACTCGCCGGATGAGATGATGGATAAGATCACCCGACACTGCTCCTGTACTGTTTGCCTGGATGTCCCTGGCGTCGCTCTTTATCAGTGCAAGAACGGCCACCTGATGTGCTACACGTGTCTCAACCATCTTCTTGCAGACGCCCGTCTCAAAGAAGAACAGTCAACATGTCCGAATTGCCGCTGCGAAATCAGGTAACGACACATTGGGGAATACACACGAAAAGCTCGTGCGTCTCAGAGGACAGACGCCACGGACTTCAGCTCGAGCTATCTTGGCGCGCAGCCAAATCTAAATAGCCACGCGACCAAACTCAATCATTGTTGACATCTGATTATTTCAGTATGGAGCGCTGTATGAGGAACTTAGCAGCCGAAAAGGGATAGGTTCAGAATCTAGTAAGAGCTTATTTTCTCTTACCTCTCGAAGTTTTGAAAAGCCGAAGTGATCAATTTTCGAGCTCCTGTCAAGCAAACATGATCAGTTTTCCTTTGAAGCCCGTTTCGAACCTTTTGTAAGGCTGTCGGCGAAATTCCCACAGAATGCAGCTGGTGCTCGCAAATGGTGAACCGATGTAACATTGAGGCGCATGAAAGGCATCGCTGTAACAAAAGGTTGAAATTAATTGAGTACAAGCTCTGAGTCACGCGCCGTATTTTAGACCTTCTAAATGCAGATACAACTTTGCGGGGTGTGACTGGAAGGGACCCTTAGATAAGGTAAAGATCACTTCATCTTTACCAGTAGAAAAACCAGTTTTCCATCTACCGATTCCAGTCCATCCTGTTTGATCAAAAAACGCTGCTGTTCTAAAAAATCTTCCTTGTTTTTTAACCTTTTTCTAATTATTTTCTAGCTGGACACGCACACTAAAGCTTGCAAATACAAATTTGCTACCTGCGAATCAGCCAAAGAAGAAATTGAAAAATCCATCGACGTTCAGGGGCACCAGGCCCGCGTGAAAGATAACATTCTCAGCCTGTTTGCGTTTGACAGCGTTATCTACACAGGTATGCAAATTTCACGAAAGAAAGAAAAAATAAAAAAATTTTAAAGACTTTTGGTCCGATCATATCGCACCGACGATTACATCCCAAAGCTGGCCTTTGAGTCCAATCGTCAGCGCGTCTTCAACGACGAGTGGGTACTCTCCTGTGAGATTCAAGGAGACTCGCAATCCTGCACCCGCCAAATAAGCTTCTCCTTATCGCTACGAGTAAAACCTCAGTATCCACGAGACATTCAACTCTTCGGTAAGCATTGCACTGACAGAGGCAGATGACGAAACCGCTTTGTTCAGTCACAAGAGCTCCGGGAAGTGATTTCCAGCTGGATCACGTGACATACTTGCATCGCTTCACAAAGGATATCTCCTCAACGCCATTGTTCACCTTGCCCCTCAAATCTGCGGCAGAAGTCAACAGATTTATTTCTTCAAAGGTAAGTTCTTTCATCGACTATATCAGCCTATAAGAGTATCTGATTTTGATGCAAATGAATATGTTCTGATGGATTTTGTTTCAGTCGGTGAACCTTCGCGTCTACATGTTCGAAATGAACGAGCTGAACGATACACGACGAAACAACGGTCAGGTAAACCGGGATCCACGCGGCAGCTGGTAATTTCCTCCGGCTCCTCCGGTCGTAGATCTCGGCACTTCCCTTCTCTTCATCTCCTCTTTCTCTTCTTATTCTCTCCTGTCGCACTGGTTTGGTGAAATCTTCGAAACAACTATTCAATAAAACATTTCAATAAAATATTCTCATTCATATAATCAAGAATGATGTTATTTTATTATTACTAACGCCAAGCGGGCTGATTTTCGGGCGTAAGCAGGAGGCTTTTGCGCAGTTTATTGACGATGGTTTTTCATTTGAAGTTTTTAAATTAAATAATATAATATTCTTTAATAAAATAATTATTCTCCGGTCTGGTGAGTATTGTTATCTTTAAAACTCAGGAATGAAGCTGGATAAACAACACTTTTGTAAAGAAAAATGTTCGAAAAATCGAATAAGAAATTCATTTTTTTGAATGTCCTTCGAAAATTTCCGGCAAGGACAAACTTTCAGAGATTCTCCTGGGCCACGAGATAGAAGCGACGAATTTGACGTCACAGTGAACACAAAGAACAGTCAAATCGTTTGTCAGAAAGTTCGAAAACCAGTGGCGTCATTTAATGCTAGGATTTCCAGGGAAAATTTTATTTGCGAGAGGCAGGGGGCGTTAGGGTATAAAAATCGAGGACACTGAGGAATTTTTCCAGTTACGAGTTGATTTTGTTTCATCAAGTCGGATTTTAGAGATTTGCGGATTTCCTGACTCAAAAAGAGAGGGAAAACTTATGAGGATAGATGCGGTATCGAGGATAAAATGGTTTAAAAAAACGGGTAATGGTAACTCGTCCTTTATTAGTACGAGAATCGTGTAGTAAAATGCACTAATTTACGATGGCTATCTCGTTACTTTTACACATATTTGTGGGAAAGAGCTGAACTGCGGTTGTTTTACCGTCCGATGGTCGATAAAATGACGCAAGTTTTTAGCCCAGGATCCAGACTAGCAGTCTGTTCGTGCTATAGGGACCCAGATTTATCCTCTAAATTGATGGTAATCCAGGAAGAATAGCGGTAAGCCAAGTGTAGGGGCTCTTTCGGACAGTATTTCTTCCAAGAATCGGCTCTAAGCTGACAGTATCTTGATTTTCATTCATTGCCAAAGATGAAGTCTGAAGGAAAATCAGTTTGGCTCAAAATTAATTCATGATGAGCTACAGTCCTAAATCCGGCAATACTTGAGTTCCCGGTTTTCCCAGACGAGTGATAATAAAATTCGCGAAAACTATGCCTCTTGGAAAATCAGGTGTTTGTCGAATTCGTTTACTGAAGATATCAATTTGCCTCAGGGTCGGAGTATATTCCACAAGACGGTGACGATGACATATCTGGGGAAATTAGGCCGACCTATGTCCGGAAATTGCCGTCTTCGTGCTCGAGGATGATCCTGGATCTTCAGTGCGGCGTGGGCGCTGAGCTGGCGCGTCCAATCAGCTGTCGCGTTCGCCCCTCCTCCCAAGCCCTGGGTTCGCGCGCGCTCGAGATCTAGAGAAAAAATGAAAGAAAAAAATATTTTCGAGTCGAAATTTTCAATAATCCACTGAGCTGCTCAACCTCCAAGCAATTTAAAAGGATTATCGCCCCTAAAGAAATAGGCCTTTTTGACCTTAGACAGAGAAATTAACTCAGAATCGTTCATGAATCTCCTGTTACCTCAAGGTTGACAGTTTTATGTTGCCCTAGAAAATTCGATATACTAAAAGATTGCGAAAATCTACTACGAAATGCTCTTCTTAGCTTCCGGTTGAAACAATATCGCCATCGTAAAAGCGATTTTACAGCGGAAATCGACCAATTACTTTACTGCGAAAATAGCTTTTCATTTGTAAGAGAGGCTAGGAACTAGAGGGTAACGATGCGAATCGTGTGAAAAGAACCAACTGCGGCGTATTTACGCGATTTCGTAATTATGAAAACGAACACTGAGTCCTCGCCCTGTTTGAATGATCGAATTCCTCGCTCATAGAGAGAGATTATCGGAAGATACGGCCAAAAGAACAACTGCAGATAAGCGACTTAGAGATTGTTCCAGCGGAAGATAAATTCGTATGAAATCAAGGAGGAGAATATTTCGATTAAAATGGTGATTTATCTGATGCCATCGCATGATGAAGCTTCGGAAATGATGAGCATCAGATAATCCTAAGATTATGATTCATGATACTCAAGATCACCATCTTTTTCTTGAAAGATCGAGGCCAAAAGAATATCCTCATTCTTGAATTGAGCCTTTCGAAGTTTATAACGGTCAAGAATAGCCAAATTTTAGTTGAAATGTTCGACTTCAAGGATTGCTTTGAGCAACGAACGTTTTTGAAGACAGGATCTTAGACTTTCGCAACATAATTTCCATAGATAATGGTTCATCAGAAATCGATAGTCTATGAAGACAGACTTTTGAAAGATCTGTCTTCATTTTTCTAATAAAATTTCTTTCCTTCAAGCATTCTTTTTCGATGCGGCGGCACTAGCTTTTTACTGTAATCCTGAGCAAATAGAGTTATCCACACAAACGCATTGATAGCGTGGGAAAACATGCTCATAACTTGCGCCTCAAGTACCGTCGTTTTCCATCTTTAGAGCGTTTTTCAGATGACAAGGGTAGACCAAAACGCTCTTAAGTTGGAAAATTTACGATCAAACTAGGACGACAGTGGGAAAAAAATGATGAATGAAAATGCATAAAATGAACTTTTTCCAAAACTATAAAAATGCATCTGAGGTCATTTTTACCTATTTATGATAAAAAAATTACGATCTTTGAATCAGAGGCTATGATTTCACCTGAAAAAAAGCGTAGAAAACAATTTTTTTCAATGATTTTTCAGGTTGAAATAAACGTTATTCTAATTATTAATTAAAAATTCCTAAAAACGCTCTAAAGTTGGGATTTTTTCAGATGACAAAATATGGAAAATATTGGCAAAAACGCTCTTAAGTTGGGCGCTCTTAAGATGGAAAACCACGGTACGGTTTATGACCGTTTTTCGAGTATTGAGGTGGGTCGATAGTTTCATCCTATATTTTTACATCAAGGGACGGGCATATTTTAATTTTTTATAATTTCTAATATCTTATTTTTGACGGAAGCTGTCAGCTTCAATACCAGATCATTGTACAGTTGACGTTTCATTTTCCCTCACAAAAGAGGTTATTTTTCTTGAAAGTTTATTTTTCAAAAGAGATGCTTCTTTCTTGCATTTCGACGGACAAAAGTAAGGTTCGGTATTTCAAGACAGATAAAAATAATGACAGCTAATTGCTTTATAATTTTTTACGAGGTCTATAAATGCCATGTTTCAAGAAAGATATTTCACCATAAAAGTGCTTGTTTTTGTTGAAGAAAATTAAGATTGATTTCAAAAATTCTGACTCGGAATTGCAATTTAAAAAAAGAGTATCAGTGCCTTTTTGTTTGATAAATTTAGGCTAATTTTTCCCTAGAAAACTGAGCACGGCCTAGTTTATCTACTCTACCCGCGTTGAATGGTGAAGTCCTTTAGAAATTGGAACAGAAAAGTATTTGAAATCGTGCCATTGAAAGTGCGAGTGGGCCCCTTTCAGTGCGGCGCATTTGTTGACTCTTCTGTTGCGCCATTTTTTCTTTCACTCGTGTATGTACTACTTGCGGCGGAATCAGAAGCAGCTTGTTTTATTAATACTGATTTGTTTCTATCGAACTGTCGCTGCTTTTTGACGGTCAACGACGGAGAGAAAAAGACACGCTCTTAGGTTTTAATTCAATTCCATTACAGAAGAATTGATTCGCATCTGAATCAAAAGATGCTGAAGCTTTTAGATCAATGCATAAAATAGAAGCTCCAATGGTGCTAGAGACATTCTTTTTCATTCTCCTTTTTTGTAAAAATGATTTAATTTTGGATTAGTTAGATGGAGATTCTTTTGTTTGAATAAATTTTTATTATTTATTTTTTCTGCCTGTAGGGCGATTTTTGAGGCGATAAAAATATCTCGTGGAAGAGTAAATAGGCTCGCGGACCCGTTTATGAATAATTAGCCGCTCGTATGTGTCGCCGAAGCATCGGTGCTAGTCAGATTCTTTTCGGATATCGATTAATTTACCCATGAATCGACAGAAATAGTATCTCTATCTTCTTTCTGGTCTGCCAAAAGAGACAAATTTTCATGCCAAATTTGAAGCTAATAGTTTTCTTTTCAGACTTGATAAATGTTGAAGTGACCCAGTCGATCTGGCACTGGACCAGCCAGTATGGCGAACCCGCGAAAATTCAGCGAGAAGATCGCGCTCCTGAAGCAAAAGGAAGCCGAAGAAAAGGGCAACTATGAACGGATCCTGCGAGAAGTTCGCGCAGTCACACATCACCCGGGCCAAGGACCGCAAATGCCGATGCCAGGTGGTCCGCTGCCCGGAATGGGCCCGATGAGGATGAATCCGCTGTTGAACCGAGTCCAGGGACAAAATGGGATGGGCATGGGCCCGAGAAATGCACTTTGGTCTTCCATGCCGAATATTCACTCCGCTGCGCAGAATGCTCCAATGCCACAAATGCCATATAATAATTATAACAGCGGCTCTCAGGAATCGGATTATTTTTATTTATTACCTATTACTTTCAAAAATAAACTCTTTCTTGATTTCAAAAAGCCTTACAATTAAAATCCGTTCTAAAGTGCGGCCAAAACTTCGGCCAAATGAGCTATCCCCAGCCTCCAATGAATGCGCCGGCAATCTCTGCTCCCCAAGAGCCTCCTCCAGTCATACCCCCTTCATATCCCCAGAATAGCAGTGGAATGTTTCTGGAACCACCTGGCAACTGGGGGATGAGTTCTCAGAACGGCGGTAGCGGACAGAACTACGGACTTTTACGGGCGACTTCTGATTCTGCTTTGCACCACACGGTGAATCAGAAAATCGACCAAGTCAATCAGGAACGAGGTCAAAATCAGCTACAGGCTCCTGCGCCCGCTCACTCTCAACCATCACCTCCTAACCCACCAGTAATTAATCTACAATTCTTCCTTTTTTATACATTTTTAAGATGAACCGCCGACTAAGACCGCCGCAACTCTCAACGCCACAAGGAGCTCCGTGTGGAAGTTTGCCGGATTTGACGACTCTTACTATTCCCAAGACAAACTCGAGGCCTTCAAGTGCTAAGGTACTCACTCAGGAACTTTCCTATCCCCTTACCATTTAATTTTGAAGGAACCTAATCGTCGAATTGACTCGCCTGGCGCGATGCGTCAGCGAGATTCCACTGGTTCAACAAATTCTTCACTCGCCTCGCCCAGAAACCCAAGAAGGCCGGTGAGTCCCTGGGCTATTCCCTTCCTTGATATCAAAAATCCTTCAGCATCCGTACAATAACAACCGAATGAGCTGGAATATGCCAGGATCGTCGCCAGGCTCGCCCGTCTCCGCCTCTTTCAACGCCAATCAAAGACTTAATTCAAACTCGCTGCCATCTTCACCACAGACACGATCGGAAACGGACTCTTTCGACAGTTTAATGCAGACATCGTCATCGACCAACACACAACAGAACAACCTTCATACTACTTCGCCGAATAGCAATAACAAACTCTCGCAGCCGGAGAATCAGCATCATTATCAGGGTCCTACTTCACCAGTTCCTAATATTGTGTTCACCCCTTCCAATGACAATGGTAAGGAATTAACCTATCTTTGATCACATTCACTTCTTTAGAATCTGTCCCCTTTGGCATGGAGCAGCGCCACCCGTTGCAAATGAACAATTACGGCGTCCCCTCTTCCTCCGCCTCAGTAGCTGGCGGCTACGATTTGCCGCGGCTCGGTTCGCTGAACAACGAGTTCAACACTCCCCAATTCCCCAATTCTAGTCAACCAACAGCGCTGCCAAGCACAAACACAACGCACGACTTCCTCAACGAAAACTTCCTCAACGAACTGACTTCAGCGTCATCACAACCCCTTGACATTCCGCTCATACCGCCAACGCAACACCAGTTAGACTTGATGCAGGTAAATGTCTCCTTTTTTGATTGTCTCCTTTCAACCCTCTTTTAGAATGGCAACGGGAAAAGTTCTCAAAGCCTGTCTTCCATCCTAAACGATATGAACTGATCGAGAAAAACGAAAAAATCCAAATTCCAATAAATATAAAAATGCTCAATGTTCCTGACCGAGAGTTCTGCCTCGGCATCTCAGATACAATAAAAATAAACAAAAATATTCAACTGTTCAAATATCCGACCGTGTTCTGTTGGCTCGCGTTTTCCACATAGAATTCTAACGCAACTCATTTTAAAAGGAAGGTAAAATGGTTCTTTTTGAATAAAAATATGAGTCTCCGTGCTTCAGTTTCCCCATAAAACAAGGCTTTTTGTGATCCCATCTTGGTGAAAAATATAAGTCTGAATCGAGCCAATTTCTTCTATTTTTATGAAGCAGTTTTATAATCTCAGGCATCTTAAAAACGTCACCGAAGGTCGTTTCCAGTAATCCGTTCACTTCAAACTTATTTTTCCAACTCATAGTGTTCTAATTTTCAAGTATTCAAAAGTGTACAAAATAAAACGCCTCTTTATCTTCATGACTCTCTTTTAATCTTTTATGACTCAATTTATGCTACTTTTCTTTTCTATTTTTTTCGTGTTTCCATATTTTTCTGTCCTCCGAAAATGTTCCGCATTGTTCTATATTTTAACCTTTTTTTCTTTCCCGAGTTCAGTTTCAGTTTTTGTTTCCGCCGTTTTCCTTTCTCTCGATTCATAAATATTATTACTACTATTCTATATAATTTTCACATTTTCTCCAGTTTGCCGAAATTTTATAAAAATGATTCAATAATCGTCTGAAAACTCGTGTTTCAGGGTTGAAGTTGAGTTATGGCAAAGGGCAATCGAAAGCGGTTTAACAAAAGTGGAAGAGATCAGACTGTAGCGACATTGGTCAAGGCGGACAGTAGATTACTAGGTAACCTACTTTTCTGGCCACAGTTTAGACAATTTTTGTTAGACGGAGAAGAAGCAGGAGCTGATGATTCAAACGCCTTGATCCTTGAGAAAAAGACGGTTTCGATCAAACGCGCCCCAGTTCTGAAGCCAAAGTTGTCGAAGAAAAAGCGCAAGCATTTGGAAAAGCTTGTCGAGCAAAAAGAAAAGAAAGCGAAACGAGGAGAGCTGCTTGAAAAACTGAATGAACTCCGCGTTCCATCTTCTGAGCTGGCTAGGTATCAGTCGATTGCTCACATTGGAAACAAGAAAGCGCAGGAAAAGTCGGTCTGGTTGGCGAAGCGTCCGGATAGGGAAATTTTGAAGGAGGAGAAGATTAATGCGATCAGAGGGGCGAAAAGAGCAAAACTGGAGCAAGAGGGAGAGAAAGAAGAGGTCGAATCTTCGGATGTTTCTACCGATGAAGAATCTGACAACGATGCAGTTCTTCCGCAGCCACACAAGCTTGAGTCATCTGATATACAAGAAGAAGTTCCAGAAACTCCAGTCAAGGAAGCTCAAACAGTCGCTGAAGAAGTCGTCGAGGAAAAACCAAAATTGAACGACCCGAAGCTCGATTACGTCCTGATCAACCGCCCTGCAGAGATCCAAGAAGCTCGTCAAGAACTTCCAATTCTCTCCGATGAGGGAACCGTCTTAGAAGCCGTGGCAGAAAATGACTTCGTCGTTCTCTGTGGAGAAACTGGATCGGGCAAGACGACACAAGTTCCTCAATTTCTTTACGAAGCTGGATTTTGCGCTAGAGGCATGATTGGTATGACCGAACCTAGGAGAATTGCCGCTACTTCGGCTGCGGAGCGAATTCGCTACGAAATGTGCAAGAAAGAACCACAAGTGGCGCATCATATTCGATACGAAAATAAGACCTCGAAGGAGACGGAGATTTGTGTTATGACTGATGGTGTTTTGCTAAGGTAGGCCATTCTATAGGCACGAACGAGACAAGATTTTATTTTTTGGGGAGTTGGCCACATTTGTATCCCAAATGCGCCATGATTCATGGCCCATGAAGTGAATTTTTTTTTCAGTCAAATGAGCTCCGACTTCTTACTGTCCAAATTCGGCTGTATCATAATCGATGAAGCGCACGAGCGGTCTATCCACACGGATGTGCTGATTGGAATGTTGACCCGTGTAGTGATGCTGCGCAGAAAGCGAAATATCAACCCACTCAAGCTAATCATCATGTCAGCAACACTTCGAATCGACGACTTTATTGCAAATAAAAAGCTCTTTCCAAAACTCGTGCCACCAGTGTTGAAAATCGAAAGCAGGCAATATCCAGTGACAACGTCTTTTGCCAAACAGACAGAATTGAGGGATTATATTGCAGCAGCATATCGAAAAATATGCAGGTTCGTCATATCTTTCCATTCAAACAAATAAATTGGTATAAACGTTCACCTTTAGAATTCACAGAGAAGAGCCCGCTGGATCAATTTTGGTATTTGTAACGGGGCAGGATGAAGTCAAGCGACTTGTAAAAATGTTATCAGAAACGTTTCCGAAAGATCCGCCAAAAGAAGAAGAGAAGAAAGAGCTCGATTTGGATAATTTCTCATCAGAGCCAAAAAAAGAAGATGAAGAGGAGAAAAAAGAGCCTGGAATTAATGACGATCTGCATTTAGGTAAGAATATTTCGGTTGAAAATGATACCCCAAGGTCGAATGACAATAAGACTGAAATACATATTTTACAATCTCAATTTTTAATTTTTTTAAAAGGGTAACTCTTGCAGTATGAGCCGAAAATGCCCAAGGTATAGTGGAAAGAATAAACCGAGATTAGGATTCATTTTAAACGATGATTTTTGTCTTGTTCCGTCAATTATATGCCCAATGATAAGCATCAAAGTAGCCTTAGTTCTCAGTCAGATCTGATCGAGAACGAACAACCCCAAAAACGAACCATTTCAAGAACTTTTCTTTTCCAAAAACTAACGATCTTATAGACGAAGATGACGATGAATTTGGAGAAGTCGACATGGATGACGATCTTTCATCCTTTGACATTTCCTCTACCGCACTCGATGCTACCCTCCCCATGCGTGCACTTCCACTCTATTCCGTCCTTCCTCCTTCCGAGCAAAAGAACATCTTCCAAGACTTTCCCGAACCAATCAGAAAAGTCGTCGTAGCGACAAACGTCGCCGAGACCTCCCTGACCATTCCTGGAATCAAATACGTTGTGGATACAGGAAGACATAAAGCGAAAAAGTTCTCGCCCGTTACCGGAGTTTCTAAATTCGAAATTGAATGGATTTCACAGGCAGCAGCAGATCAACGAGCCGGACGAGCCGGTCGAACTGGGCCTGGAAGATGCTTCAGACTTTACTCTTCCGCCGTGTTCCAAGATTTCGCTAAATTTCCTCCGCCAGAAATCACTATGAAGCCATTGGACGATCTTGTTCTAGGCATGAAGGCGTTCGGAATCGAGGAGATCAAGAATTTTCCATTTGTTACGTTGCCAGACGAAGAAGCGCTTACCAAGGCAGAAAAACTTTGTGTCAAGCTGGGCGCTCTCAAGAGGCCGTCAAAGAGACAAATTTCTGGTAAGCAATCAAAGAAAAAAAATCACCTCAGAAATATTTTCCCGTCAGCCTTGATTTCCGGCAATCCACTTTTCAAATAACGATCAGTCATTTTTTCTACGAATTTGCTAGAATGAATCAAGCGTAGTAACAGGTTTTTTTTAAGACTGCTCCTCAACTGTGGAGCGGTTTTGAGTGCCTTAGAGTCGAGATATTTTGAATCTCTCTTTTGGACCTTGTTAGAGAAGCACTGTAGTGTGTTAAATAAGGATTTGGTGTCAGCACCATCAGTGGTGGTGGAGTAACCAGATAGTCAAAAATACACTAAAAGCATAGGAAAAATTGACGATGACGTCATTTCTCCACCACCAACTTTGGTGATGACTCCAAAAATAATCCGAAATACTTTTTACTGATGTGCGGAAGACCTCTGCTCGATTAGAACAAAAGTATATTGCTTTTTACCACTTTTCAATTTTTGTTTGCCGTCTATAAAATAGCCAGAATTACGGAATGATGACGTCATTGCTCCACCACCGATTTAGATCAAACCACCAAAAGCTTATTTAACACACTATGGACCCTCCCCTACTTGCTGCAAAAGAGATAATTGAAATATTTCGACTCTAAGATACTCAAAACCGCTCCACAGTTGAGGAGCAGTCTTAAAAAAAACCTGTTAGTACGGATAAAAGTTTCGGCAAAGGCGACCGAAACAGAAATCACTTTGAATGGCTTTAATGTGATAAATGTTTCGGCAGCCTGCCGAAATATTAATACAAATTCCACTCATTTTTCTGGCAAAACATTTCGGCACGAGCCGAAACGAAAATCAGAATTAACCGTCTTTAGAGCAAAAAAATTTCGGCAGGCTTTTCCATTCTCATCCTGATTCGCGACGGTATGCGCATCAAATAAATGGTCCTTATCAATTTGTCACCTCCAAAATCTCGTGTTACTATCAGTTCTGATATTCAGACGATGTATTTCTGGAGATTCATTCTTCATTTTGCAAAAATTGACGAACCCTATTTCAGAAACCCAAGCTAACTCACTAAGACTTTTCTCCAAAAGAAAATTAATCAAAATTCTGGTACTTGCTAAAATAAAGGTTAGGGTTAGGGGGCACCTGCAAAATGACGGAACAAATCTCCCGAGGTAACCCTAACTAACCCTAGACTAGACCCCGGCATTTTAGGACCTAAGGGGCGAAGCCCCGTGGTAAGGGGCAATTAGATTAAATACTTTCTGCTCATATCATCTTTCATGGTCATTGAATTCAAATCTACGCACCAAGACATGATAATTTTCTCCTGATAGCCTGGATGAGAAGAGGATGAGGAGTGAGGAATGTTTGATTGATGCCGATGAACATTGAGATTTCCAGTTCAGTTTGTGTGCCGAAACATTTTTACAAAAACCGAAGTAAAATACGAAAAAAGTTTCGGCAGCTTGCCGAAATGTTTTTGCCAAAAAAGAGGACATAAGTGAAAATAGTTTCGGCCGCTGCTCATTTGACCATTCATTTTTCAGGAAACATTACTCCTCTGGGTAAAACAATGAACGCGTTTCCAGTATCTCCCCGTTTCGGCCGAATTCTATCGCTCTCATCTCAACAAAACTTACTCAAATTCGCGATTGCCATTGTCGCCGCTTGCACAGTCAGAGAACTAGTTGATGCAAATAATGACAGAATGAAGGCGCTAAAGGAGCTCTGGGCCGATGCAACCAAATCGCAATTAGGCGATCTTCTCATTCTTTTGTCTGTTATCGGAGCTTCTGAAAGTTCCAAAGACCCAGAAGGGTTTATTTCGACGATTGGAGTTCGGTCACAGGGATTGAAGGAAGTCAGAAAGTTGCGAAGATTGATTACGCACGTCGTAAGGCAAATGCTGACGAATGATGAGGAAGAGAAAGTGCTAGTGGAAAGAGAACTTCCTCAACCTAGCGCAAAGGAGTGTACTCTTCTCTGCGAGCTCTTTCTGTCCGGATTCGGAGACCAGATCGCTTTCCATACTGAAGAGGGTGAGTATAAATTACCCACCGGGGAGAAAGGGAAGATTTATCCGACAAGTGTTTTGGCAAAGAAACGACCAAACGTAAGGGTTTCCAAAGAAGATCCTTATTTATTTTTTGTTTAGATAATTTGCTACCAAGAAAAGCTAGAGAACCAGAAGGGCAACACCTATTTAAAATGCTGCCACCAAGTTACGGCGGAGCAAATCGTTCACATCGTTCCTGAGTACGTTACCTTCAATCGAAACAAAAACAACACTCCAAAATACAACTCCACTTCTGGCGAAATCGAGGCACTGTACACTTGCTACTATACAGCGACGAATACGCCTCTTGGGGAGCACTGGAGGCAGCTAACCGGGGAAGATGAGACTTTGTTGAGATGTTTTGCGCATTGTTTGTTGACGGGAGAAGTGTTTCCAGCGTTTTTGAAGATGAAATCGTTTTGGTTATCTCCGCCTGCAGGTAATTAACAATGAATGAAATTCTTTATTTTGACAGTATGACAGTCTTTTCGCCTAGGGCGCTCTTCTGATGTATTTTCATATTCAACAATTTTTAGTGTTATTACGAACCTGGGCGAATTTGCACGAAAGAACAACGAATCTGATCAGATGTTTCAGCATCCATGGGTTGACATCTCGCTCGGCTTTTGTCGAAAAGATAAATGTCGAAGAGAGCAGAGGCGAAATTTTGGAATGTTTACGTGAATGGGTTCTCCCCTCGCACTTTAATCATATTGAACGTATTATTGAGCGACTTGTGAATTGATTAATTGAGTGTAGAAAAAAAACTGAACATCAACATTTAACACTTTTGAGCCATCTATGAACGTATTTCTTGTAGAATGAAGCTGTTTCTCCTTCTTGGAGTCAGCTCTGTAATCGGATTTCGGGAAGATCGCCTCGACCTCTCACATCTCCAACCGGATCATCTTTCGCGAGTTCGGACGCTCGATAGACCTGAACGAAAAAATCTTCCGGTTCGCAAACGTCGATCAGAAGAAAGCACATCGAGAAGCAGAAGAGAGGAAGAAGACGGCTTTAACAAATGTGGAGATTTTAATGACTCAAAATTCAAAGAAGACAATGTTGTAAGCACTTTCACAATTCCCAAGGATACAAATCCTTCCATATCTCTCGTCTGGACTGGCGAGAATGGTCACATTCTTGCAGTTACCACGTACGAATCGTTTGTAGCTTATCCCAGTAAGCTTTATTTATCGACGAATGGCGGGAGACACTTCGAGGAAATCACTGACAAAATTTCAAACGAATACATCCGGTAAATTTCTCAACTCTAATCTTTTCGTTTTCATATTTATTTTCAGCCGTAAGCGTGGTGCTCTCACTGCCACTGCCGATTCCAGCCACGTTATCCTCATCGTCAACAACCACCCTCTCGGCTTCGGCGAAACATCCGACATTTACGTTTCTGAAGACGAAGGAGTCCACTGGACCAGACAGACTGTCCCCTTTGAGCTATCAGGAAGCCAGATGAAGTTCCACCCGAAAAAAGCATCTCACATTTTGGCGACGGATGCTACTTCTCAACAGTTGTGGATTACTACAGATTTCTGTAAGAGCTGGCGGGCTGTTCATGATTCTGGCAAGACTTCTGCCTTCAAATGGGACCCTAAAAGTAAGACTGACTTCTTTCAATAACCCTTTACTAACCAAATCTTCAGATGACGATATTTTCTACTACACTCACGACCCTCTTGGATCGGGCCGCCGGGATCGCTTCTCAATGACCCTTTATCGTTCAAAAGATGATGGTAAAACGAGCGAAGCCCTCACCGAACATGTCTGGAGCTTCGGCATTCAAGAGCAATTTCTCTTTGTGTCCGTTCGATACATGGCAGAAGGCGACGATGATGTACGCAGAATCATGCACGTGTCAACCGACCATGGCGATAACTTCCGAGCGGTCCAGCTTCCTGCCATTAATTCGGAGCAATTTTACTCGATTCTCGATGCTTCGGAAAACATGATCTTCATGCACGTCGATGACGAAGGAGATACTGGCAAAGGAGCGATTTACGTTTCGGATCATACAGGAACTGTCTTCAGCAAATCACTGGACAACAATCTTTATCCAAATGGAGATGATGTAACTGACTTTGCGAAAGTAGACTCGATGAATGGCGTCTATCTCACATCCATCGTAAGATTATCTCCTATATTATTTCTTCTGATTCTTTTATCTAGCTCAAGGATGACAAGGGAATCGAGACTCGTATTACCTACGACAAGGGAGCAACCTGGGATCCTCTAGGTCAACCAACTAACTGCAACGATTGGGGTTGTGGTTGCACAAAAGACGAAAACGACTTCTGTCGCCTCCAGGTTCACTGTGCCTTTTCCCAAATCAAGGGTGTGTCTGTGCCAGAAATGCCATACTCGACTAATTACGCGCCAGGCCTCATCTTCAGCCACGGAAATGTAGGAGACGGTCTTTCAACCGATGAACCCGACGTGTTCGCTTCCAGCGATGGTGGTTACACCTGGAGAAGAACCTTGGAAGGACCCCACAAGTAAGCATCGTCAAATTCGATGATTCGAATGTTCTGGCAAATGATGACTCGTGACATCGTTTATTTAAGAACGCTGATCGGTGATTCTGGATCCGTGATCTGGGCTGTCACTAATGACGAACAAATCGACACCATCAAATTCAGCTTTAATGAAGGTCAATGTTGGAATTCTTATAAATTCACAGAAGAGAAGATTGACATCACAGGTAATCCATCGATTTTCAAGATTCTCAAATCAAAGACAGCTATCTTCAAATACACTAATTTCTCAGGACTTGTCGGTGAGCCTGGGGAGAAATCAACAGACGTTGCTATCTGGGGCTGGAACGAGCAAGAAGAAAACTGGGTCGTCTACACTTTCGATTTCAAGGCAATCTTGGGAAAAGCCTGTACCGATGACGACTACGAAAACTGGCAAGCTCACGAAGATATTAAATTGAAAGGCGAATCAGAGGAAGGCTGTCAGCTCGGAAAGAGGACGACCTACAAGAAACTCAAGAAGGAATCTGTCTGCTACAACGGAAAAGGATACGAACCGCAGAAGACCTTCAGCAAGTGCAAATGCACCGCCTACGACTATCTCTGTGACTTTGGTTACTATCGAAAAGATCCTGATTCAGCTGATTGTATCCCTGATCCATCATTTAAATCATCTGGTATGTTGAATACTCGACCTTTCTGTTCTATCTTTTCCCAGGACACCGAGACATTTGCATCGGTGAAACGGAAGAAGAGATTATTTCCAAAGGATATATCAAAATACCAGGCGATCAATGCGATGAATCAAAGCTGTCTGAGAACGAAAAAGGTAGATTTATCATAATATCCAATTATCATTTCGTTTTATTAAGAAAAATTTCATCATCAAGAAACCAAATTGAGCACCAAGTGCCCCAAACAACAGGAAGTCCCAGAAGACTACGGAATGAAAGATTCAACGTAAGACTACTGAGAAAGCTCGATAAGTTATGGTACTATTTAGGTCGTGGCGTGATTATTTCGACATTGAAGACATAGACGAGCCGGCAAAAATTGAAGCAGAAGGCAAAAGTAAATCTTCCAAGGGCTGGACCGTATTCAGCGTTTTGATAATTGGCGCGTTGAGGTAAATTAGCGACATGTTTTCTTGATGAATTGGCGGTTTCTTTTCTTAGCGGCGTGGCTTTCCATTACTACAGAAAATCCCAAGCCTCGTCGAGTGTCGTTTCGTATCAAAATTTTACCAATGATGATGTGCCCGCCCTTGATTCTGGCAATGCTCAGAGCGGAGGAGCTGCATCTGCTGGGGAGTTTAGAGACGACTCTTCTGATGAAGACAACGACATGATTACGGCATAAAAGTACCCCTGCTTCCATTCTATTTTCATTCTTTTTCTTTGGGGTATCTTTTATTTCTCATATTTGTTTTCTGTACAAAAACAACTCTGCAAAACAAAAACAAACATTTACACACTTCATGAGCGTTCAGCAATAGAAAACTTCTACAACCAAGTTCATTTACGTTCACTTTTCTTGCCTTTTATCACTTCTCGAACAACAACAACGACAAAAGTCAAAATTTTAAAAAATCAAAGTTCTAAAAATCTCGTTTTTTTTTCATATTGAATCGCCTGATTTATCCCCCCGCTGTTTTTTTCCGGTTTCGGTCTGCGTAGCTTGCCCTAGTTTCGTAGCCCTAAAGCTTTCCGCTTGATTCTAACTACTGTGACAGCTGTACATGTTTTACTCAATCCTTGCGATTTCAATCTTTTTTTAATTTTTGCTAGGGCTATTTTCATTTTAAAAATCCGAATTTACTATCTCCTATCAATTATCAAAGTGATGCCAAGCGGTACTAAGGACCATCATCATTCTATTTTCCCATTTCTGTAAAGTCAGTGTTAAAAAACTATTGACGTCTAAATACGAATTGCTTCCAATCCAATTTATCTCTCTCAAACTATGTATAACCTTACCCAAAAGAGTATTTTTGCCCAATCGATTATAATTATTTAATAAAGATAGATAAACTGTAAGACAGGCAGCTTGAGTCAGCACAAGATTGAGTGAGATTTATCTTCAGATCTGGATTTTTATGGGAAAACGATGAATAACCAGCACTGCGCTTGTGAATAGACACTGAGAGCAACGAATAAAGAAACTCTCGATCGAATCGAAAGAGTCAGCTCAGCGGGCTCAGAATGAAATGGACCCCCACCAACATAATCAACAGAATATCCTAAGAATTGGCAATGCTCCGTCTTCTATCAATTCCCAGGTAAGATTTCTGACAGAGAAAGAGAAAGCAACATTGATCCTTTTAAAACAGAGTGTGGGCGTGTACTACGATCCATATGAAGGGGATGTATACGAGGAGTACATGGAAAATCGCTCGATGGGATCATTCACCGGCGAGTCCTATCAGGGCGGGCTAGAAGTAGCTTCGGCAGATTTAGGTGCATCCATGGCATCACTCGGCCTCAACCGGACAAATCAGTTCGGCTCCATGTCCGGTCGCCTTGCTACGCTCGGCCGCGTCCAAACCGTCGAAAAGTTCAAGGACCTATCGCTTCCCGCCATTGTCGAGCTTCTTGAAAACGGGGACGACAGTATAGCCACCAATGCCGCTGCATACCTCCAACACCTGACCTACAACAATCCCGAAAACAAACATTTAGTTCGAGAAGCTGGAGCAATTGAAGTTCTCATAAGCGTGCTAGAAGATAGAAACTCGTCTGATAAACTGCTGGAGCATGCAGCAGGAGCTCTGAGAAATTCGTCTTACGGATGTAATGAGAACAAGATTAGTATCAAGAATTTTGAAGGCATTTCTGCGCTTCTCAAGGTATTTTTGCTAAGCGAGCTTTGAGTAAAAACAAATCAGGTTCTCCGGCAACGAAGAGACGTTCCAATGATAAGAGTGCATGTAACTGGAACATTGTGGAATCTCTCATCACACCACTCTCTGAAACAACCGCTCCTAGACCAAGTCATCAACGACGTTGTTCAAATCGTCCTGGCTCCATACGCTGCCGAACTCCGCCACAACGGTCTTCACTCTGCCTACAGCCGCCAAAGTGGGCTACTTCAGAGCTTTGTGAATTGTTCCGGTCTCGTGCGAAACCTTTCGTCGCATTCTGACGCCGCCCGACGTCGCCTGCGCGATGCTGATGGACTCATAGGTCCGTACTCGTTTTAAATTATTAAAGAGCGTAGTGTCAGCGCAATAATTGATATACTCGTCGATCTATGGAAAATTTCAGATTCACTCTGTGACATCATTGAGATTGTCAGCTCTGTGGTTGGAAACGCCAACTGTAAAGGCGTCGAAGGCACTGTCTGTGCTCTCAGGAAAGGGTTGTTCTTTCCATGTCAAAAAGTCTGTCTGATGCAATAAAGACAACCAGTTGAAGAAACCTGACATTTCGGATCCATCGCGAAGCTTCATCAAAAGAGTTCATTCCACAGCTTACTGTTGAGAAACAAGGCTGTTTCTGGCGACCAAGACTTGTCCAAGCCCCTTACAAGGTGATTGTATTTTAAGATTACAGTCTTTCAAAAATCTTATTCAGGAACCGCGAGTTCCACCTCCCAATATCACTGCCAAAGGTGTCGAAAGATTGATCCAGATCTCAATTTTACCTCCTCTTGTATATTTTATCATGCAATCGGAAAACCCACAAACAATCGAAGGTAAACAACGGTTAATTATGAAGAGAGTCACTCAGATATTCATTGATTAAAATTATTAATCGCCGCTGCTGGCGATGGGAGTTTAGAGGTCTCGGGGAACGAAAGGGATAAGAAAAGATTAAATAATTAACCTAGATCTGAGTTACTGTTTCTGACTATTAATGCATGCGTTTGGGCTTTCTTCTTGACAACCAAATATTGATTATTGAGGCAATGGATTATACTCAAATGCCCTTTCGAAGTTGAAACGGGTTCAAGTCGCAAATTGCAAACTCTCATTGTTGATTTTAGCTTCAATCGGAATTGTACAGAATCTAACGTCCGAAAACTATTATTCCTCTGCTTATCTGCGCGCTCACTTTCGTAAGGAAAAAGGGCTGCCTCTCCTTGTCGAGAAGATCGCCGATGAAAGTAGAACGATCTCCAACACGGCGATCATCTCCTTGCGAAACCTAGCCGTCGATCTGAAGAATAAGGAGCTCATTGGCAAATACGGAATGGGTGAAGTCTGCGCAAACATTCCCGACGCCAAGCAGGTTCATTTTCTTGCTCTTTACTTTTGAACTAATAATTTTTTCATGAACAGGCCTCTGTTGATGACAAAATCGGATTAGCAGCGTTATTCTTGGCAAAAACGCTGGTAGAATACCACTCGGAGAATGCTCAGAAATTCATCGAACATCAGGGCGTACTCAAAGTCAGCGCGATCAATGAGTCCAAGCATTATTCGGACAAAATGCGCAAAGTTGCCGGCCAGGTTAAGATTTTTCATAATAACAAGTCTTTTATCAAATGAATCAGGTGCTGTCAGCTTTGTGGCAAATCAAGCAACTGAGAAAATCGTACAAAAATGATCTTGGTCTCAAGAAATCACATTTTCAGGTGAGCTCTTCGGGTTCTATCATTATCAAAATTATCATTTTTAGCCGCAAGTTCTCCACGATGGAGAAACGATCAGACCCCAGCGGGCTAAAAATGGCGACTCTTGGGTCTGAGACGGAAACTTGTTACTTCATGAATGCCTTTCTAAAATTCCTTCTATATATTTTCAATTTGAAGCTGACTTGCTGTCCTTTTACCTAACAAAATTCATTTTTGCCGCATTTCTGTCTAGCATAATTTACCTTTCATATCTTTCTTCTAAACTATTTCCATTTCGTTCTCAACATGACAAAAGCACTCGCTCTCGACCATACCTACTGCACCACAAAACAGCTACCAAGTACAGAACCTTCCAATAAATTTCAACGTCGAAAATACGGCTCACAGGTGCATTAACATTACATGTTAATCCGTCTTAATAATCCACTAGCATTCCAAGAGTTTAAAAGTTTCGGTTGCAACGATCAGGGCCTTGTCTGTACTCCTTTGTACGGAATGAAAGTTTGATCACTTACAAGTTACAACATGAGATTATAAGGCAGGAACTTCAATAATTTATTTCTGAACAGTGAACGGTCTTGGACTCTTACATGGAAAAATAACTTATTTTAGGCTTCTTCGGTGGTGCTAACTGAAAAAGAAAAGTCAGTTCATATTGCATCTAAATTACTCTCAGTCTATCGAGCTGAGATTGCTAGGTTTATTTTTTATTCAGCTTTACGTCAGACTCATTTTCATTCTAAGCTGTTGCCTACTGTATACTGCAGATCTTACCTTGATCCATGCGTCGACCCATTTGCCCTTGTTTTTGAACATCAAGGACCAAATGAGTTTCGTGCGGTCTGTCTCCGGCGAGCCTATCGACGTCGTCGACTGCTCAAACTAAATTGAGCATCACTCAAATTTCTTGATTGAATCTACCTGGGTCGATTCCGTCTCTGTTGTGGCTTGACGACGGAGGTGAATTTCTTGGTTACTGTTGTTTCCTACTTGTCCATTTGCGAGCTATAAATCTGTTTTAATAATGTCTTCTTCGGCACTCTACCTGTGAGCTACTACTGGAACGCAAGCCACCAATCTCCACTTCGGCTAGTAGCTTTTTCCTCGTCCGGTGTCTATGAATTATGCTCACGGTCATGATCGCTTCCTCGAGCTCTGTAAGTTTTATTCGGTCGTAAACAATCGTTTGCCGCCAGATTGGATTACAGTCGCTTCGTATTCTTTCTGTTTTCCCAGTTTTTCGTCCGTACTTTGGATGGCTCACTGAAGCCCGGACGTAAGCAGAAGGTTCTTTTTCGTTGACAAGTGGGAGGTTTCTCGCGGCTTCGATGTAGATTTCCAATTCTGCGGGTTTCACCTGAACCACTTTTTAACCAATTAGATCAGGTTCAATCTAACCTGATTGCCATTCCCCGGCAAGCCAGATCGAATAGAATACTCTTGTGGCGCTGGTTTGACGCGAATAGCCAATTTTAACTTGACGATATTTGGTGTTGAATTGTATGATAGTGAGCTGTCAGTGTCGAATTCAGATGCCATGTTTAAATGCGACAGTTTCATCGAAGACGAGTCCGTGAGTGAGTTCGTGGTCCATCTACTCCCCGGCCTAGACTGATGAAAGGATGGAAAATTAAAGAACGTCTATTCAAGCGAATATAAATGGGCTCGCGAATAAGAAAATGGGTTTCCAATCGTCGCGAAAGCCGACCCGAGCAAGGGTCGATTATTTATTAATTTCATCCCATAACAAAGCTTGGTGTCTGCTGAATTGGCGCGGGTGACGCTTATGCACATTGATATCATCTTCTGATGGTGAACTTGTCCCTCGGATCATCGACCTAGAAGATTTCATACACTGACGCACTTTGCAGACATATTCAGTACCGTGGTGAATTCGAAGCCATCAATCCGGGATCGAGCTCCATATCTATTGAATTTTGATGAGCTAAAAGGGTCGAAGATGTCGCCGAAAGTCCCTCGGATAAGATGGGGGATTGGTTAGACAGACGAACTTTTGGCGCGCTTCCTTGTCGATGATCTGCTGGTAAATTGACGATTTCTTCCGGACGGTAAGGATTTTGGGTTAGATCTATGGATCCTCGACCGGCAGGCAAGCTCATGTTCTGGGTCTGAAAAAGTTCATATCATTACCTCCAAGTGCTATCTCGTTTTCATACCGGTGCAGGCGGTCGCTGCCTATATCCAGGTAAACTACTGGTATAATGATGTTTCATCGGTCCTTGATGCGGGTTGTTAGGGGTAGAGTTTTGCATCGTTGGAAGACGCTGGCCAATACGCGTCTCGTTGTTGCTGTTCATCGCACTTTCGTCAACCGTTAATTGACGGCTGAGACGTCGTTTAGGCGTAGAGTTTTCTGATGACGAATTTCGCGTGATTTTCAACGGACGAACTTCGTTAAGGAGATCGATCTGTGCTGTACTTTTCTACTCATAAATTATTCAGCGGTTAATGCGAGCATGCTTTTTATGGTCCAAAGAAACCCCTTTCCTTGTCGTGTGATTACGTTGATAGAAACTGGCTCGGTGAAGATATCGTTCGTGTATTCTTGCTTGTTTCGCTGGTAAACTTCTTTTGCTGAGCTCTGGTTTTGCTGCGTTGATACGGTCTTTCGAGGAACAGGCGTTGGTGGTAGCAATTCTCCATCTTAATTTGTGTTCAAAACCGGATTAAATATGCAAAAGAAAGCAAAAAACTTTTTGTCAGAACAGCATCCCCCTCTGGAGTTTTAAATAATCCCTTAAAGAATCGATAATGTTAGTAATATAAAACGTACCATCACATGTTTGAGGCACTGTAGCATAAATAACCATCTTTGGCTCCCAAACATCCACAGATTTTGATCTTCTAAGATTAGTTTCAAATCAAAATGGTACATTCATACCTTGAACTTGCTGAAGTTTTTCGACTAAGCGATCTTGATCGAGGTTTTGGAATTGGTCTTGCTTGGATGTTTTGCGAGTCGCCATCTTCACTTTGTTTGCTTCCATTTTGACTCATTACTGTAAGCCTTGTATGATTACTGACAGATGAGACAGATGATTCCAATGTAGAACTTTTCAAGCTCTCGAGCTTTTTCGCCGGTGAACTTTGAAAAGCTTCCATTGGGGCAGGAACTTGAACTTGAAAGTCATCAGCTGTTAGAGTTTCCGTCGAGCGCATTCGTAATCTTTCTCTGACTGACGCTGCAGAAGAAATTTTCGCAGGAGACCTCATCGAGCTTGCTCTTCCTGCGGTTACTATCTTCGGCTTTGCTGCAACAGACTGACTCGGCACATGATTCGGATTTATCACAGAAAATACTTGACTGTTGTTGTTGCTTGCAGAGGTTGCTGAAAAACGAAAATATAGATTTTATTTCAATAAAGATCAATTTAAAATCTCATCTTTCTTATCGGTTCGAGCGAGAGTAGTCGCTGAGCTCGTGGAGCCGCAATTTTGGTCCCATGGCGAGCTTCATTTAACGCAAATTTATATTCATCTAATAGGACTAAGAGACAGAAACCATGAATTATCGGAGAAACACGGGACATGGGAAATGTTTAAAATAATGAAGAATGGTTGAAATGTTTCCTAAATTTTTTTAATTAAATTTTTACAAATCATTTTCTTGAAGAATTGTGCCTCTCTAGGGACTAAATAAAACTATATTACTGCCATTTATCTTGTTTGCCATTTACAGAATAACAATTACTTACGGGGCATGGTTGAATTAGAACTATCGTCTGCTGAAACAATGGGCAAGCCGCTGTATGAGTCCTGCGAGCTGAGGCTGCTAACTTTTCCGACGCGTATGCTTTCATTAGTTCGTATCTTCTACGCAAAGAAGGTTTAAAAATCCGCTCATATCATATCATTGATAACTTGTACCTTGTCCCGTTGAAGGACCTTCTTTATGTTTTCTATTTCTTCTGCTGATAAGCCTACCAGAGCATTAGAAATGTCGGCCGTGTTCATGGTAATCTCTGGAGCGTCATTTTTGCGGAAGCCACATTGTGGTGGGGCGGAGAGAAGGCTCCCCCCTCGGGCGCCATCAGCGGCCACACAATCGATAAAGGACCAGCATTCGAGCCATTCAATTCCCAGTTCTTATTAATACTTAAACTATCACTTATCTACATCCACTAACTCTTGAATTATTGTTCTTCCGACTCGACCAAAAATCCCCTTCAGCTTTCCTCTTCGATTATTCAATTTAGTTTGATTCCTCGCAATCGTGGATAAAACATATTTCTTTCTGCTTTCGCTGGTCTTTTTAACAGTGTTTTCCTTTTCAAACATAAAAAGTAAGTAATAAACAATTCGACGATGTTTCTATAGAATTCTTGAGCAATATATTGGTTTATTTGGCAGTTATAAACAAGATTAACCTAATCATAAGGTCCTAATGGCATATGCTCGGCTTCGGGTTAAACCAGGACAAGACGTACACAAACGTACTCTTCTCATTCTTCAGTGTTAGGAAATCATCGACAGACTCGATTTTTGACTTTGTCTTCGATGCCTGGCTTCTATAAAGTTTGAGGCCGGCGTTTTCAAGTCCTAAAAATTGCAATCAACAACGATTTCAGTCAGACATTAAAAACAGACAGTAGCCCTGACTATATCTATTTGCGCTTACCTTTGAGCATGCTGAAAGTACTCCGAACCTCGTCCGCGTCATCAATCGGGCCAAAGAAGTGAAGTTCGAAAACCAGATGTCGAACGCATCTAATAAAATATGCAAGAACCATAAAATAGACAGCTCTCTAAGATCAAATGAAGCCTTTTTTAGAAATCTTACGCATAGGTTCCATCCTCAAGCAAATTTCTTAAAACAGCTGGTTCATAGGCTTTTCTAGGTCCTTCGCGGTCGATTTTTACCACATCGATGATTCTATCAGTATGGCCTGAAAACATACAGTAAGGCAGTGAATACGCAATCTTGAGAATCTACAATCCGTCAGTTGTAAATGACATTTCTTAGTTAACGAATAAGTCGGCTTACCAAGTTCTCGCATGAGTCCCCAGAGAGTGCGCATAGGCTGCGTTCGAATCTTGTCAAGTTTACCGTCACCATATCTACTCCGATATTTATAATCACGCTTGCCCGGCTGCAAGACATCATCCGCTAAATATTTTATGCTCGCGTGTCGATAAAAACGATAAATTTAATTAAGCTAATCGTACCATTTTTGTTTCCGATTCCGATCTTCCGGAACTCCACTCCAGAATCTTTCGTGCCGTCTTCTTCGTCGTACATGTTCGGATCGAAGGCATAAACCTTACATTGTTCCATGCGAACCATTTCTTCGTCGAATTTCCAGTTGTCATCAACTCCGAAGGAATAGACAAGACAGCCCTTTTCGGGGTCAGGAGTCCAGAACTTCGATCTGTCAAAACAAAGAGGATATGAAAAATCCATGAAGTATTTCTTGTCTGTGCCGATAAATTTTATATTATCTTGCGTACACCTGAGAAAAAAGGCTCTAAAGTAGAACGATCGTTAGAAATTCCAGATTATCGAATTACGACAAAAATAATTTTAGAGCCTCTCCTGTACTCGGTATTTATATGAGTAATGAAACTATACAATCGTCGAAGCTCATCAACAAGGCTTCCTGAGCCAGCCAAGTCCGCCAGGTCAAATCCCAACGACGGTCCTTCTTCATTCAGGTCCATGGCATGCGCAGGCTCAAAGTTATTCTCGCTTTCTTCTGAGCTTTTTTGAGCTTGAGCTTCTGGAACTTCCGCGGGTTTTTCTTCTACAGCGTCGTATTGAACTGCGACTTCTTCATTGACACCTTCGTCGGCAAAGACCTTCGAATCATCAGCTTCATGATCATGATCGTGCTCGTCTCCAAGACCCAGATGATCATGCTCGTGTAATAACTCGTGCGCTTTTTCGATGAATTTCAGCGTTTCCATCGCTTCTTTTTCTTCCTCGTCAAGCTCGTCCCAATGCTCTAGTTGGTAAAGCATTTTGTGGGTCTCCACTAGTTTCTGAAAAAAATTGTCTGAAGTACATCACATTTATAGATCACAAAATCGGCCTCGATGATGAATTATTCAAAAATATTTTTTTTCTTTTAATTTTTTGATAAAAAAGAAAAATTTTATTTTACCTTGACATTGAGTAAAGTCGTCGTCGCAACAACACAGATGATCAAAAAGTACATGCAGCATCTTTTCTTGTTAAGAATACCCATTCTCTACTCTTCAACAATTTATTTTAGCTACCGAGTCATGTGGGGTCGAAAATTCTAGTGCACTATTTTTTATCTTATTTTGTTGAGTTTTGCACCGGGCTCTAGGTGGAATGATCCTGCCTTGGGCACTCCATCGACCGTAAAATCTGCTTTTACTGGCTTCGATATGATTATTAGGCAAAGTCGGGTTGTCAAACTCATCATTTTCTGGTTAACCGTTACTTCCAAGTTAGATGAATCATTCTTATTTTATGAAATTGATTAAATATAGCCATAAAAGGTTTATCCCAAGGTCCGCCCGCGGGGTGCGTCAGTGGCCTTGAAAAATTTAGCGCGCGGAGCTGGGAGTCGACTCCTCCACCAAAAAAACATTGACTAAGAATGAAAATACTACTGCAGCTACTTTTGGGCACTTGCCTGGCTAATCTAGAGCCGTTGTTCTTTGACTTGAACGGCCGAGAGACACGATGTTTCATTGAAGAGATGCCTAACGAGACGATGATGACAGGAAAATACCATGCAAAGGAAAATGGTTTTTCTATAAAATAATAATCGAGATTTTTGCTAGCAAATTCAGAGTTATAAGACCATAAAAAGATCGTAACAACAGCCACGGGAATGATTTCGGAAACAACTCCTGGTTTGGGAATGCACGTAAAAGTCACCGATCCCGAAGGAAAAGTGATAATGGACAAAAACTACGGCTCGAAGGGAAAATTTGCTTTCACAACTCATACTCCTGGAAGTCATAAAATGTGCATTAGGTAAGTATTTTCTTATCTTCTTCGCTAAAAATGAATAATTCTAGTTCGAATACGACGAAATGGACCGAGGAGCATGGAGCTTATGGAGCGCAGAGGTTGAGGATTGATATTCAGTTCCACATAGGAGAAGATCGACAGTATTACAAGGTTTTTCAGGGGGAAAAATCAAGTCTAATCGTCCATTTAGCGAGTGGCTAAAGACGATAAATTATCCGAGCTTCAACTTCACGTCGTAAAACTTGCCGATCAACTTTCCCAAATCTCCAAAGAGCAGGATTTCCAGGTAGCTCGATCGCTTCTATCAATCGCTCACCCGATTTCTAGCGCTACCGAGAAGAAGGTTTCCGAAAAATCAGCGAAATCCTCAACTCGCGCGTTCTCTGGTGGGCTGTCATCCAAATAATGCTCGTCGTCTGCGTCGGTCTTTGGCAAACGACTCACATGCGCGGCTTCTTCCTCAAGAAAAAACTTGTTTAATTTACTATTTGCCAATCTGCCTGAATATCAATATTACATACTAAATATTACTGTAGCTGTTATTAGAATAAATTTTTATTTGAATTAAACATTTATAAATTATAATGTAAATAGAAGATCGTCGAAGAAATTAAGCCGGGATTGAAGCTCGTGATTGACTTTGATTTGGCCATCGTCGTGTGCTTGTAATTCTTTATCTTCGGCTGATGATAGGAATAACATTTCATATATAAAAGTATATCTTCGCCGGTCCTTCATTGTGTTGAGCAACTCTGCAGCGTCTTATGTTCATCAAATGAGATCTGAGCTCGGTGTATCTTCTTCGGTACTCCTTCCTGATCCCATTCGTATCTTATTGTAGCAGTTAATCTTTACTGCATGTCGTACCTTTCATATCCAAGATAACTTTCTCGATTTGAAACAGTAAATCTGTCAAATTTCGCTGAATAATATCGTCTGTGTAAGTGTTTTCATCAAGAATATCTGTCTCGAGGAGAATTGATCTAAAAATATTTCTTCGAAGGAAGTCTCCTTTTCCTACCTCAATCGAATAATTTGGTTTGAAAGGTACTCGTATTCTTGTCTGAGCGTTATTCCCGGTCCACACGGAGGCCTGTGAGATTTACAGTCAGAAGTTCTGATCGCATAACTAAAACTTGGATCCATCGTTTTTTTCGAAATTATTTTTTCTCTAATTGAAATTGAAGCTGAATGCTCTTCAGTTTGCAACTTGTGGCCACGAATGGTCAAAGGTTGAAATTCTTTATATAGCTCACTTCCTTATTTGGATTATTAATTTGAACATCTTTCAAAGAGAGACTTTTTATCTCCTCAAATTAATTGATATAAATAAAAGATTCGATAGATAAATTGATGAACCGATGTTTACGAATGTAATTTTGACTACCGTCAAATTTTTGGGAGAATTGACTATGATTGTGGTTTTTTCCTGCGAAGCTGCAAGGAATCCCGTTGGCTTTCCAATTCCCGCCGCGATGTCGGATGTTGCCTTCACAGATCGAGCAAATTGCTGAAGTTGCTGAATCAGATCAAAGCGCCGCCTTCATCAGCCGCCTGATAATCCTCCTCTTTTACCCCATCAAAACTATTCACTCCCGCAGTTACTCAGAGCTTCGCACCGACGAAGCAGCAAAAACCAAATTTAAAAACCGACAGAGATTCTTGCAAAAATGATGTTGCAGGGGGCTTTTTACAACAGATTTGATCCTACAGATTTATTCACGAGAGGTATGAACATGATTACGTCTAAAATGAGATTTTCGGAAGCTGGTTGATAGTTTTGAAACTTTTCTATGAAAAAATTCATTAACAAATTTAGGAATTTTTTACGGGGACGCTCGTCTAAATTACCAAAGATTTTTGGTAATGCATTACCAAAAATTGGTAATTCATTACTAAATTTTTTCAACAATTGCAATTTTTTTGCTCAATAAATACCACGTACGTAAATCACTTCAAAATGTATCCTACCAGACAGGCGCGGAGCGCACACAGGCTGTCTGACCTAGGAAAATCGGCCATTTTTGGGAAGTTTGGTAATGCATTACCAAAAATTGGTAATGCATTACCAAAAATTGGTAATGGATTACCAAAATTGGTAATGCATTACCAATTGGTAATTTTGACGAGCGTTTCCCATTTTTTAATAGAAAACAATTTTATTATTAAAAAATATCTTTTCAAAATTTGATGGTGCCAAAAGACACCTGGAAAGATCTGAAAGTCAAGGATTTTTTTCTATTTCTAAACTTGATCAAAGCAGACAGGTTCGTTTTTGCCTGGCTGCTTCGGTTTACTAATTGTTGAAAAGGCCCGTCCCGCCCCTCTTGCATGTTCACTGGGCCAGTACGCTTTTTCGTACCTGGCGCCAGAGCTTGATTTTTTTGCGTGGCGGCGCTGTTTCCCTCTTATCAATCTAGAGATAGGTACCATTTTAGTAATAACCAAGTTGAAATTCTTCGGTTGCAAAGAGAAAAAAAAATTTCTAGGCTTTGAACGAGTTCCACAGAGATTTACTGGCAAATATAACAGTCACAGTATGAGTGCTGATTTGAAGAATAAGGACGACGATAACGGAATGGCTCAGAAAGTACTACATTTATAATTGATTTCTCACCATCTGCTTTCTATGAGATTCTAAATTGTTCCTCAATTTTAGCACTAGAATTTTATTCTTGAAGCAGAAAGTTTATTTCTGAGCCATTTAGAAGAGGATGAGGGAGTCTGGGCCCCAGATATCGAAAACGCTTTCCAAGACGCTCTACGAATCTACCCACCATGCGGTCGAAGAAAAATCATACTTTCTGATGAAGGAAAGATGTACGGTAAGTTTTGATAATTAAAAAATGAGTGACTGTTTGCGCAACGAAAAGTCCGGGGCAGGTACTTGGCGGGGAGGGTCGGAATGTTCCCGGAATGGCACAGGAATTCGTTAAGAGTGTGGTGCTACATTCCTTGCACCACCGCAATCGCCAGCGAACCCCTCCGCAATTTCGCTTCAAACGGACGCTCCGCTTTGGACTAAACCCCGTTCAACCTTTTTTCTTTCTTTCCGAACTTCATACAGTACCAAAGTACATTTTATATTTCCAAAACAAATCGGATAATTAGCCAATCTCAGAAGATCGCCGATTTCGTAAACAGCGAAAATCAGCGGCGCGTGTTCGTGTCAGTAATCAATCAAAGATTTGGAATCTCTGTTTGACACGGAAACCGTAAACAACTTTTTCACACCCAAACTAACCATCGATTTTTTAGGTCGAAATGAGCTTATCGCGAGATATATTTACATGACAACTGGGAAACGACGGACAAGAAAGCAGGTTTCTTCTCACATACAGGTAAAATCTAAAGACATTTGGAAACAAAAAATGAATTTGTTGAAAGACCGATTGCTCAAGTTTCTTTTCAAGGTGCTTCATCGGAGACAACTTCGGGAGCAACACGCGGGACTTAAAAACTCTTCCGGAATCACAAACGCATTCAACTGGGGCAACCTAGCCGGTTATCCTTTTGTATGGCCGAAGCATCCTTCCAACGAGTAAGTATAATTCCATCTCATTTGCATGCACCGGAGCCGCTACAAATGATCCCGTTTGTTTTACAAATTGCATTCTTTCCATTCAATCAACATTTCTTTTCCTAGCGTTGGAGGCTTGAAATACCCGCCGAATCTGGCCGACTATGGGATGCTGGGAGCTCAGACGCCGCCGTCCCGGAAAATTGGCTCTTCCCGTCTCAAGATTGGCGAAATTAAAATGATGACATCGAAATTTGGTGAAAATGAGATGGAGTTTGGTGGCGAACAAACCAAGGATCACGTGCTGCTAAATTTCGACGCGAATGTTCTTCCTGAACAATTGGAATCGGTTGAGTTGAAGGTATAAATAAGCATAATTGCATCATGAACAGAAATCATTCTCAAACACCCAGGCTTTTTTTTTTATTAAAATTGCTTCAGATCGTCTCCGATTTGCTTCCCGAAACCAACCCCAAAGAAGCTCTGGACAAGTTGTACCTTGAAGCAACTCCTGATAGCATGTTCCTGATCAAATTCTGGGCTGACCTAGAACTTCCACCTGCTCAAAAAGACTCCCGCAAATTCAAATTCCTCAAAGTACAAATATCTAAACAAGCATTTTTTTCTTAATACTAATTTGTAGCACTTTGAATCCCCTGAGCTGTGTTTGCAAACTCTTCAAGTCACAACAAAAGTCTGGTCACATGAGAAATTGATGCTTAGAAAGACAGAGGTAAACTATTTCATTTTATTTTCTTATCAGCGGAATATGAATTTGATTAAAACTTGTTCGTAGTTGATGATGGGAAGACCAGAAGGAACAGCCAATGCATTCAAAAATGACTCTACTTCCGTCTGCGCATTTCTCAAGAAGTTTATGGAAAGAGTTCTGACTCTCCCCGATCAGACATCAAAGAAAAACGTACTTGAGGACTTATGGGTTTTGATGACAGTGCGCGATACAAAATCACAGGTAATCACAATGAAAACATAGAAGAGAATCTATATCCTCTTTAGGAACTGATCCTGACGCTTTGCCTCTGCTTTGATGTCTCGCAGACAGGCCACACTGGAACGACCATGTACCAGATCAAAGACATGAACCACTTGAAACAAGAACTTCCCGATATGCACTGAAAAGAACCTTCCCGAGAATAAAAAAATAACGACTCATCAAATACTGCTTGCGTGTATTTATTCTTTTTGGCACCATTTTCTGAAGAAGTAGCAGAGCTATAAGTTTGTGTTATACTAAATAAGCTAGTCTAGTGAAGTGAAATTTTCTCCGTAGCCAAACATTTCCATCTCTTCTGATTTTAGAGCAAGGAGAGCTTGGTATTGCTCGGGAGTTAGTCGATCCAGGACCTCTTGATACTCGAGTCCGATACTCTTGTTCTCTATAATTGAGCTTGAGATAAATGAAAATATGGTTGAATTACCGGTAGATCCAGCAGCTTCCTTGGCCTTATCGACCATTTGCTCCCAGACTCCGTGTTTTCTGAGGACGAATTGGAAGTCTTCCGCAAAAGTCTCAACCTTGATAATGTACTTGTATGGGATCCCACAGGGGTGGCATGCTCTTTTGTACGAATGGAAGTGAATGTCGAAATCGAAATAGTCGTCAACAAAGAAGTTGTTTTCAAGGATAACGTCTACCCAGTCTTCGAACGGGGTCATCCTTAATTTTTGCTAGATATTGAGTAATCATAGCTTCATTGGTACCTGATGGTTTCGGTATGCTTTGGACTGTAAGGTGGATGCTGATTTCGTTGATAGATACTCTGAAGTCGACTTATGACTGTTTTAGAGTATCGAACTCGATCGGCATTTCGGCAGTTTTCATTGCACAAAATATTATTCCAGCCAGAAACAAGCCTCGACAGCGGATGGCGAACTTGAAGAAACAGGAGCTCTGGCTTCTTTGAAGCCAATTCTCGCCCCCAATTCATTCGATGCCTGTTGCCTTGAGTTTGGAAAGAATCGAATTTTCTGCTCTTATCATCCGGCGAAGTATTCCACCACCATTTATTCCAGGTTGTGCTGCCAGTTTTTGGAGGGATGCAACCATAGACATCCACGTTGTATTCGTGCATTATGTGATTCAGGAGCATATTTTCTCTTGGTTTGTCCTTAAAAGGATTGAATGCAAAAATGTCAATGATTTTTTACCTTGAAGGTCGGAAGTTGTCTAATTTGATCAAAAGTTTCGACCGGCTCAATGCCATTTTTTCTGCAGGTTGAAGAGAGTAACTCGCGTCGTTTGAGAAACCTTTTTTCGATTCTTTCCATGGCTTCATCTGTCAGAAGTCCTAGGAATTAATTATTGTCAAACGCATTCAAACGGAAAATGATCGGCGAAGTTCAAGATTTTTACCATTTTCAAATGAGCTTTTCTCTTCATTTACGACTTTTTCATTTGTTTCCTCGATAACTGGTGGTTCTTCTTGATTCTCTATTTCAAATATTTCTGGCTCTTTGTCTCTTCTCTTGACCAATTTGGCTTCTTCGTTTTCATCAACGAATTCGTGGTGATTTAACAATATGAAATAGAACCAAATCGTGAAGATAAGGAAGCATGCAGTAGGTACAATTTTCCAACGAGGCATCACGAGGTTTTCATAAGATTATTTGTAGGTGATTAGTTTTGGAAGGTCCAGCGCGATTTCTCCCTATGTTCCCGTGGTGTTGCCTGCGGGGCAGTCAATTCTACGTTACTGAGCTTTCTCTTGAATGGTTTTTTTGTGAAAAAACGAGAAACACTTCCGTTTTGTGTTCTCTCAACGTCCTTTATTTGGTTGAACTTTTTCGTATTGTTCTATTACTCGATAAGGAAGTGCAAAGCCGTTCCTTTGAAATCTGACTTGTTGAAGAATTGGAATTTTCGATTTTCTTTTTCACCCTCTAAATATGCACCCTGTTATCGATTGCCAATGATTTCTCCAGCGGTCAATTTCAAGCAACAGCGGGAATTCTCGCTCTCTCGTCAGTTTCTTATTTTCACGCCTCTCGCTGTCTTCGGGTTTTAGGAAAGACAATTGCAGGAGCTGTAAAAATTCATGAGCACAAAGGCCAATTTGACTATTAATTCTCTCTGATTTCCGCTTGAAATTCCGCCGCTCAGGTCTGCGACAGAGACCTGTGGATTGAAAATTGTTAGAAAGCTGTATCCTTTTGTTAGGCTTAATTTCTCGATGAGCCCTTATTGTACTCAAAAAGGGCGCTCAACGTCGCTACTTGAGTTGATTCGCTAGCAGAGCTCTTTTTCTCTCCAAATGATACGTGCAAATGATATTTAGACCCCTGATACGTGGATTAGATATAAATTCATTTAGCAGATCATTCAAACGCAATAGAGGCAAATAACATCTTTAAATTTCTCACCCTGAGTTGATTTTTGCGGGAAAGTCTTAGTTTATTTTGTCTATCTCTTTTTCTTAGTTGTTTCTTTTAAATGCAAGACATAAAAAAGGTATTCAAATTAAACCCAAACACTCTAGAGATGAAGTGGATGAGAAAATTGGTTACAGAATTGATACCGTCAATTTTTGCTCTCTCGTGGTGTTTATCAGCATGAGAATACACATTAAAGTTGCGATGAGAACAGAAACTATTTATTTCAATGTTTTTGCATGTTCAGCGATCAAAAAAATCTTCCATTGCATTTATCGCCTTCTTGGCAATATGCGTAGCAATAGCTCCAACCAGGCAAGCAATTGAACTAAAGTAACATCATTCAAAGTATCAATATTCAGTTTACCGGAGAGGGATCACCCCAAGATACAATTCTGCGCTCTGCTGAGGAGAGATGCGCAATCGTTCCGTCCTTTTTTCTTGCGTATCCCCAAGATTCTGTCACTCCACATTCTCTATGCTCCGTAGTGATGCTTTCAACGATACTAGAATCGTTCAAAATCACACAATTTTCATTTCCCTCGACGCTTTCGAGAACTCCAGCATCGTTTACAAGTACTTCTTGGCAGACAAAACAACTTTCAGGCGGTGATTTTTCTTCATTTTCTTTGTTTTTCGATGCGAAATTCTCTTCATCAAACAATTCTGTGGCTGGAAAAGCTTCCAAAATTTCCCAGCCGCTGATGTTGTTGCAATAATTTTCTGCACATGGAACCTGTCTTCTATCAAACGCACTTTCGCCAGTAGCCACAAGGTCGTAATTACTGTATCGATCAATAACTTCATCTTGGGAGTAGAAATAGTTTGAGCGGGTGCGCTCCAGATTCCAAACTTCGTACCAGTTGTTTCGATATAGCACGCTTTAATCATTAATTATTGCTTTACTAAGATTAAACAGACCTTTGACGATCCATTTGAGTCGCGCAATTGTAGTCAACTATTGGTAGAGCGATAGAATCTTCTGTGATTTCCATGCAGTCAGTATTTTGAACAAGCTCGTCACCTGAAAACATTGGGTTGAAATTCAGATTAAAGTTGAGCCAACCTGAAAAAGTAGCTTTGCAAACATGACACCACTGTAGCTGCCGATTTGAAGTCTCTTTCTTTAGGTCAAAATGTTTTTGCTCGCCTTGGATAGGAGTTTTCTTTTGATGGATATCAATGATATCATGGGTGGAAAAAATATAAATTTAACGAAATTACAAAATCTTTTCTCTCTAAATATTTTCAAACTTTGAATAGAGGTCTTGAAAGAACAGGCCAAGCTTCATATTCTCCGAGGAAAAAAATTGAAATTTAAAAGTTCTAGAGCTGTCTAAGGGCAATTGAAGTACATTTCTACTGACGGCTCTAGCGTAAAAAATATTCAATGTAACATCATAATTTTGACGGAAATATATTCTTGGGCATCTGAAGTAAGACGCCAGCTATTTTTTATTTCATTTTGATAACGCGATTCTGCTCTTATCAGCGATCAAAGTCAGACGAAAATTTTGATGAGACGGGGAGCGCGGCAGTGACAATGCGGCATGGTGACGCTGTGGCGCACCCTACCCACGCACGAATGAAAATCTCGTTCAAGCATTTTCCTGTCAAGCGTCAGGTTAGGGTGGGCAACAGCGCCACTACGCTGTCTAGTCACCGCCGCGCTCATCGCCACATCGAATTTTTCACCTAACTTTGATTGCTGATAAACCGGTGATAAACTGATCAGAATGGACAAAAAAATAGCTGGCGCCCTAGTTCAGAGTCTCGAGAATATATTTCCGTCAAAAATTGGAGTCCCTAATGGGTACTTTTTGCACAATCGCTGTCAGCAGAAAATTACTTCAATTGCTTCTAGACGGCAAAAAAACTTTTCGATTTTTGATCTTTTTCTTGGAAAATATAGAACTGGACCTACTCTATCAGCTTATCCAGTCAGATTTTGAAAATGTTCACGGAGAAAAGATTTTGTAATTTCGTGAAATTTATATTTATTTCACCCCATATCATGGAGAACTATTTTAGGTATTGTTGTTTTTGAACGCGGAAATCGTCCATCATCAGGGTATCCATCGTAGCCAGAGTGGTTGCATAAGTCATCCTCGCAATCAAACACGCATAAGCTATCATCCATCGAGCAAGTCTTCAATAGAAAATCGTTGTCAACTTCGAATTTTGAGGTCACTCTCAGAGTCATCTTAACATCCCATCGGTGGACGCTGTTTTTCATATCGTGGTACGGAACTTCTGAGTAAGGAATATCAAAAATACTTCGTCGGATTTCGATTGTTCCGCACGTTTCTCCAAAGCCAGTTTCAGTTCTTTCATTTGTTGTTTCGCAGTTTTCGCCAAAAAGATGCATTTCTCCTGTGCCAGCATTTTCCAAAGAAATCCAATTGCACAAGTAACACTCCACTAGTTCGGCAGTTTCATTAGTAGTCACAAGTCGACCATGATCGTATAAATCTAAAGCTTCCTTTTGCAGAAACTTTTGCCACACTTCAAGTGTATCCAGAGTAATCGAAAAGACGCAAGGGAGAAGTAGAATTTCTCTCATTTGAAGCGTTACTCCTTGACATCGGCCATATTTAATATTCCCACCGTTACTGAAAAATGAATTTGGCGTTATAAACTTTACAAAACTACGGCATCTTACTTGTCTGCTTTCAATGTTCTTCAACCGTATTTAATAAATCATGAAAATAAACAAAACATATAGAGAATGTTAATAATTTTGATTTTCAATGAATCAATAATCATTGTTATCAAAATTGACCATTTTTTGCATGCTGTCTCCTAAAAATGATTTTTTTTTTTCGAGCTACGAGCGAGGGTCGTCATGGCTACAGATAGAAAAGTGAGTAAACGGTCGAGGAGATTCCAAAAGGAAAATTTCCGCCCTGAAAAATGTCGAGAAAGAAAGAGATTGTTCTTCAAGAGGAACTCACGAATCAAGAAGAATGGGATGCATTTCTTGGCAAACCTGGATTGACTGTCATTGATTGTTTTCAAAACTGGTGTGGGCAGCGGTTTAAAAATATGATTTTTTCTCGAGGAATGAGTTAATTTTCGAAACCTATAAAAGACCATGCAAAGGAATGGCCGGCCTCTTTCAGCGACTCAAAGTCGAGTTTAGCAGTCCATTGCTTCATTTTGCCACTGCGGAGTGCGAATCCATAGACTCTTTGGAGAATTACCGAGGAAATTGCGAGCCTTGCTTTCATTTTTACGGCGGTGGAGAGCTCGTGGCTCTGATTAGAGGATGCAACGCGCCAGTTGTCGAGAGAAAGATTCGGGAAATGCATCAGGTTTTGATTTTCACTCTGCAGTTTTTTTATTTCGTTCAAGATTGAAACAGCAGTAGCAGCAGGAGAAGCAGAACGAACCGTCATTGTTGATCCAGCTCTTGCCGTCGATTCTGAAGACAATGAAGGCTTGCTCTCATCTGAAAATGAAAATTCTACTGTTCAGTCGATGAAGAAAATCGTCACTGTCGGCATTTTGAAACCAGACGTCGTTAGTGACCAGAACAAGACCGGAAAGATTCTGGACATGATCGAGCAAAATGGAATTGAAATCGTCGCAGATGAGGAGAAAATTTTGAATGCTGATGATGTTGCCTCTCTTTATGTGAGTCTTTTTTTCTTGATATCGAGTAATAATTTGTTTTAGCCGCAAAAAGTAGATACAGAAGTTTATGACGAACTGGTATCCTTCATGACTTCCGGGCCTATTCGCGTTCTTGGGCTGACTAAGGGAGATACGGGCGATGGAGTTGTTGATCTCTGGCGAACCATCATCGGGCCTTTCGAACCAGAAGAGGCCAAGTCAACAAGTCCTGAATCTATCCGAGCTATGTTTGGATCAAGGTACATAAAATCTGCATAATTACAAATCATTTTAATTTTCAGTGGTATTTCCAATGCCGTTCACGGTAGTTCCTCGACTGACGAAGCTGCTCGTGAACTTGCGTTTTTCTTCCCGACATTCAACTACCCCAAGGCTGTGATTCCTCAATCTGTGCAAGAAAAAATGGCAGACTTCCTTCCAGCTGAGGGCGAAGAAGTGTTCCCAGAGCCCAAAGCCGAAACAACAATAACCATTATTCGTCCAGAAGCCGCGAAACTTCACCGGGAGGAAATTTTGAAAGAGATCAAAGGTAAGGCATGATTGAAATCAACGAAGAGAATAGTTTTTTGAAGAAGCTGGCTTTGAAATTGCAAGACAATCCGAAGTTACGTTGACAGAGGAGCAGGTCAAGATGCTTTACGATTCCAAAAAAGATGAAGAGTACTTCGACGAGCTTGTTGCCCAGATGACCGCTGGTCCTTGCCTAGTGCTTTGCTTGGCCAAGGTAGCCGATTTTTTAAAGCTCAATTTCTGATTTTCCAAAGATCGATGCTATCAAAAACTGGCGAGAGTACCTTGGTCCTGCCAAAGGAGCGGCAGAAGAAGCTCCGGAAAGTTTCCGCGCTCGATTCCAATCATCCGAAATTAATCCGATTCACGCAGCCGACTCTCAAGAAAGTGTCCAAGCAGAAAGGTCGATAATCTTTCCAGACGACGAGGATGCCATTGCACTGATCAAGCCTGATGCTTTTGACCAGGTAATGAAGTCAAAGAGTACTGACAAAGAAGCTTTCTTATAGGCCGATGATATTGTGGAACATTTGAAAAAGAGCGGGTTCGAAGTAAAACAGTCAAAAGATGTGACTCTTTCAAAGGTACAAAAAAACAATTTAAGCGCCAACGAAAACAAGCGGGTTCTTCTTAAAAAATACCTTCAGGAAGTCGCGTCTAAAATCTACAACGGAAAGGAAGGCGAAGAGTTCTTCGATAATCTCGTTAATCACATGACGGAAGGCACGTGCAAAGTCCTCGTTCTCGCGGATCGTAATTCTCTCGAAAAATTGAGGTGAGATTAGAAGCAAACTCGCTGACGCAATCGCTAACCCATTTCTTTCTAGAGCTACTGTAGGACCTACTGATCCGGAGGAAGCGAAAAAAGTTGCTGAGGAATCTATCCGGGCGAATTTTGCTAAGTCGATCCTCGAAAACGGTACTGATCTAATCGATTCCGGCTTTATCAAAAATTCTAGCGATTCACACACCCTCCTCGACCGAAAATCTCGACATGTACTACGAACTCTTACTGAGCTAAAACTTCTGTTCGTTTTTCCAGCGCCAAGATACTGTATTTATACATTATGTTCAACCTATATTTTTCTATCAAAACAATAAAGATCGCATAAAAAGATGATCCCGAAGTTTTGGCGACGTTGGGCAATGAGTTTTGCTCATCGATCAAGGGACGGATCACATCCTGAAAATAGACAGCAGGAGAGGAGAGTTTGTGATGCTTCTCTTCCCATCATCAAAACACACATTTATTATTTATGGAAGTCGCTGGCATTGATTGAGCTCCTTGAGAACATTTTGAAAATGTCCTTGTTTCCGGGTCAAAGAAAAATAAAGACACAAATAGAATTGAAGAAACAATCAACCTCTAACATTCTTTATTGGCCAGGCCGAAAGACTATAGGTAAAAGTCTATACATGTGAGACTGATATCCTAACCCTAACCATTGAACCCTTTACCCCGACAAAATCTTCCCACAACTCAAAATTTTTTGAATTTAATGAAGAAACTATTACTAAAGCAGTAAATTTAATATTTATTTCATTCATTCTAAACTAAAAGATCAATATTTGTTTGTCACTATCCCTCCCAATTAATTATTTATCAAAATACAAAAATTCTCTTGATCTCGCCTAATCCTCGTATAAAAAAAAGACGAGCGCCCCCTACTAAGGCCCGCGCGTGCGCCGCGCAAACTGCGGGGGATTTTCGTGAGATTCGCTAAATATATAAAAGTACTGTTCCTGTTGATTTTTCCTCTTTTCGGGCGGATGTTGAGCCTGTCCACGTGACCAGTAATAAAGGAGAAAAGAGGCGGCTCGTTTGTCGAGAAGGTGAGATAACGAGCATCATCAGAGCCTAATTCGACTGAACAAATAAAACGCTCAGAAAAGACAAGTAAAGTAACACGATTAACAGAAATTGCCGAAGAAAAGAAAAGAATAAAACAGAAGAGAAAAAGATAAGAATGAGGTCACACGCCGAGGTGGCATTTATCAGCCTCGCGCTGGGTCTTATCAGTTCTGGAACAGCTGCACATCGAGTAAGTAGACAAAAATGTGGGTTTTATACGAAAATATTGGAACATAGCCAGTTTGATTTTTATATTCTTTACAATTTATTTATTTTATAAAGAACTGAATAAAAACTGGTATTTAGTGCTGCTCCGGTGAATCTTACGCTGTGTGCTCGACTCGAAAAAAAGGGATCTTGGTTGTCAATTTAAATTCATCCCGAAATTGCGTCCCAATTGTCAAAGAGGAGGGGCCCATTCGGCGCTCCTTGAAGTCCTTAGAAAAGATTGAGGATGAATGTGTGACAGTTGGCTTAGTCCTGTCGCGTTTCCGCCCATCCTTTGTCAAGGTTTTCGAAAAGGACGTAATTGAGTAATTCTTCATTATCTTCTTGGCCAGCAAATTTTCGGCCTTTGATCTTTGAACAAAAATTAATTTTCATAAATCAAGTGGGCAATTTTGATGTTTGACTTCGAAAGTTCAAAAAGAGAACGGAATAATGTCTAAGTGACCACTTGTTACTGTGATTTATGACTGTATGAAAAGCCATAAAATTAGGGGTGATGAAGAATCAACACCCTGTCCTTTTCTCTCTGAGCCAAGAAAAAACAAAGTAGATCACCATAAAAGGCTCCTTTTCGTAAAGTTTATTTTTGATAATCTTCGGATTGAATTTGGTCAACCCAAGGGACAGTTTGTAAACAAGTTTGCTCCGAGTCAACGATCTGTTCAAAGCAAAGTGTTTGCTACTGGGCACTTACTTCGCCAGACAACTCAACTGAAATCCAACCTGGTCTTATCAAGGTTCCAAGGACAGGTTACAAAATGATAAGCGATTATTCTTTGCTCTCGTTGATAGAAAGAAATCAACCGAAATAACGACATGAGAAACAATTATATTTATAACGATTTCACCTTCTTTATATTCTGTAAACCTTGAATAGCTTTGCTACATGTCTGGAAGGATCCTACGATCATCGCCAAAAGCTGAAAGGATGCAGTCTTGACCTGGCCCGAGCACAAGCATTCTGTTATTGTCGAGGCGACAAATGCAATAAAGTTATCAACTTCAACAATACTGAAGAGTTTCTGCGACGATACGGTCCAAGATCCGTGGATTATGTCGATTTTTATGAGGCGTCGACCGAGCCCCCTGAATTTGTCTACTCTGGTAAATTGAGAAAAAAATAAAGAAGTTACTTTGTCTTAAAGGATATGATCCGCTCGTCATTCCGAATCCTGGGCTCATGATTGCGGCTGTGCTGATTTCAATGAGCCTTGCCTGTCTTCTGGTGATGATCTGCGCGTACTCTTATTTCCGCATGGCAAAGGTATGTTTGTCGAAAGCGAACAAGCCGCGGATTGACAGTGGAAGCATACCTCGCGAAGAAAGGATTTGACAAGTCTAAATTTAGGCCCTTGGGCTTCATCCCAAACTGATGCGCAAGTACCGCCCCACGGACGAAATCAGGGACCAACAAGTTCAAAATTGCAATACGCAATCAATTCAAGGAATGGAATTTAAACAGCCTGCGATTATTTACGCACCTGAGCGATTAAGGGATCCCATAGTTAACATTTTGACCTTTTAAAAATCTGTTTATTCAATAAAAAAAATATGGCTGAGAAAATTCCGGAAATCAGAAAAACTTCTATCAATTCATTACGAAGAATCCAGCTCACGTGATTCCGGCATTCCGACAACAGTTCTTCACGACTCGTTAGAAGTCAGCACTGCCCATTCTCCGACCTCCTCCAGAACAGCGAGTACAGCTGCGACGTCGCGTTATTACAGTGACAATATCAGATTTGACAGTGTGATCGGCCAAGGTCGGTTTTCCACTGTTTGGAAAGTCAAGTGTTTAAATGAGGTTAGAAGCTTTTGATTGGTTTGAGAAGAGAATGTTTTCAGCCGGGAGATTTCTGTGTGAAAGAATTCAACGCTTCGGAAAGTGCTTCCTGGAGACAAGAGCGATCCGTCTTAGGAAAAGTTCATCATCAGCACTATCTTCAATCAGAGACCTTATTTTATGAATTTTCAAAGCTTCGCCACTTTATCAATCAAAGCACGTGATCCGGCTTCTTTCCTCCGTTGAGCACAAGAGTGAAACTGGCCGCAACTCTCTTTGGCTCGTCTTGCCATTTTACCAAAACGGCGATCTCCAGCAATATTTGAAGAAGACCTCTCCTTGCACTCTTTTGCTGATGGAATTGACGCTCTCCTTGTTGTCTGCAGTGGAGTTTATTCATTCAGAAAAAGATTCTTTTGGATGCCTGCGGATGCCAATGGCTCATCGGGACATAAAGGTACTGTTAGAAATAGGTATGGGTTTTTGATGGTTTGGTTTTAGTCATCAAATATTCTGGTCAATGACTGTGGAAAAAGCGTTATTCTGGCCGACTTTGGTTTATCGATGAGACTATCTCCAGATATGTACAGTACTGCATCGTCTATTGGGCAAGCTGGTATAAACTATGCTGTGCTTTCTAAGACTCTAAAATTTTCAAGGAACGAGTCGTTACATGAGCCCAGAACTACTCGACCGATACTCAGACTTATCAAATCCTGAGAGCTTCAAACAAGTCGATTTATACGCCCTGAGTCTTGTTATTTGGGAAATTTTGAATCGCTCGAAGTTTTCGAATATGCACGAAGCACCAGGTAAAAAATAAATATGAAATCAAGAAGGCAGAATTCTTAAGAATACGCTGCTCCTTATTCTCATCTGGTCTGCGATCAGCCAAGTAAAGAAATCATGCGAACAGTCGTTGTGTCTAAGAATCTCCGACCGAGAATACGACCAAATTGGACCGAAGATGAAATTGGAAAGTTTTTTGTTCAAATGATTGTTGAAATGTGGGAAAAAGGTATGGCTTTTATGCAAAAGCGATGGTGCGAAACCGCTTTTAAGACCCAGAGTCGAGATTGCCCGCTGGAAGTGCACGCCAACGACTTGAGAAATTCTACGCCTCTTATCAATAAACATACTGTCAATTTTTACTTCAATAAATATCTTAATTTCCTTCAAATAAAGCGTTAGTTGATGATTTATTTGGGATGGTAAAGAACGAAAGATGATTGTAAAGAAAGGGAGTCTTCCTATAAGAGCTTATCGCAAGAAAATTAATGCGAGGAGAGGGAGGAAGATTTTGATTGTGCCAGCGTCCGACAAGATGAAACTGATTTCTTCAATGAAGCCGTCGATGTCATCATCATCCTCTGAAAATTTTAGAAATATAGATGAAATTATAGAATAAATAAAATTTCTCTATTTAACTTACCGGCATCATCATTGTTTCTTACTGTCATTTTACGAGTCGATGAACCGTAGTTGTTTTTGCAGCGATCAGCAGGGGTACAGTGCTCTCCTGTGCCGTAACTTTTGCAGCCATTCACTTTGCAAGTGAACGTTACTTTTTGTACGCCACCGTACAAAAGTTGGACTCCACTCCAAACAAATGTGTCTTGCTCTGTTTCAGCTGTAGCAAGACTGAATTCATCGCTGTTGACGAGGAATGAATCCGTGTTGATGCATCCGTTTTCAACCACAGGATAATAGGTATAAAAAAGCTCGTCCTCACTGTTTAATCATTTAAAATATGTTTAACAGAATGCCAAAATTTTATTTTTTTAATTATCATTAATTTTTAAATGTCCCTAGTTACATTCAGGCCACATTGAGCAAGAAAAGGAGAGTAGGCAGATTCTGAAATATGAAGCTAAGAAATAAACAAAAACTAGGGCACCTTGGGAAAACTCCGGAAACGTTAATTCTGGTAATTCTGATAGTGTATCGAAATTGATACGCAACTCCGGGTCATCTCCGATTTTAAGATCTACAGCTTCTCTATTCTTCCAACCAATTTGTGGGAGGTTAGGTCCATAAATACGGCTTTCGAAGCGAGCACCTTCGATAAATAATCGTTTTATAAATTATTTTTGATCAAACCATTGAATCTAGCACGCAAGCCAAAATAAAGCGATGTTTTTGCGAAATCTTGGTCTTTGTCGTATACATTTCTAATGATTGAAAAGGGATCGATCCCGATTTCACTAGTTGTCTTCATTGTACACTGAAGTTGCCACATTCGTCCGTCATATTTCAAATAATCCATGCCGTAGCTCTAAAATAATAAAATATGATCAGCCTCATCGTGTTTATTACATTTATATCCCAAAAATCGTCATATCCGATTCCGAAAATCCAGGTTGTTTGTCCGTCCTGGATGTCTTCTGATCGTTTAAAGATATCGGCGCAACCTGGAGTCGAATCAAATTTAAATTTCTCACTCTGGTTGTAGGGATTAAACTCGCAGGCACAAGTTTCAGTTGTTTTAAAAACATTCTTGACAACATCCGTTGGTCCAAGAGACATGACATCTTCTGAAGTTTGACGGTCGACAATACATACTGCCCGATTATCCTATAATTATTAGGCTTGAGCAGTTTTCAATCGAAAAGGAACACTTGAAAATTGATACTTACAGGACGTCTTAATCCGTCATTGCGCTGCCCTGGAAAATTCGACAGGTAGCTTTCAGCAGGATTGAATGAGAAACTCTCATCAGGAAAGCAAGTGAAATCTACGCCATGCCGTCGAAAGTTCCCCGAATATCCGGTTTCCCCTGATGCTATCGCCTTTAGAAAAAGACAAGAAAAAAGTTTCATTTTCTTGAGTTTTTAAATCGGAATGTTGACGGGAAGATCATTTTTATATACGAAAATCTAAATTCCGAAGTAGACAGCGCCAGATTTGTGTAGGAAGTAAAGAAGAAAGTTGATGCAAATCAACTCGAACAAATTTAATGGTAGAATGCGCAAGAATTGACACTTTATAAGTTATATTTTTATTTTCAGCTTTCATCACATTCAAACCCACTTTTTCCTGTTCATCGAGAGGAAGTCAATTTTCTCACAATTTCGACTGATTTTGAATAGATTTACAAATTACAATAAATTTCTTACGTTAAAACGATGATAAGTACAATATTATTTTTGATAAGCGACTCATCAGTCGTAAGTAGAAAAAATTTACAATTTGGTAATTATGATAAAGCAAGCAGGCGTTTGAAATCTGCCGGGTCAACCAATCAGCTCTTTTGAAATGAGATGAGCTCGAGGGGCCGACTTGAGCTGGCTGTGTTTGCCGAGCTGAGATTGTCGAGAAGGGTGACCCAAAAGTAGGCTCTGGCGGCAATTGACGATCCTCCGTGGCCGGCTTATTTCGCGCACTTGTGAAGTCCCCCGCGCGGCCAATTGACGAATCCCAAATACGGTTGTAAAATCAGATCAAAAAAGAGAGAGAGAACGAGGTCCAAAAAGAGTGAAATAGAAGAAGAAGCAAGAGAATTCTCAAAGCAATGAAAGTTCTAGCGCTGGCTCATTTACTGAGTCAATCGGTGGCGAATGCTAGAGAGCTTCTTGTTGTTACCGTAGCGACGGAAAAAACTGATGGCTATCTTCGCTGGGAAGAATCTGTAAAATACTCTGGTCTGAAAAGCAAAACATTTGGACTCGGAGAAGACTGGCTTGGAGGAGACATCGCAAATGGCCCCGGTGGAGGACACAAGGTCAATCTTCTCAAAAAAGAACTTGCCGAATACGAAGGGAATAAAGACTTGTACTTTCTTTTCACAGATGCTTACGATGTGATCATTACTGGAAAGGAAGAAGAGATCTTTTCAAGATTCGATGAAATCGCGGGAAAAGTTGATTATAAAACGAACGTGCTGATTTCCGCGGAAGATCTTATTTGGCCGGATCGTTCACTCGAGGTAAAAACTAGTTGGCCTCGAATTTTTACGGACTGTAATTTATAGCCAAAGTACCCACTTGTTCTCGGGAAACGTTTCCTCTGCTCTGGCGCAATTTTAGCGCGCGCGGATATCTTCCTCCAGCTCCTCGACTTTCGCTCCATCGGTGACCGCGACGACGACCAGCTATTTTACACCGAAGCCTACATCGACAAAGAACTCAGAGAGAAATACGGAATCGCACTGGATCACAAAGCCGAGTTATTCTTCAATCTCAACGGAGCTCTCGAAGAAGTTGGAATCGATTTCGCCCGAACTGCCGACGGTGACAATCGAGTTGAGAACACAAAGTACCGGACAAAGCCCTTGGTTATTCATGGAAACGGACCGAGCAAAAATGAGCTGAATAGAATTAGTAATTACGTTCCTCAGGGCTGGAGGCCGGATTATGGATGCCCAGCTTGTGACAAAAAATTGAAAGGAACGAGTTCGAGAGCACTTATTTTTGAGACGAATTTCTTTAAAACATTGTCGAAAATTTAGTTTTTGAACTCTCAAAGATGCTACTGATACAAATCGCGACATCGTCCTTGCTTTCATCATCGATGGAATCACTCCTTTTGTGCACAATGCTCTCAAAAGAATTGCCTCGATAGACTACCCAGCAGAAAATACCCATTTACTAATTTACTCCAACACTGCTTGGGCCGATGAACGCGTTGAAACCTTCCTAGAAGCTTTTGGGTCCTCTTACAAGTCAACAAAGTTTATTTCTTCAAAAGAAAATATGAGCAGTATTATGGCGCGAAAATTCGCTCTTCAGTTGACGGAAGACAAATCGGCAGAGTTCGCGTTCTTTGTCGATGGATATGTTCAATTGACGAACGCCGCAGTTGTTGGAGAGCTGATGAAGACTGGACTTGAATTGGTTGCTCCAGGGATGAGTAGATATGGCAAGCTTTGGTCGAATTACTGGGGTGCAGTTGCTTCTGATGGTTATTATTCAAGGTTGGTTTTTTACATGTTGAGTGGAACTATTCCAATGAATTTCCGAACCGAAATGACAGAAATATTATTCCATTCTTCCATATCTTCGTCAATAATCTCTTCAGCGTTGTAAAACATAAAATTGTTCTTTGAAAAGACTGGTTTTCTCGGAGTCATGATTATAATTGTAATTTTCCGATTCTCAAGAGTATTTATATGCGCAATCGAGAGCGCCACAGTCCGATAAGCATCTAATCCCCAAGATCAGCTGAAGATCGAGTTCGATTTAGTTCCAGAAGCATAAAACACCATCAGCTGCATTTCTCAGTTCCGGGCGATCGCGGTTTATTGACCTCTATTTTGGTCTTTCATTTCCATAAATGTCTATTTACTTCACTTTTCTAAATCTTATTTTTAGGAGCGATGATTATCTAGACATTGTTCAAGGCACACGCGTCGGAATCTGGAACATGCCATTTGTAAACGGAGCCTACCTCATGCACAAAAATCTTGCTCTTGACTTGCTTGACATGTTTGCTGGACTCGCTCAATCACCGTGGCGAGGGAATTTCAAGGACCCGGATTTGGACTTTTCTGCGAATCTTCGAACTCTTGGCATTTTCATGCATGTATCGAATCAAGCTTACTGGGGTCGTCTTGTTGACAAGGAGCACCTTCCTGTTGATAGACTTCATCCTGAGCTCTGGCAACCTGAATGGAACAGGCCAGATTGGGAAGAAGACTATCTCGATTCTGATTACTGGAGAGTTCTTGAACCAGAAACGGAAATGGAAGAACCTTGCCCTGATGTTGTTGCTTTCCCATTTTTGACCTCGAAGGGCGGCTTTGATATGATTGAAGAAATGGAACACTACGGAAAGTGGTCTGGTGGCAACGATGCTCACAAAGACGACCGCTTGTCTGGAGGATACGAAAATGTTCCAACAGTTGATATTCACATGAATCAAATCGGTCTTCATGACGAGTGGCTTTACGTTGTCAAGACTTACGCTGCTCCGATGGTTTCCAAGTTTTACACTGGCTACTCTCCCGACAATAAGCCCAACCTCATGTTCGTCGTCCGCTACAAACCGGGCGAGCAAGATCGACTTCGACCTCACCATGATTCTTCAACTTGGACATTTCAAATCGCCCTCAATAGACCAAATGTGGACTTTGAAGGCGGAGGTACCTACTTTACTCGTTACAAGTGCTCGGTCGTTGGAAGCGTGACGGAGGGAGATCAAAGATCGGTCGAGGTCAAGCAGGGAATGGGATTTGCTTTTCCCGGAAGATTGACTCATCAGCATGCTGGATTGCCGACAACGAAGGGCACGAGATATATTCTTGTCAACTTTATGGATTCATGAAAACATGTTCTTTGCAATCATGAAAAATTTATAAATAAATACATGTATTTGCTGCAATAAATTTTGAAATCAAATCAACTGAATTTTTGAATAATTGAAATCTGAAAGAAGCAGGCTCATTATTTTGAAGACAATACCATGGCTCATGAAATTTGGTTTGTAGTTTGGGTTGAACAAGCATTTTTTTAAATTAGAATGATTAACTCTGAGGCCAACCGTTTTTTCGGAGAGTCACGTACCGGTCTCGAGATGAGAATCCAGCCCTGGTGAATAGGCTCTGAAGTGATAGCTTCTGATTTTGTTTCTCCCCTACCGGTAGCGATCGTCTCCCGACAGTCGTTTATTGAAAAAAACAGACGTTTATTGAGAAAAATGAGTAAACGCACCACCAAATGTAAACCAATTCGGTGGGATCCGACAAAAATAGAGCTCGGTTATATCATCGCGCCAGGAAGCGTCGGAATTTGCAAGAGATGTAGCAGAGTCACCGAAAAGATGGCTCTCCTTACAGATTATTTACACGGAGATGGGGAAATTACTGTTTGCCAGGATTGTGAAGGCTTTTGAAATTAATTTAAACTCTTGACTATTAATATAATTATAATATTGGTTGATTCATCTTTTCAAAATCTTTAATGAGTCTGAAAAAACACTACGCCGAAGCTAAGCACCGGCTTGTCATCTCGGATGCAAAGCTGCAGTGTCCAAGGAAATATTGTTCTGCCAGAAATCTAAGTCCTCGAGAGTATCTCGTCGGAAAATGCTGCGAGGCTGCTAAGGAAAAACAAGCTGGTTCTACGGGTTTTGGTTCTGTAAATTTTTGTTTTCGAAAATAAAATTTATGACTGATATAGACTGCATCATGCAGTAACCGAATTAAATACTACTAACCGAACTAAAAGACAAAATTACCCATTGGAGTCTGGTGTCGAAGCAATTCGAAGAGGCTACAACTGATGTCAAAAAACTCAAAGAAGAGCTCAAAAAGCTCAAGGAGGAGGTCAAAAAAGCGACCGCAGATCAGAACAGCATGAAAGACGAGCTCGCAACCGCCTGTGATGCGATTGGAGTTGCAGGTATTAGAATTCTTTCCATATTCCGAATATGATATTCGGCAAATAACTGAAATCATTTTAGTTCCAAGCGAGCGTTCCTCTTGCAAGGTTTGCCTCGAGACCTACAACGGCAAGGATCACCAGGAATGCACCCTTCAGTGTGGTCATCGATCCTGCTTCAAGTGCTTGGCTGGCCTTTTTCAAAAGTTCTGCCCAGTCTGTCGAGCAGCCTTCAAGGATGATCAGATCATCAAGCTCTACCAGAATTAGATTTTTATCTGTCCCCTTCTCCAATAACGAATATAAAACACTTTTCCTTGTTGATGGGACTGATTTCTGTATTTATTGGAATATTATGTTCTTGCTAAGGGCAGTGGGTGCTAAATGAACAGTAAAACAAGTCAGTGTGCAGGTATTTAAAATTCGTCACATGAATGGCTCTCGCAGCGTCTCAGAGAGATTTGTTCTCGAACTCCTTCATTCGGTTGATCAAGTCCATACCGTACTTATTGTAGTCAATCTGAGCCACTCGTTGAGCAGCAACTCTCAATCGCTGCTCGTCCTGGTAGATTTCAGACTTCGCTCGTCCGCCAAGAATGAACTCCTAAAATCACTCTCAGAAAGGCTTCGGAAAAATGAAACGTACCAAGCAGCTCTTTGTATTGATGAAATCGTCGAATTCATTTCCGTCGGACATGAACATTTCTCCCAAGTCCTTCGACGAAATATCAAGGATTTGCTCGGCAGTGTCACCGAAGAACGTGCAGAAATGCTGGCCCCGACCGTCGGTGACCTAAAAATGTTAATTTTCTTGCTCGGTGAACTTTTCTTTTACCGCTGCGTTCATCATGATTCGATAGTTGAAGTCCTGGAAGTTCGAGTTGCATTTCTCGCATCGATAGGTTCCGTCGTCTTCCTCGATCAACTTCTTGTTGCATCCCGTGCCCTCCTAAATTTAGTTGCTAGATCTGTCTCTTGAAAATCAAGCCATACTTTTCCAACGCATCCCTTGTAAACCATGCGGTCCTTCTTGATGTAGGTAAGGTAGCATTTGGAGTTGAACCAGTAGGGCTTGTCTCCCTCTGTTTCGTAGTTGGCTCCGTGCATGAGGGCGTCAAGAGTAACCATCTGGTTCTTTTTTCCACCTCCAGTGTTCGCGCCAGACTGTCCTTCAAATGTAGAGTCCTGGCCTTCCTGCTGCCACCAGACTCGAAGCTGAACAAATCTGTGAACATTTTTCACTCGAAGAAACGCTTACTCTTTCTCCGTCTTTTTCGGTGAAATCAAGGACGATTTCAGAGTCGCGTCCAACCGACAAGGTCTTACCCTGGAATTCTCCAACGCTGGCGCCTTTTACGGCGAGAACTTGCCCTCTCTCGGCGTTAAACTAGATAGGATAGTAAGATTACTTTCTAGGTCAGTAATAATAGTAAATATAGGCCAATATATACACAATTTTACTTCGACAGCTTGTTTTCCCCACAGCGTGCATCGGAGCTTTTCTTTGGTGGAATCATCGACAACTTCGAGATCTCTCTTTCGAGTTGCGCTCCTGCTCGAGTGTTGATGGTGTCGACTGGGCCGACGTTGTTGATGACAACGCAAACATCAACGAATGCTCCCTTCGCTCGCTCGGCGATGATCTTTGAAATGTTCTCGAAGTCGAAGGACATTTCAGGGATACTAGACGAACATTAGCGTTTGGAAAATTGAGTTGAAAAAGTGACTTACTCTCCATCATCATCCATGACTTCTTCTATCGCCGTATTTCTTCCCAAAGTGCACTCGTAGTCGTGCTTTGTTCGATTGTACTGCGGATTCTTTGGCTTCAGGCTTCCATTAGAAATCGTGATCACTTTGCCTTTTTCAATGATGTTCATGAACTTGTCAACTTCGTCATTGAACGCAGAAATTTTCAAGTCGCAAGTTCCATCTTCCACGGTGAAGCTGAACAATTTTCCCGCTCCTTTTGCGTTTTGGTATTCTTTCAGTGCGCTTTTCTGTGTCACGCGCGCTAGAAAAAAGGGTTTATGAAGAGTTCTTGCGTTTGAAATTGTTACCTTTGATGACCCATTTGTTCATGTAAGGAGTAAGAGTCATGATGCTCATGAATCGTCCATCAGCAGTGGCTGGCTTCGCATTTTCCTTTCCACGGGCAGGTGCGCCGGGGACGTTTACTTTCTTCTTCGGCGCAGCGACGACGGATTTGCTTGGCCGGTCAAACGGTTGGCCGTATTTCCAGATCTTGGTCGTGCCTGATTTTGGCAGCGGAAAGTTCTTTGTTTCGACCTCGAACTCTTCGATTTGAAAGAGCATCTTCGAATCGGTTGAAAAAAAAGCAAAAATCAACGAGTATTCAAAAGTTTAAAGTATCTATTCTTTTTTCAACCTCTTTTCCTTTTCCGCACTGCCAGTAATATTCCAGTGCTTCACCTTCAGCAGATCTCCTTTCTCCAGTTGTTTGTCTGTGACAATCACTGTCATTTGCGACTCATATTTTCCGTCTGTGAGTTTTCCACGAAGTCGACGAGTAGTTGCGCTCTTATTGAGTTCTCGACTGACGATGAGCAGGACGTAGACTGGCCCATCGGAGGAGGTGACCTCTCTGTTGAATACGAGGGGGATGGTTCCCGGAACGAGACTCATTCTAAAGAGGATTTTTTTTTTAATATATCTTTGTCGAAAATTAAAGATGTCTTCTGTATATTCGATCTCTTCTGAAGGCAAAGTAACTTTTTGTTAAGTAAATTTTCTCGAAAATAGTTCTAGAAAAAGTAACAACCAAAAAGGAGACGCCTAAAAGTTTCGAATTTGCGGAGGCGCAGTTGTAGAGTTGCGCGCGCGCCAATCGCACATTTCTCATTTTCGCGCCTTTGACTCGAAAAAACGAAACGAAACTCGAAAACTTCCGGAAACGAGATCTTGGAGGAAGACAAGCCCTTCCTGGAAGAAATAAGAATAAAAAAATATTTTCTCTCTGGCTTATTAGTAACTCGAAATACTCGTCCAATCAAATCAAACAGAAAAAAAAGATGTTGGTCTAAAGTTGAAGATACAGTAGAGCACGGTTCGAAACAGTGCTCAAATACTGACTTGCTAAATCTGACTTGGAATGAGCAGTAAAGCGTCGAGTAAGCCGATTTTGCAACGAGTTTATGATCATTTAGACAGGTAAAAGCGATTCTAGAGGTCGAAACGGCTCTAGAAATGAAAAATCATGGCTAATCAACTCTTCAGTGAGCCAAAGATCTGAGAAAAAGCTTTCTCGAGTGCGAGATTCTTTTGATGCTTTGGACAAAGAATTGTTTCCCTCTGGCAGACCAAAAGATATCTACCGAGAACCCCAGCTCTTTCCTGGAACAGAAGATGGAAGCGATAAACACCATCGTAGAGTCAGGACTGTCAAGCCTGTGTTGAAACGAATCGTTGATCCAATCGAACTTTCTAGCGAGGATGAAGACGATGATCTTGTGATTGTCGATTCGAAGCCGGGAAAATCAAGAAAGCACCGAAAAAGATCGGATATTCGGGAGAGAAGGAAGAAAAGAAAGCGGTCGAGATCTTCTAGTCCAAGTTAGAGTTGCAATTTTCTTTGAATCTTGCCAATTTTGATCCTTTTTCCAACTCTGTCGAAAGTCGAAAGCATCGCTCAAGATCTCGCAGTCCTATCCGCCGACGAAAGAATCGATCCAGAAGTACAAGCAGAAGTAGACATTACTGCTCGAAGCATCGATCAAAAAAGTTCAGAAGTGAAAAGAGGGAGAAACGCTTGAGTCGTCGGAAAAGCAGTTCTACGGGGAAAAACACAAGAAAACCTTCCTCAGGCTCTTCCTCCTCGACAGAACAAACAACGAGCTCGTCTAACCTCCCAAGCGCTTTATCTAGCAGCGATCAGTCCCGTTCAAGAACCGCCAGTTCTGATGTCTCCCGCACAGGCGTTCCCCAAAAAGGACAACAGGGCAGCACAACCGATGTTTGGTCAGAAGCATCAATCAGAAATGCTCGACTCTCGATGATGATCGTGCAAGTGGATAAAAATCCGAAACAAGGTGAAAACAATCGTAAATTCCCGAAGCACACGCCAAAATCTGTCGAAAAAAGCGACAGTTCCTCATCATCAGAGCCGATTACTGGCAGCTCGACTGAATCTGATGGAGATAAGAATACTGACATTAGGAAATATACGAATTCAAGTGACATAGGTACAGTTCATCAACATTTTCCTTGCTTACACGCTTTCTTTAGATTACCGCAAGCTCATACCTGCCCAGTCTGTTTCCGTCCGCAAGTTGAAAATTCGCGGAACTCGGAAAAACTCAGAAAAATCCAAAATGCTCGAAAAATCGAAACAATCTCCTCTTCCTTCTCGGACCTTCTCCAATCCAAGAGCGTTAAGAAACATTTCTTCAGAACAAGAAGAAAGTCAAAATCATCAACCCCGAAAGACTATGCCGAAACTATCAGCAAGCGAAGAAGGCGAAATTCTCTCCGACAATGCCCAGCCACGAAAAATCAGTGTGGATTCTGCCAAGAGTTCAATTTCAGAAAGAAGAACGATCAGTAGCACTAATAGACCTATCAGCGAAAATTTGCCCAAAAACTACGAGAAGAAAGTTCAGTGTTCAAGCGAGATTGTTGAAATTTTGGACGATGACGATGAAGCGGAGAACGAAGATGACGATGATCGAAATTCACTGGATGCGTTAGAGCAAGATCTCATTGATCCTCTGGCAGAAATCGACAACTTTGAAGAGCATCCGTCGCCGGGAACGCCTTGCGAAGATGATACAGTTCAGAGGGTGTCTTCTGAGCCTAACAATTTTCCAACGTCTGATAGAAGAAACAGCTGCCCGGACGAACAGGGAGGAAGGAGGGATTCTTCCGTTCTTGGCGATCTTGTCCAAGTACCCGAAGTCTACTTTGATATTTTTCTTGATCAAGTGATTCTGGATTTGACTCAAGACGTCTTTAAATCTTCTATCGAGCGGGAATGCTGTTTGGTGGAAACTACGGCGAATCTATTTGACCAGTTGCTCGTTGAAAATATTGAACAAGTCGCTGTTGAATCTACTGAGAAAGAAGTCATTGAAAGAGCGACTATGTCAAAGACATATTGTGGGATGGTAGAAGACCTTGTGAAAGAACTACTCGAGGAGGAGAAGAAATCGTTTGAGGAAGATAAGAAACATGAAGATCTTCTCTATCTCTTGGAAAACATCGAAGCTCATGATGATTGCTGCCTCGAAGGGACCCAAGGGAGCTCTGAGCAATGCTCACGATTTTGCGAAGCTCTTGAATCTATGGACGAAAGGTTGGAAAACACTTGGGTGAAGGATCTTGCTGATTTCGACGACATAACTGTCAAAGGCAAATCTCAAATTTGCTTGAACGAATTGTTTTCCCGCGACGACTTTGCTGATCTCTCCCATGAAAGAATGATCGAAATCGAATTTGACCAGGAAGATTACGAGGTTGTCTACAAATGGCCAAATCTTGCGAGAAAACAGCGTTTCCAACAGAGAAAGAGCGCAAAAAGTCCTGCTAAAATCCAGTTGGACGCGATGATTGCTGCGAAAAAGGAGTCCAAAAGCGGTAAAAACTCAAATTCAGGAAGCAGGAAGAGATCTCAGACGGTGTCAAAGTCGATTTCACCAAAATTTGATGGAGATTTGCCGATTTATGATAAGGAAACAGAAGATTGCTTCGCTTCACAAGAGAAGACGAAGGAAGTCATCAGTCTTCTGAGCTCCGACGAATCTGAAAAAGCGACGAAATCAAGTTCAAAAAGTGAAAATTTCCAAGTAGAAGAGAAACTCTACGAACCTATCATTTCAAGCATCGTCTCTGACTTGGTAAAAGAAACTCTTGAGAATGAAAAACGAAAGGAAAACGAGCTGGTAGAGCGAGTGACCGAAAAGTCAGTGCTCCGGATCTTCCAACAATTCTATGGAAACGAACACGCTATTCTTCATATAGCGCGAGAGAGCATCGATATCAGAATGCGCGAACTCGTCAAAGATATTCTTCAAAACGAAAAAGAGCGACTTGTTTTTTCGAAAAAGCTTGAAGAAGACTTCTTCACGCATCTTGTCCAAAAATTAGTTTCAGAGCTTTTTATGGAAATTTTGCCAAAAGAAAAGTCAAAGGCTTCAGTGGCGATGGATTCATACAAAGATCTGGTGGCGGAAGAAGTCAGAAATCTGCTCAATGCTCAAAAAGAAAAGAAGATTTTAAAAGAAGAAGAAGATCCAGTAATGAAGTCTTGGGTTTGCTCGCAGCATGATTTTCCGTCGCTTTCGACTGAAGGATTTCTTGAGCTAAAACAACACAAGCCAGGGATTATATGATTTCAGCGTTTTAGAAAGTTTTTTTTTCTTATTTTGAGATTGAAATTGCTAAATATTGAAATTCAAAAAATATCCCTCCTGAAAGCTTCTCTCCAAAAGCGACTTCAAGAACAGCCCAAAGCTTTTAATCCAGTCGTTGCGGCTTTCTGAAGAGGATTCCGTCCTAATCGAGAGATGGTGGCACGAAGCCCAGCCGAAAAAATTTTCAATTTCCACGCTTCTTGGCAAAAGCCCAAGTAGTTCGGCTCAACCCGCAGCTGCGAAAATTCAACCCGGAATGACGGGCGCTGTGATTCCACAAGAACAGATGGCTGATGTCTTCGACCCTCTTTCTGCACTTGGACTAGACTACAGCAACAATAAGCGCAGGCAAAGTATCATGGAGGAGCTGAACGGGTTGAAATACGCCGTTTGCGATTCCAAATCGCCCAAAGTCACCACTCCCGGGAAAGACAAGCTGGCCAACTCCAAGGGCACGCCCAAGGACTACAGAAGCAATTTTCAAAAAGGTACAATCTCAAGCTCGATAGAAAAAGGATCAAGACCCAAGATTTCGCGGCCCACAAGATTACGAGTCAAGGCAATTTTAAAGAATTCAAGATCCAAGACCATTTCAAGTAGAAAGCGGAAAGTAAAAGAACATTCTCTAGGCGCCTGCTCGTCAAATTCTAATTCGCCAAAAAGCGAGTTACTCGGCGTTTCTTCTGATGCTACTGTCTCGAGTACTGCTAGTAGTTCCTCTTCGACAGTGAAACCCTCTTCATCGTCGAAGGCTGTTTCCAGGAGAAGCTCTAGAAAGCTCCAGAGGCCAACTGAAAACGTTTTCGACGGAATTCGCCGAACCCTAGGTGAAAGAAGACCGACTTTAACATCCATTCCTTCTATTTGCGGAAGCAGGAAGGATTTGACTATCGAAGATCCGCTTGAATGCGTAGATAATTATCGACTGGATGCAATTATCGGAGAGGGAACGTTCGGACAAGTTTTCAGGGGCGAGTGCAAATCAACTAAGTCTTTGGTCGCCCTCAAAAAGGTGACAAGCAATAATTTCTACAATTATTTACTTGTAATTCGTAAGGTCCGAATGGATAGGGAAAAGGAAGGCTTCCCGATTACAGCGATACGAGAAGTGAAGCTTTTGTCCAAGCTAAATCATCGGAATGTTGTTGACCTAAAGACTGTTGTTCAGGCAAAAGACCTGTCATCCTTTTTTCTCGTCTTCGAATTCGTTGATAATGATTTGACGGGGATCATTGAGCACGCTCCGCTGAAATCAGACCAGATAAAGGTAGCTGTCTTTACTAGATCACTCGCTAAAACTGTTTCAGAAACTCTTCTATCAAATTCTTCTTGGGTTGGAATATTGTCACGCGAACGACGTATTCCACCGCGATTTGAAATGCTCAAATATCTTGATCGCAAAAGACGGAAGTGTCAAACTCGGAGATTTCGGACTCGCGCGAATTTGTCTACCAACAGATTCACGGCCTTTTACCAATAAAGTGATAACACTTTGGTACAGGCCGCCTGAGCTTTTGGTCGGAGATGACAGATATACTGGCAAAATTGATATGTGGAGCGCTGGCTGCATTTTGGGAGAGATGTATCAACGAAAACCGGTCTTCCAGGTTAGATTTTAAATCATTTATCAATTGATTTGAAAAATTCGCTAAAATAATTTCCCAGGCTTCAACAGACGTCGCTCAACTTGAAGTCATTTCAAAACTGTGCGGCATTCCAGATCCAGCCGCATGGCCTGAAATCATCCACTACAAACACTTCAAAACTCTAGTCACTCCTCTCATCACTCGTTTTCACCCAAAGCCAAGAAGGAAAATTGCCGAGCAATTCTGTGCCCTCCCACCTGATGCGCTTGAAGTTCTCGACGGTCTTTTACGACTGAATCCGAAAACCCGTTTGTCGGCTACAGAAGCGTTAAAAAGTTAATTGCAGTTTTATTTTCTGATTGTAATGGATCTTTCATAGAACCTTGGTTCCGCAATCTTAGTGAAGATACTCGAGCAGATCTTGGAAGCCCAGAAAATCTCCATGAAATGTCTGCTCGGCGAAAGAGGAAAGCAAAACGGCAGGCCAAACGAGCAGATTCATTCTCTGACAAAATGACGAAAATCAAGAGGCTTACCACTGCTTTCCCACGTAAGCAAATCTTCCCCTTTTCCCTGAATAACCTTTTTCATAGAACTTACACTGATGATCCTTGCGGAAAAGGCAGGAATCGAGTTGACCCACGAAGTCCGAGAAAATCTCGGTTCTCAACGATTGAGCCGCATTTTTGGCTCTACCCTTCCGCAGCAGACGATTGAGCCGATCGCTGATATCGTTATCCAACTTGCATCCAAAAATATTTCAATTCGCAAAACCGCGCGACTATGATTTGAAATTTTAAACTTTCTTTCTTTCTCTATTTTGTTTTCAGGCCTTACTTCTTCAAACAACAACAAACAAAACATATCTATCGTTGTATCTTTACTTTTTCCACAATTTCAATTTATTACGCACTTAAAAACTATTCTAATTTAAACTAAATAAATATCACTATATTTTATTAAAATATTATAATTTAATAAGCGCTTTATAATCTACAAAAAATGAAGCAAAAATTTGAGTTCCATTCTCTAAATTGAAAAATTAAATAATTGAATAAGTTCATTCATTTACTTTCTGTAGACTGATCATTTACTGCCTTTGCCAAGTTGTGCGTATTTCTGCGTTACTTATTATATTTGTCTTATATTTGCCAGTTATCCTCAAGAAAAAACAAGTAATTTACAAAGTGGATGAAAGTGTTTAAATTCAGGTGGCTTTCGATAATTGTTATGTCGGGAGGATCCAGGCCGCACTGGGTCAATACTTTGCTCAGACGACAAAAAGAGACCAACAAGGTTTTATATTGACAATATATTCTATAAATAAGTTAGCCCTATTTAATTCTAATAGACATTTTATCAAATTTGTAGAGCAATGTCAGATGCCAAAAATGCCTCGACTACGGCCACTGGTCTTACGAATGCTCGAACAAACGAAAATACCTCCAGCGGTAAAATCTACCCCTGTTTTCCTTTTATTGACAGTTATTCCAGAGATTCGCGAACGAAAGAGTTGAAAAAAGAACTGAAAAGAAAGCAGGATGAAAAAATCGCACAGAAGATCCGCGAAAAGCGAATCAAGAAAGGATTACCAGCGGAAAGCTCCAGCAGCAGCTCCAGTAGCTCGAGTTCCTCTAGTTCGTCGGATAGTTCCAGCTCCTCGGACGAAGATTCTGATGATGATCCCGTGGCAAAGGTAAAGTCAAGCTTTCATCTTCATTTCCTGATGATTGTTTTAGCTGACAAAGGCGAGAAAAGAAGCCGAAAAGAAGAAATAAAAGTGTTTTTGTTAACTGCCAACATTTCAACTTGAAAAAGTCAAAAAATAAAAATCTCGTGAATACAAGTCCACTTTCACTAAAAAAATGTTTTGCAGATGACTTCGTATCTATCAGGACTTTTAACTCGTGATCCCACGGCTTCTTTCGCCTATGAAGTTGGCGAGAGAATTCCCGGCCTCGACGCGGCCCAGTCGATTTGGACGATTCACGAAGGCAAGCTGAAAAAGGCGCCACACACGAAAGTTTCTGTCTTCAACTACGATCCAAAGACTGGCTCCGATGTCACAACTGAAGTTGCTAAGAATTGTCTCAAGAGGATAAAGACCCTGCGCCATCCGAATATCGTCACATACATCGGTAACTCTGTCCGAAATCGAGCTTCTTTTTCAGTCTTTTTCAAGATTGTCTGGAATCCGAAAAAGCGATCTACATCGTTACAGAGCCTGTAATCCCACTCTCGAGCTATCTTGAAAAGCTCGATGACGAGACAGAAATTGGCATGGCCATTGCTTGGGGTCTTCATCAGGTTGTTGCCGGCCTCAGGAACGGGTTTTTCTACTCTTGGAATTATGGAAGAGTGAATCTTGAAAATCCTGAACAGTTTTCTCGTCAACAACTGCAATTTAATACACAACAATGTGTGCATGTCGTCGATTTACGTAGATCGAGCTGGTGAATGGAAACTAATGGGCCTCGATTACATGTTTGGAGAAAACGACTCTCCTCCTATCAAAGTTTCCCACGGGCTTGAAAAATACGACCCACCAGAGAAGGCATCTCGAAAAAGAAGTTGTAAATGGTCCTCTGATATGTGGGGGCTTGGTTGTCTGATTTGGGAGTCTTTTAATGGAACGATGCACACTGCAAACTCGCTAAGAGACGTCGGAAGGATACCCAAGAATCTCCTGCCTCACTGGGCCGAGCTCGTTTCCGCAAATCCTCAGAAACGACCCAATCCAGAAACATTCATCAGCAATTGTCGTGAGCGAAAACAGTTCATGGACAACATGTTCGTCGATTGTAACCTTTTCTTGGGCGAACTGCAAATCAAAGACGCAGATATCCGAACGGCCTTTCTCGAACGACTGGGAAAGAATTTAGACCACTTTCCTAAAGACTATGCTCGGTTTAAAATTCTGCCCATTTTACTCAATGCCTATCAGTTCGGAGATGCGGGAGCTGCAGCGCTCGGGCCGATTTTCAAACTTGGCCAATTGCTTGAAGAAAGTGAATATCAGGTCCGTTTTCAATCCATTTTCGCCGCCTAACTTATTTTAGGAGAAAATCGTCCCGTGTCTAGTGAAAATGTTTTCGTCCAGTGATCGAGCGACGAGAATAGCTCTTCTTCGCCAAATCGAGCACATTGTTATCCACCTCAAAAAAGATGTCATCAACAACCAAATTTTCGTACCCTTATCCGCTGGTTTCCACGACTCTGCCCCTCTCATTCGTGAAGCTACAGTCAAAGTAATCTTTGTTCCTTCAAATCATTCCCTATCCCTTTTTAGTCCATTCTTCACATTGCTGACAAACTCGACGACAAGAATCTCAACACGAAACTCATGACTCACTTCGCTCAACTTCAAGCCAAAGATGACCAGGGCCCTATCCGAACTAACACCACAATCTGCCTAGGGAAGATCCTCAAATATCTGAACAAAGAAACTCGTCAAAAAGTTGCACTCTCCGCCTTCGCGCGAGCTCTGAAGGATCCTTTCCCTCCCGCTCGATCAGCTGGGTTGAAAGCAATGATGGAAAACTCAGAAATTTATACGCCACAAGAAATTGCTCAAAGAATCATTCCGGCTGTCTCACAGTCTTTATGTGACGCGGAAAAGATGGTCCGGGATTCGGGATTTGAAGTTTTGGCAACTTTTGTAAAGAAACTGAAGATTATTTCGGATGATCCAGAAGAAGCTGCTCAGTACTTGCCAAAAGAAGCGAGACAGGCGACCCCAAATAAAACTGGAGGAGTCAGGAACAGTTCGAACAGTTTAAAACCCCTTTGATTGCAATTATTTTGAGAACTAATTGTAGCTCGTCAACAAGTGCTTCTTCCGACAATGCTTCAGCCGCTTCAGGCTGGGGCTCATGGGCTGCCTCTGCGGCAATGAACATGACAATGGCTGCTGCTACTGCCGCCGCTTCTAAGCTCAAGAAAGGCCCTGAAGCCGGCCCTGCCGCTCCAGAAGTTCCAACAGAAATCGTTGTTAGTGGCACGAGTCATCAGCAAGCAGCCCAATCTACTCCCCCGCCGAAGCCAAAGACTTCTTCCAGTGGAGGAATGAAGCTTCAGAAAAAGGAGCCAAATCAAATCGATTGGGACGCCATCGTTCCAGAAACGAAAGAAGCATCGGAAGATGAAGGCAATGGATGGGGTAAGGGCGTGAAATTAACATTCGCTCTAATAATTGAATTGAATTTTCATACATTTTAACCCTCTTTGCATGGACTTTTAACACAAGCACGAACTCACTGTTTTCGCACAAGATTCTTTTAATCATTGTTGATTTTGATTTGAATTGAATTTCATCTTTTCCAATTTTCTGTATGAATGTATTTTCACCCTGAAGGATGGGGCGCGGAAGAGCTTGACGATGAGGATGCAGACTGGGGTGATGATTGGAATGCGCCTGCGAAACCCATAATCCCCGTGAAAAAATCAGTTACTAAGCAAGTTTCGAAGACAAGTGCAAGGAAGACCAGCAACACAGGCCTCAACTCTGGTTTTAATGACGACAATAGCGGATGGGGCGCCGGAGATGATTGGGATACGGATAATTGGAACAGTTCCTCGAAATCAGGGGCCACCTCAGCCGCAGCAAAGAAAAAGGCAGAAAGGGAGGCGAAACTGGCGGCGAGAAAAGCTGAGAATGAAAAGTAAAATTTCAAACATAAAGATCGTTCTAAATATTTTTCATTTAGAAAACGCGCAATGAAAAAATCAGGAGCAATGAAACTAGGAGCGCGAAAAGCCGACTAAAATAGACTAGCTTTATTACACTTATTGAAAAAACAAACTCTAGCCCCTTCAAACCGCAAAAATATATACTTACTTTCTTCATTTCAATTCTACCCGATCTTCCTACTGGTGAGCACAGTTCCTTTTTTCGTTTCTTAACTATTTTTATTTCTCATGCGCTGTACATTTATCTTCTGATCATGTGCAATATTCTAATAATAAATATTATAAGCAAAAAGTACAGTCGAAGGGTTTATTTTGAAGCTGGTTACGGGGATTTCCCAGTAAATCTGGAGAACTCATCAAAGACCGGCAATTTGCCAAAACTGTTTCCTTAAAATACGGTAAATCTTGAACGGCGGATTTCTCAAGAGTAACCTACTTTTTCAACTGACAGTTATTAGGGTTCATTATTTCGCAGGGCAATATAAGCACGAAGAGACTCGAAAAGCCACAGGAGAAAAATGGGAGCACAAAAATCAACTCTTTCTCCAGAAAAACTGAGAGACTTGGCCGAAAAAACCTTGTGGACTATTGATGAGATCAAGATTTGGTACATGTCCTGTTTTCCAAGAAGCTGTTACAAAAAAGTTCTGAGTAGGGTTTTTATGACAGTTTTTTTTATAAGAGCAATCGATGAAAGCTAACCCTTTTTGACAAGAAAAGAATTCATGGAGATTTATGAAGAGTTCTTCCCTGACTCCGATGCAGAGACCTTCACTAAGTTCGTGAAAAAAAGGAAAATATGATATTTTTATAAGTTTCGTTTTCAACGCATTTGACGAGAAAAACACAGAGGAACTGACGTTTCTTGAGTTTCTACAAGCGCTGTCTCTCCATTCCAAGGGAAAGCCGCATGATAAGCTCGAACGTAATGCTATTTTTTAGGAAGATAAATATTTATTTATAAGTGGCATTTGAGATCTACGATAATGGAAATGAAGGGAAAATTGCATATGGCGATGTCACGGAGCTTTTTGAAGCGATTCTTTGCATGTTTGGCGAGGAAGATCTCGATGGAGAATGTGAGCACTACCACAAGCTCAGAGTCGATCGCCTTTTTGAGGCGCATGATTTGGTTCTTAAGTTAATTAGCTAGCAGTATTTGATTATTTTGCAGGATGGAGATTGGCAACTGTCAAAAGACGAGTTCATCTGTGGTTCGCTCGAAGATGAACTGATTTTTAAAGCGCTCTCGATTGGAGAAGGAATTTGCTGGTCACACCTTTTCTAATTCGACAAACCATCCTTGCAGCTTAAACATTCACAAACTGTTTTTTTTTTTAATAAAATTTACACACTTCGAATTACTTTTGTCAATTTCTTTATTTGAGCGGTGAATTGTGAAATTATATTCACTAGATATCAATTCCAACGCAGTAGCCGACAGTATCAAAGTACTTTGTACCCGAGTATCCACCGCCATGACCATCCCAGTACATGTCGGTTCCTTTGTTTCGTGAAAAAAAAAAAGATATTTTTTATCATGGCAAACCTGGTTCGGCGACGAGAAAATGCGCAGTTCTAGTGCCCGGGCAAATCCACGGAGCGCCCTTTTCAAGTTCTTCCACTACGCAATCATTGTATTTTTGGCCTGATCCAGCGGCCCAGCAGTTGATGTAGCCATTGTTCGCGTAACTGTCGAAGACGCCTTGGTCGATTTCAGCGTTTGTAATATCTCCACATCCGATGATTCCGTAGCCTTCTGTCTTGCCCCACCACTTTGAATTTTTCCCGACTGTTGTCCAGTTTTCGGCGAAAGAGCAAGTTGTAGGGATATAATATGTCGAGACAATTTGTGTTCGCACATTTGCAACACAGGCTTCCTTAGAAGTTCCCAAAGTCGCACATCTTTTCAACACAATTTTAATAATAATAATAATCTTACTGACCGATTGACAGTCGACTGAATCAAAACAGACAAAGAAATATCATCTAGTCCGAGAGAAAAAGCAAAAAGAGTCGGAAGAACCTTCATTTCGTGAAAATTTAAAAGATCGAATTATTGTGAGAGAGTTGTGGATCAGGTGATATGTTCTCACATCGTCTGCGTGCACGACATGCACTGCATGTTGAAGTGTTCCGATTTGGTTCAAATGTTCCAAAGGCTAATTCGGGTCCAGGTTGCTTATTTTACGTGAGAATAATGAATTCCTGTAGCTCCAATAACTCACCAATCTCTATGGTTACCATTATTTCAAGACAGCTTCCTGAATAATTATCCAAAATCAACCAAAACATCTATCTGCTCTAAAAATCAGCATCACGCCTAATGTTCTAGGCAAAATAACCCTCAAAAGCATGGGAAAAAGGAGCAGTAGCAAGTAAAGGCACTCAAGGGCCCATCAAGACATCAAAATATCGCTGGAGCGGAGCGCAAATTTTGGCGCTTTACGTTCGCTTTTGTTTAGATTTGGATCGAGTTAGTAGTTTCGCCCAGCTCTCAGCTCCTACTCAGAGGAGAAAACTTAAAAATCAGAATTTTTCTAGAACATGGCCCGAGGGGAGTGAGTTTGTTTTTCAAGAGATTAGTTTCTGCGCAGCCGAGGAAGAAAGAAGACCAATTTCGGGAAAAATTATGAGCAATTAAAGAAAGAAGAAAACGGAGAAAAAATTCTTCGTGAAATTGAAATATGCCGACGGGAAAACCGAGAGTTCGAAATTACCCGAAGACTTCTATCCTCGCAAAAAGCCTCGACGCTGTCAAAAGTCGGTATGAACCTGCGAACACTGTTGGCCAAGTAAAACTCTCGCAACTTGAAGAAGCTGCTGCAAGGAAGGGGTTAAACAAATTTGAAATTATAAAACAAGAAAAATAGAGTCTGTATCTTCATGACCTCTATAAAATTCGGTTAGAGATAGGGCTTATCAAAATCCACGGAGACAAAATGTCGCCCTCTAAAAAAGCGTCGCCGCAGAATATGCCGAGTTCGAAACACCATGGGAGCAGGTAACTTATTTTATTTATTTTACCAAGCTACCATACGGTTTCATCCTTTTTGTTCTAACTTTTCTTGATATACGATAATATCTAGATATTCTCAAAAATCTTTTGAGACAGCAAATCTGGCCATTTTCTCCACGAGTATTGAACAAGTAGCATGTTTACCTGGAGATTGTAAAATTAACAGTACAAGTGCATATGTAAATTATCCGTATGCGTGGCGAAAATTGTAGATTCGTCAATATTTGTTCTAAGGCCGCTGATTTGACAAAGTTGCATACACATAACTGTATTTTTATTTATATTTCAGTCGCTCAAATTGATGGTGGAGGCCGCGGGCGTGAGCCTGAGCCCGCCAGAAAACCAGACAGCCGAGCGAGCCGCTGGGGATCGACTGCCGCCGCTTTTCCCAGATGATCTGACCCCGTCTAAAGCAGCAGATGTAAGTTTTATGATCATTATTCCGTCAAAAATTGATTTTTTAGTGTCTGAGAAGAAGAATGGGCGGCGGGCGAAAATCTCCGCAGGCACTCAAACCTGGCCATGACGGGATGGAATGCTTCAAGCTCTTTACTCGAGCAGGCTTTCAGAAACAGATTGGGTTTGCTTTTCTAAAAAGGAAGTATCCAGCTGGAGAAGTTTTATCGAATCATTATGATATAGGAATGGATTCCTTTTACTATCTTGATAACAAAGGTTTCACCCCAAAATCTTTTTAAGGGACCTGGGCGAGCAGCGCTGAGCCAAACTTCACGCGCTCGCCGTTCTTCTTAGAAATAAGATTTTTTGAAATTTCTTTTTGTAAATTATATCTCCAAATCTTCAGCTTTCTTTTCCGATTCTAAGTTTTTCTCTATCATTCTTGGTTGATGAGCTAGCGAGAAAATGAGAAGCCCAACTTCAAAAGGCATCAAGTCTTGCAGACTAAATTTTTTCTTCATGAAACTAGCACCATTGAAAAGAGCGTTAAATTCTGAACAGATCCCACTCCATCAGCTAAACTAAGTCCGTACTTATTGGCGTGTAAGGCCAGATTAAGAAAATTACTTAGCGCGCGCAGCTGGTCGCGGCGCGGCTGGACGCTCCGATTTAGCTATTTTGGGCTTCCTGGACATAATTCCCGCTGCGCGGGCGCTAAGTTATCTTGTTTATCTGGCCTATATCTCCAGTTTGTACAGATTTAGTTTAGCTGATGGAGTGGGATCTGTTCAGAATTTAACGCTCTTTTCAATGGTGCTAGTTTCATGAAGAAAAAATTTAGTCTCCAAGACTTGATGCCTTTTGAAGTTGGGCTTCTCATTTTCTCGCTAGCTCATCAACCAAGAATGATAGAGAAAAACTTAGAATCGGAAAAGAAAGCTGAAGATTTGGAGATATAATTTACAAAAAGAAATTTCAAAAAATCTTATTTCTAAGAAGAACGGCGAGCGCGTGAAGTTTGGCTCAGCGCTGCTCGCCCAGGTCCCTTAAGATTTACTCTGGTAAGAAATCAGCAAAGAGAATCCAAAATATAGAAACTGTTCCAGACGTGATTTCCTCCTCCGAGTTCTGGCTCTTCTCCAACCACGGTGTCCTTTATTCCTCCCCCGACGACGCTGAGTTCCTCACCCTCGCCGCCTGGGCCGAGCAATACAGGAAATTCAAATCGCTGCAGAAAGTAAAATTCTTCCAAAACTTCAAAAAGGCAAAAGCTTTCCATGCGTGGCGGCAGTTTTCTGACGGAGCGCGGGTTTCGTTGCACAGAACGTTACTCAGCAGAAATCACATTTTGTCCGAGGTGGAGTTGGCACAACCGATTTTGGCAGTTTCGTCGCTCTTTGAGGAGATGAAGGATCTCAATTTTCTCCCACATCTGCCGAAAGGATGGCTCTTTGAGAGCTTCGAAAAAGGGAAAAGTTGGAAAATTTCGAAAAATTATAAGTCAAAAAATTATTTTTTTTTTCAACTCTTAAAAGCTTCGACCCTTTGCCACCTCGAGTTGGCCGATGCGCTGCAGAATCTTTACCACATGGTAGCAATGATTTGCTCAACTGCGTTAACTCGTATAAACCGCCTGGTGCTTGAAGCCCAGGAGACGGTCCAAAAACTGGACCGGGCGCCGCGCAACAAACAAGAAAGCTGGCATAAACTGCGCAAGAACCTACAAGTCGCTCAGGCAACACTTGCGCGGTTCGAGCGAGCGCTGAGGAATCATCCAAAACTGGTGGAGCATACGAAATTGCGACTCCAGTCAGCGCTGGTGGAAGCGAGGAGAAAACAGCTCATGCAGATTTGGAATACGATCAATCAGGATCACCTGGCGATTGTATCTTTGAAGCAAGCGGCTGAAGGAGCAGAACTTATTCCTGAAATCGGAAAGTGGGAAGAAATGTTCAAAATTCATGTTTCGGACATGATCCCTATTTTCGGCCTGGCCCTTCAACGAGCTCAGGAAACGGTCTGATAAAAATACTGTAACTTGTCAAAAGCTGAGAACATAAATATTAGGGCTGTTCAAATAAATTCAAATTTGTGACCATTCAAACAGGATTACGCTGTCACCACCTCCTCACCTTCCACACTGAACATTTTGAAGAGCTTTGAGTCAACACTGCCGAATATCGCTGCAGATGGCGCCTCCGAAGCTCTCATCTCCCAAATCATGGAGAAGATCCACAAGTGCTTTGGCGAGCTCAGATCTTTTGTCGATCACCAACTTCCACAGCATCATCAGGCTGCCAAGTATTTGTGGGAATTCGATTTGGAGAAATTTGTGGAGAACGTCTTTCGCGATGCAGATGGCCCAGGCTTCTTGAATAGCAGTTTTACCGAGTTCAATGAATGGATCGAATCTCTCGACGGAAGGAGCCATATTTTCGGCACTGCGATTCTCACGACAGAAGGCTACTGTAATGGCATGAAGTCCAAGATCAAATCCATGCGTGTTCGAGTCGTCTCCTCGGTCGAGTTTCATATGCGAAACTATATCTCCCACTTTTCATCTCTCGCCGACGATCTCGCCGAAGAACTTGCAAAAACGAAGAACTATGAGAAAATTCACCAAATCGCAAATGATATTGGCAAGATCGTTGCAAGTCGGGATGAGGCTGTGGCGAAGATAAAGCTGTTGCTTCTTATTTCGGGCCATATTCCTGAAATGAACGAAGAGATCAAGCAAGAATTGGAAAAGATCGCGAATCTCTTCTCAGGAATCCACAAAAACGTCGACGATACTGTCGATGGGCTCAAGAATCCAAAACAGCACGTGGTAGATGAACTCAAGCGGCGCTACATCGAGACTCAGAAGAAAACAAAAACATTGTTAAATAACGTTATGGGGAATTTGTCGACGAAACCAACACTCGATTCCAGCGACGAGTATTCGCGCAAACAACTGAGATTTTACCTGGAACGGTATCACGAAATTAGCCAGCTGAATGAAGTGAACTCGAATATAACTGCAGGAATCGAAGCACTGGGCCACTCTTTGCCTTACGAAAGCATCACTCCTCAATGCGCATTTTTAACGAAACAATGTTATCAAATCTGGAACTCGGTCCAATCAAGCCACATCAAACTCGAAAGCGTCAGAGAACTCAAACTAGCCGAGCAGCGCAAAATCAACGACACGTACAAGCAGTTACAGCTACTTATCGAAGACGTTGGCGACGCCTTGCACAATTTAAACGAGCAACTTGGCGAGATACAAAATTTCAATGCAGATGTATTATTTAGTCGAAAAGAGGAACAAGCACAAAACGCAGAAAACGAAGAATATACGAATAGTCACATAAAGAAAACGCCATTTATCAAGGAGCAAATACAGCCATTTATTAAAAAGGTCCATTTTTGGGAGTGCGTCGTCGCCTTGGTCGTCAAAATCATCAGCAGCAATTTCCGAGAAAAAGAGTGGAATCAATTCATGAGCGTGTTGAAATTAGAAAAAGCGCCGAAAGAGACGAAAATCAAAGAAACTCAAATAATCGAAAAAGAGCAGAAAATATGCAACAGACTTCTAGCTGCTGCAGATCGCGCGAAAAATCTTCAATTGGAAATGGACAAAGTAAAGAGGTCCTTAGATCATGATTTCATCCCCGTCGTCCTGAGAGAAGTGCACCAAGAGAACGAAGAGCTGTATTTCGACTCGCAGCTAGAAGAACTAATCGAGCAAATGCACGAATACCGAAGAAATGCGAACTCTTGGAAAGTCCAGCTGACCTGGGCAGAGCACCTCGGCGACGACGATCTCGATCGAATCATGTGTGTCGAAGCGCACTTGATCCACGAGCGAATCTGCACGATCATAAACAAGCTGGAGAAAATCTACCGCATCAATAATATCGCAGAGGCGATCGCGACGTATAAACTGGTTGGTTTCGACGCGTTTCTGGAAGAAAAAATGAGGCTTTTCAAGCTTTTTGAGAACAAATATGCGAGCGAAGTTTTACTTCTAACCGACGAAATCAACAATGTTCAAGTCCCGTCAATAGAAAACGTCCTGTCTAAGCACCTCGATGATTATGAGCTTTTGCGACTTATTCCTCAACAAGAACTCTTAAAACTTATCCCTCTTGGGCTCAATAAAAGAACGCTTAGCACAATTTCAGCAACTCTTTTCACAGAAATATGCGACTTCAATATCCGAGAAGTCTGCGAAGGCTGGCATATCGAATCCGTCCTGCTCAAAGATCAAACAAAATTAAAATTCGACAACCTGTTTTCCTCAAAGACCCAGTTCTTTGGCGCATTTTTCAAGAAATTTGAGTCAGAAGTGATCAACCTTTGCAAGAAAAATGCACAAAATGCGATCATTGCTTTAGAAAAGGAGCCAGAAAAGCTTCTTGATGTCGATTTCTGGAATAAATCATCGTTGCCGTCAATGTTGCTTGTTTTGGTCTACCTGAAATTTTCGACTGAAGCTGATATAACAGACGAAGAAGTGAAGAAATTCCAGAAAGGTTTGTCCGAAACCAATATTCCTCGTCTTCAAAATTTGGCTGGAGCGATTTCTCAAGATCCGACAGAAATAACTCTTGCAATCAACAATGACGACCACGAAATCTACGTCAACAATCGCCAAATCGATTACTGGCCGACATCTAATACTGTCCAATGCTATGTCTCTGGAGTCTGTAGGCTAGCCAAACTCGCTGATGAAAACGATCCACTCAATACTATCCGAGTCACGAGCATTCATTCAGCCACTTGTTATGCAGCCCTTCGAGGAATAAAACTCATCGTTGCGAAAGAAAACCATCCTCTCTTATTCACACACGAAGACAGTTACATTTACCTGGATTTCGACCTGATCAACGACGAGCAGAACCAAATTGCAGACATTTATCTTGAAAACATTTCCAAGGAAATATCTCGACCGATGATCTTCATTCGCGAGCAAAATTTCAACGAGAACATCAAACTCTTTCTCCATCAGCAACCATCATGCAGCTTGAAAATGAGTCGGATTCAGAAACAAGCATTAATTCACAAAAATCTTCTTTCGTCGCAAAGTCTTCTTGAGACTGTTACAAAACTGTCTTCGCGACTAAAGCTGAGCCACTGTAAGTTCCCTGAATTTCTTGAGCAAACGGCTGCCCTGCGAAATCTTATGGAAGACGTTCAAGAAAAGGCATCATCTCCAACTTCTGATTCTTCATCAACAAAAAGCTCGATTGAAAGGCGAAAAGAAGGCTATACTCGACAAGTGAATCGAATGAAGGATACGGAGATCGCCATGGCTCTGGCATTTTACTTCATGACAACATCGAAGGAAGAGTGCTTCAACGCCATTTCGGATAAAAACCGAATGAATCTGATCTCTGATGCGTTTCCAGTCATGCGAGTCACCCTTTTTGAGCGAATGTTCGAAGCAACAGCAAACAAATTTGTCGAAAAAATTGCCACTCTTTACGCTCAAGATTTGATGATCAATACTTCGCAAACAAAGGCTCTTCAATCTTTCGTCCACCAAATGCTCCTAGGAACATCTCAACGTCAATCTGTTCATATTGAAGACACCTGCGTCACAGAAGACCTCTTGCTCATGTTGACAGACTGTTTTGAATGCGGACAAGATCACGTAAACCGAGCTGGCAGCGCAAATACGAAATCGTCCGGTTCTTCAACCAAATCGCAGAAAATAACGAGAGTTGGAAACAATCTACTCCCGGAGAAAGTGCATCTCGAGTTCACCAACGACGTCGAGCAGTGTCTCCAAGAGTGCACTTTTACCACCCGAACATGGATTATCACACGTGATCAAGAATTCTGCGACTTTGATCGACTACCATCAAAATGTTGCATCGTGCGTTTAGTTCCAGTTCCCGATGGAATTACAGTCCCGAAATTCTTCTGGAAGGCCTTTTACATTAAAAAACTGGACTACCTCGATTCTACAATCAAAATTCCATACTCAAGTAAATGCAAATTCTTGCAAAACTCGCTGAAAACATTGCATAAATTCGATCGATACAACACCGACGTTTACAAAAATGAAGAAATTCAAGAAAATACTCTCTTCAACTGTGATAATCTGGCTCACTGGTCGGTTCTCAACGCTGTTGATCGAGTTGTTATCGTTCAGAAATTATTTCTCTTCTGGGCTAAGTCACAAGGTCTTCTGCCTGAGGATACAAATTCAAACCACGATGATATTCTTGATCGAATCGCTCGTCTGAGCATCTTTTGGTCGTATGCTCTTGGTCTCAGTCCAAACAATAGAACAACGTTTTCTGAAGAGTTCCACGAAGTCATCGAAGAAGAAGCAGATGATGATCTTAGCCGAGTCTTTATAAATGCTGATGGCGACTTTGAAGAGTTTGACGCAAGAAGCAGAATCGAACAAAATGTGCCAGGATATGTTCTTTCGGTAGAACTTCTTCAAGGAAAATGGCTTCTCGGCGTTTTGGTTCCAACAGATCAAACGAAGATCAAGTCAAATCTTCAGTTCACCGGTCCTGCAGGCTGTGGAAAGAGCCACTTGATATCCTATTACGACATCGATCACCCAAAGCCCCTCCAAACCAGGGTCGTTCCTGGAGCTGCTGAAAGCTTTCACCGAAGATTCAAGCTTTATTCGCCGTGTCAACTTATTCCAGATCAGCTTTCCAAAGCGAACTCTCACCGCTTCATCAGATCTTTTACTAAGCCGATCATCAGTGTTGCTGGGCCTGATCAAACTGCATTCGAAGATGGCAGAACATTCTTACAGTATCAAGTTGACTTCTCGCCAGATATAAAAGACATTTCCTTCCAGTTTCTCTACGGAAGAATTCTCTGGCTGGCGAAGAATTTGAACAAGCGACGGACGCACGAGATTCCCATTGAAGAAATCACCGAGCTGATTATTTCTTGGATTTCGACCCTTTTGCAGCGACGATATCTTGAAACAACGATGCTCAATTGGCAGCGAATGGCAGCCGTTTGTCTTGGCGAATTAATGGGATATTACTACCGCGAAAGCCAAGAAGGTGGAACTTTTACAAAAGCGAAGTGGGACGAATGGTTCAAAGCGATTCTGATCGACAGTATGATCGATCTGACGAGAATGTTTTCAAAGTCGGGAAATCCTGCACTTCATTATGGTGGGCAGTATCTTCAGCGATTGAAGACCATTCTTGAAACAATCGAAACGAAGGAGTTCAAAGGCAACAGAATCTCATCCTTTTCAAAACATGCGCGAAGTATCATCTGGCAAATCAAGTTGAATGCTGAAAAGAAATCAACGCTCAACATCTACTTTTGACCAACTCAGAAGTTCTCGAAGGCCACCCTACTTTTGAGGAAATCCACCCGGCCCACTACATTCCCACTCTTCACCAGCTTCATCTGACGGAATGGATGTTCATGGGGTCAAAAATTTCTAACTTTTTGATTCTATGCTCGCAGCACAATTATGTTGGTCGAAAAACGGCGGCGAAAACCATGGCGAAGCTGCAGAAACTTCGATATTTTGAAATTACTAAAGATGCTTTCCACGATCAAATTATGGCTGCTCTTCGACTGGATGAGCCTCTGCTGATTTATGCTAACTCATCGAAGCTTTCTCAAGAGTCTTGGAAGAAAGTGATGACGCTGGTCACGACAAAGGATATTTTCTCAATCATCGACTTTGAAGATGTTTTCCGAGCACTCGATCCAACTGGTTATTATAAAAACATGAGCAAAGTGCGCGACACCGCCATCGAAAAGATCCAACAACGATGGCTAACACAGATGGTCTTTGTTCTCGCAATTGATCCATCTCATCTTCCAGAAATCAACAAGCACTTGCCCTCATCATTCCGAATCAACGTGGATCGTTGGGAAGAATCCGACTGGATGACCACAGCGCATCACTTGATCAAAAGTCCTGGAAAAATAAACCAAGTTTGCACCATCTTCGCGGCGTACATGACAAAACTACCAGTTCATTTCTCGCCCGAGTACGGCTCCAAGATCTTGAAAGAATACGATGAGCTCGTGAAAATCAAGTCACAGCAGATTTCAGCGGAATTAGAGGAAACTAAAGCCGTGAATAACTCAATTCAGGAGGCGCACGATGCATTTAGCCGAAGAACTCTAGAATACAATGATGATAAAGAACGACTCGACGCAATGGTTAAAAACCTCGAAGAACTGAGAAAAGCATCTGATGATGCGCTTGAAGAATACAGAACTAACTTCAACAAAAACCTCGAAATCGAGCAGCGATTTTCCCATCTCCAGCAAATCGTCAACGTTTTACGAGAAGAGACGGATATTTCCAGCCGAGTCCATCCGCTGTTCCAAAAGGCGCAAAATGTTCTGAAAAACTTGGACATTCGCGATTTTGAAGAAATCCGAACTTATCGAAAGCCTCCAGCATCGGTTGTTCTCGTCGTCGAGTCCATCTGCTTGTTGTTCAACGAAGAGCCGACTTTTGAATGCGGAACGACTTTGCTCCACAAAGACAACTTTTTCCTCGAGCTGGAATTTTTCGAAAAAGAAAAAGTAACAAAACAAGCGTTTCAAAAACTCCGACATCGGCTCGAACGCGTCGACGAAAAGAAGTCGCCAATGCGTCTAAACCCGCTTTGGGGCTGCTTCACTGGCTTCAAGCAATCGTCGGCTTCTCCACAACTTACAACGAAATGCTTCCAACGCTCAAGCGGCTGAGAAAGGCAGAAAATGAACTAAACGATGTTCAAAAGCAGCTTGGCGAGTCGAGAGTCAATCTTGACCGGCTGAACAAGGTCTTTGAAGCTCTTGAAGAAGAATGTAGCGAAGTGAGCAAAAAGATGTTCGAATTGAAGGCGAAAATGAGAAAAGAAGATTCAGAACTGAAACACATCAAACAGTTCTTGAATGAACTCGGACCCTTCTATGACAAATGGAAAGCTAGGCAAAGAGAGCTGCAAGACGCCACTGAAAAATTGAACATTCAAACCAGAGTTCGAAATCCCGCGTTTGCCCGGGGGAAGATACGGGCACGGGCAAGAAAGTGAAGATTCCCGAGGGCAAAAGCGGTCACGGGCAAAAAAACGAATTTTCCCGCGGGCCAAGCGGGCACGGGCACAATAAAAAATATTCCCGCGGGCAAATTCGGGCACGGGCAAGATTCCCGCGAGCTTAAACGGGCACGGGCAGACCTTATGAAAAGTGTTTAAACTATTTAAATAGCGTGGAAATAGACACCAAATACTTGAGGGAGTATATTGAAAACTAATCTGCATACAGAACTGTTATGACGTGCTTTTTTTAAGGTTAACGAAGTTTTCCAGCCCATTTCCGCCTTATAGACCCCCGAACATTATACCTTTACAAATCAACAGAAAATTTTAAGAACTTTAACGGTTCAAAATTCTAGAAAACTCCACTTCCGGTCGGTTCTAGAGCCGGAAGTTGACGTAATTTAGGTGTTATGGTGAAGTGTGACCTATCAAATTGATGGGCTACACGACGTTTTGACTAAACCGACGTTCTCGCTAACCGACGTTTTCGCTAAACCGACGTTCTCACCAAAAGTCAAAACGTCGGTTTAGTCAAAACGTCGGGTTAGTCAAAACGTCGGTTTTCCTTAAAAATGCGTGGGCGCCTTGAATTTGGTTAAAACTCAGTTTGGAAACCGACGTTTTCGTCAAACCGACGTTTTCATTATCTTTCGAAAGATCTTTGTGAAGAGTAAAAGTTTAAGAATAATGAATATCTTCATTAAATTAACTAATATAATAAAAATAAATCTTTTAAAAATGATCTCAAGACCGATAAAATGTAAAAAGATCAGTAAATTATGCAGACTTAATATTTTTTTAAAATTATTGATTTTGTTATTCAAATAATAATTTTAAAATAATAAATTAAAAAATATATATTTTGTTTTTCCAAGTTAACAATTTCGGTTTGAGTAAGACGGCGGGCTTTAGACAGAATTTTTAATCCAGGAAGAGCCTATTCTCATTCGCTCTGATTGCCCCCGCATTTTTAAGGAAAACCGACGTTTTGACTAACCCGACGTTTTGACTAAACCGACGTTTTGACTTTTGGTGAGAACGTCGGTTTAGCGAAAACGTCGGTTAGCGAGAACGTCGGTTTAGTCAAAACGTCGTGTAGCCAAATTGATGCTCAGACGATTTCCTATCATTTTAGACGAAGAATCAAGGCCAACCGCGGTAAAATAAACCGGAAAAAAGTGAAGAAAAAATTCATCACTTTATGCCTTTTTTACATAATTTTAACGGTCGGTTTGACCAGGTTTGGGACTGTTTCTTCTGAAATATTGATTTTAGGATGACTCGAAATCTTCTGAGCATCAATTTGATAGGTCACACTCTACCATTTTAACTAAATTTCGTCAACTTCCGGCTCTAGAATCGACCGGAAGTGGAGTTCTCTAGAATTTTCAATTCTCGCTTCACCGACTTCAAATATGGCTTCTCCAATGTCCATCCCGGGTTCTTCGACGTCAATCCCGATTTCTCTATCGTCGATCCCGACTTCTCCAACGTCGATCCCGGCTTCATCCATCTCCATCTCGGCTTTGTCAACGCCAATTTTATCTTGAAGAAGCCATGATCGACATTCGAGAAGCGATGATTGACAACTGAGAAGCCGGGAGTGACGTTTGAGAAGCTTGGATTGAAGTAAGTGACGGTCGGATCAGCATTGAAGAAGCCAGGATTGACGCTGGAGATGCCAGGATTCAAGTTTGAGCCACCAAGATTGACGTCTGAAAAGCTAGGATCGAAGTTTTTGAAGCCGGGATTGAAATAAGTGAAGCCGGGATTGACTGTGAAGAAGACAATAAAAGTTATATGATCAATCAATTTAAACTAATTCACATCGCCGTTTGCCCAAGTCGCCGTTTCCGAAAGTTGGGGAAACGGAGACCATTCGGTCGTAGTTTCTAACTAGCTCCTAAAACTTGCGATTTAAAAATCCGAATTGATTCAGGGTCGTTTTTATTTTATTTTCTTATTTTGAAAAATAGGCTTGAGATTTAGCAGTAGAAAAAATGTTCCCCGGGCTGCCCTCGGGAATATTTCGTGCGGGAACGCGGGCAAACCGCCCGTGCCCGTTTATGCCCGCGGGAATCTTCTCATTCATGCCCGTGCCCGTATCTGCCCGCGGGAAAATTTGTTATAGTGCCCGTGCCCGCTTGGCTCGCGGGAAAATTCGTTTTTGTGCCCGTGACCGTTTTTGCCCCCGGGAATCTTAAATATTCTGCCCGTGCCCGCCCGCCCGCCGCCCCCTTGCCCGGGAGCCGCAAAAATTTCGAACTCTGATTCAAACCATCATCAGCGTCCTCTATGTCTTCATAATCTCAAGATGGGACAAAGAAGAGCGAGAAAACCAAATTAACATCTTGGGCGATATCTGCGAAAGATTCAAAATCACGCCGGATGAATTTTCTTCTGATGAAACTGTTCGTTGGTTGAAAATTGACAATTCGAAATCGTGGCCGACTCAGAACGCGAAAATCATTCAAAAATACCTTGGCGAAAGAAAAATCGACTTCTTCATCAGAAGTTGGAGCGAGTCGCCGACCAAATTGACCGACGAGCTTGTTCTTTCCCTCGTTCAAGCCGAGGAAGAAATCAAGGAAGAGTGGACCGAGATATTTGTGAGAAGACAGTTCCCAAAGTACTCGGTAGACTCACGAATGTCGGAAGCGAATGATGAAATGATCACTACGGAAGTAGAGTTGCTTGAAAAGAAGATTTTCGATGACATCAAGGCCAAGAAAACGGACATATGCGATCTTAGGTAAACTTTTACTGAGAAAAAGACGATTAAAAATATTTAAGTACGCTTCGAAAGAAGGTTTCCATCCGCCATCGTAACAACACTCAGTGGACTCAAGCTGAATCGGAGAACAACTCTCTCTCACAAATTTGGAAGAATCAAAGAGACTCCGTTTCTTGTGTCATTAACGCTGCATGGGATGCGATGATACTGCTAGAGAAAGTTGCTGATCCGCTCGTTCCTTCGAGAGTGAAGATTTTCACAGAAATTCTGGATAAGATGCCGCGACTGGCGACGATTGAGGTAGATGGCGTCGATTCGTCGAGAAAGATGCTGTTTTATGCTCATCTTTTCCCCGCTCTGAGATTCTACATGTCCACCGAAGTCGTTGATGATTATGAAAGCTACCTGATTGTTGAGAACTTGCCGCTGCAGGTTTCAAAGAGAGAAGAACTCCTGCAAATTCTCAAATCAAAGAGCTTCGAAAAGAAACTCGAAAACGAACAAGATTCACTAGAACTAGAAGAAGCGCTGGCCGATCCACAATTCAGCCCTTTCGTGCCATCTGACATCGCTTCCGACCCGATTGAGCTCATCAAAAAGGTCTGTCACATGGACGGACATTCTCGACGAATGAAAAAGCTTCTCCGATCAATCGCTCTTGGAATTCCAGGCGACGGCTTCCCACATACGAATTTCACTCCGCCTCGCGTTTTCATCTGCAGCAGAGAAGACAGATCTATCGCTCCGAAAAACATCGTCGCAGATTTGATCGCAAGCGGAACCAGAAACTTTTCGAGAAAAAATGATTCTGAAGACTTTTGCAGATTGGCGCTAGAAGATACCCTCGAATTCAAAAATTCAAAGGGGATGATTATTGCGCTTCGAGAAGAAAACGTCAATCACCCTGAGCTCAATCGCTGGCTTACCAGCGAAACAACTTTGCTCAAAGATTATCCTCTTCGGAAAGCAAAGCAAAAGCGGTTATTTTCGCTGAGTAGCCATCAGAAATGGACGCTGAACGAAATCTTGTCAAACCTTCCAAGATCGATTGACTCTAAAGTCGCCATTTTTATGTTGGAAGCAGCGAGAAGTGCGACCGATGGAAGATTATTTGAAAAAATTGTTGATGTTTTGAAAGAACAAGCATCAAAGATCAATTTGAATTCAGAGGATGAAGAAGAAAAGTCGATTTTAGAAGCGTTTTTGCAATTCGCTGAGCAAAAACTAAAGGTACAATGAATTTCTAACGATAGTTTCACCAAATAATCATTTCAGAAAACCTGCTGTTATGTGACCTCCATATCTCCGAATAGAACAGACGGTTTCCCCCTGGTCGCGATTTCAAAGTCTGGGACTCGACAAGAAGAATATTTAAACATTGTGCCCATAAGCGACTCGCTCGACGAGTCTTCAGTTGCGAAAAAGTTCAAAATGTAAAAACTGTTATTTTGCCTCTCTTTTTTATTTCTATATAATAAAATATCTATTTTTATACAAAAACAACTGTCTACTTTAGAAGTTCCAATAACTTATCATTCCGCGTGGTGCAAAATTAGCGGTCGCTAAAAAATCTTGAAAAACTGGCGCTGAGTACTAATTTAATCGACCGCAATATGGTAATATCCGCAAGTTCAAAGTCAGAGCAGGATAACGCAATAGTCTCACAGGACATGTCACAGGTTATTGGGTGGGTTTTAAGATTGTACAACTGCGGTTGCAATTTCGAATTTGGACAATTTCAAGTTATTTCTTGGCACTTCCAGAAATGCGGCTTGACTTAATAGTCTCTAGCGTGGATTATTCAAACGATAATTATCCAAAAGTTAACCAAAATCGTGGCATCTATCTGTATTTCATTTAATCGTCCTTGTTTTATATACAGTAGCAGGGGGCTTCCAAAGCCGGCTTATTAGGAGCCCGTCGACGAGAACCCAACACGATTATTACGATTGACACGAGACAGAGAGGCCAAGAGCGCATCGATTTTTTCGGCTGGCAAGAGCGTTGGTCCGTGAGCCCGACCCATGCTCAGTATAAAAGTCGTTTGGACACCAAAATTAGAAAATAAAGAACACAGTTGCTTTTTATTACAACCCATGACAATGAGAGCACCGATGAAAGTCAGAACTAAAAGGTAAAATAAAGGATGAAAATTATTCAAGAAACTTGCTTCGGGGAATTGAAAAACGCTCGTTATTTTTGAAAAGAGCCGAACAGATGGTCAAAACTCTGAGAATTCTTATGGGATTGCAAGCCCAGTTAAATTAAGCCACTTTGTTCTGATCAAGCATAAACAAAGAGAGAGAGCAAGGGACTAGTCATGTTTTGCTACTGTCCTCTGGCAAGCACAATATGTGTCCAATTATGAATTCGAGCGTCTTCCTAAGGGGATGTGAAGCTTCAAGCAATCCATTCTCTGAAAAACTAACACGCGCTGCTCTTCAGAACAATGGGCTGTATCATGACAAAAGCCAAAGACTGGTGAGTCCAAGATCTTTTAATCCATCAAAATTAAAACCGAAAAAATCGTGGAATTTTTGGCTTCCTCAGAGAATTGAAAATGAACTCGGCGAACGGCAAATTTAGGTATTTTTGGGAAAAGATGTAATTTTCCGCCACTTTGGAGGGGATCAATTAAAATTTGAGGAAGTTGCTTGATATTTTGAGAGGAGCCCTTGATAACCAGGATGTTAATTACACGACTAATCAAGTCATTTTCTTTTTAATGAAAGCAGAAAACTCAGAAATTGAACGGTTCACGATGACCCCACTTTCACATTGCGAGGTTTTCAAGTAAAATGTTCAGTTTGGGGCTGCTCATTACATATTTATTTAGAAAATAACGACGTATTAAGGAGGTAGTCCTTGCTTTTTTGCGATTTCGGTCCTTTTTGAACAACGCTCTGCCGAATATGAGCTTGAGTTAGAGGTTAAAAACTATATAGATAGAAAGGTCAAACCCTGATCTAAGTTTGAATTTTCTGGAAATAATTTTCGGCGCCCCCTTAAGGAGTAAGAGGGCAATAATCGAACACTATGCTTGAGAAATCGCCATTTTGGCCTATTTTCAAACGCGCCTAAAATCAAGGGGCGGTTTCAAAAATTTATACCAATTATATTTTTCGGAAGTTCATACCTTCTTCTAAGTTTGAATTCAGCGAAATAAAAAAAATCAAAAAATTAATATGTAAAACCATCGATCAAATCTGGGGTCTCAAAATCATGAAAAATGAGTTTTTTAAAGAAGATAAATCTTTAGTTATCTTTATAATAGACATTATATTTTTTAATTTTAATAATCTAGAAGTCATAAAAATGGAGATAAAGCCAAAACTTTGCATAAAATAAGCAAAAAAATTCGAGTTTTTGAAATTTTTTCATCAAAATCTCACTTTTCAAACGCGATTTTCGGGGCTTTTCTCTTACATTTAGAAAAAACTATTAGAACAAAGTTTGTAGATCTTTATACGAGCTTTCAGAATCTGCAAAGAAAAATTGAAAATTCCGGTTTTCTTAAAAGCGAGGACTACCTCCTTAATTTATTAATGGACCCCAAAACAGACTACGAGCGATATTGGCGAGTTTGACAAGTTCAGATCATCGTGTGATTCGCTAAAAGGCTTCATTACAGATTTTACAGCCTTTTACTGTAGAATATTACTGCTTTTTTCGAGTAAATTATGCATGCCGGAATAAAACAGTTGCAGTAGAAAATACAGTATTGATAAGAAAACAAGTCGCTTCTTGAATTTCGCTCTCAATCAAAGAATTATATTCATTTGGGAAAACAAGTCAATTTTCCGAATCATTTGCAAGTCGCTTTGTAGCTTCTAAAGGGTACTCAGCACTTCACACAGATTCTAGCCACAGTAGCTGACATTTTGAGTTCCAGTCGGACTTCCGTGTCCCCTTTCATCTTGAATCGTTTTTTGAACTTGAATGAATTGAATCAAAACTTATCCGCTTTTTCAACTCGCCAGATAAACATGAATAATTTTCTGGCCACGAGGGCTAAACAATTTGTTAACATAAAATTATCAGTTATCGAGCTGTTGTTTCCGAGCGTGAAATGAGCATTTCTCCCTTTGACCAAATCCCGCCTCTCTTGAATATTCTAAAAGTCGAGCAAAGTCAAAAATTGCCTCATTGTCAGATTAAACTCCGGAAGATATCGTGGCCGCTCCCCCGCCAAGTGCATTAGTGATTACTGTATTACCGCATTTTTAAAAAATAGCGAGCTTCGAATGCATTTTTCTTTTTTTTTTCAATTTGCAATCTTTGGCAAAAATAACATTTTTTCTTGAACAAATGCAAAGAAGAATGAAGAAAGAATTTTATCTCGTCAAATTGTTATTTTTTCTACAGAGGAACCACGTTTTAAGAGCATCCCAAATAATTAATAAATGGAAATTTTATAGATTTTTTTCGAAACATTGCGCTTTCAAACTCCACCCTTATCGTTCATGTTTATCACCAATTTGATAATTTATCAACAATTTGAACAAATTATTTATGCAAACGGAAAAGAATAATTTTCACACTGAGCATTTTTGCGATGGCGCGCGCGAGTTCTCGTGATCCCTCGTCCTCGAGCGGATAGCTGCTCGCGAGTAAAAATAAAGTTAAAGACGAGCAAAAATAGATAAGCACAACAAGTTTTGTAACCAAGAGAGTAGAAAAGAAAACAACTTAGAAAATGGTGCTTCGAGTTTTAACAGAATCAACAAACAGGTAAATTTTTAATTGAGAAAAAAATATGATTTTAACTACACAACTTCACAAGGTCTTTTATCTAATTGATTCTTTTAAATAAAGAAAATATTCGGATAAAGAAATAATTTATTTTCCCTTCCACTTTTAAGAACCCTTGTTCTCAATTTCCCCCAATTCTATTTTGACTATTTGATGACTAGAACTCAATATCCGCTTTCGAAAAAGCGATAAAGCAGTTTCTCTGATAACAAACCTAAAAGCCGACTCTCATGCCATAATATCTCCCGTTTGATAGTACCGCCAGTTTCTATAATAAATATTCATGTCCTTATCAAATTATCAAAAAGAAAGATCAAAAGAAAAACGGTTGCTTTCTCCCGAAAAAAATAATAATTATTGCATTATTTTTCTTTTAATTCCTATTTTAAAAGTAAACACGTGCTATCACCTTAATAATTATTACATAATTACTGAGGTCAATTCTTTGTTGAAGAAAGACCGTTTTCCCACAATCAGAATCGCCAGCAGACTCTTGCTTCCAAGGGCATCTCATCATCTGCGGAGTTTGTGGGAAACGGTGGCTTCTTGGACAGTAAATTGGAATTTAGATGAAAATACCACAGATGGATAGCGGCCCGAGCTTTAGTGGGTATTATTTCCCAACCGGTAGAAAAGAGTCTGAGAGTCTAATTTGCATTTCAGGAGAAAGGTAAAGGGCTTTTTTGAAGCTTCAAATGTTCAAATGTTTGTTGTATAAAAATCAAGCCCTGTCAGGGTTCAGAGCACGAGACCAGGGGATGATAGAAAACCACGTGTTGTCTGGCGGGAGACGGGTGATTAGAGTTATAGAAACAAAGATTTTGGATCATCAGAGAAACAAAACTCCTGACCGTTCAAAAAGTAACTTGATAACAAATTAATTGACAAGTTGTTTAATATTCATTTTCCCCGACCAAAACAAGTCCCCGAATTACAACTAGTACAATTACAACTTGCAACAACGATTAGGTAAAAAATGTTTTACTCCGCTAATCAATCTTTCAAGAGAAAATCGTTAAAAGATGATCTATCATCTTTAAAAAAATCCTCAGATTGATCATCATCGTCAATTTCTCATTGTAATTACGTCTTCTATCATCTATCAATTTATGTTTTCTTGACTTCGTATTTTTTTGACCATCGAAAAAGGAACTTTTCGCTCATCAAAAGCGTTGGTAATTTGTAATTACTCATGGCATGAATTGACAAAAATGAACCCATCGAAGCATGAAATCCATCACGCAGCTCGTAAAAATCGCCTTTGTCCTCTCCCTCTGACTTAGTAATGGGGCAAAACAAATAAGGAGCCAAAATAGAAGTAATCTTATTTTTTGGGCACACAGCTAGGAGTGATGCCCAATTCAAGCTCAGGCACACAGACTCTGACCTCATAAAACAAATCTAGAGGCAAACTCTGAGATAAATTTGGATAGATTAAACAATAGACGCAATTTTAACGAGAAGAGCAGGGAAATTATGGTGATAGCCTGGCGTAAACCACCAGCAAAAGTCGAAGCAGAGAAAATGCCCGGCACTAGAAAAACAGTCACGAGAAGTACTGAAGTTAGAAGGCCACTGAGTTGCTCTGCCAGTAGCTCAAGTACAGTTAATTCAACAAGAAGGTACCGATACTCTAGATTAGAAGTTTCAATAATTTCTAGAATCATATGAAAAATTTTATTTGAGCTTTCAAATTAAAATAAAGAGAGAAAATAAAATAAGAAAAAAATAATGACTTCAACTTCTACTAAAATTTACCTGCCCTTCCGAAACCCGTCGAGAACCGTGTAAGCCCCTGTTTTCTTCCCTCCCATCTGTCAGCAAGGTGGTAAGCCGTTTTGAGGCCAATTGTGGCGCTGCACCACCTGCACCGTTTTTTTTTCTCCCCGCCACTACCAGCTGGTTCGTTCCACTGCCGTGTTGATATTTATCGCAAGCGGGGGAGTTAAGATTTAGGCCAGAAGCTATTTTTTCTGAAAAGGGGCCACTTCGTTTTTTCCGAAAAAAGTTTTTTGGGTCGTTAATTTTTTAAGACCAAGGCTTTTTTTCTAAAATCCTAAATGGAAAATCCTAGGATGAAAAAATCGCCGGTGCCAGAGATACGAATGACAGAAGCGGCTTTGAAGAGACAGGCGAAAATCAAACAGGTAATAATTTGAAGTAAATTTTGACCTTCTACTAGCAACGGCGACACTTCCCTCAGGGCATGTTTTTCTTGCCTTTGGGCGAGGACGATTTCGCTAGTTTTCGAATTCTTTAAAACTAGATGTCCACTTATAAACTTGGTTTACATATGAATTAATTTAGGACAAGGAAAAACCTCTCCGATCGACGCCTCCAACAACCCGTTCTGCATCTGTCTCCACCGGGCCATACCCTCTTCGTAGACCCCTGAGCACTAGAATCACACGGTCTACTTCCAATGCCATCGCAATGAACAACAACAAATTGAAAGAACCAGAAACCAGCGCGGCGAAAGCGAGAGCTGGAGGTGAGTCAAACCCTTTAGATTATATTTTTATCGCCACAGTTTGAGAGCTATTAATTTTTTATCAAAATATTAAACAAAAAATGTTCAGCGAAAAAGGCGAAAATAGAAGAACACTCGCCAACACTGATCCGAAGAGTGAAGTCAAAGGAAAACGCGCTGCGGAACTCGCCCGGACTCAGCTCTAACAATAAACCAATTTCAAAAGCAGGAAGTCGTGATAGAATCCCGTCGTCAACTTCTTCAACCTCGAGAGTCAGTTCTAAAAAAGGTAAGAATTGGTATTGATAGTATAGGTATTGATTCTAACTGGCGGCGTTTAACAGAATTACTAGTTGATCACGCTGCTAGGGCAAAACTCCTCGAGTCACGTGTCGAGGAATTGGAAGCAAAACTCAAGGATGTTACGAATAAACTAACGAGAGCGGATGAACTCGTGACGATCATCTTCCCTAGCGTGCTCAAACAAAAGGACCAGCAGATCAAAATGATGGAAGAAGCGGCACTCGAGAAAGTGGCAGAGCTCACCAGCAGAGCTGCTCTTGAAAAGTAAGAAAATTTTCTCCCAATCATTTTTCTATCTCATCTCTTTAGAGCTGTAAACGCCGAGCAGATTGCCAAGCTACAGCAAGAACACTCCTCCTCCCTCGCCGATCTCAACGCTAGAATCGCCGAACAAACGACGAAGCTCTCCGAACTTTCCAACCAGCTGAGCGAGTCCCAAAACGAACAGAATCAACTGAAAACCGACATTTCCAACCGAGACTCGATCATCGCCGAATTCCCGAAGCGGCTGGAAAAGCTAGCGAAAGAAAACGACAAAAAGATTTCAGAAGAAGTCGAACGCCGACTCAAGCCTTACGTCGAGGCAAAGAATTTGGCGGACAGTATGAAATTTGAAAACGAAGAAAAAGCGAAGCAGAACAAGATCTTGAGGCAGAAGAATAATCAAATCGTCCTCGAAAACGAACAATTTCGTGAGGAGATTGAGAAGTTGTCCAAGTTCAAGCATATTGCGGAAGATCGATCAGAAATGGTAAGTTGTTAGCGACGTTGAAGTTGTTGTTGTTGCTCTTATTGATCGGTCGCATAAGAATTTCTTCTTTTATATAAATCTTCCAAATCAATTTTTACACTTATGGTTTCCAAGAAACTCACTTTCTTTTCAGATCGAGAATATCAAAAACCACAACCGTCGTCTCCAAACCGAAGTAGAAACCGTCCGACAACGACTCTCCGCCGTCGAGGCCGAGAAAAACCTGCTCAACTGTTCCCTAGACGAGGAAAAATTCCGCTCAGAAACTGGCCACCGCCGACTTTCGACCAGCTTTGTCTCTTCCCATGAATGCTCGACACTCGACGAGACCGTCTTCCATTCCTTCAACGAAAGTTCTGCTTCTCCATGAAAATAATTTTTATTTATAAAGCCCTAAGAATTAGTGATTGAGCTTTTTTTTATCGAAATCCAGAACACCTGGAGAAAAAAAAAATTCGCTCAGCACTTGATTATTTTATTCGATTCGCTGTACACTTCCTTTTTATTTGTCAAAAAACGTGATAAGGTTAAAATATCTGTAAATACATTTAAAGCTAAATGATCTTTGAATCTTATCTTTGAGGCAAAGAAAGGGATGAACGTGAGATTTTGAAGATGAGAACGTGTTTTGATTAAAATGAATTACCGGCTGCGTGTCAGATCGACGAATATGTATATTTTTTGCCGTCTGCATGTTCAAATCTGCATGAAACTGGCAATTAGAAACGCAAGTGTCAGAATGCCTCGTCGATGATATGTTTTTAATCCGGATTTTCGCTGGTGGAGGATACAATCTCTTTCGCATCCCCGTGTTTCGTAAACAAGAAGGGCTTCTCTTGAGAATCTTGAGCGGGGAAAACCGCCGACCACTCGGCAGGATATCATCATAGTGACCGCCCTGATTACTGATAAGAAACGAGACGATAGTGTTTTTCCAATTCGACAACTGGGTAGCAACGGTTGGATTGTAGAACTATCGGAAAGTGAAAAACATGCTAAATTAATCTAGCAGCAAATTAGATGATTCTAGCGCTTGAAAAACTAGAGCATCTGATGAACAAGTCTCTTATCTTGTCAAAAATGCAAGAATAAGAGCCTTGACCTTGTTGATTTATGCTTGTAAGTCTTACTTAGAAATAGTCCTCAAGTGGCCATTTTTTCAAGAGTTCTGACTTTCGCCCTTCAAGGCAAAAATGATAGATTTAATTTGATTCATCTTTGTTCAAAATGCAGTCGCTTCAAAAGTCAGTGTCCCGCCCTGCTTTAAAAATTGGAAGAATTCGTGTTTTACGCATTCAACTCCCAACAATTCGGATTGTTGAACAAGCTGATGCAAATTGGACAACGAGAATCGAGTGCTCCAAAATCGATGCTTTCCTGAGTCATTTCCATCTAAAACCAGAATATGAATCTCCGTGTAAAGTGCCACTTGAAATTATGAAAGATAAAGCGTTTCAAGCGGAAGTACCTAAAACTGGTGCTATTTATATTCTCAAACAACATCTGCTGTTTAGGCAAAACATCATTTTAAACATCTTTTTTCAAAGAGTTGAGACGCTATTTTCATCCTTTTACTGCGAAACATGGAAGATTGAATTTGTAAATGATAATATCTAGCAATTAAAAAGGTCTAAAGAAAGAATCGAGTGTGATTTTCTCTGAGAAAGCAGTTGTGGTAATAATAGTCATTTAGAGGGTTGAAAAAGTGTTAATTTTCGAACAAAACCGCGGGTTCTGATTTTTCAACGTCGAGCTAGAAACGTGCCGAAATATCTTACTCAAGAATTTGTTCTATAGAACCACAGAAAACATGCAAAAATGAGCGAATCAATCAAAAATAGGAAGTCAAGTTTTCGTAAACGCGAAAAATCGACCAGAGCGGATGTTGCGCTCGCTACTAAGAGAAAAGCAAAAAACGCACGAAATTATAGAAGGGGACGAGATGGATGTCCTAATTAGAATGATGAGTCGCATTGACGACGTTTTGGAGACAGTTGGAAGGTTTTTTCTTGAAATCGTTAATTTTAAATTTACTTCCATTTTAGCGGGGATGTAATTTCTCTCCCTCAAATCGTCGCGATCGGCTCACAAAGCTCGGGAAAATCGTCGGTTCTCGAAAATATCGTTGGACGAGATTTTATTCCTCGTAACTCAGGAGTCTGCACCCGCCGCCCGCTGAAATTGGATTTGATAAAAGTCGACAGGACGCAGGAAATAGTAACCCTTAGAAAGGCAGCTTTAGATTTGATAACAACACAATTGCGAAACTATTCAAAAAGCAAGTTGAAGGGCGAGTTTACGAAGAATGGGCGGTTTTTGCTCATTTGCCTGACAAGGTTTTTACTGATTGGAACGAAGTTGGACTTGAAATCGTCCGGGAGACGGAGAGACTTTGTGGAAATAATAAGAACATTTGTGATACGCAAATTGGTCTAAGAGTCTTTTCGCCGCATGTGGTTTCACTTACGCTGATTGATTTGCCAGGAATAACAAGGTTTTCTGAAAATTTGGCCAGCGAATTCAAACTAAGCTATTCTTTTAGAGTTCCTGTTGGTGATCAACCTGAAGACATAGAAGATCAAATCGTTGCAATGGTCACGAAGTACATCAAACGTCCAAACACCCTTATCTTAGCCGTAACTGCTGCTAATGTTGATTTCGCCACGTCTGAGGCAATTAAATTGGCAAGAAAGGTTGATCCACTCGGAAAACGAACACTCGCTGTTTTGACTAAAATTGATTTGATGGGTACTAATAACTATATATTGCTGCGATTCCAAGAGCGTTTCAGATAGAGGAACAGATGCGATGGATGTGATTTCGGGAAGAGTTCTTCCCGTTAAATTGGGAATCGTGGGTATTATGTGCAGATCCCAGGTAAGATAGGGTAAAGAAGTGGATGACAATGGTTATTTAGGCCGATTTGAACAAGAAAACAACGATCAGAGAAGCACTCGAAAAGGAGAAAAAGTTCTTCCGCTCAAAATATCCCTCTGTCGCTGCGCGATCTGGAAGTGCCTATCTTCGAAGGAGCTTGTCAAAACTTTTAGTGGAGCATATCCGTGCAACGTTGCCGGAATTAACGATGAAAATTTCATTGTTGAGGAGGCAGTTTCAATCGCAATTGGCGGCCTATGGCGAGCCGGTAAAAGACTTTTCAGGAAGTTTGGAGATTCTGCACCATTGAATTGAAATCAAGGAAGAGAAAATCGGAATCTCTTAAAAGGCACGCTACTGTCTCTTCTAACAAAATTCGCCAATGACTACAGGCAGGAGTTTAATTTCGCTCGCTTTTGAAAATTACGTTCTATTTGCGATCAAGCCGCAACATGGTCAGCCACAATTTGACAGCTCGATGACCTGTAGTTTTTGAATCGTTAAAATGCAAAGTAAACTCGTCTGAAGCGATATCATCGACGGTGCGGGTTATTTCACGACTGACGAGTTGGCTGGTGGGGCAAGAATTAACTTCATCTTTCACGATACTTTCGGAAACGCTCTCGCGCAGGTTAATCCTCTTGACGGAATAGGATAGTGTTGAAAAAATGATAATGGTAATGGCTTGTCTTATCTATTGCTAATAGACAATTGGCAATCCGGACCGTACAATTATCTCCTATCCAAAAAAGCGCCGGTTGAAATTCTGACATCAATCAGAAACTCCTCCGGAACCAGCTCAGCCGTTTTCATGCCCGACCGGAGCTTTTGTACTCTCGTGAAAAAGCAAATTCTCCGACTTGAGGAACCAAGCATCCGCTGCATCGAACTCGTACAAGAGGAGCTGAAAAGAATTATAAATGGTAAGTGACATATTGCATGTAACGTACAGAGCATTCGATGAGGGAAATCATTGATACAAGCACTCGAACTCAAGTGGTCGTAAATGGTCATTTTTAGACGCGCTGTCAGCGGAGTACCAGCGATTCCCACGACTTTCAAACAAGCTCCGCGATGCCGTGATTTCTAGCGTAACTTTTCTTATGACAGCGTCAAGAACTTTCCTGACTTTCAGATCGAAATGAGGACAGCGCCGGCAAAAGAATTTATTTCGAATTTCATCAAAAACGAGGTGTCCTACATTAACTGCAAGCATCCGGACTTCCTTGGAGCCAAAAAGTCTGCCATCAGCAAAATGACAGGCGACTCAGAAGTACAGTTATTCCACTTGAAAGTGTCTTATCTTTTGACTAGCAAGCAACGGAAAAACGAGAATGCGCAATTGTCGAGTTCTTGATCCAGTGCTACTTCAACATTGTCAGAAAAAGCATTCAAGATCACGTGCCCAAGGTGATCATGAATTTCATCGTCAACGCTGTCAAAGATTCGCTGCAAGGATTCCTCGTGACGACTATTTACAAGACCGAAAGTGGAAGTGAGAGGAACATGAAAGAGCTGCTGGCGGAATCGGAATTTATTGCGCAGCAACGGTAAACTCAGTTTTTCGTATAAGTAAAAATCAATTGCAGAAATACCAAAATTGTCGATATCAGTAATAAACAGTTCCATTTAGAGAAGAACTTACCCACATGCTTCAAGCATATTCACAAGCCGAGATGATTCTCCAATCCGTTCGAAACGAAACGAACACGCTATAATTTCATCTCCAGCTGTGCATTTTTTACCAAAATTGACGACAGAGAATAAATTGACAAAATCCTGAAGCTCGGATCGCAAGCAGGGCAAATAGCAGCGCAGCGCCTGCTTCCGTTTTAAAATTTCAGCCGAGCGTTAAAACAGAAAAAATAGGAAGTTGCTAATGGAGGCGAGCACCTGCGCGGTTAACTTTTTTGCGAGGTGATATTCTCTTTCGGAAATCGGTCGTTATGTTTTCTGGGAGGACAGACCTTGAAGACGTTTGAGCATTTACTTTGTCTTATGGTCAGTAATTCAGCTAGATACGGTTTATTTTCACTGACCCTCCCAGGATTCTTCATAAGAAGTTGTTGAAAATATCAGCGAAGAAAAATTTGAGCACACAAATTCCTCGGGATAAAGTATTTAAAGAATTTAAGCCAAGTGGAAGTCGAAGCGCGGCGAGCATCTTTCATCTCCCTCTGAGTGGGGTTGTTTGCCGAGTGTCCAAATCGAGAATTCGTCAATTTCGTCGTTGAAAATCGACAGATGCAAATAAGTACTGCCCAGGTTCTGAATACTTATGGCGCCCTCCTGGCGGAAATCTATCTTCTCAAGCAGGGGAAAGTAGAAAATTAAGAAATAGTTAAAATTCATCAATTTATTTTTCATATGTTGTATGGGTAGAAACATTCCACCTGACAACGATAGAACGTAATCGGAAGACCTTCCCGAAAAGTGAGCCATCCTAATGGTGATCTATTATTCAGTAAACCAACAGTCTTTTATACGTGAATTTCGATTGTGAAAATACAGTCAGTTAAAAGACATTCAAAAGATTGAATCAAAGCTTAGATTCTACTGTAGTTCAAAAATCGCTCTGTAGTTCGAAATTCTCACTGTTGCGGAACTAGTAAACATATTCGATCGGAAGATTTTAACACTGATCCGACGCCACAGTAACGCGCAGCAAAAAGTGATTACGCGACCATGCGAAAGGGCCCTTCTCCGTTTGAACTTATAAAAAGACGTCTGAGTACCATTTTTCTACTTCGAGCAAATGACAGGAGTCCTCATAAACTGTACCGATAGGACAAGATCAAGCATCTGAGCACGTTTTAAGCTCATTTGGCTCATTTCCAGTCACACAGGAATTTTACTGTAAGAAGCCGTCCTAGAATTTATCAAGTTTTAAAACGAGATTCAAACGAAGAAACCTAGCAGTTTGAGCCTAATTCTAGCCGTAGGGCTCTTTCTATGAGGTATTTTAAGAGACCCTACCTAAGCTTGTGTGCTAGAAATTGACGTTATAGCCTATAATAGGTCTATAACTTATAGGTCTAAGATTGTCTAAATTGGCTCTGGCTTGTATATCTTCTTGAGCCATATTAGCTGCGCCGATTACCTAGTCAAAAATCTCATGAGAAGCGACTGAATTACAAGAGTCTGAATTACAAACTCTATATTATAGAGTCTATAAGACTGTGATCGGTCCTTTTTTTACTAGAAACTTGATTATTCAAACTTTTTAATTCAAGCTCAAAATTGGAGCACATCATCGATTTCTTGCTGAAGAAGACCGACTACGATGATGTTTACGCCAGGGTAGCCCAAGAAAAAGAAAAATGGCAAAATTTTTACTTTACAAAAAAATTTTCGACTTTCGACAAATAGACTTTAACATTTGTCCAAACAGAGAACTTGCGCTAGTGGTGATGTGCCTAATCTCAGTCCTAGCACCACATAACTAAGTTACGTGATCATATCACTAAAAAGAGAGAAAATTTGATAAGTACCTAAACCTGACAGCATAGAACTGTAAAAAGAAAAGGCGATAAAAGACGCTAATCAGAGGTTATCCTTGTATCAGAGCACAGTCGAACACACTCGCCCGAGGCAATGTCACAAGATTTGCAAAGATATGTTTCAAGCGGAAAGATAACGAAATTGAAGAGCTTTCTTGACCAAGGTAAATTTGATTTGGGTTTTTCGATTTTTTTTCTCTTCCTTGATTTCAAGAAATGATTTTTCCAAAAAAAAAATATTGAAATGTAAGGCGAAATAACTGCAGAATTAGGGGACCTCAAACGATGCTCAAATTTGCTCTCACTTAATGAGTAAAACCTCAGCTTGAATGGTATTTGGCCAAAATTATGAGCGCTCAGCGTATTTTCGCCAAATCTTTCGTCCAAAAATGAAGCGTTTTTCAAGAGAACTAAGGCGTCTCTCCAAGCCAGAGGAAAATGATAAGGGTAACTCGTTGATGCAAATTGAAATGTGGCCCAGCTGTGAACATGATTCCCTAATGAATTTTATTAGTCGAAATTTCACGGGCTGCAAAAGTTTTACGCTGCCGCAAATTAGCCCACCCCAGAGAATTTTATGCAGCACTGTGAAATTATTCTTAACAATAAACTTCAAGGAAATGTTGATATCGATGAAAGACTTCCGAATGGGTGGACGGCGCTGCATAGAGCCACAGAAGAAAATAAAGGTCAGGTGGCAAATGGCATCTTCTTTTATTGACTTGTCTGAATTTTTGAGTCTTGTACTGTACTTTTCAATTGCCATTGTCATCTTCAAATAAGTCAAAATGATGAAGACTCTGATTGATTACAATGCCTCAGTAGATGGTTAGTTTGTGTTAGCAACCGCGTTTTCTATCGATAATTCTAGCAAAAACAGATGCCGGCTTCACGCCTCTGATGCTTGGTGTCCAGTCTGGAAATCTCGAAGCCATCAGACTTTTAGTAGCGCACAATGCAGATGTCAACGCACAAAATGGATATCAAGGTATTTTTTGAAGGATTCAATGATCGAGAATGATCTTCAATGAATCTGTCAAGGGTCCCTTTCTTCCTTGAGTTCATTTCATAATTCAGCCACGCCGCTGATGCTCGCCGCGGCGGAGGGAAAGCTTTCGATAATTCAATTCCTGCTGAAAAGTGGCGCAGACCCTGAATTAAAGGACTACAGGAAACAAACGGCCGCCGACTGGGCAGAAGAAAGAGGAAACCACGAAGTCATTTCCTATCTCACCAAATACGCCCAAGATCAGCGTAAGTACTCTAGGACAGCTGTGTTTGTACTGAAGTGCATACTTTTATGTCGTGTAGTCGGGAGCACAGATTTATTGCGTCACGAAATCTTATAAAATACTGATTCAAAATTCAGATGGAAGCTTGACAAAAAACGAAATCGCGGAAATCATGAAGCAGCACGAAAACACTGGAATGGGCAAAAAGCGCAACTCGCGTTCCTCCTCGCTTCAGCCAAAGAAAGACTCGTTGTTCCCCGCTGACCTCTCCAAAATTGACGAAAACAAGGAGGTCACCGCCGATGACCTCAAACTCGGCCTGTCAATTGGCGGCGCCTCGTCCTCGAAGCTGCATCGTCCCAGCGAAGTGTCCATAGTTTCAAATTTTGGGGAGACGGACTATTTGCAATTGCACAGGTGCGAGAAAGGCTTACTTTTGACAAATAACAATTTTCAGAGCTTCTCAAACAAACGCTTTCTTTTAAATTTTACGGAACTAACTATGCAAACTTCAAACTTTGCAATTTCAATATTTATTAAACTCGTTTTTTCAGTACAATCACGTCATTACAGGATCGCATCGCTGAGCTCGAACTTCGCGTCAAAACCGACCAAGGTAAACAGAAATGCAATAAATCTCGGCATTCCATGAAAGGCACACACAATTATCTTGATTTTTTAAAATGTTCCTGTGGTAAATTGATGGATATATGATGGTACTATCGACAGTAAATAGAACGTCGCTAGGAGCAAAGACTACTGTTGTTTCTTCGAATATTTGAGTCGAAAATCGCTTCAATCCTGCATTTAAGACCTGATTCGACGACTAGAACGCGTAGAATCGCGCCTTGGAATCAACGAAATGATGACTCTCGTCGAACGAAATCGTCAACTTGAAGAAAAAATACGAACACTGGAAATCGAGTCCAAGAAAAATGCAGAAACGACGAAGAAAGAAACCAAATCAGATGACAAAAAGTAAAATTTTCTAAATCTTCCAAAATAACTTTCAAAAACTGCTGCGCTGGGACTCCTCCGCGCAAATTCACAGATTTCATGACCAACAATCTCTGTAATCGACTGTATAGCTTCTAATGAAGATTCAAAATAGAATATCACGGTTATCTTTATTGGTGAAAAAAGACCTTTTCTGGATAATTATACACCGAAAAGGGAGAAAATTTTAAGAAATCTTGATTATTGATTTGTAGTAATTTCTTGAACTTAAAGTTTTATAAAAAGGCACTCGATTTTTGATGTGATGGATGCAGAAAAGAGGAAAAAGTCGCTGAAAGAGCGCGGAGCAAGTCTTTTTCGAAAACTGTCAATGGATAGCTGAAGAACTTGTCTAATTCAGATCATTGAAAATATATTTTTTTATTGAGATAATCGTGTTCTAGTTATTGCAATTTTATAAATTAAGAGAAGACCTGCTCTAACCCTGCGAATATTGACGCAAATTCAACAGTCAGTTTGATTAATAGTTTATTTTCAATAATTTTTCGGCAATTTTCATGGTGAACACCAACTTGTAGAAGTTTAGCATAAGACAATGGCATGGTTTAACATTTCGCGATACGGTTTCCCGCTACTAAATTTTTGAAGAGCGTTCTCGTCTGGCGTAAATTGTTAAAATGAAGAAGTTTATTGTTTCCTGATTTGTTCAAGCGCTGGTTCCAGGTCTGGAATTCCCTTAAAATAATTTTTCGTAACGACAATTACGATTTTAAACCATTACCTGATGGTACATATTGCATGCATCCGTATGAGGTCTTGATGAAACAATTTTATAATTGTTCCGATTGAATACGTCCTCGTGGTCATTCAGTCTGAGGCGTTTTCTGCCACTAGATGGGGGGTCTACTTCGGGATTTGAACCACGTGGAGTTGGTAAGTAACTTTCTAGCATCGTTTGCTTCAGTATCTTTGCAGAATGTTGTCCGTCACATTGGGAATATACGCAATTGAGCAGGATTTCACTGTTCAAGTTAACATTGTTTCCCTTGTGTGTCCGTTTTGTCCCGTTATTTTCGACTATCGTTGCGTATATTACACACCTTGTTCCAGCCGGTCGTGTAATTTCTTGGATGCTTGGTGATGAGGAACTTGCGGAACTCATATTAGCTGTGTTCATGAGATTACTCTCATCATCAGCGTTGGGCATCCATTCTGGGTCCTCTAGATCACCAGAGCGTTTCCGCTTTCGGGGGTTTCCTCCTTTTGACTCGACCTCAACTGAGGCATTAGATGAAGCCGGGGTTTCCTCGCCGGGACTCGGCCCAGGAGGGTTATCCGTGGGTAGTGACCCGCATGAAGATGGGGAGGTCTTCGCCTCTAAACTTTCAACTAATGGACGTTTTCGTACGAATTTCCGATAACAAGCACGGTATGTGTCGGTATTTCTCACTTTTTTGTGCAAAAATTTTAACATTTTTATGTCCTCTTCCGTAGCGGGTTTCCCCTCGCGCATAGCCCTCTCCATCTTTTTTATGTGGTTGTCGAGTAAGGGCCAGTATTCTCGCTCTGTCTGTATACATTCTCTAAACTCTCTCTCCAATAGATCTTTGAGATCCGTCATCGTGAAAAATATATCTCAAGTGAACGTGGTTTTCTTTGACATTGACTCGAAGTGAGTGAGTGACAGATAAATTGCTGAGTTTTAAGAAGGCCGGGCAGCGAATCTAGAGAGTTACTCGAATCTAGAGAGTTGGCCGTCAAGAAAAAAAGAAAAATATCCATTTTTCTGGATTCTTTCCGGCCTCTCAATCTATTTTACATCAAAAAGCGTCCTCAAGTGGCTCCAATCTCGAAAAAATGCCCATCTAAAGAGAAATTTTCGTTTCCAAGCAACGCTCCCAGTCCACATACAAAAGCAAAGAGCAGGGATCATTATTTCAACCAGCTAAAAGAGATTTTTACAGCATCAAGAGCTTCTGATCTTATCGGTAAGTGAAAATAGAGAAAAATGTTCTGGAGGAGTTTCTAGAACAGCTCTGATTGTTTTTCATTTTTCGGAATTTTGTCAGTTCTAATTTTGCACCGGCGAAAACAAGGTAATTTTTAGATTTTTATGGCTTTTCAATTATTTTGGGGTTGTTTTGCATTAACGGAAGTTCACAAAAGGGATTTAGATGAGCGAGATCGAGCTCTCGGTAGCCCCGCCGGAGAATGTTGTGGACATCTTCCGCAACTCGGTGGAAATTTCCGGCTGGCCCATCGAAAAATGGACCGAAGAGCAGCATTCCAAAGCCGTCGAAGATTACTGTAAAGGAGAAGAGCCGCTGATGCTCATTTTCCTCGACAAAGATGAAGAGATTCAAATGCTCAATCGGGTTCCACCAAACTTTGACAGCCGCGAGTTCATTTACATGATCAAAAAGCCAGAAACAGAGGTGACGTTTGAAAACTTCTACACGGAGGTTCAGACCGGATCTATTGTCGGCCAATCTGCCGTTGAATCACTTCTCAGGTAAAATTCTCAAAAATTTTCAAAAAAGTCATTTTCTCTTTTAGATTAATGCATGGTGTCTACGCACCGATTTTCTTGGAAACAACATCTCTGCCAGAAACGATATCAAACGATTTCAGCGCTAGAATGCACCGATTCTTGGCCAGTCTTACCGATGTCAGACATAAAATGGATGGAAAGACAGTCTTATACATTCCGGAAGAAAAGAAATGCCCAGCTGATTATAACGAAGCAATCAAAGACAAGGTAAATTTTCACCATGGATCACTTTATCCTCAAATTTTTTATAGGAACTTGTTGGAAGACTGGAAGCCACGATGATTCAGTGGACTCGACAGATCAAGGAAGTCCTTAGTGCGCAAGAAGCAGTAGAAACTAACGAAAACGCCGGTCCTCTGGACGAAATCGAGTTTTGGAATAACCGCTGCAAAGATTTATCCGGACTCTCGAAGCAACTTGATTTGGAGGGCGTGAAACGAGTCCAGAAGATTTTGTCCGTGGCGAAATTGAGTTACGTCAATCAATTCGATAAATTATCGAAACTTATTCAAGGAATGGATTTTAAAGATTTTCTGCTAAAACTTAGCGATAGAAGTTTTATTATCCATTGAAAAGATGGCTCCGCGCAAGCTCAGTCTAACTTGAAATTCCTGATGTTGCTCAAAGAGCCCTGCACAAAACTTGGAATCAGTCACCCAAAAGATGTTCCCGCTCAACTTACGACAATAATCCGAATGATCCGTATCATCTGGACGAATTCGCCGCACTACAACACCCGTGAGCGGCTCACCTCCCTCTTCAGAAAACTCAGTAACGAAATTATCCGCATCTGCTGCAAGAGCATCAGTTTGGATGCGATTTTCGACGGGCGAGTCAAGTCATCCATTCGCAATTTGATCGAATGCATCGAATGCTGCAACAAGTGGAAGAGAATCTATCGAAAAACCGCGCTTAGTCAGCACAAGTACTCCAGTCAGGGATGGGTTCTAGATCAGTCTTCGATTTTCGCGCAAATCGACGCTTTTGTCCAGCGATGCAAGGATTTGATCGAAGTCTGCAACTGTCAGATTCATTTTGCTCGATGGGAAGACGGCGAAAAGACACGAATGCCTGTTCTTGGTGGCCAGCGAGGCCCAGAAGTCACAAGATCCCTGTTAGAAATTGAAGAAACTTTCCGAAAGAATCTTCACAACTTGATGAAAGCAGAAAACGCCATTCTCGACGTCAAGAACACCTCCTGGCACGAAGTTTTCACGCGTTTCCGAACTGCCGTAAAAGAGTTGGAAGTCATGGTCCAGAATTTGATCACCTCCGCGTTCGATACAGTGAAGTCGGTGGACGATGGAGTTATGCTGCTCAAGGTTTTTGGACACTTCAAAAGTCGAGAGGCGATTAAACGTACGATTGATAAGAAAACCGTAGATGTAATGCTCATTCTCAGCGAAGAACTGAATGCTGTCAAGAAAGAGCTCTGGTCGAAGCGCTCAAGCAAGGCGTTTTACGATTTGCCTCAGCACGCTGGCCAAGCTTATCAAGCTCGCCTCCTTCGCCGCAGAATCGATAGATCATTCAAAGTCATTGACGATGCGAGATGGTTGGTCAAAACTGGCTCTGGCGAAGAAATCAAGGCGAGCTATAACCAGCTAACGACTGCGCTAGATGAATTTATCCGTAAAGTCTTCAACGAGTGGGCAATTACGGTCGATCGTGATTCGTACAAAAAACTTGAGAGTCCACTGATGGCGCGATCAGAGCTGCAGAAAAATCTCCTTGACATGAATTTCGACCCGTACTTGCTGAAATTGTTCTCGGAGATTCAGTTCTGGGAGATTTTGATGTTCGAAATTCCCCACTACGCGGCTGATGTTTACCAGAGAAGAGACGAGTTGAGAAGCTTAAGAGAAAATGTACTCCTCGTTGTTCGCGATTATAATAGAATCATCCAGGATCTCGACGAAGACGAAATCGGCCTCTTCAAAGAACGAATCAAAGTACTCGACAAAAAGGTCCAACCAGGTCTGAGCAAGCTCAACTGGTCCAACGGAACTGGATCAGAGTACTACATTACCGATTGCCGAGCACACGCATCGAAAGTTATGCAGATCGTCACTGGCTACAAGAGCGGAAATCAACAAATCGCCAAAAAGTGTCGAGCCATTTCTGAAGACCTTCTCGTCAAAATCAACAACAAAGAGGTTTACGAAGAACTGGACTTTTACGAAGACCAGCTCGATCATAAAGATGAAGTCAGTAAGCGGCTGCAGTTCTATTATTCGGATATTGTGAACGAGATGAGCAACCAGTACAACATGTTCAAGCGGGACTGGACCGGCAACGCCGATGTTTACAGGCACTGGGTCAAATACACGGAAAGAATCGACCAGTACATGGAAGATGCTTACAGAATCAACGTTAAATACAGTCTTCACGAGATCTTCAAGGCGATCAACGGCGACGGAAAATCAGCACCGAATCCTCTCTTCAGAATCAACGTTATTCTCGAAGAAAAGAAACCTGATCCAACCAAAAAGCGCCATAAGAACAAAAACTTTTACGAAGTACAGTTCTCCCCTCGCCTCGAAAAGCTTCAGGATGTGATCAGCACGACGATGTATAAACTGACCTCAGCTTTCCGTGGAATCCGTAGATTGCCCCAAATCTTGACGAAAAATGCACCGCAAACTCGATCGATCGCGGAAGTTATTGACGATGACGAGGAGACGAAAAAAGTGCGAAAGCTTATTTTGGAAGGCATCGAGCGAAACAACGATCAAGTCAAGGAATGGTCAACAATGTGGAATCAAAACTACATGGAATTCTGGAGCATCAACAAAGATGCTTTCATCGAGAAATACGATACGATGAACAAGGACATTTCATCATTTGACGCTGATCTTGCTCGATACCCTGAAACTCAGAACAATGTCCAGAAAGAAGAAGCGATCGTTATGATTAACTTCGTGCTTCTCGATTCCAATCCAATCAAGTTGTCCATCTCGCGCCATTGTCAAGAATGGCTGGATAAGTTTACGGGTCTTCTCTCCCGCCGCGCTACAAAGCGACTTACTTCTATCATGAACTTCATGGAAGAAAACGGTGCCGCTGTCACTACTCCACCAGAAGATTTGGATCAACTGTCTGACAGAATTGAACTCTGGGAAGATCTCAAGGCGTCTCTAGAAGAGAAGAACCGCGAATTGCCCGTCATCCGGGAGCATTTCCTGATTTTGGAAAAGTATGAAGTCACAGTACCAACAGAAACACTTGACTTGCTCGACACGATGCAAGATGGATACAATAAATACGCGGCTTCTGTTAACGAAGCGGAGGAAATGATCAAAAAATCAAAGGATAAGTTCAAGAGCAACTTGCTCTCCAATGCCGACGAATTCAAAAAGACCGTGGCGAATACGCGCGACGAGTACATCCGAGAAGGACCGTTTGGGGCCAATATCGCTCCAACTGACGCGCTTGCAGCTATCGCTCAGTACTTCGAAAACTGCGCTACCCTTCGCAAGAAAGAAAAATCCATTCGAAGAGGTCTTTCGATCTTCAAAATCGACCAAAGTGAGAATAAAGAGCTCACTGAACTCGAAGAAGAGCTTCAACTCCTTGAAACGATCTGGAAAATTGCTGAGAACTGGGATACTCTTTGGAACGAATGGAAAGTCACGAAGTTTGCTGATATCGTCCCCGATACTCTCGAGCAAAAAGCCGCTGTTTGCTTCAAAGACATTTCAAAGCGACAGCGGGAAGCTAAAGATAAGGACAACTGGACTATCGTCAAGTCAACAAAAGACACAATCGTCCGATTCCAGCGAACGATGCCTCTCGTCACTGATCTCAAAAATCCGGCCATGCGCGATCGACATTGGCTTGAAATCAAGGAAGACATTGGTACACCCTTTGACCACGAAACCGACGACTTTACTCTCGACAAGATCATCGAGCTCAAACTCGATCAACACGTCGATAAAGTCTCGGAAGTCTCAGGCGCTGCTTCCAAAGAATTGGCAATCGAGCAAGCTTTGGCTGATCTCGAAACTGCTTGGTCAACCATTGAGCTGGAAGTTGGTCCCTACAAAGATCGCGGACACTTTATTCTCAAAGCACCTGATGAGATTTTCACTCAGCTAGAAGACAACCAAGTTACTCTTGCGACAATGAAAGCCTCTCGATTCGTCAAAGCATTCGAAAAGACTGTTGATTACTGGGAACGAGCTCTGTCTCACATTATGGAAACGATCGAAATGATCCTTCAAGTCCAGCGACAGTGGATGTACTTGGAAAACATCTTTCTTGGCGAAGATATTCGAAAGCAGCTGCCAAAGGAATCCGCTGAATTCGACATAATTAATGTTGATTGGAAGACGCTTATGACCACTCTAAATGGCGATAAGAACGCTCGACGGGGAACGCACAAAGAAGGACTTCTGGAAAAACTCACGGCGATGAATACAAAACTTGAGGAAATTCAGAAATCACTTGACATGTATCTTGAAACAAAACGACAGATCTTCCCACGATTCTACTTCTTGTCCAATGACGATCTTTTGGAGATTCTGGGTCAGTCTAAGAATCCACCAGCGGTTCAGCCTCATATGAACAAGTGCTTTGATAACATCAAGGCCCTCCAAATGAAACCAGTCGCCGGAGCGATCAACAAACTCGAGGCTGTTGGCATGGAATCTTCCGAAGGAGAAATTGTGCCGTTCGGATCACCCGTACTTCTCGAAGGCCCAGTCGAAGCCTGGCTTTGCGATGTTGAGAGAACTATGCGATGGACTCTTCGAGAAATTCTCAAGAACTGCAAGATTTCTTTGAAGAAAATGATTACAAAGCGAGAAAAATGGGTGAAAGAATGGCCTGGTCAAATGACAATCACAGCATCTCAGATGCAGTGGACAACTTCTGTCGAAAAAGGTCTCATGCAAGCTAAAGAACGCCAGGACAAAAAACCAATGAAATCAGTGAAGAAAAAACAAATCGCCTTCCTCAAAAAATACGTCGAGTCTGTTCGAGGTTCTTTGAACAAGAATCAGCGAGCTAAGATCGTTGCCCTGGTCACGATCGAAGTGCACGCTCGGGATGTCATTGAACTTCTCATCAAAAAGGGCGATTTCGATGAAAACTCCTTCGCTTGGCTCCAGCAACTTCGTCTTTACTGGGACAGAAAGATCGATGATTGCATCGTTCGACAGACCAACACTCAGTTCCAGTACGGCTACGAATACCTCGGCAACTCTGGTCGACTTGCTATCACTCCACTTACTGATCGATGTTACATCACACTTACAACTGCGCTTCATCTTCATCGAGGTGGATCGCCAAAAGGTCCTGCCGGTACTGGTAAAACTGAAACCACAAAGGATCTTGGAAAAGCACTTGGAATGTACGTCATCGTCATTAACTGTTCCGAAGGTCTCGATTTCAAGAGCATGGGTCGAATGTACTCAGGTCTTTCGCAAACTGGCGCCTGGGGATGCTTCGATGAGTTTAATCGAATCAACATTGAAGTCCTGTCTGTCGTTGCGCAGCAGATTCTCTCCATTCTATCAGCTCTCTCTGCTGGCCAGAAACGATTTATTTTCGAAGGTCGGGAGATCAACTTGGTCTGGTCTTGTGGTATCTTCATCACTATGAACCCCGGTTATGCTGGCCGAACTGAATTGCCAGACAATCTCAAGTCAATGTTCCGACCTATTTCCATGGTTGTTCCTGATACTGCTTTGATCGCGGATATTATTCTCACTGGAGAAGGTTTTGACAACGCTCGAGGTCTTGCTAAGAAGGTCGATGTCCTCTACTCCTTGGCCGTCAAACAGCTTTCGAAACAAGATCACTACGATTTCGGTTTGCGTTCTATGGCCGCTCTTCTTCGGTACGCTGGTAAAAAGAAACGAGCGAATCCAAAGATGAACGACGATGAAGTCCTCCTTCTCGCTATGAGAGACATGAACGTAGCAAAACTCACCTCCACAGATTTGCCACTTTTCAATGCAATCACAAACGATCTCTTCCCCGGTGTCGATTTACCAACACTCGACTATGGCCAGTTCAAGGTCCAGATCGAGGAAGAGCTCAAAAAGATGAACATGCAGGTTTCTGCGAATGCCGTTGGCAAGGTCATCCAGCTTTACGAAACGAAGAATTCTCGTCACTCGACTATGATTGTCGGTGCCACTCAATCTGGAAAGACAACGACTTGGAAATGCTTGCAAAACGCGCTGAGTTCCATGTCGAAAACTGGAGCAGAAGGTTTCGAGAATGTTATCGAGTACCCTATCAATCCCAAATCTCTGTCCTTGGGTGAGCTCTATGGTGAATTTGACTTGGCTACAAATGAATGGGCTGATGGTGTCCTCTCCGCGCTCATGCGAAAAGCGTGTTCTGATGATCGACCTGATCAAAAATGGCTGATCTTTGACGGTCCAGTCGACACACTTTGGATTGAATCTATGAACTCTGTCATGGACGACAATAAAGTCCTCACGCTGATTAATGGTGAACGTATCTCGATGCCCGAGCAAGTTTCTCTTCTCTTCGAATTATCCTCTCTCGCTGTTGCCTCTCCAGCTACAGTTTCTCGATGTGGTATGGTTTACTTTGATAGCGCCGACTTGGGATACGAACCTTTCTTGAAATCCTGGCTGAGCACAAAACCAAAAGAGTTCCAGCCGATTCTAGCGGATCTTTGCACAAAATACATTGGCCCTCTTCTCGAATTCAAGCACCGAAACTGCAAGGAACTCGTCAAAGTGAACGAAGTCAACTCTATTCAATCCCTGACTCGTCTTTTCGACACTTTTGCCAACCAAGAAAATGGCGTCGACGTCAACGATGCTGAGAACTTCCCTACGATGCTTCAGTATTGGTTCGTTTTCTCACTTATTTGGTCAGTAGCTGCTGGTTTGACAGAAGAAAGTCGAAAGCAAGTGGACACTTTCCTCCGAGAATTGGATGGAACCTTCCCGAACAAAGACTCAATCTACGAATACTGGGTTGATGGAAAACAGTACACTTGGCAGAACTTTGAAGAAAAGCTTGAAAAATCATGGCGATACTCTTCCTCTGCTCCTTTCTATAAGATCATTGTTCCAACTGTCGATACTGTTCGATATAATCTGATTGTCTCAAGTCTCCTAAAGAATAAGAACCCTGTTCTCCTCACTGGCCCAGTTGGTACAGGAAAAACGTCGATTGCAGAAACCGTCCTCGACAGTGTTTCCGCCGATTTCAATCAATTGACGATCAACATGTCCGCCCAGACAACATCCAACAATGTCCAAGACATCATTGAAGCCAAGGTTGAAAAGCGAACTAAAGGCGTTTACGTCCCAGTTGGCGGTAAAAACCTCATCTGCTTCCTTGACGATTTGAACATGCCCGCGAAAGACACTTTCGGCTCGCAGCCACCCCTTGAATTGTTGCGACAATGGATGGATTACAGTTTCTGGTACGATCGAGAGAAGCAAGTTCAGCGAGAAATTCGAGGAATGTTCATTCTCGGCGCTATGGGACCCCGGTGGTGGAAGATCAGAAATTTCCGACCGTACCCAGAGTCGATTCAACCTCATCAACATGACCTTTCCATCTGATGAGCAGATCACCCGAATCTTCGGAACGATGATTAATCAAAAACTCCAAAGCTTCGACGAATCCGTCAAGCCGATCGGACTCACCATCACGAAGGCTACCTTGGAAGTTTACCAATCTGTCATCGAGCGATTCCTTCCAACGCCAGCAAAAATCCACTATCTTTTCAACTTGCGAGATATCTCCAAAGTCTTCCAAGGTCTTCTTCGAGCGAACAAAGACTACCACGACACGAGTACAGCTATGATCCGTCTCTGGATCCATGAGATCTACCGTGTTTTCTCCGATCGTCTCAATAACGAAAAAGATTCCGAAGCGTTCCATCAACTTGTCAACACAAAGCTTGGTTCTCTCTTCGACACGACTTTCCATGCCATCTGTCCGAGCAAGACGGTGCCCGTTTTCTGTGATTTCATGAATCCGAACGGCGTTTTTGAAGATTTTGAAGAAATTTCAAAGCTGAAAGCGTACATGGAAGAACAACTCGAGGATTACAATTTATCTCCCGGCGTCGTCTCTATGGACATCGTTCTTTTCCGCGATGCGATTGAGCATGTCTGCAGAATAATTCGAGTTATCCGCCAACCAAGAGGAAACATGTTCCTCGTCGGTATTGGTGGTTCCGGTCGACAATCTCTCGCTCGTCTAGCCGCCTACATCTGTGAATTCAAAACTTTCCAGATCGAAGTGTCTAAACATTACCGATCAAATGAGTTCCACGAAGATCTCAAGCGTCTTTACTTCCAAGCTGGTGTTGAGAATAAGCCAACCTGTTTCCTTTTCACCGACACTCAAGTCGTTGAGGAAAGCTTCATGGAAGACATCAACAACATTCTCTCGTCGGGCCAAGTTCCAAATCTCTACCGACCTGAAGATATGGAGGAAGTAGTTGGCGCCCTAGGCCCTGAGGCGAAGAAAGCTGGAATTCCGGAAACTTCGCAGGAGATTTTCAAGTTCTTCATCGAACGAGTCAGAAACAACCTGCATGTCATTCTTTGCGCTTCGCCGATCGGTGATGCTTTCCGAAATCGAATCCGACAGTATCCAGCATTCGTGAACTGCACAACGATTGACTGGTTCACTGAATGGCCTAAAGATGCTCTTTTGGAAGTCGCCGAGCGATATCTTGAAGGAGTTGATCTTGGTGGCGATGAGATTCGAAAAGAAGCAGCAATTATGTTTATGATTATGCACAAATCCGTTTCAAATGCATCAAAAAGAATGCTGGAAGAACTAAAGCGTCATAATTATGTGACACCAACCAACTATCTCGAGTTGGTCAGCGGATACAAAGTTCTACTTGCTGAAAAACGTGAAGAAATCGGCTCCCAAGTCAAGAAGCTCAGAAATGGTCTGTTCAAAATTGACGACACACGTGACAAGGTCGAGAAAATGTCTGCAGAGCTTGAAATCGCGAAAGTAAAAGTCGCTGAATTCAAGAAGCAGTGTGAGGAGTATCTCGTCACCTTGGTCCAGCAAAAGAAATCAGCTGACGAGCAGCAAAAACAGGTTTCCGCAACGCGAGAAAAAATTTCTCAAGAGGAAATAAAATGTAAAGCAATTGCAGACAACGCCCAGCGAGATTTGGACGAAGCCACGCCAGCTCTAGAAGCCGCCGTCAAAGCCCTCGAAAGTTTGAACAAAAAGGATATCACTGAAATCAAATCATACAGTAAGCCGCCACCACTGGTCGATACCGTCCTTCAGGCTGTCATGATTCTCCGACAAGCTGAGCCCAGCTGGGCCGAAGCTAAACGTCATCTGGGTCAAGGTGATTTTATTCAGCAACTGATCAACTTCGACAAGGACAACATGAGTGACAAAACTCTCAAAAAAATCGGCCAATACTGCGCCAACTCCGAATTCCAACCGGACATCGTCGGTAAAGTCTCTAGCGCCGCCAAATCTCTCTGTATGTGGGTCCGTGCCATGGAAGTCTATGGTCGAATCTTCCGAGTCATCGAGCCAAAGCGAAAGAGACTCAACGAGGCTACAACTCTTTTAGCTGAGAAACAAGCCATTCTTGCTGATGCCGAGGCTAAACTCCAGGCCGTCAATGACTTGATGGACAATCTCAAAAAGCAATACGAAGAAAAACTCGCCGAAAAGATGCGACTCGAGAAAGAAGCAAAACTCACCGAGGAGAAACTCCACCGAGCTGGTATGCTTGTCGATGGTCTTGCTGGCGAAAAGGTTCGATGGACTGCATCCGCAGAAAGATTGGAGGAATCTATTGCTTATCTTCCTGGTGATTGCCTCATCGCGGCTGCTTTCTTGTCTTACATGGGTCCGTTCCTGTCGAATTACAGAGACGAGATGGTCGAGCAGATCTGGATCAAACAGATCAAAGAACGAAACATCCCTTGCTCACCAAAGTTCTCTTTCGCTAATTTCCTCTCGAAGCCAACCACTGTCCGAGACTGGAATCTCAATGGTCTTCCATCCGACGCTTTCAGTACCGAAAACGGTGTCATCGTGACAACTGGTAAACGATGGCCTCTCATGGTTGATCCTCAAGGTCAAGCCATCAAGTGGGTCAAGAATATGGAAACGAAGAAGGGTCTGAAAATCATCGATTTGCAGCAAAGCGATTTCTTGCGAACTCTTGAAAACGCAATTCAATTCGGTACTCCTGTTCTTCTGCAAAATATTCAAGAAACGCTTGATCCTTCTCTCAGCCCTGTTCTCGGAAAAGCCTATTCCAAGCAAGGTGGTCGACTGGTACTCAAACTCGGTGACAAAGAAATCGAGTGGAATCCTGATTTCCGATTTTACATCACTACGAAATTGTCGAACCCTCACTATCCTCCCGAGATTTCAACTAAAGTCAGCATCATCAACTTTGCTGTCAAGGAGCAAGGTTTAGAATCTCAGCTTCTTGGTGCTGTTGTCCGAAAAGAACGTCCCGATCTGGAAGAGCAAAAGGACTCGCTCGTTGTCAACATTGCTCATGGAAAACAAAAACTTCAAGATCTTGAAGACGAAATTCTCCGACTCCTTAACAACGCTCAAGGTTCTCTTCTTGATGACGTCCAACTGGTCGATACTCTTCAAGAGTCGAAAGTTACGTCCAATGAAGTCACCCAGCAGCTCGAAGATGCGGAAGCGACTGAGATTAAAATTGATGCTGCTCGAGAAGGCTATCGCCCAAGTGCCAAGAGAGCCTCTATCCTCTTCTTTGTTCTCAACGATATGTCCTCCATCGATCCTATGTACCAGTTTTCTTTGGATGCCTACATCAATCTCTTCAACTTATCCATCGACAAGTCGCCAAAATCACCGAAAGTGGAAAACAGAATCAACAATTTGAACGAGTACCATACCTACGCGGTCTACAGATACACCTGTCGAGGTCTTTTCGAAAAACACAAAATGCTGTTCTCATTCCAAATGTGCGCGAAGATCATGGAAGCCGCCGGAAAACTCAACATGGAAGAATACAACTTCTTCCTTCGAGGCGGTATCGTCCTCGATCGAGAGGGACAAATGGACAATCCTTGTGCTTCCTGGCTCCCAGAACAGCAGTGGGATAACATCACAGAACTCGAAAAACTGACGAACTTCCACGGAATTATGCCGTCATTCGAGCATTACCCACGTGACTGGAAGACTTGGTATGTAAGCGCAACACCAGAGACCATCGAAATTCCTGGTGAATGGGACGCTCAGTGTAACGAGCTACAGAAAATGATCATTGTTAGATCACTTCGACCCGATCGAGTCAGTTTCTGTGCCATGAGCTTCATCATCAACAATCTAGGAGCGAAATTCGTGGAGCCGCCTGTACTTGATATGAAGGCTGTTCTTGCTGATTCAAGCGCGAAGACACCTTTGATTTTTGTCCTTTCTCCAGGAGTCGATCCAACTACTTCTCTTCTGTCCCTCGCTGAGAACTCTGGAATGTCGAACAGATTCCACGCGCTTTCACTGGGTCAAGGTCAGGCGCCTATTGCCACCAGAATGATCAAAGAAGGCGTCAAAGAAGGTAACTGGGTCTACTTGGCTAACTGTCATTTGTCCCTCTCCTGGATGCCTTCCATGGACAAGCTTATCGAGCAGATCATTGACGGAGACCCTCACCCTGATTTCCGGCTTTGGCTCTCTTCGTCGCCGAATAAAGAATTCCCCATCGCCGTTCTTCAGAGTGGTATCAAGATGACTACTGAGCCTCCAAAGGGTCTCAAGGCGAACATGAAGCGATTGTATCAAAACATCTCTCCGACTCAATTCGAGCGATGCCAGGCTCAATCCAAGTACAAAAAGCTTCTCTTCGCTCTTTGCTTCTTCCACTCTGTTCTTCTAGAGAGAAAGAAGTTCCTCATGTTGGGTTGGAACATCATCTACGGATTCAACGATTCTGACTTTGAAGTCTCCGAAAATCTCTTATCTATCTACCTGGATGAGTACGATAACACTCCATGGGACGCTTTGAAATATTTGATCGCTGATGTCAACTACGGTGGTCACGTTACGGACGATTGGGATCGAAGACTCATGCAGAGCTACATCTATGACTATTTCACAGATGCTGCGATCGAAAAAGACTACTTCAAGCTGTCCGCTCTCGACAAATACGTCATCCCCAAAGATGGCCCATTGAACACCTACATCGAGTACATCAACATGCTCCCTAACACCGACCACCCTGAAGCTTTCGGCCAGCATCCTAATGCAGATATTGCCTCTCAAATTACTGAAGCAAGAACCTTGTTCGAAACCCTCATTTCTCTTCAGCCTAAGGTCGCAGCTGCCGCTGGAGGTCAATCACGAGAAGATAAGGTGATGGAATTGGCGAACAACGTTCTCAATCAGCTTCCGGAAATGATCGACTACGAGGGAACGCAGAAGATTCTCAAGGACGATCCATCTCCTTTGAACGTCGTTTTGTTGCAAGAAATCCAGCGATACAACAGCTTGCTGGGAATCATTAAATCTTCGCTCAGGGATCTAAACAATGCGATCAAGGGTTTGGTGGTGATGAGCTCTGAGCTCGAAGAAGCATTCACTTGCATTTACGAAACGAGAGTTCCGCCCATGTGGGAGTTTGCTTACTCTTCGAAGAAACCCCTCGCCGCGTGGACCCGTGACCTTGTTCAAAGAATCGAGCAATTCGCCAAGTGGGCCGAGTCCGCTAAGCAGCCGCACATCTTCTGGCTGTCTGGTTTCACCTTCCCGACTGGATTCCTCACAGCTGTTCTTCAATACAGCGCCCGTCAGAGTGCTATTCCCGTAGACTCACTCTCCTGGGAATTCACCGTCTTCAACGTCGACGAGTCGAACATTGTAAATCCACCAGCTGACGGTGTTTACGTGAAGGGTCTCTACCTGGAAGGAGCAGGCTGGGACATGAAGGGTGCACAACTCATCGAAGCCGCTCCCATGCAACTCACGACTCCAGTGCCAGTCATTCACTTCAAACCAACAGAGGCAAAGAAGAAATCGGCGAAGGGAATGTTTGCTTGCCCGACTTTCTACTATCCTGTCAGATCGACAAGCTTTGTTGTTGCTGTTGATCTCAAAGCAGGTCAGTAAATTTATTATATAATGACTCTTTTTTCTTAGAAGAGATTTCTATCTTTCTAACATTTTTTTTCAGGAGAACACACATCCGATCACTGGGTCAAGCGAGGAACCGCCCTTCTCATGTCACTCGACCACTAAAACTATTTTATCTTCTGATTCAAATTTCTATTTTATTGTTATTATAAATATATATTTTCAAATCAAAATGATTTCATTTCTTCTCTTCAAAGAAGCAAATGAAATGGTGTTCATGTTTTACTGCAGTTGATGTGTATAACGCACGATTAGACAGATTTTGGTTTCGAAAATTAGGCCGGATTATCCGACTTCGCCAGCTCATTGATTAGCTAATCAAAAAGAAATTGACGTTTCTTGTCGAACTTCGAAAACTAGTGCAGATGTCTTTTCGATGCATTAAAAGCAAGCCAGTTGAGCTTTTTCAGAAGCTCCAGAAAGCCTTTGAGTTTTGCTGACTAAATTATTGAAAATGCAAAGCTGGTCCAGATTTATAAGAACTCCGAGCGAGAGAACAGATAATTTGAAAAGAGAAGAACGAGTATTTTTTATTTCTGCTCTTCCGAGCAACTCAAGCAGGTATTTTTGAGTTAATTATATTTGTGAAATACAGTCACAGGCTGCATTGATTTCGAAGGGGGTAATTTAAGCGATTTGGAAATGATCAGAGTCGATTTCGATTGCGCTAATTAATCATTTTCCTACGTCGCATGCAGTTCAGCAAAATTGTACATTCATCCTTTTTTTAATTGTTTATTTTTGAAATGGATGTTATTGTTTATTATAGATCTACCTCAGAGAATTCATCTTACTACGTTTCTCTTCATAAATCGTAAGTTACAATTTTAATTTGTTCATTGATAATTAAAATTCATGAAGTGACAGTATAAAATGGTCGATGCCCTGTCCAATCAAGCTTTTGGAAAATTATCAGAAAGTTAAACAACTTGAAAAATCAGCATTGTCGACGAAAGAAAACCTTTCCAAGGGTTACACGATGTTTTTCAACGAAAATTCAAGGAAGAATTCTCAGGGCGTGCAAGTTGAAACAAGGTTGGGTTGAATATTTTTTTTCAAAAGCGATCAGCACTCAGTTGACTGGTCTTCCCATTAGCCGGCTTTTGACCGACCGGTTCAGACCCCAGACCGTTTTCCCGGTTGGAAGCGGTTCGGTTTTCCATCAATTCACTTAACCTCTTAGTCTTCATATATGACCGAGGTGCCTTCCACATAAGCTTTTTATGGTCTTTCACCAAGAGAGCAATATCAACCCCACTCGCAGCAGCAACCTGGCCAAGTGCGCACGAAATGGCGATAAAGTGCGCCAAGCGAAAGAACACTTTGATTTTGAAGTTCAATCAGAGGCAAAATCGCAGCAAAACTTCGAAGCGCTGCAAAATATTTCGTCGATTCTTCAAAATCGACCAGAGTTTTTAGAACTTGTTACTTCAAGGAAAAAAGTTTCGCCAGAGAAAATGAGACCGAGGTATTTTTTATAACTTTCGGCATTTCTATGGTTTTTTTTTCAGACCGACGTACAGAGATTTCCTTCCGAATCGAATCAGTTCCAACGCAACTCTGATGAATTCCTCGCCAAATGTGCCCCCACACGTCGTCACGTGGATCCATTCCGGCGGACAGACTTCCTTCAATCACGCCCAAAGAGTCCCAAAAGTCTACCAGCTCCAACCTGGGTTCAGGGATGAAGAGGAAGAGGAGGATAGCGCGTAAGTTTTTTTATTACTCACCTTGGCACAGTTAAAATACACGAGCACTTATTTTTTAGACACAAGAGGAAAAAAGGCGACAATGTTGCCAAAGCAGGGTACTGTAAAAAGCGCTATAAATCCAATTTATAGATCATCGTCAAAAATATAATCACAATTATATTCATTATAATCATTTTTCGTTAGTTTTCGTGAGTTCCTGAACTTCATTATTTTTTTCAGCTTGACTCGGCTGATAAAAATGTGCGGAAAATGTTTCGGCGATGAATCAGATGATTCTTCCTCTGGAGGAAGTTCTAGTGAAGAAGGCTCCGATGGTGGCTCAGATGATGATGATGACGGTGATTTTTCTTCGTATAAAACAATTAACAAAATAACTTACACTGTAATCCCACTTGCATTCATAACAAACTCACCCACTAACAACCCCTCCTGAGCCCCAAAAGTCGCCGTAACATGGCTCGAGAGAAAGCTCTGGTGGCTTTTGTGGGATATGGAAGAATCCTCGGATTCGTCATCTTCCAGCTCTGAGAAAAAGAGACTGGACGATCTTGATGACTTGATGGATTTGAATTCGCAGGCGGGCACGATGGACAGCGAGCCGTCTCTCGGCGGCGACAGTACTGAAATAGAATTCGGATAGTAGGCGATTAGGTCAAGACTTGACAAGGAACTCAGACTTTTCAGCGCAATGTCGGATGATGGATTTGGTAAAACGGAGAAATCGATACAGAGACTTGTATCAGCAGAATTTTTACAATACTTCATCTTTGTCGTATTCCGTTCTTTTTAAAAGGGATCCGTGATAATTAAAATCAAAATTAAAGATGCTGATGGTGGGGATGAAGTGTCCCTAGATGACGATTCCGGCGGAGGAGATTCCGGAAGCGACGATGACGATGGAGACGGAGATGACGACTCCATCGATACAGATGCGCTAGATGATGACATTGCGAACGATCAGTGGAACAAGTAAGCTAGCAATCACGTGTGAAGCCATAATCGCGGGATAATTAAGCATGGACGGTGATAACATGGACGGCGGCAGCGTTGACGGCGGAATGTCCATGGGCTCCGACTTTTCCGATAGCCTGACAGAGCTGAGAGCCGGTGGGAGGAATTTCTTTGGCGAGATTCGGTGATCACTAAAATGTCGACTTTTTCTACATTTTAGACGAATTTTTACTTTTGCTTCTTTTCCAAAATGCGAAAAGATGATTTTCGCTTATTGAAAATCGCAATTTTTATGAACATGATCCAATAAGTTGTGTGATCCTAACTAAAGAATTCGGTAGATGCAAATAGCTGCGATACGATTCATGCACTGGAAGGCGTGTCCAACGACACCTGGAGTATTTACTCTTATCACGAGTACTGAACCATCGAAACCTTACTTTGACCAATAAAGGATATTTGCTGCGTATTATCGTTCATTTTCTACTCTGAGAACATTCTGAAAATCGTTAATGTCAATTTGGACCGTTCTCATGTAATTGATTGTAGAATCGGAGACTGTGCGTGGCTACTCCTTTCACACAAAGTAAAAAAAGTCAGGAATATTTTGGAGATTGACTACCAAGAAGGTGTGTCGAAGATAATGGAGGTTTACCCATTTACTCCTGATCAGTTCAATTACTTGGGTTTGTTACAATATTCTTGAATGTGAAAAAAAAAACATGATAGTGTAAATGACTTGTTTGTTTAATTTTATACATATCTTATGGCACAGAGAATATCAGTATTTACAGGCAGGTAAATTGTTACTTAAATGTCATCAAAGTTTTTGACTTCGACAGTGTCTGGATTCGAAAAGTCCAGGCCTTTCCGGTTCAAAAATGGGGTCAGAGAACTGATCGCTTCTGGTAGCTCTTCTCCTGTTACTGTACTTGTTCGAGAATCATCTTCAAATACTGTCATTTTTGTTTGGTTTTGGATGACTTACCGATAAAGGAGAGTCCGCCACTTGTTTTAGCCGATTCCCAGGGAATAAAATACGATCCCTGGTCCGATTTTCGAATTCTATGGACCAACAATAGTCCAAAGAACACCACAAGGATTAATCCACCAACTCCAGCGAGTGATGCTGTGATAATACTCATCATTTCTTTTTCTCGTTTGATCTTGGTAAAGGTTTAAGAATAGTACTACTCATTGAAGCTAACCTCATTAATTTGCATGCTTTGATCAGCCTCGGCATTAATCATTTCCATATTTACAGGGATTACTGTTGGTTCAACCATGCTTTCGTCAGAATCAAAGGAGTTTGATATCGGAGAAAACTCAGGCTCAGATTGAATCTCAGGTGTTTTAGTGGTGGGTTCATGCTGGGGAAGGTGACCTTTTCGGTGATTTTTACGAGAGTGGGATTTTCCCTTCGCTTGTTTTTTGGTTGTCGGAACGATTGTTGTTGATGTTTTAGTAGGAGCAGGTTTAGAGGTTGTTAGGTCCAGCTCGTCCAGGAAAATGACGACACTGGCGTCATTGCTTTCTTCCTGACCCGACCCTTCTTTCAAATAGTCAAGCGAACTTACATCTGCCAACGACTGGACCTTTCCGACTTCAACTTTTCCGGGCGAGTATCCAATAGGAAGTGTTCTGAAAATTATGAGTAAAAAATTTTATATGCTCGCTTGAAACCTGGCAGTTCTGGACATTTCCTCGGTCGTCGTTGGCATATTTTTTTGATCAAGAAGATCATCGCAGAAGTCAAAGAAGCTAGCATCGTCGGAACTGCAAAGTTCTTCGTCTGTTTGTGATTTTTCGACTTCAATGAAATCAAAATCGGGTTTAAATTCTTTTTGAATTGTTTCGGCTTGAACTCGTGTCTCGGAAATGAAATCTTCCAAGATACTTTCCATTGTTGTTGTCACAATTTCTTCTTTTGTTGTTGTTTCTGGGAGTGTTGTTGATGTTGTTTTTCCCGTTGTCGTTGTTGATTGAGAGTTGGTCGAGATCGGTAGAAGGGTTTTTCTTGAGATTTCAATTGTCGTTGATGATGTTGAGGTAGCTGTCGTTGTAGTCGTCGTTGTTGTTGTCGTGTCGATTGTTTCAGTCGTATAAGTGAGTTTTATTTCTTCCCTTTCTTTCTGTTGCAAAGTGATAACATATTCAGTTCCTGGTTGAAGATTATTTGCTAAGATCTCATTCTTCGTAAAGTCTAGTGTCAGGCTGAGCGTGCGATAGAAATCGGGATTCGTGAGTATCATCGGTTTTGTTGAAGAAGATTCGATATACGCGCCGGAAATTTGAATGTCTTCAAATTTTATTGTGATTGAATCTTTTACCATGATTTCATTTCGTATTTCTTTCTTTGTTCTATTTCAAATATTGAAATCATTCCTGAAGAAATTGTCGGAAAGAACTTTGGATCGGGAGGAGAAGTGGTGAAAATAATTGTCGACAACTTGTATGGTCGATTTCCATTGATCAAAGTTCCGCGAATGTTGAGGTGATATTTGGACTCAGGAAGCAAATCCTCCAAAACAAACAACTTATCGATATCATCAATTTTGTAAAACCGAGTCGTTGTCGACATTCCATCATCATCACGAGAGATATTCAGGAGCAAGTTTTTGAAGACTGAGTTGAACTCAAAGTCGTTTTCGAAGGCTTTTTTCAAGTTTATTTCGCCGCCAAAAGCAGTGAGGTTTTCAACAGCGGCGGTGAAGATTATTGGCTGGGTTTTGAGGATGATTGGGTGGTTAGTAGACGCAGTGAAGCTTCTGAGCGACTGGAAGAGCTCGATTTTGTATTCATTCTCGGGAATCAAGCCTGAGAAGAAAGGTGAATAAATGTTAAAATGTGTTTATTGAGTTTTTTTACCTGAAATAATGACACTGTCTTGTGTAGAAATGACTTCCTTAGCATATCCGAAGTTGTCAGATATCTTCAAAAGCGTTTCATTCTGGAATCCTCGCCATTTTAATTGTAGACTTTCAAACGAAGATTTTTGCTCTTCAACAATGATTGTCGCATTCAAAGTCGTAAAGGAAGAGTTGTATCGAACGATGAAATCTCCGATTTTTTCCTCAATCACGACGTCATACGGAGACAAGGGAGTGAGCCCATAAGTGGCCCCATTGAGGGACAATGAGCGCTGCTCCGGCTCAAGAGCAATTTCGTACGAGTCCTTTTTGTCAAGCACATTTGAAATTTTGAAACTCTTTCCGTCCGAACTGACAGCTGGTACTGAAGATGTAAATTCGAATCTCGCTGAAGTTTCTGTGATGTCTGAAATATCCATGGAAAGTTGTGGTACGGGCATGTCAATTTGAAGTGTCGAATTAGCAAGATCTATTCCATTTTCATCGGATAAGATGACTGAGAGAGTGAAGGATGATCCAGGCTGAACATCATTTATTTCGTAAACGATTTCGGTCGAATTCGCGATGATGCTGCGGGGTTCGAGGTCGAGGGAAGTCTTTGTTCTTATTTCGTCCACGTAATCGGCGAAGTCACTTGCCAGTCTTATCAACACGGAAACTGAAGTAACGCTTGTCTCCGAAATGGTGAGGGTTGGCTTCTGAACATCTTTTTTGAAACAGAGATTCAGGTCAGTGTTCAGCGCAAATCCATCAAAACAAACACAGCTTCCATCGACCGCACATTCATGATTACAGTTACACACGACTGTACTGCTTGTTGTTGTTTCTTTCTTCACTGTACGTAATTGCGAGTCCGGGCAGTTTTTCAACAAAAATGAGGCGACGTGGGAGGCGAAATTTTCCATGTCTTCTTCCAAGAATTGCCTGGCAGGAGATCGAAACTGGAATCGATGATTAAATATCTTTCTAATGAGTATTTTTTAATTACCTGAGAAGAATTGCGAAAGTTACCAACTGTGACGCGGGTTTCATTTTGCAAAGTAGTGATGTCTCCTTCCTTGTTAGTAAGAAACACCCAGTGCGAACTTTGACGCGAGTTTGATATGAGGCCATTATCAGAAATCAGAATGTTAATATATTATAATTTACTTATGCGTTTATAAAAGCAGCCTGGTTTTGCGATGCCACCAAGAACGCCCGTGAGAAAATGCAGCGCAGATCACCTGCACTAATGTTAGGCGAAAATTTAAATGGCACACAAAGGGGCCACAAAAGACGACTTTCTCTTTTTAGGAGGGCTGTTTATCAAAAAACTTGACATGCTCTTTGATCCAAAGCGGATAAGAGGAAGCTCTGCAGGAGGCTTTAATTTTTTCTTGCCAAACTCGGTGCCTGTCATTTTCGGTCTCTTTCATTAGACTTTCCAATCGAAGAAGACTGAATTCTAGTCCTCTTAAGATATTGTTCTTCCGTTTGATGTGGAATGGTTCATGGCCGACCATTTTTTCTTTTGGAGGGATTAAAATTTATTGGAATAATGAAATTAATCGAATAATTCGTCTCTTTCCTTGAATGATTTTAGAAAGTTCTTCAGCCCTTTCTTCCAAAATATCATCGTGAAAAATATTTAAATTCTAAAAATGCTCAACTTATCTTCAATGATAACAAATTTACTTTTATACAGGACTCTTCTGCCTGTAGATTTGGGAGTAAAATGGTCCAGAGAAGCTTCTTCATGGTTCTTTATCTCTGTCTATTTTTTTTTCTCTTGGCGATTTCGACGAAAATCAGTAAAAATTGTTTTCAAGTGTTTGTTTCTTGGTTGAAAGGGATTTCGGAAATAATGGGGAGCGCAAAAGGGGATCTCCTCCTAATAGAGGGCGCAAAATAAAATCGAGGTTTGTTTGAGCTTTGGCGAGCGCGTGCGATCCCCTTTTTTGGACTCTTAGCTTTTTTGACTTCGCCTTACACAAGTAGGCGCCACCACCCAGTGAGTGATCCTTCCGTGTTTGAACTGCTCGAGCGGAAAATTTAGGGAATTCCGGATTCCACAAAACAACCGACTTGCAAAATTGGATGCAGCTGGAAAACAACGTCTGGAGGAGTCGAGTTGCGAGTTGTTGGTATACAAATTGAGCATGATCTTCACTTGAGAAGACGATCAAAATGTTTCTCAGTAAACAATGTTCTTTGATATCAAATCAAAGATGGAAACAAATATTTATATGGGAAACCAGCATCTGTTTTCATAATAAAGATCAGTTGGAAGTTTGGAATTTATTTTGAAGGAAAGAGTAAATTGTTCGCCTATGATCTTATTGGATTTAAATGAATGAACTGAGGGAAAAAAACAAAGAAATGATGGCTTATTTTTTGAGAGAACAATCTGATAAAGAATATGGATGATCTTGAGGATATACTGGTGTCGTTAAAATAGTCCATGCACGCGATAAACTTCCGTATTTTCTGGAAGCCGTGAAGATTTCCTTTTAAGAGTTATTATATTAACCGAGATTCTAAATGCTGTCTCCTTATCCTGACCCTAACCTAGGCTATAAATATAGTAGCCTATTTGATAAACGATACCGTATATCATATACGCTTTTTCTTGACATTAGAATTTCAAGAACTCTTCCTTGATTGCATAAATAGGAATAGCAATTATGCTTGAGAGAAGCATGAAAATAGCAATTGCATTTCCCGCTGATGGATAAGTATAAACTTCATTTGCGACTTTGTAAGTTGGACTTTGCCATGCTGTAATTTTGGCTACGCAAACAACCGCGCATAAAACCGGAGTGATCCATTTCCAGCAATAGCCGAAATATGTCCAGGGCTTTTCTTTCGGATTCATCTTGCTTCCAAACATGTGGTAAAGATCGTCGTAGAACTTGTCTTTTCCATAGAGCCAACCGATCGCGACTGTCTCAAAAATAACGATCGTCAGAAGCGCGATTCCGGAAGCAGCATACGAATCGCAGAGATTGAAGAGGAAGATGCCTCCTTGAGTCACCATTGGTATCGCCATGAAAAAGCAGAGTATGCAGTTAAGGCCCACAAAAAGGGGTCGACGAATTGATTTCTTGTCGAACCAATGTTGTTTCAGATCGACGATCATTGTGCAGACAGCTTCTACTTCTGCGCTTTCCGACGCGATTCCTAGCATGAGCAGCATACCAAAGAATAAACAGTACCAGAGATGAGGAAACGGAAGCCCACTCAAGGCCCTTGGGTAAACAATAAAAGCCAAGCCAGGACCAGATTGTCCAACTTTTTCCATCGGTATTCCACTTTCCAAAGACATATTTCCCAAAACACTGAAAATGGCGACGCCAGCTAGAATCGATGCAGAACAATTAAGAAAACAGAGTCTTGAGGTCCATTTGAAAACGTTGTAGTTATACTAAAGCTAATAATAACTGAATTCCTCAAGAAAACCAACCTTATTGAAACTGCCAAGGCTACTCAGAACACCCTGACCGCAGACATAGCTGAATAAAACCTGGCTGCCAGCCATAACCCAAACTTCAGGATTCATCGCCTTTTCTAGATCTGGAGTCATGAAATATCTCAATCCAACAGAAGCACCAGGCAAGCTGATTCCTCTGACGACGAGGAATAAAAGCATCACGATGGGGAAAGAAGCGGTTACGTAAGCTGCTTTGCCGGTTGATTTGATGCCTTTGAAGACGCAGAAAAAGACGACGATCCAGAGAACCAGCAGAGCGCTTACTAGCTCCCATCTCAAGCTTCCTGTCTCGGTGATTCCGGAAGAAATGTTCAGAGTTCGTTGGAACCAGTACTCGCTTTCTGGCAGTTGTGGTTCTCCAATGCATCCTTCGGGAACGAGAAGAGTTCCATTCGGTCCATAAGTTGACGAGCAGCAGGGACCATTGAAGTCATTATCGCATGATGACCAGGGCGAGTTGCCGGTTGCAGCTTGAACGAGGTAGAAAAGCGCCCAGGCGAGAATGACAATGTAGTAGACATTCATCCACAAGTCGAGTATCAAGCAGGCGTAGCCGATTCCTTTGGCGATTGGCATCATATTCCAAACTTCAATTCCGCCGAGGGACATAAACTGGCCCATTGATATCTCCATGATCATTGTTGGTATTCCCGCGAGAAGCTAGTGGATTAAAGATAAAAGGCTTTCTACACCTAAACGAACCAGGAAGGTGAGGTATGGAATGAAGAAAGCGCCGCCACCATATTTGTAGCAAAGATATGGAAATCTCCAAACGTTTCCAAGGCCAACACAGCTGCCAGCAACTGTCAGAACAAACTCCCGCTGTTTATCCCATTTCTTTACCAAAGTTCGAGCAAGAATGATTGGGTCATTTTTATTCAATGATGAACTCATTTCCTGTCTAGCTGTATTCAACTGACTTCCGTCAGAGCTGGTTAAGGAAGAAGATTTCGACTTTTTCTGAAGAAGTTGTTAAACGATATTCGTTCCTAATATAAAGTGCTGTCTGAAACTACCAATGACGGTCATTGATTGGTTTTTGTCTTTGATTTGGGTTTCGTTTCTGGGCGCCGAGATGATCTAATGCAGTTAGTCGGTAAATAACTCGTTTTAAAATATCAAAATCATAAAATGAGCATGCTAAAAAATCTCAAGAAATCAATAAATAACCTCGTCATCAAAGGATCCAGGAGATTCAATGGAGTCGGTAATCGTGTCGCTAGAGAGTAACAGCTGATCGTTCCTCGAACTCGGCATTCTCTAATCAGATTAAGGTTAAAATCAAAATTTATAAAAAGTGAAGTTGGAAGGAGCAAAAGTCTCTCGGGTTATAACAGACCGACGCAGACCCGAATGCTCTTATAAAAGGAACATACAAGCCCTGAGGGTAAACGTTCCTCTGACGGAAAATTCCGTCAAGAAAATTTCTTGTTTTGTAATGGTAGAATCATTTCATTTTCATGGATATTATCTGTCTAGAAACAGTGTAAAATTCTAGCTCATAAAATGAAGCAGAAGTCTACAAGTCAAGCAATATATCGTTTGTCTCTCAGACTCTAAGCTCGGGGTATTGTACCGAGGATTTCAAGCACGTGACATGCCCGGGCAATGCTGTTTGTGGTTTTCTTAAAATCATGCAGGAAAAGTCGACTATCTTGTTCTCTCTCGTCAGGACTTCCTTACTCCAGCCAGAAATTTGCAATACATACAAAGGCACACAACAAAAGGATTAAAAGAAAAATCCGATTTTATAAATTGAGAAAGACAATGAGAAGTCTCTAGTTTCTTATTCAATCGAGATATTTTCTAACACTGTCTGTCCTGAATTCCAACTATTCCAAAGTCTCACTATCTGCAAATATTCTAGCACTCTTTCTCTCCGTGATGCTGTTGATTATTTAATTGTCTAAATGCTGTTTTGATAAAATGGCGCGACTGCTGCTGCAGAAAAGAATACCGTTATCATGATGCAAATTGAGAATCTATTCTGGAACGATGCTTACTCTCTCTCTGAACTAAAGAAAAATGAATAAGTTAGGTTTTGTGCTACTTAGTAGTCTACTTCCGGTTTGATAATAGAATGAAGGTTAATAATTTTCTGTCTATATTTTTCATTTATTGACTTTTGTCTTTGCTACTAAAAATGATTTGAACTGGACATTGAGTATTGAATATACAAGTAATAAGTTTAATTTATATAAAAAAACAGCGGCTGGTAGATTTGTCTTCAATCACCTTTGCCCCAATCCCAAGGATCGTCGCTCGCTAAAACTTCGGTAAAATTAAAAGAGTTCTGAGCTCAACAAGCTTACCTGTTTTTTAAAAATAAGGTTGAACACAATCAAGGTTCAAAGAAAAAAAGAGAAGGTTACGCAAGTTCAGTTCAAGAATAAATACTATATTTGCAAGAATATACGTTTTTCGTTTACGTTTCATATTTAGAGAATAAATATTTTTGGCACCTAGAAGTCCTCAAAGCCAGAAATGTCTCCTTCATCTTCAGAGGAAGACTCCTTACCCCTCTTTTCGGCGATCAGAGGCCCTTTTTGTCTGCTGGAGAATGAAGATGCCCTTTGACGATTTGAAGCTGGCATTAATCTTCGAACCTAGAAACATTTATTAATCAAAAATTTCTGGAAAAATTTACCTTTCTTCTTGTAGTCGCAATAAATAAAATGCCAATGACCATCATAAACACCATCCAGCCTTTATGCGAAGTTTTGGTGTTTTCTTCTTCCTCTCTTTCCAGCGCTCTATATTTATCCTCATGCAAGTCTTGCTGAAATTTGTTTTGATAAGAAACTTTTCTGAAATTGGTCGAACCTGTTTTTGAGCAATCAAGTCTTCTACTTGAAGTTTGGAACGCTCAGGAAGCTCGACTGGAGGTGCGTCAAAGATGGAGTCGATTTCGTTAGGTTTGTCTTGGAAAATCTCTTCTATGATTTCAGAGTGATCCCCAGAACTAAGAAAAGTCAGAATATACAACTTGAATTAACGAACTTACCTCTCAAGCTCAGTTTGAATATCGATGTAATGGTCACGTGATCCGGCAGCTTTTAACGAGTCATATTGAGGTTCTTGTTCGTAGTGTTTGAAGATAGCTGGCGGAGGAGTACGCATTTTTTCAACTTTTGGCATTTCTGTTGGATTACTTTCTTTTTCCCTAGAAAGTATTTGAAGTAATAGTCTGTAAAGAGATAAAATCTTACCAGCTCATAAGCTCCTTAGCATCTGGTTCAACATATTCGACCTCGTTGAGATTATTGTACTCGTCATCATCGTACTCGACCACTTTTCCTCCTGTATTTTCTTCATACAAACTTGAGTCAATTTTCTCCGGTTGAATGTCGGCTGGACTGTTCAATATCGTAGGCGGCTGGACTACATCTTCTGGTGAGCCAAAGCCAGTATCAGCAGGATCGTCGATCTGCTCTGGAATGATTTCGTTGTTTTCTCCATCGTCTTCCATTCTTTCATCAGAAATTACTGGCGATTCCTCATCTTTGCCCGGCAAAACAGAATTTTTAATGAAAGCAAGAATTTGAGCTTTTTGCGCTTCGGATAAACCATCAAAACCTTCGATTTTCTGTTCCGACTTTGCCAACAAATCTGAAACTTCTGGATTCTCAGCAACAACTTCGGAAGCTTCATTTTGAGGTTCTTCTTCTCCTGTAGACTCATCACTCGATATAACTGGTGCTTCTTCCTCAGCGACCGATTCACTCGGTTCTTGAACTTCTGAAATTTCTGCGGCTTCTGGCGCTTCATTGACTGGGATTGGCTGAAGCTCATTAGTGAGTTGAATGGCTGAAGGTTGGTTTTCTTGTTCCAAGGACTCCTGAGCGACTGGTTCTTCATCAGCAACACTTGGTTCCTGCTCAGTAATTTCTTCTTGCTTGTCAACAGTTGGCTCTTCTGCAACTGATTCTGAGAGTTTTTCTACCGGAGCGGGCTCTTCGATCGGTTGCTCAACAGTTTCCTCAACTTTGCTTTCCTCTGCCGCAGGTTGTTGATTTGCTTGCTGAAGATTTAAAAGTGCCTGAATGCTATTCTGGATGTCAAGACCACCACTTGACTTCATTGCTGATATCAACGCTTGGGCGAGAATTTCCTCTTGAGATAGCTCTTTTGTCTCTGGAACACTCTCGGTTTCAGGTTCTTCTTGTTTTTCGGAGGTTTCGCTTATTAAAATTTCGGTATTATCTTCTGGTAATTGTTCTTGAACTATTTCGTTTTCTTCAATATGAGACTCGGGGGCAATACTTTCTTGGACAACTTCAGGAACTTCTTGAATTTCTTGAGCTTCTGGTGCTTGGATAATTTCTTCGGGAACCGACTCAATGGGCTCATTTTCTGCGGGTACTTCAGCCTCAGCAACGTCTGTTTCCTCGACAACTTCTTCGGTTTCAACTTCCTCAGTATCGATAGGTTCTTCTGGACTCTCCTCAGTTTCTGTCTCTGGATTTTCAATAGATTCGATAGCATTTGAAGGCACTTCAGTTTCCTCTTGATTTTCGATATTTTCAGATTCTTCTAAATTGTTTGAAATAGCGTCTTCATTTTCTTCTGACTTTTGACTGGCAGTTTTTGTAGTCTCGGGGGCTTTAGTTGTTGTACTTTCTTCTTCACTATCTTTCGATGTCGTTGTATTTGACTCGGTTGTTGTTGTGGTTGTTGTTTCAGGCGCTTCAGTAGTATCTTCCTCTGTTTTATCGTCAGCATCGAGTTTCTCCAATTCTTCGATTTGCTGTAATTCATGATCTTGACTAATTTGATCCTCTGTCAACATTTTTTCTATTTCGTCAAGGTCAGTTTGGGGAGTAGTGATAAAAACATCATCTTCAGAATTTGTGGCAGGCGTAGTGTCGGTTTCGACGTTTTCTAAAAAGTCATCGATAGATTCAGCGGTTGTTTGAAGTTCCTTTTGCATGATTTTTATAAATTCTGAATTAAATTAACGATAGATCAATTTTTAATCATTCCTGAGCAGCGAGCGTAAAAGTCTCAATTGAAGCGGGCGCAGTGGTTTCTGGTGGCAGCGGCGCACCTGATGCTAATTTTAATAGCAAAATATTTCTAATCATTTCTCTTGGCTAATATTTTTTGATGGTTAAAAATTCCAGCTCATCATTCAGAATTAAATTGGAAGTCGAAAAAACACGGAGCGGCGCAATGCAAGTGGCTGCTCTTATTTCACCAAAACCGCTCTATCACGGCCGGAGGCGGCACCACCAAATGACTCCAGTAATTTTCGACTCTCTTTTGATTTACTATTGACTGAAATCGTTCAAAAACTTGCAATAAATGCATGTCCTTTCAAAGCGCCATATATTCTCTAGACGCCCGACGTAAATGTTTTCAATTTGCAATGTTACATATTCAGCAAGCATAAAGATACGTAAAATGCAGGCACCTGATCAAGATTCACTGAGAGATATATTAAAAGATGAGCAAAAATTCTGGCACTCTAAAATAACTGAGCAAATCGATTTGCTGGACCGTAAAAGACGTGAAAACAAGGTTGCTAGTGCTGACGATATTCAAGTTCTAAGATTTCTGATGAAAAAAATTGAGGATTCAGAAAATGCAGATTATTGCAAACTTTCTTCTAAAAACGATTGTGGTAAGCCCGTATTGAAATAAATGAATCTGGTAATAGATGCAGTAGTTATCACTGGAACAACGGGATCAGCCGTCAATTCAAACCATTCAACCACATCAAAACCGCCGACTTCTGAGCCAAAATCTACAATGGAAGCAACATCTACAGTCTCATCACCTTTAAGAAAAGCTCCACCTCCACCTCCACCAAGACGCGAGAAAGAGCCATCACAAAAACGAAAGCGGGACGATTCCCAAGAGTTTGACTTAGCGAAGAAACTTTTTCCGAACTCAAACAAGAAATCAATGCCTTCAAAGAAGTCAAACGATACTCATCAAAAACGGAAAGATACTACGCAACAATTTCATGAAATTCAAGATAAAGCTAAGAATCAAGTCATCGATCATCCGAAAATCCTCCAAATCGAGCCTAAAGGACCGATCAGTCGTAATTTCTTGATTGCGGAAAAGTTGATCGATGGAAACTGGCAGTCGCGGCAGTACAATGGAGCAAGTGTTCGTACTTATGATGATTTAATCTCAGTGACTTGTCCAAAGTAAGAGTTAAAGCTTAAATTTTGAGAAATAATTTGCAAGTTTTAGCCGTGCATTAGGTAGCAAATGTTCCGCGAAGCATGTTCTAGCTATTCTCAAGCCAAAAGAAATGATTCGATCATACGAGTCGACTGACGGTCGCCAGCGACGCCGACTTGAATTCACAAGCGAGTCAATCAATGATCCAAGTAATTATAAAATTATTCCTGGAGATCGACAGAATCACACATGCACTATTCCTCATGAGGTAGTGATAATTTTTTCTTCAAGTTTTAAATAATTTAAAGAAACTGTCAGATGAGGAGGATCACAATAACAAAGCTTCAAACTCGCAGAGCCATGGAGAAAGATCGTTAGTATTTGACTCACTGATATGAAATTCATCATATCATCTTTTAGTGCTATTAAACAAGAAATCTAGGATAATCATCGACTGAATTAGTTTTGCATGCTGTTGCGTTTCTCCAAGTTTTTTCACTGCGACTGATACATTTTTTCTACACAAAGCTATATTCACTGAAACTGACTGCCCATTTATCCTGAACTCGACCAATAAAAGTTTTAAAAAACTTATTATCCTTGTATGAGCAATATTTTATTCTGCACGTTATAAACAAATTCTACATTATGCATCACAAATTAGAGCTAACCCCATGGTCGGTCGCTAGAATTTCATGGATCAGGCGCAATTAATCGCAAAATTATTAGCTTATCAAACTCCAGCCCGCACACAGGTGGAGCGGCTAATTTCTCCGCCATTTTCTTACGTGAAAATCTTGACAAAATCAAATTTGCTTATTTTCCTAATTAGCCGAAGAAAGCATCTAAAATGATAGTTTCGGGATTCAAATCTATTGCAAATTAAGAGAGATAGAAATAATAGAGAAAATCCCTCGAAAGATCGAAGCTCTGATGTTTGGTCTCATATCATCACCGTTTTAATTATGGCTGGAATCGCCAGTTCAGCACTTTTTATCGTTATTTATGAAAATAAAGTAGAACCGATCGAAAAAATTATCCAAAAACACGCTGAAAGAAGTGAAGAACAACACAACCCTAAGCTCGCTTATCTTCAAGATTCCCCCAACATCACAGAAAGCTTTGAAGGGTCAGGAGGTTCCTCTTTTGAAGTTAGAAAAAGAGCGAAATTTGACACGTTCGATAAATATAATTTTGTAATCATTATTGCTGATGATCTTGGCTGGGCGGATGTTAGTTGGAATAATAAGTTCGTGAAGACGCCGAATTTGGAGAGAATTCGAAAACAAGGAAGAACGTTTACCAATCTTTACTCTCACAGCACCTGTTCGCCTTCTAGAGCTGCTCTTCTGGTATGAAATTAACTGAGATTTCGCCTTAGTTTTCTCGTAGACTGGAATTTACGCTTGGCGATTGGGCTTGGACGGAGCACCGTTTAATCCAACAAAAGTGAATGGGATCCCCCTGGGAGTAGAACTCATTCCAGAGAAGCTCAAGAAACTAGACTACAAAAATCACTTTATTGGAAAATGGCATGGTGGTTTTTGTCACCAAAACTTGACCCCAACCGAGCGCGGCTTCGACAGCTTCTATGGCTTCTACTCTGGAGCCGTGAATTATCTAACTCATGAGTCAAAATTCAACGCGGAAGAAGTCGCACTTGATTATCGAAAAGTCGAAAATGGCACAGAAACGATCCTGAAGGACAAAAACGGGGTTTACACAACTTCCGATTTCACCAACCAAGCAATCGATAAAATTGACAATTTCGATACCGAAGGTGGTAATTTACTGTTTGTCTCGTACAACGCCCCTCATGCTCCCCATATCGTCCCGGAAAACATGGATGATGCCTATGCTAACGAGACTTTGCTTTCCAGAAGGCGCAGGAATTATCTGAATGTGATTTATGATATGGCAACGGATTAAAACTAACATGAACTTATTCAAAATAATCTACAATTAATCCGACTTAGACCTCCATATCGGCCGCCTTTATGATAAGATTCGAGAAACCCCGGGCCTTTGGGACAACACGGTTCTCCTCTTTGTCTCAGATAATGGCGCCACTTCTCCTGGAGGATCCAACTATCCTCTGAGAGGAATGAAAGGCGATTATTTTGATGGAGGAAACAAAGTTCCCGGTTTTATCGTCTCTCCAGTTTTTAAAGAAAACGACCTAAAGCGGTCGACTTTCGATGAAACAGTTCATTTTGCTGACTTGATGGTAAGTCTTTTAGGCCTTGCAGACCCGACGGATTCATTGGTAACTGACCAACTGGACGGACTGAACTTGTGGGACTCAATGATTGGAGAAGTTGGGAGGAGCAAGAGACGAGAGACAATTTATCATATCGACCAGTCACCTAAACCATCGAGGGAGATCCAAAGCAACGTTTTCCTCCAACACGCGAACTGGCGATTCAATCAGTCAACTCATTCGAGTACAGTATACTCGGCAGCAATCCGACTAGACGAGTATAAGTACATAAAAGCTGTCAGAAACGTACGTAAGAATATGTTTCCATTTTCTGCAATCAACGAGGACTGGACCTGGCAAAGTCCTTCTGAAATCACCCCGCCCGTGTTGATACAGAATAGATTCGGGATGCCTTTCATTTCAGAAGAGTATGATTACTGGTTGTTTAATTTGGAGCAGGACCCGATGGAATCGGTGAATTTGCTGGCGTTTGAAAGCCTAACTGAAAAGGAGTATTTGATTTTGTCGGAAATGGAGGCGATTCTTGAAGCGGAAAGTCGGAGAATGATGCCTCAGATTGCAACTGAACGGTATAAAAGCGAGGTAAGCGGCTGTTATAATGCAGTTTTTGTAATAAAACATTTTAGAACGAGCTTATAAAAGCTGTAGAAAAAGGAGTTTGGATAAGCGATTGGTGTTCTTCTACAGATCTTGACGCGCATAATCTTTATTACAAACTTGCCTGATTCCTACCTCATGATTTCGTTTTTGTAAAGTGAAAACTGTAAATACAATTTTTACCATGATTCTCGATAACAAAATACGGAGTTACAAAAATTGAGACCGATGACCAGGTTCGTGAGGACAAGGTTCGTGTGACTAGGTTTGTGGGTGCCATGTCGGAAAAAATGGTTCGTGTGACTAGGTTCGTGAAATTTGGATTTTTATATGTATTTTTTTGTATCTTCACCATTTTTGGGCAGTAAGGGAAATGGCTTGATGACTAGGTTCGTGGGACAAGGTTCGTGAAATTTTTTCATTTTTTAAATTTCACGAACCTCTAGATGTCACACGACTCTAGTCATCAACCCATTTCCCTTACTGCCCCAAAATATAGGCCGATTTCAATACTCTGGCAGACCCAATCACGAACCTAGTCACACGAACCTAGTCCTCACGAACCTATTCGTAATTCCCACAAAAATTAATGAAAAATTGAAGAATTTTATATTTCTTGACAAAAGTCAAATTTATTTATTGTTGTGCAAAAAGGTTGAACTGGTGATGAATCATCTGTACAATAAAATATATTTACAGTTTCAAACTGAACGGAGCATTTTTCTTAAATTCAGCTGGAATGTTTTCACACGTGAGAGACCGAGCGGGCAGTCGTTGGTCGAGTTTGAAGAAAAACATTGGCAGAAGCGTTTTTAGAAGCATTTTTCAGCAGAGGCTAGAAGAAAGCGTAAATTCTCGGATAAAAGACGATCGATTTAATAAATTATAAAAGTATTAAGCTGCAAAAAGAGCTGGTTCATTATAAAATGAATATTCAATTACCTGATTGCTATTGTTGTAGGTATCGTCAGAGGATTCTGATCCTTCGGGCATTGTGTGCCTAAGATCTTCCAAAGACTCGCTCATTGGGGGGATAAATTGAGGCTGTGCGCTTGATGGGCGGAGAGTAGACTCGATTTTCTGAATCAAAATGTTAAAAAACGCCATTTCAAGAGTAAATCTAGTTGTTTCTATTGATAATTTTAAGTGAACTCACGTGGCCATGTCGATTTTGAAGAGTGGAAAATCGTCCAAAAACCGGGACTCTACTCGAGCCTTGAAGGGAACTGTACATTTTCTCAGAAGTAAGTCGATGCTCATTCGCCATTTCGTAGCGATCAAACTCCTCAGATCGCATGTCGTCCTCTATGATTTCAGCCGAAGGAATCACATTTGGCAGTTTCGATCCAGAACCAGCTTTTGAGCTCTCGCCTCGCTCGGTAGAGTATCCGTCGTCTGGACCGGAGCAAGTTGAGTCAGGCTTGTGAATCCAGCTGCGAGTTGGGCCCTGGTGAAGATCAGCGTCGGAAATGTGGATTTCAGCGTCTTGGCGGTGTCCGAGTTGATAGTCAAGTGCTGGGGGCATTGATGGAACAGTGTGCTAAAAAGAAGCTTTGAAATCAACGAGGACAAATTTCAATTTTACCTGAATCAAATCGGGAGTCAATTTTCCGTTTCGCTCCTTAGTCACGTGTTTCTTTTCCCGGTTGCATTTCATTAAAATGATTGCGACGCAAATCAGCGCTAGAACCAAAACTGCTCCAGAAATAATAGCCAGGGTAGCGTTCGCTAGTCCAGAGCTGATTTCGAATTCTCCGGTCGTCATTCCAATATCGTTCGACACTTGGCAAATATACTTGGCGTCAAGGTCTTCCTCTGTTGCGTCGAGAATCGTCAGCAGCGAAGTGGCAGAGTCGGAAGTCACATCCGTCCAGCGGATCATCCACTTCTCATCGCTCACCATTGCCGAAGTGGCTGGGCTGCCCGGCTCAAGCTGGATCGCCTCAATGCTCGAATCATCCTCTTTTTGAACGAACCAGCGCACGTTGGAGAAGCTTTCGGAGGAGAAATGAAACTTGAAAGAGCAGAAAATCATCGGTCGCGATGCATTCTTGCCGATTTCTTGCTTCTCTGGCGAAATAATCACTGGTTTTTGAAGAACAGTGACTTCGAAAGTCTGCTCTGCTGTAAGACCAGTGACTGGATTTTTGGCTTGACAAGTCCAGCGACCGGAATCGCCCGCGGCGGCAGAGTTCAAAGCCAAAATCGACGAGAACTCACCCTCCAGGGCATCATTGTTTTTCGTCCACGCGACTTCCGCCATGGGAAAAGCATCAAACGGGCACTTGAGCTCAAACGGCGCACCTTCAGTGACAATCACAGGCTCGATTTCTTCCGACTTTGGCAGAGCAACTGGACCCCAGAGGACGGATAATGATGATTCGGCGATGTTGGACTTGAGGATTCTGTTGTTAAACTCGGCTTCCGCTTGACAAGTGACTTTGAATGCCCTGTCTTCGTTCTGCTTCGCGATTTTGGTGGTAAAAACTTCGTTTGAAGAAATTTCTGACTTTTCACCATTGATGTTCCAGTAGAAACGGGCTGGAGCTGGATGTCCAGTAGTGGCGCAGCGGTACGAGACGATTTCCCCATCCTGGGCCTGAAAAATTGATTAGAAATCGCTCAAAAGGATGAATCTCTGATCAATCAGCTCATCGAGTAATTGAGCCTTTATCCTGCTCAATACTCAATCTTGTGGCCTGCAAATAATTGCCATGGCCGTTTTACTGGACAACTACTGTTACAATTAATGAAAAACTATAGCTAGGAACCAGGGTCAATAAAAATGGATGAGTTGTTGGGATAATTGGAGCATTATCTGATCGTTGACGGCGACTCTCACGTGCCTAATTTTTGAGGATCATTTTCAAGTTACCTGATCGTTTCCGAACTTCGCGTTCTCCAATCTCGCAATGCTAGCACGTGGCTCGCTCATCGGATAAGATCGTGTCGAAACAGCGAGAAATTGTTGATCGACAAGGGCGTCGTGGTAAACTCGGCATTCAATGTTTTCATTGCCACTAAAAACAGAAAATTTAGCGGATTTGAACTTCGATTTTTTGCGATTTTGATTTGATTAAAATTGCAATTTTTGAAGATTTGGGAGGATAACCCTTTTGAAGAAATCGAAACGCACGTGCGCTTTCGCTAAGAGTTCAATATCCACTTTCGATTTTGGAAAAGGGTTGAGCGGAACAAGCCCACCTTGCTCATCCCTGCTTATCCCAGCGCCGCAGCTTTTCGCTAAAAAGAGACCGAAACAGGGAGGAGTTGCCGATTCGGTTGATCCTTGTTGGACTCCTTGGATCAGAATTTCCGTCGATACTGTTTGAGTATAGAAGTATTGCGAATCTGGCGGCGTTCCAACGGGAATTGAGCCGTGAACAGAACACAGTGGCATAATTCACAAATAATGAGTTAAATTATTTGACTGACGGAGAAGGCATCAATTCATGGAACTTCAGATGTTCCATTCTTTACTTTCTTCACAAAGAATCAAACGAAGCTGGGTTCCGCTACCGTAATAATTATTCCAACAGACAATACGGCCATTAACCCCCAGACAGTTACTGTAATTGATTGAATAAAGGTGCATAAGGCCCAAATACCCAAAAACGCCAGAACAGAAAATCAGGCTAATTGGCAATTAGGGAAGTTCCGTTATCGATCCGAAATTTCAGTTGCGGCCCTCTTTTCCCCGTTCGATTTATTACTCTTTGGATCAATGGGCGAAAAAAGCTGCGGGTGGGAAAAAAAGAAAGGTTGAGTTTTATGGCGCAGGAGATATTCGATTACCGCCAAGTGAGCGAGCCTGGGAGAAAGTGGCTTTTTAAATTTTATTTATCGATGGATAAATTTATAAGTTTTAAAAGTCGAGGTGGAACCCTGGGTGGAAGACAGGCGGTCTTTGAAGAGGGACAGATTCAGATTCAAGATGAGCCAGGGGATAAAGCTGCGGGGGCTTTCTACTGATACCGAAGCTACTGTATTTACGCAATTGAGAATAGGGATGCTAGGCGGGTCCATTATTCACAAATTTACATTTTTGAATGCTCCCCGGAAGCATGGGATATTTCCCGCTCTCGAGTTTGTTTGGTAGCCATTACAATAACTTGTAAAAAAGCTCGGCAAGCAAAATGGAGTGCTTTCGCCACATATTTGGGTAAAACAAACCTTTGATCTGTCGGTAGGAAATCAAAATCCGCCGCCGAATTGCACATTCCCGTTTGCTTGTCACACGAGTCCACTTGTTCGCCGGCTTTTGCGACCTCGACGCCATCGCGGTAGAATTTGATGAGGCCAGCTGGTCGAGAATTGACGATTTCGCACTTTTATCGGGGTTTATTTGTTGGAATGTTAAGAAAGAGAGTCGGAAATCTTGAATAGTAAAAACGGTAATCTCGCTATAAATTTGACATCTAACGCTGAGAAAGCATCAGAAGTGCCATTTCCCTGATTCCCTGAAATTATCTATCGCTTGATTTGATTTTCCGACCCTTATGTGACCCCTGGAAAACGGCCAGTCGCCAATCAGAGCGATTCCCAGTGACCCTTTTCTTTGATTAATTTGTGTATATTCTTGCAAATCAAGGCCAAGGAGAATAAAATGCATAAACATTCGCACCTCGGCGAAAAGACAAGTTTTATTTGACTCCAAACAGAGGACTGACGTGCGAAAAAACTGCACACTTACGATATAGAATTTTTTTCTTTGCGAAAAATGCAAAATTAAAATTTGGGTGGCGGCCAGGCGAGGATGGCCAGTATGTCATGTTTTGACCTTGTTTGGAAGGGGGAATATTTTTCAGAAATGCTAAACAAACCTTCTTGGCGGTCGGGTGTTGAAGGCTATTTACACAAGCGTAACCTGCCAATTTCTGGGTGATTATTAAATAAACATTAAAAATTTTAAAACACTCACTCTTTTGAGCCTGAAAATTTGACGATCGTCGATCGCTAATAAAAATTCCAAGAAAATCATAATCAACCGGATTTCCTTGGCGTTTTGTCAAGTCAGAGAGCGCAAATTTCGGGACATTTGTGACATTTAGGGCCCTAATTATAATTTTGACCATTATCCAAGCTGCTTTGACAGTTTCTAAGTGGGCCGTAATTTTCTAGAAAAAAAGCAAACCCCGTGCCTGAACAGTTGACCTTTGGCCCGGGACGTGAGCCAGGTTCCCTTCAGAATCGGTGCCGGAAATGAGGATTTTCTTTGGCGGGACGCGGACGAGTACTTTTGCCGAGGCCTGCCCATGGCCGTGATGGACTTGGCACTGGTAGTTGCCAGAGTCGGATTCAGCCAGGTTGTTGATTCGGAGAGTCCAGTCGCCGAGGGATTCATCGCCAACGATTTCGTATCGCTCATTGTACTAAAAATTGAATGTAAGCAATCTATCTTATGGATAAATTAGGATTGATATGGGATGATTTAATTTACAGTGCGGTTCTTATTTACTTCTAATCTAAAAAAAGAGACCAGGCGCAGTTTACTGTGCACAAGAGCGGGTGCATTCTGCTGATGTTATGAATCTTTGAAAGCTTCTTTGTTGAATTATCTACTAGTTTGGTACACGTAACTACTGAGAGAAGTCGTTTGAATCTAATTAAAACCCATTTCGTGGTCTATTCAATATTCATACGATTACAGTACTTTCCCTCGCTCCCTCCAAGTGCATATTCAAATATTGGAACTTGCAGAATCTACATTAACAGCCATTAATTCATTAATAAAACAGAGGTCGAAGTTCAAAGCCTCACTCCATCCATTTCAATAGTAATAATAGCTATGAATTATTCTCAAAACTCGGAACCGGTGGCACAAAAAAGGCCCATGAAGACACAACTTACGATACGACTCACAACTATTGAAAAAAAGACAAAGGTCTCTGGGTCCGTGAGAAAGTGGCCTGCCGAGGATCGAATTTTATGCTGACTCCAAGGAGAAAGTTGCTTTTGCTATTATTTCCAAATTAGCCATAAAATTTACGTAAAAGTGGAAATTCAATAGTGTCTCTTAGTGGGTCAGAAAGCTGCTAAAGCTTCCAATGTTCCAAAAACTTAAGGGTATATTGGCAGATGGAAACACTTTCGGACATGGCCAAATACACAACTAGTCACTTGATAGATCAGCGAACCGATGTTTAGCACACTTTCTCACGACAGCGCGAAGTTGCGTCGCATGTGACATTATTTTTGTTGATGAGTAAATAGTAGAAGTATCATTACAACTTTTTCCCTACAAATTTTTACTTTTAAAAAGTTGGAGCCATGCTGTCGGCAAATTTAATTCGCCCATTCGGCGAGCTTCAAACAGGTGACGCTAAAAAGTGGCTCAAATCCTCGTTAATCCCGGCCAATTGTCCACAATCATTATTTGGAAAAACTGAAGAAAAATGCATCGCCACGGAAGTCGGGCCGTGTTTTATTGAGCCTTCTCCTTTGCGAAATCACGCGTACCGCATTTCTTGACAAGAAAGAATAAAAATTTAACCAAGTCTGACATGTAGCCTTTAATTTTGGCGACTGATGTGCGCTTGGGATTCTTTCTGCTTCTTCTCTTCATATTTTGCTTTATAAAAACGGCCATTACGAAATCATGAGGCATTCTTTATTTATGCTCAAGAACGAGAAAATTAGACCAAAAGTTGACCGAAAACATGGGCGTTTGGGAAAGTCTAGTAGACACCTGAGCTTGTGCGCAAAATACACGAGACGATCTGATTGCGATTTTCTTCGGGACAGTAATTTGATTGACATTAAGATATTTGGGCTTTTCCAGCTTGATGATCGCGCGACTGTATCCCACTTATCACCCACTGCCAAACACGCTTATCCCGAGATTTGATATAGACCCAAAAAATATCACGCAATCGTATTTGCATCAAATAAATCCATCAGCACGCGCGTCACCCCTAAACGTTTTACCCCTTATTCTTCCCCAAACACCCTAAATTCATAAAAACCCTCGTAAATTTTAACTAAAATGGGCCAATAATCAGAAACCCGATAGGAAAAAAATCGACATACGTCCGCTTGGATTACAGTAAATCCAAGCAGCAGATGGACACTGGGAAAGAAGAAGCAAGAAAATAACGGTAACTTTGAGTCCTCCTTGACTTTGAGCCGATTTAATCAAGCCACCAGATAATGGATTCCCATAGTAATGCATCCATTGCCTCCCTAAGGGACTGCTGGACCGAAAACGCATGATTTTAATTGTTGCTTTAGTCCCTATCTGTTGGAGCCAAGGGCACTCGCCTGGTTTTTATGATTGAAAAAAAGAAAGGAGCGAGTATAAAGCTGGCGGTAATCCTTGGTCCTTTCTCAAGCCAAAAAATATTTAAACTCGTAATTAACTTCTTTAATTTTTAGGTTAATTTCAATTTCCAAAACAAGGACTGTCTGTCAGCGCAAATAAAATCAGGACATTACTATTCAAGCCTGAAAATATAAGAACAAGCTTGATTTGATTTCAAAATCAAAAAGGGCTTCTCTAAAAGGTGTTTGTCGCGGCCTTTTGACTGCCTAAGTTTCGTATGAAAACAGCTCTTTTTCCGAAAGTCGGCTACTGTAAAAGTCTGTTGACTTATTGGTTTCAAATTTGGCCACATCACTTAGACGCGAGAAAAAATAACACCGCCGGAAATTAGCTTTTGATCCTCTCCCTTGACCTTCGCTGGCCGAGAAATTCTATTGACCCCGGGAGATGGAGGTCAAGGCCTGGGAAAAATAAGCCACGGGATTAGACCGATTCCCGATCCGCCTTTTATGTTCTTGGCCATATTAGTTCTCGGCGGTTAGTGTCACTTAACCACTGCGATAACCGCCAGGTGTGGGTACGATTCGCCGATGCGCTCGTAAATAAAATGAAATTTTTCGCGCTTAATTTGTACGCAAGAATTTTTATACAAAAAAGTATGTTAACATGAAGCTTTCGAAAAGCGTGGAAAATGGTCGAAAGGGCTCTTTTTACAAATCGGAAATTAAAAAAGTATGCTGCTTGCACTTGATTCTTACCTTCTTGTTGATGTTTCTTCCGCCGGCGAATGTGTTGATGGTCTGACCGCGTGTCTGATCGACCCACTGTACCGCCTTGTTGACGTATTCGACCATTCTCTGGCCTCCGACGATGCATCGTAGCTCAACGGTATCTCCAACATTTGCCACCTGATTCGCTGGTTTCCTGATCAAGAACGGCCTTCCTTTACAGTAGCCCACTGTAAGAAGAGTCAGAAAGAATATCTTCATGATTTCTAGTTGTTGTGTGTTCTGGTTGGTTGTTGTTTTCTTAGTGCTTCATTCAAATAATCTCTTTTTTTTCTTCTTGTCTCGGTTTTGTTTTTGTTAGTTTTTGAAAAGTACGAATTTGCGGTTATCTTTCAATTTCCGCTACTTTTTTTCAATATTTCTTTATTGTATTGAGCAAAAAATAAAGACTCAAGGATCGACGGCAGCGCGCAATAGCGCAAAGCGGACTAGAGGTCGCAAAAGAGCGCGCACGCGAATTTTTCGGAAGAAGGAGCTTTCGCAAAATGATGGCGCGCAAGGGCTAATATGGGTAGAGTCGAGCTGCTCGACGGAACTGGACGCTACAGCTTGCTCCTGCTCAAGTGGATTGAAATTTCGAAGAACGCAGCTGGATCTTTTGGGGTTTAGGATGAAGGTTCCTTGAAAAACATGCATAATTGACGATATCTGTAATGAGAATTTGGACTTATTGGCCTGTCACTTGAAGTTACAGTCAATTTTCACATGGACAAAAATGATCCCCGATTCCTAATAAAAATGATTTCTGTCGAAGATTTTTTTTATTATTGTCGATGAAAAATATTCCAAATTTAAGCAAACCTTTTTTCAGAAAAAAATGCAATACTGGCGTCGCTATTTGAAAACAGGAAAAACACGATCCTTTTTGGCACTTCGCATTTCCATATTATTAAATTTAATTCTTGTTCGTTTTTGCCAACTTTCTTTCACCTTTTTTTGCTCGACACTTTTGCCTTTTTCTCTTCGAAGTGTTTATTATGTGGATAATCCGCCATTTCCGGGTGGTGGTTCCGTTCCGTGTTAAATTTTTAACCCCAAACTGTCGGAAGCCGACTTGAGCTTAGCCTCGAAGTGGGGCACAATGGGGGCTAAATGAAAAACTTGAGCCGCGATGAAATAAGGGGACACATGAGATGGGATTAAGGGGCTTTGTGATGCTCGTTAGGTTCTTTTTCTGAAGACTGGAACGGCTTAATTTGGGAGGAACAATAAATTAAGGATATAGCCTATGAAATTGAACTTTCATAGCGCCTAAATGCGACGTCGGATCATTTTATTTCAAAAAGAATCCTATCCAAAAATGCATGCAGAACTCGATTCTGGTACTTTTTTAAAAATTTTCGTTAGAATTTTTCTCTGTATAGCGTTTTGAAATCTTACGATCGCGATTTCTCGAAATATTTACATTAAATCGCTAAAACTAAACCAATGACTGCATTAGCAAAATGCTAAACTAGAATATTGTGGCTTAAAAACTTTCAAACTCGGCCAAATTTTTATTCTAGTGTTATCCTCTTTCTTGCTCCTGGTTTTCTTCCATGCGCGCTTTTTTGTGTCCAACCAATCAGAGCGCTCTTTCAAACGCGCAGACTCTCTCGGGAAAGAGGAGTCGAGAGATTGAGCACCCAGCGCAGCGCTTTTTACACTATTCACGCGCCGAGGAAGCCTCATGGAAATGGCTCTAAAATCGGTTTTTGTCGGGATAAGAGAAAACCGAACCCACAATATTGTAGATAAGGGTCTAGATTACTTATCTATCAAAAAAACTCGACCGATTTAATGTAAATATTTCGAGAAATCGCGATCGTAAGATTTCAAAACGCTCTACAGAGAAAAATTCTTATGAAAATTTTTAAAAAAGTACCAGAATCGAGTTCTGCATGCATTTTTAGATAGGATTCTTTTTGAAATAAAATGATCCGACGTCGCATTTGGGCGCTATGAAAGTTCAATTTCATAGGCTATATCCTTAATGAGGGGAAATTGGAGCATAAGACTTTTCAGGCTTTTCCCAAGCGAAAAATGCGACAATGGCGGAAACCCTTAATTTAAGGCGGTGACACCCTTATCAACTCTTAGAGAAAGAATTAAATGCGAGTAATAAAATAAAACAACTTCCACTCAAGCCTCGCCAAGAGTGCCTGTGATACGGCTTATCCGCACTCCTCCTGGCCTCTTCTGATTCTTTCGAGTTTGTTTTGCCTTTTAGAATTTTAATGAATAATGCTAAGAAAGCAATGCTTGAAAAAATCATTGCTAAAACAAACTCGCCTCTTTTTTGCCTTGTTCGCGCGCCCGGGGGGAAACGACGCCTGGGCCACAGCGAAGACGAATGAAAATATTGCCGAATTATTCAAAAGATGACTGCATCGAAGTGGCACTTTTACTCTGTTTGAATTCTGACGTGCAGATTAATTGATAATTTTATTAAAACTTTTTTTAAGAGTTCATGCGCATTTTAAGTCCCTGCGTCAAGGCTTTTTGTACTGTAACTTATCTGGCACAGTCTTTTTAGATCAATGTTCTCATGCTCACAGAAATGGAGAAATAATCTCAAAATAAATGAAATGACGAAACTTTTTTTATCGAAAACGCGCGAAATTGCATCGTTTCCTGGGAAATTGTCACCTTCTCTAATGATCCCCATCACTATTTTCCCCCTGTTCCCAGCATCTATCGCCCAGCTGCAACTCTTTCCCCTCTTCACCCCTTTTTACCATAATCGCCTTGAACTGCCGAATCTAAATGCTCAAAGCATAAAATCGATATTTCCGGTTCTTGGTGTTCCGTTTTTTTCATTTGATGCACCTGTTTTTTGAAACCGAAGAGGAGGAGATTATGCAATCTTCAGCGCACATCAAAGGCGGATAAGTGCGTAATTTGACAATTTTCACGCGAAGGGGTTTTGTTTCGGCTCTATTCTATGAAGAAAATTTCGCGTTTTTTGGCAGGCAGAGATGTTTAACTAAGCCCAGAGAATCTATCAGATAAATAAAATAATTAAAAAACCGCATTCAAAACCCAAAAACCGAAGTTTCCTCGTTTCGCCTAATTTATCCAAAGCAAAAGCGCAAATACTCCTCCATCCGGTTTTCAAGTCGATTACCCTTCAACCCTGGATAGTCGCCCTGGAAGAGTGGATACAGCTGAGCGAGCTAAATATTCAAATTCTATTTGACAATGTAAATTTTGCGCGAAATTAGGTGCGTTGAGTGTGGATTCACTTCCCCCGCAGAGAGCCTACCAGTAGTGGTTACTCTAAAAAACTTCTTGGCAAGCGATCAAGATATCTGAATTATTCGACTAATAATTTTAATTTGAATATAATGCCTCTTCTTATTGAACAATCGAGAAAGAGAAGAGCAGTAATTTTCAAGTCGGAAATAATCACGTAATAGACAAAACTAACTACCACTGGCCAAGCAAATTGCAGATTACCGGATTCGCTGGTCGAAATTTCTCAGCGCTTTTTCGGCGCCAAATGGCACTTCCGCTGTAATTTGCGATGCGTCTCATCCAGCGGCCAAGTTTGAAATTTTTACATAAAATTTGACCGCCGAGAGACTAAACATCTTTCTCACCAAAAAATTCAAGAGCTCATTAATACCAAACAGATCAATTTTTGAACCCTAAAAAAACATTCTGAAATTTAAACTACAGTTTTTTACTAGAAAAGCATACGATCAAATACGCGCAGCTTTCCAAAAGATCGAGCGGTCCTAAAAGAGCCATATTTACGCATTTTACGATGAGAAAAAGAAGAGCCTCTCCCATTAAAGAATATCGATAAGCATAAGCGGGCTGCATCAAAGACGAGCAACTCTGCGTTATCACTTTCTCTGTGCCCAAAAACTGCGCCTGTTTCTTTGTAGATTTTGGGCATAGAGAGCGTCGATAACACAAATCCGTATCACTTCCAATAGCGCAATTGGCACTTACTGGAGCATCCGCTTGCTCAAGAGGGCCAATTGAGAATTTTGTTTCTATTTGAAATGGTATCGAAATCGAGCAATCGAGAAATCCTAAAATCCTGGAAATGGAATGGGCATTGATCACGTGGCTACAAAAAGAAAGCAGCATTCTATTCTATTCTCGAAATCGCCTGTTTATCCCGAAAAGAATAATATTGTCTGATGAGAAAATCATTGATCTCTTTTTCAGACGAGAGACATTTCTAAATTGTCTGTACGATCAATTTTTAACCTGAATTGAAATGTCTGCTGCCTGTAATTTAAAAATTTATTTTCACGGAAAGAAGGTTAAACTAACAACAAACAGATTTGGCATCGCGCAAAAAATGTACTCAAGTAATTAACCTGTCCGGCTTTTAACTCCACTTAGTGGTAAATTTGTTTATCCGGGCTGAGCTCTCAAGTTTTTTAAATTTCGCGCCGACTTTGAGTCGAAAAACGATCAAAGCGCCGAGTCAGATTATCTGTCCGGGGGTTGATGGGTGACCCCGGAAAGGGTACTATTTTCAGCCCTTTCCTGAAAACTTTCAATAAATCATGCGCGGCACGTCAAGCTAATAAAACAAATTAACCACAACTGCTCGAGGGACCTGCTTTGATGCCCTTTGAGGACTGTGAAAATTTTCCTCAACCCTTTTATGGCCCAAAGAGGCCCGCGCACCGTAAAAATTAAAAAAGAAGGACCACGTGATCGATAGTTTCTTGCCTTTGTGCTCAGAGCAATTATCAATTTTACGCTGACGGGTTAATTCGGCAAGCGGGGAACTTTTTCATCCCCATTTTTGAAACAATACTTGCAAAAGAAAAATGCGTATTGAAAGTCGAATCAAGGGCGAGTGGATTTTATTTTAGAAATTTTCAGAAAATCCGAAAATCCGAGTTTGGCGGCGTTTCAAAATAATTGCTCGCAATTTGTCCCGTCCGTGAGTTTCTCTTTCGCTCAGGGAGTTTGACTGTTATCTGCCCCTTGTCCGACATAATTTCATAAATTGTTCAAAGCACTCACTTCAAAGCGCAGCCATAATTGCTGTGATTTTGACGGTCAGCTTTGAGCTTACTCAAGCACTCAAGTATTGAGTCTAGAAGTCTTTAGTCCGAATATTCTTGAGCAAAAATTATTTATCCCTTTAATTTTTCATTGATAACAAATCAACCAATTTCTTATCGAAGAGGCGCATTTACAAATTCGTCGCGCAGCAGGGAGCCCGAAATGCGCATAAACTAGGGGGC